TTCGTCGCTCATCATGGCAAGTGACTAGCTAAGCTTGCGGTTCCACGTTAAGGCAAAATGAGAAATGATTTGAGTGATGAGGTGATCAGCGAGCCTCAAGCGTCAGAAATCCGTATGAGCAGAGCGAGCAAAACCAATTAATGCTATAACCATTCATTGCTTGAAATCATCTGGCTGCGCTTGAAAGGTTGTATGCCGATATATGAGGGTCTATGCTCATCTATGCTCTTGGTCCCACGCTGCTGGAAAAAGTACGCAATATTGCGTCTCTCGGGTCCTCTCAATCAGCCTGTCTAGCCTCTGGAGTTTCAGCTAGTTAAAGAACAATGCAAACGCTAATATCGTTCTATCGACGAAAAAGCGACTCACATTCCACCCTTTAGGAGCGAGTGGGAAAAGACAAAAACCAACTCGTCAGGAAATTACGGAGTAGGTTCGGTTGGCGGTCAGGAATTGAAGACCAAACCCACTCAAGCTAACGGACATCCTATCATATCGAGAACGATTGACTTTGGGTCTGCTGGCTTCAAAACCAAATCAAACGAGAGCTCCAAGAAAAAAGTATCATATTCTACTACAATCCTTTCTATTCTCAGACTAAGTTATCTTCTTCTCGTTTAACTCCGACAACTACCAGATTCCGTGGGCTCAACATATAATCAAATACACTTTCAACCCAAGCAAGCTGTATGTTTGGTTGTTCTTTCAGGAACAACCACCGATCAACAACAATAACTGCCTCAACAACACCCGCACTAAAGGCCATTAAACTCCAAATAACGCTGAGTTCTTTGCGGCGATGATAATATCGAGTTTCATAATCTTCAATTTCAGCGTCAGTCATAGCAGCAATACTATCGCAAATGAGTGTTGACCGGCTTGTTGAATCTTGCTGGGCAATCTTTGATACAGCTCCTCGTACATATGCTGTGAACGATGTGTAGCATGCTTTCCGCAGCGACCCGATGATTATCGGTTCCGTGCCGCCAGGAGTACCAGCGCCTGCTCCTGAACCTAATTCAGACGCGGTATTCTGAGACTGTGCCGCAGGATTGATAATTCCACGGTCCAGGAAGATCCTCTGAAGCAATGCTCTGAAAAAATGCCTGGTGAAGAAGGATTCACTTTCTTCCTTTGTCCAGTTCTGGGGAGCTTGTACGGCCATCATTCTAGCGGTGATGTTGAACCTGATTCCAGTTGAAGACTCTGCCTCACCATCTTCATGCCCAGGGAGCGGATATGTGGCAAGTCGGTCGGACATTGGAAATCCGTGCGGGTCGAATGCCGTTGAGGTCTTTTCCAGGCGAGGGTGCGCGGCACGCAAGGTTGGCAATTTATATGTTGGTGGGCCAAGGCGTTCAGTGACGAGATTATAGCAGCACCCGATTAAGGCAACTGCGGAGACAGTTGGGTTGAGAAGCAGAGAACGGATACCATGGTGGAGTAGGTTTCCGCAGGAATGAAGAGATATTACCATCAGATTCTTTGGCGCAGCTGAAACTTGACTGGTCGCGTCAGATGCTTCTGGGCGTTGATTCTGCTCCTCTTCCTCTATCTTTCTCAGCACTGGCGAGAGATTTCCATCCTGAATCATGTGTTCAACATATTGGATGGTGCCTTGCCCTTCCTCTGACACCTTCTTCGGATTGTAAACTCGAATTGGCATGCCAAAGCCGTCGTCCTTGATGGGCGGTAGGCTAGCCGGCTCGGAAGCAGAAATCGAATCTTGGCTCTGAGCGGAGTTCGCGGCAGATTCTATTTGCGCATCCGAAACTTCCAATTCGGGCTCTTCTTTGCTCTGCGGTCCTTTTTCCTGAAATTTCCGAGCTGCTTTCTCTTTGCGAAATTGCTTCTTATCTCGCATAATCTTTTCCTTCTTCACGATCTTGGCCACTCGGTCATAGTCTCGTGCTCCGTCAATGTTAAGCTGCTTACTTTCAATGGCTATAATATGCCTGTTGTAAGGCTGGCTGGCCAATGCTCGCCCCAGATAATTCTGTCCAGAGCCAAAATCAACGAGATGAGTAAGTTCACGCCCGCCGCCCTCTTTAATCTCATCCATTAAATTGTCGACATAGCGAGCGAAATTTTCAACCTCGTGAATTTTTTTCGGCTTCATGCCTATCGCAATGCTCCGTGGCATCGGCGGTTGCTTCGCTCCATTGGGAGGACCACAGTGTCTGCTTGGTCGCGGCTTGAACTCTCGCGCAAGACAATGCTTGCGTATATTTTTTGCATATTCGACGAGTGAAGACGGCGGTAAGGGGCCGCCTCTCCATGGTATCGCCTTCTCTTTTGTCTGCCATGGCTGTTCCGCTTCCTTGTAAAGCGGCGCAAATTTCTGAAGATCCTCGTGCATCAAGAAATCGAGAATATCATGAATATCCCTCTCTTCAAGCCAACTGCGCCAAGACTCAGGGAGTACAGTCGAGTAGAGACTCGGCTCCCGTGTAAAAAAATCTAAGATATGAACTCCACCGCATAACGTTTGAAACAGTTCGCAAGAGGTGGAAAATTGCAAGAGAGATTCAACATAGGAATCTGCGTCTTTAAACTCAGGAGGCAATGGTAGAGGTGCTGATGGAGCCATTCTTCCAATCTCGTGCGAATTTCAGCGTGAAATATCCAAATAAATCTTTTCCTTTTTCATGTGACAGCCACCTCTGCCGGGCCACAGTCTGCCCAGGGGAGCGCACTCAGAAGCAAGAAAATGAAAGACAAAAAGACACATGAACTTCAGCTCCTTAATTTCTCATTGTTCAGCGCCACCCATTATTCGCGATCAACGGAATTTTTTAGCTGCCTTCACAACGGGAAAAGTCGGTGATATTTTCGCCCAGGCACACGCTGCACACTGGAAGCGAGATGCCGACCGCCGAGATGGATACTCCTAGTTCATGACCTGTCAACACAGCTCGCTGGGGACCTATCTCGACGGATGCGAGCCTGCACCTCCGCTCTTGTCGTCAAAAGCATTCATGGCTCGATGATAGCTAGATAATTTAATTCGTTCTGATCCTAATTACACCTACATTACAAGGTGGTTCAGCTGTGCTCAAGATGATGTCGTCAACGGACGCCGAGGATCCCTTCCTCCAGGTCCAAGGGTAGGGAGAGATGAATATATCGTGTAATTCTTAGTCAAAACTGACCTCAATGCAGCGATGTGTTATCTTTACTGAATACGACTCGGCCTCTCTTTGCGTCCTACCTCCGCATTCGTTCGCTGACATCGTCGCCGACATCACCGGAACTGATTCAAGCGCGGACGGAGCTGGAATCCAGTCTCCAAGATCTCAGTACAGATCTTCAAGATCTAGTGGATAGTGTCAAGGCTGTCGAGCATGATCCGTATCGATATGGAATCGAAATTGACGAGGTTGAACGCCGTCGACGCTTGGTTGGAGAGGTGGGCGGGGAGATTGAAGATATGAGGGAAGAGTTAGCCAAGGCTGTGTCTGCTGCTCCCGTTGCTGGTGAGAGGAGCAACAATGCGGGAATGGCTGAATCACTTCCTCCACCTTCGGCATTCGAACCGGGACATGATGATTATGCTGAGTTTGAACAACAACGACAACTAGAGTTGATGCACGAGCAAGACGAAGCGTTGGACGATGTTTTTCAGACCGTCGGTAACTTGAGGCGGCAAGCTGATGACATGGGAAGGGAATTGGAGGACCAGGCTGGTCTTCTTACTGATGTTGACACCATGGCCGAGCGGGTCGGCGGAAAACTCCAAAGCGGCATGAAGAAAGTTGGTTGGGTGCTCAAGAAGAATGAAGGTGAGAACCTTTACATGCCTGCACCGAATAGTCTCACTGATCCGAATTTTTGTGTCAAGATACCATGTCGAGTTGCTGCATAGCAATTCTCATATTTGTCCTTATATTATTGCTTATTCTAGTATTGGTTCTCTAACTGCCCACAACGGGCTACGGTCTTGTACACCATGCGCAGGAGTCCGTTGCTAATGCAGAGCATAAGGCGTTTCGGGGTTGTTTGGAAATGATACACCACCTTGGGCTTGGGGCGCAAATGGTATCTGGTTTTATTGTGCATCATGGGAATTTACACTTAAAAGATTATTACCTTGAAGGCTTTCGGGCGTAGAATTCGAAGCAATCATTCTTTTCGATTTCTCCTGCTTTACCCTGGCTTGCTCTCTGGCAGTAACTTGCTGCCAATTAGCTTCCACCCACTGAATAAAGCGTTTCTTTTGGAGAGATGTGATTTGGTGTGGCCCATCAAAAATGAAGCCACCTCCATCTACGGCCAACATAGCCTCATCCCGAAATGAGATTGTATCATTTATCAAGACGACCCACCGTCTAAGCGCACGTAGCAGCAGATTCAGCTTATCCCCCTGGAGAGGAACGCGCGCTGTGAGCTCTTTCAAGATCGTCTCCTCTTCATTCTTCTTGGTCCAATAACCTCTGATAAGCTCGTACTCTGCCCACCTGTCAAAGATGGTCAGAGCTTCATCTAGTACAATTTCGCGAGTAACATTCTCGTCTTTGTTCCAGTCAGCTGTATGCTGAGGCAGCCATTCAAGCCAGAACTTTTGCATTGCCGGCCTCTTGGCGAGTCGTTGCCTATCGTTTGCTTTGAGGGAAGCATACTGGAAGTATTGAGGCCGGAAAAAGCGGCTTCCAGCAGCAAACTCAAACATGTCTTCCAAAGTCTCAAATCCTGAGCTAAATGCCTCTTTACTCAGCCCAAGAAACGACAGTGTTCTCGAGGGATCCGTCGTAAGGAGTATCATGCTAGCTTTCCTGTTCTGCGCTTCGACTTCTTTGACTCTCACGTACAATCCGACATCGTTTCGGGTAAGACCCCAAGGTCGAATGGTCGCGCCGATGATGCTCCAGAGATCTCCGTAGGAATGGGTGAAAAGTTGCCAGTCAAAGGTTCCAGGCTTACAGTACAGAACGTCAAGTTGAAAATGACAGTTGTTGAGAGCGGCTGAAGGGATCGCGAAGCTAATGGTTGGGCTGCCTGGGGTATGCAGATAACGCGTTGCATTCAGGGCTGCGGCCAAATCGTCCCAAGTGGAGCTGTGGCGTCGCGGCTGCTCCACCAAGACGTCGACATCACCATATGAGACCTTGCCTGGATGTTCAACTGGGGTAGCAGCTCGCACGTAAAAGACACGGAGCACCCGAAGACATTGGTCACGGAGAAGCGCGTAAACGGAGGAAGGGATGCGCGGAGTTGACAAGGGCTGTTCGCCGTTGGGGCCAGTATGGCTAAAGGCCGAACCTCCCATCATCAATCTCAGAATACACCAATGACATGGTGCGGCGAGGGGATTTAGAGGGAATGGGGTAAGGGGCGAGAGCAGGTTGTTGGACTGATAAGTGAGGAGTGTTGAGGATCAACGGTGGGGGATGATGCATCACAAGCTAACGACCATTGCGTTACCCGGGGGCCTGCAAATGGCCCTCTTTCTTTCGCTTTTTCCCTCGACCGACTTAGCACTCGGTTAATTCCGAACCTCGTTGAGGTGCCTTGCAGTCCGTCAGCCAATCAAAAGCTTTCTTCTGCCCATCCTGGTATTAAAATGTTGGTTTGGAGCTTCACGGGCGAAAGCTTGCCCTTCACAAACACCTAGACCAGAGATCCTCCCTTTTCATTCCTGTTCATCAACCAATTCCAATCATGGCTGCACCTGAAGAGTCTGATGTCACCTACGAAGAGCTTGCAGAGCTCGAAAAGGACTTTGAGGAAGTCGAAAATGAGATTCGTAAGTGCCTGCGGGAACATGCCCAAATGAGCTTCGTTACGAAGACCTGCAGAAAGAATCTTTGCATTGACACTTATCACCCAGTCCGGAAGCAATATACCCTCACGTCTGGTCTCTACGCGAAGCGACAGACCATTGCGTCAAGAATTCCCAACTTTTGGTCTCTCGTTCTCGAGCAGGCACCGCTTGAGATTGATCAGTTCATTCAACCTTCAGACTCTGAGATCATCGCTGCCTGCCTGAAGGACATCGAGGTTAACCGATTCGAAATCTCTACCGATGAGACCTCCACCGGGGGTGATCCTCGCAGCGTTGCGATCAAGTTCAAGTTCGCGCCCAACGAGTGGTTTGACAATGACGTCCTGGAGAAGAAGTTCTGGTACCGTCGCGCCAATGATGGCTGGTCCGGCTTGGTGTCGGAACCCGTCAAGATCAACTGGAAGTCTGGAAAGGATGTCACTGAGGGATTGACTGATGCCGCCATCGAGCTCTTCGAGGCTGAGAAGAAGACGGCAGCAACCGCCAACGGTACCTCGGGCAAGGGCAAGGACAATAAGAAGTCTTCCGCCCAAAAGGCTTTGATTGACAAGATTGAGGCAACCACTGAGGGCTCTATGAGCTTCTTCAACTGGTTTGGATTTGCGGGACGTCATATCACTGCCGAGGAATCGGCGGCCGCTACCAAGTCGGAGAAGGAGAGAAGAGAGAAGATCAAAAAGGGCGAGAAGGTTGAGGCTGCTGAGAAGCCCGAGGAGAACGACGAGGACGATCTTGATGTCGACGCCGAGGTATTCCCCGCTGGCGAGGAGCTAGCCGTTGCCATCAGCGAAGACCTTTGGCCCAACGCTCTCAAGTACTTCAGTAAGTAATTCCCGAATTAAAATCTCTTCGAGCTCACAGCCACTAATTCATTGGATAGCTCAAGCGCAGGAGCAAGATGACGATGACCTCTCAGAGGCCGACTTTGAGGAAGATGAAGAAGAGGAGGAGAGCGACGAAGAGACCGGTGTGCCTGATCTGCGCAAGCTGGTCAGCGCAAACAAGGGCGGATCCGGAGACGAGCGGCCTCAGAAGAAGCGGAGAACTTAGACTTGCTCATGATGGTATTTCAGTCTTTTGTCTCCACCTTGGCTCGATATGATTCAAACAATCTTTGTCCTGGTGGCTTCTTATCTTTTCTTTTTCTTTTTAATTGTTCTTCTGATTGGATGACTTCATGATGGCGGGATGGTCCCTGTATCTACAATATAATTTTCCATTGCTTCAATTTTTGAGAAATCTGATAAATTAGTATTAGCTTGATCGAATGTGAGATCGTCGTAAGACTGCTGCCCGTGTTAGCGGGCTTATGTTTCTCAATACACGATGATGCCTCCACACCTCGTTTCGCGCCTCGCGCTAAAAATTTGTCAAAGGAACAAAAATTTCTCCGAAGGGAGATGCAAGCGGTTGCCCTGACTGGGATGCACGGCAGCTAAGCTTTTCCAAAGGAAAATGAAAACGTAAAAGGAAAAAAAAATCATCTCTTCTTAACATTCCCGCTGCATCCGCAAATAACTGACAACGATCCTCTTCTGTACTTTCTGCCGCGGCTCATTTCCGAAGGGTCCATCTGCCACCATTTAAGCTGAGATATCGGGGCACGTCAGGTGGTCAACTGGACGGGCACTTTAATTGAGGCAGCTTCATTTATAGTGTCGCCGGCTTTACCCGTCACTCTGCGGAGAATCTTTTATTCGTCGTTTTGTTTATATGCCCTGCAGAGTTCTTGTTCACTGGCCACTAGACTTTCTCTGTTCTGCGTTCACTTGATCCTGGTCTCTTTTTAAAAGTTTTGGAGGGTTTATAGAGGGTTTTAGACTTAGAAGCCGAAAGTCATTTCATTACTTTCCATCGATACATATACCATGCAGCAACTCAAAGAAATGAGAGGCCCCGAGTCGAGGGTTTTAATCATCATGACAGGTGGGTAGGATTAACTCAAAATTTTTTTTTTTTTTTTCCCACAGGCCACGGCTAACAAGCGACAGGTGGAACTATCTGTATGAGGAGATCTGAGCTAGGATTTGTTCCAGTATGTCACGCAAAGACATCAAACTTTTTAAGAGCATATAGTTTATGCAAAATCTTCAGATTGACTAATTTGGTTTACAGGCCAGAGGGTTCCTTGAGGCAGGACTTGCGCCTCGCCCTTCATTCAATGACGGATCCAATCCAGGAACCCTTGGCGTCATGGTGGATGATGACCGTATGAAGGAGCACCGCAGTCTACGGACGCCCATTAGCACATATGGACGTCAAGTTAGATACTCCGTCCTGGAGTACGAGGAGCTTCTTGATAGCAGCTCCATTGATGCCAAGGGTTGGGCACAGATTGCACGGTCTATTGCAAGAAACTATGAACTGTTTGATGGTTTCATCGTCCTACATGGTACCGATTCACTTGGTTACACCTGCTCGGCACTTTCTTTCATGCTACAGAATCTTGGAAAGCCGGTCATCTTGACTGGCTCTCAAGCGCCAATGCTGGAACTGCAAAATGACGCAACAGACAACCTCTTGGGGTCGCTCATCATCGCGGGCCATTTCATGATACCAGAAGTCTGTTTGTTCTTCAACTACAAGCTTTTCCGGGGAAACAGGGCCACCAAAGTTTCTGCCAGCGAGTTTTCGGCGTTCGCGTCTCCTAACCATCCACCTCTAGCCACGATTAGCTCTCTTAAGACCCATGTCTCATGGGACCTTGTTCGAAGACCAGTGGACCTGCATCCTTTCAGCATTCAAGTCAATCTCGAAACAACCCACGTTGCCTGCCTGCGCATATTTCCCGGTATCAAGCCGGAAATGGTTGATGCCGTCTTGCGGGTAGAGGGGCTTCGTGGTCTTGTCTTGGAGACATTTGGAGCAGGAAACGCTCCAGGTGGCCCTGATAGTGCTCTCACTAAGGTTATCGAGGACGCGGTCAAGAGAGGGATTGTCATCGTAAATGTCACGCAATGTAAGTTGTCATGAAGGACGTAACCCACACAACAGGACTGGCGATGTTGATTAAAAATAGGCATGACAGGAAGTGTTTCCCCACTTTACGCTCCTGCCACGGTGCTTGGACGGGCAGGCGTCGTTTTCGGTCATGACATGACTACAGAAGCTGCTTTGACCAAATTAGCATATCTTCTTGCACAACCCAACCTCAGTTATAAAAAAGTCGCGGAGCTAATGTCCGTTTCATTGAGAGGCGAAATCACGGAGTCTTCTCGCACTTTTTTCCAGCACCCTAATGGACAGCTCACGCCAAAAGTTGCTCAAGTTACTGCTCTCGGATATGCTATTGCCGATGGTTATCTCGAAGCAGTTCGCGATATCATCAAAGGCGCGCGGAGTTTCTCGTTGAATGAGCCTGACTATGCAGGAAACACATCAGTGGTGAGCACGTCCTCTTGATTTCTTCCTGCTTGACACTCCTGGGAGCGACGGCGAAGATGAGAGATCCAGCCATTCTCTGGGTGGTTCCAGATATTATTGCATCATATCTCTCGTAGCATTGGAGGATTCTTCGCTATTGTACTATATGTGGGTATACATGGATATGCTGGCTGACTTCTGGACCCGAACTTAGCATCTTGCGGCAACGGGGCCGAGCGTAGACATATTGCACGAGCTGTTGTGCCAGGGAGCATCAGTCCACCTCCGTAATGCGAATGGACACACTCCGCTTTTCTTGGCCGCCGATGCAGGATTGCGAGACAATGTGGCATTACTTCGAGAATCGGGAGCTCATTTGCACAGCGAGGAGCTCGACATGGCTAAAATGAAGGTTCAGATGGCAATGAATAACTCCGATAAGAGTGAAATCTGGCGCGCTGCTGGTGTCCACTAGGCAAAACCCCCAGAGAGGCTGATCCGGAAAGCCTCTGGCAGCTATGGCGGGGTAGAGAGGTGGGCATAGTTCGTACGGCCCGCCCTTTGGGGGGGGGGGGGGGGGGGGGGGGGCAGTGTGGGGCGGGCCCCCCTTTGGGGGGGGGGGGGGGGAAGCCGAGGAGGGGGGAGGGGAGAAGGGATACAGAACTACCCAGACTTTTGGAAAAGCAGGTCCGAGGAGAAACAGAGATTGTCTCGCATTCTCGGGTCTAAGTACACAGGCAGCGTGGCACAGACTCGCTGATAATGTCCGCAGTAGGTGGAAGGATCATTCTCCAGAAACTTGGATTTGGACAGACGGCGAAGGGAATCGAAATGCACTCTTGCTTGGCATGACCGAGAAGCACCCTGGTTTAGATGCAACTAGAAGGGAAATTTGGGCCTCTTCCGGGCACCCCGGACAGCTGCTTTAGCCAGAAGGAGATCCATGTCGATGCCCATTCAGCCCTTTTGAAAATGTGCGGGCGATGCAGCTAAACGACTCTGGCGCATGACAATTAAGTCGCCATTTCATAATGAAATGCTCAATATAGACGAAAGATGAAGACTTGTGGGAGTGTTTTTTTGTCGACCAATTTTTGATATTACATGCCAGCAATAATCGACAGCCATAGAACCTGACGATAATCAAAGAAATATATCAACTGACGCTGTGATGGCCATGACTGGTATACAGTACATACAATAATATGTGCCGTACAGCGAAAAGTGTGGTACCTCACGGTAATCTGAAGGGGGACGATGGAAAAAAAAGAAGAAAACGAAGCGGTACCTTGTTGGCTGTCACCATCCCGTGGTGGGGTTGGGGTAAAGCCATCATATCGACGGTGTGACCTCCTCTTCTTGTTCGCACTGGTCTACTCCGGACTTCGTACTCTTAATTTTTTTTTTCTCCTCTCGGTTCCTAATTCTTTGTGCTCAAGCAGGAAAGGGCCCAGAGACCGGCCATCCAACTTCCTCGTTGCTTTACGTAAAGCGAAATTGAAGTCTCCAGTCTGCCTTTCCAGAACGGATCAGTCAAGATCCAACCAGCGCCGTTCCCGTTATTCATCGCTAATCCCCCACCCACTCTTTCTGTCTAAGGAGGGGGTCGCCTCGCACCCACAGAGGGGTCCTCATGGCGTTTTGGGTGGTGCAGAAAAAGCCCCCGCCGGTGACGAGATCATCGATTACGATGATGAATTGCAACAGTTGGTTCTAGAGAGGAGATAAATTAATGACGAGAAACAACAGCCTTTCAGCAACATGGATGTTGCCATCCAAACCATGTCATGTTCGGATCTGTGTCCAATGGCCCCGCTAATTGTGCTAATCACACTCTGATTCCACCATCATTCCTGCGCCTCGCGCTTGATCTCCCTAGGTGCATCCTCGCTGACTCGTGGCTCAATGACAGAAGAAAGCAGAAACGAATGTTCGTCCATTGACCGGGGCCCCTATTTTTCCTTTTGGTCGTACAGGACAGTGGCAATCCCCATCTCAACCTAGCTTCACCCGGGGCATGCATCACGCAAGCAAGCCTACAAGCACGCGCTCTGCTGACCCCCTTGGGAGGCCTAATCAACTAATTCCTTGGACGTAGCAATTGGAAGCAGGATTAGTATAGTGCTCATCTTAGAAGGAAGTTCGGGGGAGAGAGAGAGAGATTCGAATTGGTTCTTTTGTGATGGTGACTCGGCTCACCGCTCGTCCCGAACTATCGGTCATGACGAACAAAATTTCTTCGTGGTGCAACGGGATGCGGATATACAGTACATAATAGGATTTTAACCCCTCTCCACATGGCCTTACTTTTACTCTACGGCTCTCCCGCCTTCCTTGTCCCTTGGCCAATACTCGGTGCACGTTCCGCGCGTCCTGGTCGGACTTTGACACACTAATTGCCTACAATTTTAAGCTTCCGAGGACCGTTCGTTTCCCATCTGCCGACCACTGCACGCTTGCACGTCACTGCGCGACGGACCGAGAAGTGCACACGGGGGCACAAACATTTCTCTTTTTGCCTGGTGCAGGCTCTTTTCCATTGTCCTGGCTCGACATTCTTTTTTTTTTTTTTTTTTCTTTTCTTTCTTTTTGCTCTCCCTTTTTAGAGTTTTATACTGGTCTACGTGGGCGTCAATTTTCATGACCTCCCCTGTACGAATGTACATGACAGCTTCCGAATGACCAAGACTCTCGTTATAGTCAATTCGACGGGGCGCCAGGGCGCGAGCCTTGCGCGGGTCGCTTCCGCCGTCGGATTCAATGTTCGTGCACAGGTCCGGTCTCTTGAAGGACTCGTCGCCCAGGAGCTTTCCATGCTCCCCAACGTAAAGCTGCATGTTGGAGAGTTGGACGACAGAGCATTCATTCACGACTTGTTTGCTGGGGCACACATTGCCTTTGTCAATACTGTTTCGTGGGGAGACCAGGTCAGCATCGGAAGGTCTCTTGCCGACGCCGCACTGCGTGCCAAGATCCAGCATTACATCTACAGCTCCATGCCCGATCACTCAATATACGGGCGAGGTTGGCCGGGGCTGCCCTGGTGGGCCGGAAAATTTACAGTCGAGAACTATGTGCGCCAAATCGGAATCCCCTCGACGTTCGTCTACGCCGGAATATATAACAACAATTTTACGAGTCTGCCATATCCGTTATTTTGTTTGGAACTACAATCCGATGGTAGCTTTGTGTGGCAGGCGCCTTTTCACCCGGACATTCCTCTTCCCTGGCTCGACGCAGAGCACGACGTCGGACCCGCGTTGCTACAGATCTTCAAGGATGGGCCTCGGAAATGGGCTGGTCACAGGTGCGCGAACATTCCTTTTTCGCTTCTGCCATCTCTCGAGCTAACAGACCGACCGTTGGAACAGGATTGCTCTCGCTTTTGAAATGCTAACTCCACGAGAGGTTTGCAAAGCCTTTGCGCGTGGCATCGGACGAAAGGTCCGTTACATCTGTGGACCGACGCAAGTCACCGTCCAAATACCTGCGGGTTACCGAGAACAGCTCCAGGGTATCGACCTTCTTTTCGGCAAGCACAAAGCGCCATATTTTGGACCCGAGCTCAACGCACCTGACGAGGCCCTGAGCATTTGGGAAGGGTATCGGGGTATCGAGGAATACGCCCGAGAAGTGTTCCCTTTGGAGGAACAGGCGAATGGACAAACCTGGATGTTGGAAGATAATGACGGGAAATGGACTGGGTGCTAAGCCCTTTGCACTGCGGTGTGTCTTTTCGCTGAAATCTTTGCATCTCTCCGCTTCGACCTCGTCGTCTCAACCACGTCTTTTGCCGTTTTACTGGCTGTGCATCAGCCATGCGAGTTTTCCAACACTCATCGCCATTCTTTTGTATTCGCTTGTCATGATCAACATTGGGCGGCGTCGAGTTTCATTTACTTCACGACATCTTGCATCATTTTCTTGCATTTGTGCGTGGACTGGATCAGGTATGGGATAAGTTTTTAAAATATTTTACCCGCTGCATCGCACACATATCCTTTGTATGGCACGATACAACGGCTGGGGTTTTTGCATTTTTACCGGCGCTGGACCGCATTTTCATCTATATCATTGAAAAGGGAGAAACAAAAGTTAATGTTTTTTCTTCACCGCATACCTTTTTATCTTAGGGCTGAAAAACGATCAATACATTGCAAGAGAATAAAAAATAATTCAGTCACTGTATAAATGGATCAGAGCTACTTGGGTATCTCGTAGAGCACATTGCTAGTATTTAGCGTACTTCCTGCATGCATAATGCACTGACCCAGATCTTGAGAAGCATCAGATAAGATGGACGTTCTAATTGCACTCGTGAAAATGCAGGTGATATGACTGATTTTGATCACGGATAACCTGCCTCCCCTATAAGCATATGGCATATGCTGTAATCCGCTTGGTGCATTCATATTGTCTGCTCAAATTAAGTCCGCGGTATGATGTCCTTGTATATTTAATCTAGGTTTAGCAGGAGTCATCAAGCTGGATTATCAAGAAGATGAATTGCCTCGATATTGACCGGCATTAACATGTAAGAGATGGAGTAAACAAGTATTAGTAGACGGCTGTTATATTTTCATTGTTAGAGAAATAGTAGTAGAATTATATAGATTATAGACCAGATAGGCCATGAGATTTGAAGGGTTTTTACTAGGCATAATAATGTCCTTTTTAAAAAAAAAAAAAATTAAAAATAAAAAATAAAAAAAATTCTTGATTACCTTTACATTTATCCTGTGTGTAAATTTAACATTTCCCAGTAGTCAAACAGATGTTAGATCTTGAAAGAGATGAAACAATTACAGATTCAATTTTGTGAAAAGGCAAAAACGGTCCCAAAATCCATCAATGAATATCATCGCGAGCGATGGGCGGGCAAATCTTGTCCCGGAGGAGCAATCTTATCCAGGCCGATGGCGGAGCAATTTGCCCGGACAAGACAATTCGAGAAACTCTTGACCTCCCGGCTGAGACACCGAGCGGGCCGAAGAGCCGATAATGGAGCTTTTATCACTGCAAGTCAATAGAGTAAGGAAATGATCCAAACCAATTCAGTTAAAGCTTGACAGGCGGGGAGAGAGATAAGCCATTTATACTTATCAAACATGATCGAGTAAGGGTCCCCCTCATTACCTGCCCCACGTTGCCCGCCATCAATCACCTGTTTTCCACTGCAGAACAATTTTTTTTCTTCTTCTCTCCATTTTGATGTCCTTTTCTTTCGATTCTTCTTGATATTCTTATTTCTTTTAACCTATTCCCCAGCTTGTTGCAATTCCGAGTTTCTTGCTTGTGCATAGACCGACCTGTCCTTACCAGTTAAACCCAAAGCATACAAAGACACAATGACTGTTGCTGCTGCTACATTTCCCCGCCTGGGCTGGATTGGCCTCGGTGCCATGGGTCTTGGAATGGCCAAGAACCTTCAGCGTCACCTCACTTCGACTGGCGCTCCGGCGTTGATCTTCACCAACCGCACCCTTTCCCGGGGCAAGGACCTGGAAGCGTTGGGCGCAAAGCCCGCAAACACCGTTGCGGAAGTTGTCCAGAGCTCGGACATTGTCATCTCTATGGTATGTTAACTTGGTTGTATCACCGTGCGACAGGCAATCACTAACGCCACACCAGCTCAGCAATGACCAAGTGCTTCACTCGGTGACCGACGAGGTGCTTGCCGCAGGCGACTTTTCTGGAAAGATTTTGATGGACTGCACAACCGTGGGCCCGGATACTTCTGTGGAGATTGGCGAAAAGGTGTCCAAGGCTAATGGTCAATTCATTGCTGGTGAGTGAAAACCACGCTGAACGTACCACAGAGGGCATTGCATGGAAGATAGCTAGGGACGAGAAGCGCTGATGATCAATGCAGCTCCTGTGTTCGGTGCCTCTCCGGTTGCTGATGCCGGCAAGCTCATCTTCACCGTTGCCGGCCCCAAGGACGCATTGGCCAAGGTTGAGCCCTACATTGTTGGCGTCATGGGTCGCCTGAGCATTCCCATGGGCGAAGATGTTTCCAAGTCGAGCTTGTTGAAGATTGCTGGGTAAGTTATCCGCGAATTCCGACAACATGGTTTGTATCCGGGCTAACGTCGGCAAGAAACATTCTCGTTGTCGGCTTCCAGGAGATCATTGGTGAGACACAGGTTTTCGCCGAGAAGACCGGCCTCGGCGTCGAAGTTATTGAGAACCTCATCGGTGACAATTTTGGTCCCACCCTCCTCTCCTACTCTAAGCGTCTCACCGGAGGCGTGTACGCTCCCCCGCGGGGTAAGTATTCTGTGTTTTCTACCGATCCTCGTGTACACTTTATACTTTGACCGCCCATAGATCGTCATGCTAATCTGCAATACAGAGTCCCGCCCCGGCTTTGGTGTCGACCTTTCCATGAAGGATGCCCGACACGCCATCCGCCTCGGCAGCGAAGAGGGTGTCAAGATGCCCGCTCTTGAAGTCGCTCTGAAGAACAGCGAGCGCGCCAAGGAGTACGCCGACCAGGATGGCGGCCGCCCGCTCGACAGCTCCTCCATGTACGGCACTCTGCGGCGGGATGCTGGTCTCGACTTTGATACCAACTTTGTTAAGCAGCGCGATGCCGCCAAATAAATGGATGGTTTCGTGGAGCCAAATGTCAAGAAAAAGAGAATTACTACGATAAGATAAAACGGTCATGTATTTCATTGCAGCGTTGGATTATAGAGAATAGACTTTACGATTATAGAAAGAAGGTCTGGCACCTTCTGAGGCAGCGTCCGGCCTTTCTCGATAGACTTTGCTCTTTAAAAAGAATTAATAAGCATTTAATAGATCACGCTTGATGCACAGTGATGCAAGGTTGCCAAATCGATGATGCGATGCCTCAAGTCAAATCTGTGATCAAGGTATATCAAAATCCTATTGCAAAATCTTATTTCCACCGCTAGCTCTAAGTATACTCGAACAAAGTAGAAAATAGCTACCATAACTCCAATCGCATCGTTTTCACTGGATTTTCGCATTCCTTCCCGACCTGTCTATAATAGCTTGTGAGATAAGAAATGGCCAAGTATGAGAGCACATGCTTGTATAACAATCCCAAGATGTCTATCGACTCGGTCCCGAGTGCATTTCTGTCCATGATCCATCGGGCTGCCAAGTGCCCGCCTTTGTATAGTCAGCTGAAGAACTCCCCCGCATATATCCAAAGCGAAAATACGTCGGTCTCGATGTTGCCGTTCTATTGTCACTGTCGTCATCGCCATTGCCATTATCCAAATGATCATTGGCCTTTTCCCATGTAAAGGTATTCGGACCTTCGGCAATATATCCTCTATATCGTTCGACATCATTGACCAGCACGCTCATGCCGTCGTAAGGATAAGGCGGCGTCGGCCATGTAAATGTGATATTGTCTAATCCAACAAGTGGTGCACCAACAGCAGTAATATTGGGCAATTTGGACCCGAGCTGGGCATCGCCAAGCAGTGCGGCGGGAGTCTGCAGAATACTATCAAAACCCCATCTCGCGATGCCATTGATGAATAATCCCACCAATATACCTTGATACAGCAGCGCAGGGCGAGTCTGCATCGCGGTCCCCGGCAAGAGAAGCAGAGCGAGAATGTAGTGATGTATTCGCAAATTCAAACCCGGTATCGCAACAAATAATGCAAGTGTAATAGCAAAAATAACGTATATGACCAAATATCGCGGCAAACGGCCTTCGAGACGGAGAAACCAGACTTGACCAAGAGCAATGACGAGAAGGGCGACGACAATAATAACGAGAGCGACCTTGGCGCCAGGCTGTTGATTCAGGTCATGGCCCGTGAGGCGCTGAATAGGAATGTGGTCGAACGTGTAATTGTTCAGGGCCCCAACCCAGCATCCACCAAGCCAGAGGACGGTCTTTTCCACATGAGCGGTAAGTCCAGTAAGCTGACGCCGCACACAGTACCGGTATATCGCAAAGGCAACAAAGGCCGCGGGAAGAAAGCGGCCTAGGACGACCGAGACGATGGAGTAATAGTCTGTCAGGCTCGGAGGGTCGGAGCCCAGTCCGACATGGAAGAAGAGGCCGACAAAGACAGATGAGAAGAAGACAGAAGGCGAGGACGTGCATAGAGAAAGTATGGTGGTGAAGGTTACGGATACAGCAAGAAGTGGCCACCGTAGATCCTTGCATTGAGATGCTGTGTCAGGGATGAAACTGTAGGAGAGGGGAAATGTAGTGTCAAAAGGAATGCTCGAGATGCCATGGCTCTTGGTACCGGGATAGTCATCCCTTTCACCAACGAGCCCGAGTGCGGCACATCCACCTGCCTTGTTACTAATTACTCCGGCGTGGATGGCGGAGCCACAGATGAAAGAGTCTCCGCGGTAAACAGGATTGACATCGCGGTGGTCATTGGGCAGGCCGCCTCCAATGACAAAGGGACGGTAGTTGACTTCTTGCGCCCCGACTGCGCGGGGATTGAGCACCATTGTTCGAGAACATCCTGCGGGGCAGCGGAATGCAAAGGTGGCATTGTCAAATGGTCTACAGTCGTTTCCGTTGAGGCCGCAGCCATTGTTGTTGGACCTGAGATTCGAAAGTGTCAGCGCCAGGAAGCAAGTGGATAACAACGGTCGCATCGAGGCAGCCTTCAAAAGCGCATAGAGAATATGACCGGAGTGGTGAATTGCTTGGTTACTGACCAAAAACTTGCTGTGCAGGAAATGGATGAAGGGGTCCCGTATCCACGAACATCGCCGGCAAACGCAGACTTATGCAGAATAGCAATAAACGTGATTATCCAGCAGAGGTAGAACACGACCAAGAGCCACGTTTTCTGCGAGCGCTTGGGAAAGCACCGATTGATGATATTTACAGGTGCTTCTTGAAGGCGAGGCAGAAAGGGATTGATCTTCTGGATATGCGGCGGATGCGGACCGCGCACCCAGTCTCCGACAGCTCGGGCGACTCGCTCGACAGGTACAGGGATCCATCGCCATCGCCGGGATGGCAAGAGGAATTCGTCGTGCGATCGCGTCGGTGTCAGCGAGTCATCGCCATCCATCGCCTGAGAGCGCACATGGATGCGAGCTGCAGATGACTGAGCAGACGGATCTTCAGCATCGTCACCGGGAGATTGATCACGGTATGGTTCAACGGCGACATCGCTGTCGTCTTCAACGACGTCATTTCGAGCCATGACGCTCAAAGCTCATCAAATGCCCACCAAATCATTAGACTTTATTATTCGATATTTTCGCAGTAACGCTCAGCGCTTGTCGGAAGTGTCAAGAATGGAATGCTTCAGAGGGTTGACAAGGGACAATCTCAGTAAGCTTGGCGTCAAGAGCCAATCATTTGTCGATTAGTCAGTCATTGAAAGGTCTATGGAACACACAATAAGGTCAAAATATGCTTTAGATTGAACTCTTCAAGGTGTTTGTTCCCGATGGAAAGACATCCTTTCCTTGGTCGTGCTGAACTCAAAGAGTAACTCTGCTGATATGGTGATTCAGCATTGCCATCTCCTCCCGTTGTGTCCATATCAACATTCCAAATCCGGACATGAATAGAGCCACTACATGGACCAGCAAAGCACGTGGGGAGACAGATGAGTCGGGGATGCATGGCAAGAGAGTTACAGCCATGATTCAAATATCTTCTATCTTTGACCGGGAGACTACGCCAAAATGAGCAGGTCGAATTTAATGCGCCTACTGGAGTAATTTTGGTATCGGGGCGTTATCATCCATCGTGTTATATCTCGAGGGAAGTAAGAAGGTCAATGTTCTTCCTACCGGCTTTCTAAGCTATTATTATCTTTATCCTCACACCGCTTTGATAGGCTTTTATCAGTGCACCAACGAACACCCGTTCAATGGAAAACCATGCACGGCGCTCCTTCGCTTTGATACAGCTATTCTCACTGACGCGTTCCGTGGTCGAAAATGCATTAGCTCCTTTCGATGCTGGCAGGGCTATTGTTCTCGACACAGTCAGACTCACAGCAGGCAGGGCTTCCAAACAATGCAGGGCCATGCTGTCCATAGCCAGGTCCATCGGGTCAGAGCTCCTTTACGCCTGGGGATGACTCCACATGGTCCTCGACCTTATCCAAGACAGGGCCAAAGAGTCTATCACTCCGGTGCGTAGTTGTCGAGTCGGGGTCGGGTTATCTCTGTCCACGACCAGCCACAAACTGCGGAAACGTTCCCTTGGAAGGGCCTTGTCCGGCTCCTCCATAGCCTGACTCTGTTCCGCCCTCGATGCCTTGTCATTCGCCCTCAACCCAACATCTACAGGTGGCTGCTTATCGGCATAATGGTTGAGCAGCCCGATCTCTGCACAGGGTTGACCTTTTCCCACCGCAGCTCCTTATACAGAGATTATCTCTCTTTCTTTCTTATCTTTCCTTCATATTCCTCCCTGAACCTACTTCCTTTCCATTTGTGTTCCCCTTTGCTGTGTTTTTTGGGTTTTCAATTTGCTCCTCTCTTTCTTTTCCGAAAAGGGTCGGATATCTCTGCATTCAGGATGGATTCTCGCAGTCAACCTGTCTTATCGCCGCCGAAAGACTTATCGCACCATTGGTCGCGCACGACCAAGAACCGTGGCGTGAGCAGTGTGAAACAATTCTACAAATATTTTCTGATCCCTGGCATGAAAAATATTGCTGGTGGTAAGCTTAGATTCTATTTCAAAATCGAATATATCGGACTTCTTTCGTTCCAATTTTGGAAAACATCGTTTGTTGATATGTTTGGTGGCTTCTACCCCTGTTTATCTCTGCAGCGCCGTTGTGTGTGCGACATTGAAATGATACATTTATGATACATTGGCTTTCCGTTGAATCGTTGACAGCTGGGTCCAACGCGATAACCAAAACAATAATAACGTACCATCAACATCTACTTTCTAATCACTAACGCACAACCTTGCACTATGTGCAATCAGGATTACCTCATCCATCATATTTCCCCTATGATACCCTGGAAGCATCCGTTGCGCTTCCAGATCGATTCCGACCGACTCCCAATGACCCGGTCGATCCACCCAGCGCGCAGCTGCGATCGACGTCGTTGTGCGATGTACAAGCAGCATCATCCTCGTCGGCGCGCATGCTTGTCCCCAAAGAATCGGAAGCGAGCGACCTTTTGCGAAAAATTGACGTTAACACCGCCCTGCAGTATGGCACCGCTCAAGGATACCCAGCTCTGTACTCGTGGCTGAGGCATTTCACGCGCGAGCATTTACATCCCAGCATTCCCTACACCGGCGGCCCCGACATCATCCTGACCTGCGGTTCAACTGATGGCTTCTCCAAGGCGCTGCAGCTTTTGCATAATGAATGGAGCGAGGAGAAGGATTGGGTGCGCGAGCGCGAAGGTATGCTCGTCGAAAAGTACACCTACATGAGCGCTGTCCAGGCAGCTCTACCACGAGGAATGAATGTTGTGCCCGTGGACATCGATGACCAGGGCATGATTCCTTACGGAGAGGGTAGTCTGGAGGACATTCTTTCCAACTGGGATACGAAGAAAGGCAAGCGGCCTCATCTCATGTACATTGTCACGTAAGTCGGTTCTGTGATATTAAGACGAGAGGTCCCACCAAGAAACTTATCGGAAATCTCGCAGTATCGGCCAAAACCCTACTGGGACCGTCATGGGTCTCGAGCGCCGCAAAGAAATCTACGGCATCTGCTCGAAATATGACGTCGTCATCATCGAAGACGATCCATACTGGTATCTTCAATACCCGTCCGCCTTTGCAGCTATGCAAGCCCGCAGCGAGAACTTAACACCAACAAGCTCCCACTTCGAGGACTTTCATCAGCCTGAATTGAGGGCCCCAAGCCATACTTTTAAATCGTCTGGATTTGACTTCCTCGACTCCCTTGTCCCGAGCTTCCTCTCAATCGACGCCGACGGACGCATCCTTCGCCTCGATACTTTCTCCAAGACCACCGCGCCGGGATGTCGACTGGGCTGGATCACCGCCCAGCCCGCCTTCATTGAGCGCCTGCTGCGTATCACCGAGAGCACCACTCAGCAGCCATCCGGGTTTGTACAGTCAATGGTTGCCGAGCTGCTTATGGGCCCTGAGACTGCACAGGATGGTGGCCGGGGCGGCGCGAAAGATGGCAGCGGGTGGAAAGTCGACGGCTGGGTTCGTTGGCTCGAAGGGATGCGAGGGAACTACGAGCGACGTATGAACACCATGGGTTCGATTCTCGAGGAAGGTCGATTCCGCGTCCAGTCGTCTTCTGATCAGTCCTCCGAAACGACGGGCGCCAAAAGCAACAGCGCCGACGATAAATTCGACACTTTTGACAATGCCAGTACTGATGCTGCGGATCAAGACGATAGCGATGACGACGAGTGGCACGCCGTTGACAAGGTTCAAATGTACACATTCGACTGGCCTGCCGGCGGCATGTTCTTATGGCTCAAGGTGGACTTTTCGACTCACCCTCTTGTGGAAAAAGTCGCCCTCAAGGACCTCTCGCAGGCGCTTTGGTTCCATTTCCTGTCGAAACCGTATCGCGTGCTCATGAGCCCCGGGACGATGTTCAGTCCAACCAAGACCATCGCGGAGACTACGGGCTGCATGCACTTCCGATTATGCTTTGCCGCGGTGGATGAAGAGGATGTTGCGATTGCAAGTCACAACATTGTCGCGGCATTTAATTCATTCTGGGAAAAGACAAAGATTGATGATCCAGAAGATGTTGAAGCCGGATTCTTTGCAGACTCGCAAGATGATGCCGTTGACGAAAAAATGATCATGCTGACCAATACCCCTGGTGGAATATTGTGCTGAGTTGTTTGAACTGAAGCTTGAGATGCCAGTTTTGACTTTATAATGGGGGTAGAAAGAAGTTGATGACATGTAATTCACGATATGCACTATGGCCGTTGTTGTTTGAGCCGGTGTTTATAAAGCGGTAGGCCAGGAGACAATCAATGAAACTTAACTTATTGTAATGGTACATTGCCCGCCTTTCAACGCTAATATAATTTGAGAAACAATGTTAAAATGCCATATCCATAGGAAGATCAAGTGTGCTTGGACTGTGGCAAGATCGTCCACCTACTGATACACAAGATGCAAGGGCAATTTACACAAGATTTGAAAACTAGAATTTTATTCAGTGTCTACAGGGCTAATGATATGTCAAGGAGATATCTGACAGAGAAGTGAAGAATATCCATTAAATCGATTCACCATGGACCGTCCTTTCCAGAAGGAGACCGGGCACGGCAAGAGGAATGAAAATGATTCATCCAACTGCAAAGATCGATAGATGGACGTGCAAAGCAAGTGCTTTTTGAGCAAGCTAAGATAAGATAGAAAGGATAAAATGTAGAGCGACGTGCATCAGACTCGACAAGAAATTTGGCAAGTCGGATGCCGTCGCTCCCCCAACCAGCTACTCCTTGTAGTCAAATCCCGCTTCCTTAAAAGGCGTTGTGCGGGTGCTGGTGGTTGTGCAAGTGACGCCGACGGCGGGAAGAAGCACCGTCCGTCTCGGTGACCACGGCGGTGGAGGCGGTCGCGGTAACGGTGGCATCAGAAGCGGTCACAGTGACGGTCTCGCTGGCAATGAAGACTTCGTAAGCGGTGTTGCCCTTGGTAATCAAAGTGGTCTGCATCTGGTCGCCCGAAGAAGAGGGGACAGCGGCAGCCGTTACGGAGGTGTCAACTGCCGAGGTAGTCGAGCCAGAAGATGGGGAGGCCTGCGCCATGTATTCAATACCCTGGGCGCTGCTGGTGGCTCCGTAGACAACGCCGCTGCTGCCAGCAGCGTAGCTCTGAGTGGGCACAACCTGGCTGGAGCTGGAGGCGGAGGCGGAGGTGGCGGAAGCACTGCTGCTGCTAGCAGAGGCAGTGGGGGCCATGGTACCGTGGGTGGCGTAAGCAGGGCCAGATTGAATGGGGACTGGAGGAAGTCGTTAGTCAAAGGAACGTGCTCTTTCAACGAGGTTGAGCTTCTTACCGTTTCCGGGAATTCCGTTCTCACCGAAGAAGGGATTCTCGCTAGAGAGCTCCTGAGGCGTGGAGAAAGTGTATTGGGCAGCCTTGGTCTCATCCTGGAGGTTGAAGAGGGGGCAGTCAGACACCTCGCCGGACGGGTTGGTGCACTGTTTGACGGCGCTCTGGAGGAAATCAGGTTCCCAGCCAGCAATGAAGTCTCCGTGATAACCGTAGCCTAGTAGAGGACAGTCAGTATAGGTAAAGGAGTAGCGGTCAGGGCAAAGAGGATTCCAAAGAATACATACCAGTAGGGTCGCCGTTCGAGAGAAGGAACTGGCCGTCAATGCCGGCAAACGCTTCGGTGGACCAAATCGTCTCATAGAAGAGAGAGACGAGACGAGTCTCATAGCCCTGGGGGCAGTCGCCAGTCATAACGAGGTCCGGGTAGGCCATGTGCGACTTGTGGTCGGAGGAGTCGAGGTCCTTTCCATTCCAGCAGGAGGGGAACATGAGCTCCAGACGGAGACCATCCTTGCAGTTTGCATCAAGGTAGCTCTTGTCGGGCAGGAAGTGACGGTAGAGCGAGGGCTCAGGGTCCTTGCTGTAGTCCAGACAGTTGAAACCAAGGGCCTTTTGGGCAAGAGATTTTTGGGTAAGATCCACGCCCTTCCAGTTAGACTTGGGCGGGTCGGGAACGGGGAGGGTGAAGTTGCGCTGGAGGGTATCGCCGGCAAGCATACGGAAGCCAGCAGGGAAAGCCTTTATGTTGTCACCGTAGAGGAGATAGTATCTGGAGGCCCAGGTCAGTTTTATTCTCCATGTAAGAGTTTGAAGCTCCATTAATGGATGCTTCTACCCCGGAACGCTGCAAGCTACTTACGCCAACATGCCGCCGTGCTCTTCGACCATTTCAGTGGAACCGTTTGCGTGCTGGAAGTACAAAGCAGGCGTCCAGTATGCAGACTTGTCTTGAGTGACCTCACAAGAGGTTCCCTCAGACTTCATGAGGTCATCGTAGCTGGTGTCGAATCCAAAGTCTAATCATGGCTTCGTCAGTGCTTGAACTCACAAGTGGCAAGGGGCATTATACAGCTTCCCGTGCACTCAGTTCAAGGAAGAAGCACTCACTGTTACCACCATGAATAACATGGACGTGATCGGCAGGCTTGCCAGGATCGACGAGAGGGTCGAGACGGCCAACACCAGAACGAGCCTGGCAAGGCAGACGCCAGAATGCCTCTGCAGTGGAAAGGAAGAGGGCTGCAGACGAGACAGCGAGCTTCACCGGAGAAATACCCATTGTTCTGATGTCGTGCGTGACAGGAATCAAAAGGTTGGTGAGGTGGAGTGAGTTGATGTAAAAGGCAAGATCGGGTCTATGCGAGAGATATTTTTTAAACAAAGGAGTGTGGCGGGCAACAATGCTCTTCCAGAAGAGTTGTCAAATCGCCGAATAGCTACCTAGGTAACCAGCGCACTTCCTCTGTGACAGGTTTTTGCACCGTCCGCTTCGCGAAGGAGATCGGCAAGCAACTTAATTTCACAGCGGAAAAGGGGTTGGTAGTTGTCAATGCGGAGATTGCAGTATTCAACCAATTGCCAAACAACGTGTGAGCGTGTAGAAATGTTATTGATGTGCTAAATGAGCGAACACAAAGCACCAGGCTTTCAGAGCAGCACAATGGTCGAAAGGAGCGACAGAGTACACACGCGCACGCAACGATGGAAAAGCAGAGCACGATGGCAAGAACACGAGAAAAAAAGAAAGAGAGGAACAGGGTGGATTAACTACGACAATTGTATCATGGAGGCACCATCGTGAGCGGGAGCAAAGGGGGAGGGGGTGGTGGATTCGGCCCCATTGTCCCACGGTCGCTGTCATATTCGTTTATGTCGTGGAGCTTCTCCACCTCTAGCGGCGGGCCCCTCCCTGCCGTCCATCCATACCTTGGCATGTCCTGGGCAGACGTCTCTAGCGCGCGTGGCATCGTGGCGACCCTATGGCTGGTGCGATAGAGGGATTGGCAGAAGTCGGTGTGGTGAAACGGTGGATCAATTCCAAGCTTTTCTTAGCCAGAGTCGGCCCCTGAAAGAAAACTGGACCTCAAATTGGAGGAGAGAATCAGCGTACCAGTAAAAAGGAGTCTCAAGGGGTATCCCCCCTGAAAGGGGTTGCATGACCAAATCAAAGACTTCAACGAAGAGAAATAAAAGACCCGGAGACGATCTGATCCTTTGTCGTCTTTGCCGCCAAGGGGTTGTGGACAATCCAGCGGACCAAGCGACCAATTAGCGGGATTAGGTACCTGGTGGTCCCTGACGATCTCAGGCGAAAAGAAATGCATTTGCCGGGGACTGAAACGTCGCAGCGTATCCATTCGACAGCCAATAATGACCAGGTCATTTGTCCCCCTGTCTTCTCTAATGCCGGGCGTTGTTCCGTCCAGCCAATCGTCGATCTTGACAGGTCAGGCGCAGTATCAGCAGCATCACTCGGCCATGTGCATTTTCTTCACCAAGTGACATTCACCTCCATTGCAGTTTGCTTTCGCGTCTGTCACCTCAAGAGAAATCTTCGCCGAACGAATGCCGTGATTCCATATAATATAACACACTAGTCAGGGAAGCGAGACAAACCATGGCCCGTCTCCGGTAAATCATGGAAATATTCACGAGAATTTCTATGCTACCAAGCAACACAACCAACATCTTGATCAGAATTTTTCACTGTCAATAGTTCGGTCAAAGTGGAGAGAATAGGCCCTCCTCTGCCGTTCTGCGGTCCCGAGAAAGCGGGATTGCGATTCGCCCTACCTGATGCCAAGCCATCGACACGCGCATAGAGGATCCAGCCGGACGGGTGATTTTCACCAGTAACCGTAGGGCCAGCGGTGCGGGTTCTGACATGAGATATAGTGGCGGTAAGAGACGACAAGTCGTCATGATGGCAGCCAAAACCTAATCTAGGCCTACCAGATCATCATAAGTAAATTGAACTGTAAGGCTGGTAGCAATCACAAGTAGTTTTCCCACACTCGCATAATGTGTGGCCGTCAACCCTTCTGTCTCAGTCCCAGTCCCTATGTAAGACGTATTTACCTATGAGCACAACTCGGCCTGTTTTCTTACCTGTGAACTCGTAGTAACTGGGAATCAGATTTGCTAGATCGGGTTCATGAGCCGTTTCCTCTGAAGCTCGGTACAACTTCGGTCTGATTGCTATAGTGCGTGTGGAAGGGCTATCGTCAAGGCGATTTGACAGAGTCATGGGACAGGGCCTTTTGGATGGCAAATGACTCGAATGGTGACAATGCCCATGGCACTGGAAAATGCACGTATTAGCTCGAGGCGACAAAAATTCGGAACGAATTTTCTTCGCTTCCTCCTTTTCCCCTCTTCCTTCATTTCATAGGCCAAAGCAAGAGCAGCATGCAGCCCAGTGCGCTGGCGGCACGAGATTTAATACGTAGTGCTTGACTAATGTGGTTATGAGGATAAGGCAGGATCTTTTGGTCGATTGACATCCAAAGAAAAATCGACTAGGTGTGGTTCAACCACGGTCCCAAAAGGATGAGTGGATTTGGGCTTTAGGAGCCGTTGCTGGTGGCGGCAGCCATCCGCCAAAGCGCCAACGGGTCCCTCGGAAGATCTTCGGGGCCTTCCGCGAATTTTTCCGGTGATGAGATTTTCCATCATCCCACTACGACGACGACGACGACGACGACGACGACGACGATGAGGACAACAGCTAACGTCAACTATCTCCGACTAACGAATTGATCCTGCCATAGACCTTCCTTCTCTATGATCCTCCTTTCCTTATTTGGCCGGCAATTCGACTATGAGCGAGGAACTTACAAATGAGATCGAAGCCATTAATTCCATCTATGGCGATAGCACCCTAGAGCCATCGGAGGGTGAACCCGATGTCTACATTCTGCATCTACCAACTCACACCGTCTCTGTCCGACTCCATTTCCCATCCGACTACCCGAATGTGCCGCCGCAGGTACTCGGTACTCAAGACTCCGGCACTGGGACCCGGAGGGGTGAGGCTACACATGTAAAACAGCTTGTGCAAGATACATTAGGCACGACCTTCCGGCCGGGAGAAGTATGTCTATTTGACTTGCTAGAGGAGCTGCGTGCCTTTGTCGACAGTGCAGTAGAGGGACAGTCTGAGCATGACGTTGGAGAGGAAGAGGACATCACCGAAAGTACCGCAGACGCGTTCCCCGGCGCTGATGAGGATGGCGAAGATATCGCGACCACTGCGACGTACTTGAACGGTAAAGAGCCGCCCTGGATTCTCTCTGAAGTGTTTACGGAAAAGAAATCCGTCTTCCTTGCTCGATGCGCGCCTGTGGAGACTCCGGCTCAAGCTCGACAATACATACAACATTTGCTCGCAACCGACAAAAAAGTTGCAAAAGCAACGCATAATATTAGTGCCTGGAGGATCAAAACGACAAGTGACATTATTTACCAAGATTTTGATGATGATGGAGAGACGGCTGCGGGCGGACGTGTTCTACATTTGATGCAGCTCATGGATCTTTGGAATGTCATGGTCGTAGTGACGAGATGGTATGGAGGCATCCATCTTGGTCCCGATCGGTAAGTGCAAGGATTATCAGGTATCCCACCAATTCGGTGACTGACGAAAACAGATTTCGTCTCATCAATTCTGCCGCCCGCGATGCTTTTGTTCGTGGTGATTATGTAAAAGACCAGACCTCAAGCGGTAAGAAGAAGGCGAGGAAATGAAAGAATAGAATCGTTTTCGCGAAATCCTTTTGATTTACATATATTTGATAATTCCTCACCCAACATTGGCTTGGGACCACATCTATTATGGTCTCGGCAAGCCTGGATTTGACCAAGCATCTCACGGCCAACGATCGACTCCCTGGGCACCATTCCAGGCTGTTTCGATGGGCATAAATCTGACCAGTGCTTCAAACGCTCAGTTCCCCAACTCTTGTGCGACGCGACGCAACTTGGCAACACAAATGAAGAACAGAATTGGTCTATTACAGCCACTCCTCAGTCAGAATCCAAGTGATAGCCCAGGCCAAGGATTGTTTACTGGACCAAGGGCATCCAGCGGCGGCATGACAGTTGCCTTCTCGTTTTGGCAGGACCGTACTATGTTAGCTATAGAGTGGACGGAGCACGCTCCGGAAACAGAGGAACAATTCCGGAATGCTCACGTGCCCAAGCATGCATCGTACCATCCTTTCGTGGTGGCTGCCATTGTCATTGATTTGGAATCCCTAGCGAAGACTGGATTTCATCATTTTTTGAGTATTTGCAGTCATAGAGCAATTGGTAGGGCAACCTGAACAGAAAACGTCACCATCATCTCACTCGGCCCTTCCCTTTCCTGCGAAGGTGGAGACTCTTCGAGAACATTTTGTTTCCTTTACTCGTAAACACTTCTCTATGAAGGCTGTACTGAAGGCTGCCTTGTGGGCCTCATTCCGTAAGGCTCGGTAATGCTACTTTAGATCGAGCGGATTCAAGTCTAGGTTCAGCGACGCGCGGCACCTGCTCGGAGAAAAAGAAGAATTTTTTCCTCAAAGAATTTTTCTGACAGGACAGCATTTGACAGGAGAGGCGGCAAAATATTTTAAAAAGAGGGTGTGCTCTCTTCTTTTGCAGGGGGGAGGGGGCCAAAGCAACTGACAAGTTTATCATCCCGTCCAGATCCAGATACCTTAACCTTCACAGAGACAAGATGGCAAAAACGAGTAGCACCCTAACAATGACGAAGGTGTCGGGCGGTGCCAGATTTTATGCTGGTGGCCATTCTGGGAAGAGTTTAGGAACTTTGGAATTCCACGGTTCACTCTTTTCGGGCCTTTGAGATGTTTGTGGGGCGACGTTGAATCACAAAGCAAGGCGGTTAGTCTGTCTCGGCACCACTGAAGAAGCTGCCTCTTCTGCTCGCTCATTGGCTGGAACAAAGAACCCTCTTGTTCCTACCCAGACGCGCTGCCAAAGATCTCTTAAATATTTTTCTTTTGGTCGAACGGAGACTGCAACATTACTGAGGATACTGTAACTCTGTAATGGCGTAGCCCTTTTCATTCGTGGACGCTGATTCAGTACTCTGTCTCTTCCTCCCTGCTTCCTTGTCTGCCCCTGCCTTGAGCACCGCTATACTACTACGACTACTAGACGGGGCCCCTCCGCGATCCACTGATGTCCCTTTCTGAACAAGTCACATCGTGGTACGCTTCTTCTTGGTCTCCACTGACCACGTATGACTCCTGGAGTAGCGTGTTGATCAGGAGTAGACATTTCATGCATGCTGCGACTCTCTGCCAGGTCATTACGTGCAGAAAGGGCACACGTATCGTATGGGATAAATCACTTTTGGGTATTCACTTTTCCACTAAACCACGTTAAACGTCCTTTCTTTGGTGCCGCCCCTTCCTTTCCTCGGCGGAACTAAAACCACCCTTGGCGCGATGAAACATCGGCCCGGTGCCAAAGCTGCGAAAGGAACGTTCCCCCAAGTCTTCCAAGAGGCTGACCAGCGTCTTCTGTCGAAACCCTCCGGTAGCTCAGGGCCACTAACTACTTTAATCGCCCTTTGTCACGACCTGGCGCGTGGGTTTTGCCTCGTTGGCCGCGCGCTTCATCCGTCGTGCCGGCTCTTACCGCCTCGAGGGGGAAAAACGACACACAAGTTGTAGAGTAGTCTAAACCAATCTCCCCTCCTAAAAAAGCGACGAGTCCGATTCTGACGAGCCACTATGGATGAGTCTGTTTCATTGTCCTCGGACCTCCAGATGATGGTGTGCAATCACGCTCCCCTTTTTTTTTTCTTCCCCCTCCTCTAGATTTTCGTGATGGTGTCGGACAGATATCTGTTTGTCCCCCACCTCCACTCCGAGGTGGATCCGTCCGGGCCATGATATAAACCCGTCTCCATCCGCTGTTGGTTCCCTTTCCCGTTGTCAGATCAGTCTTTTGATCCTAAGATCTTATTTCGATTCACTCTCTTTGGCTGAGGCAAGATCCTCGCCGTTCTGTTCCTTACTATCTCTTTGAACACAGTTGACCTGTGACGCACGGTCCTCCAATCTCTTTCACAAGGTAAGCCCAAATAGCTATTGTCAATATATTCACACTTCTTTGAGATCTATTTGCCATGTCCATTGTCTATCCCCTTTTGTTTGGTTGTACAGAATACTCAATCAATGAACTATATTCCATTGATTGGATGATTCTATTTATTCCCGCTTTCCTCGATATATGATGGCATGGCCACTCTCCCTTGCTCCACCCTTTCCACCGGACCATCTCCCTTCTTCTAAACTACACATCTGTCTATTTTCTATTTTTCTGGACTTTTCTCGAATCTGTCCATCTCTTCGACCATTTATAGAAGCGTAGATCGCTGACATCTCTTCAAGCCTCTCCTTATACCAGCTTCCTCTGGACAGCTACACTCCCTTGCACACGTGCACACGTCGTCTGGAACGACGTCCTTTGAATTCAATAGAATTACAACGCTTCGACTAGCGATCTTCACTTCATCATCATGCATTTCTCTGCTGCTACCGTTGCGGCCGCCGTTTTCGGCTTCTCCGCCTATGCCAACGCGCACATCATCATGACTAGCCCTGTACCGTACGGCAAGTCCACTCTCAACAACAGCCCTCTGTCGCCCGACGGCAGTGACTTCCCTTGCAAGCTCAGACAGGGTGCCTTTGACACCGAGGGCGCCGACAACGAGATGCGCCTCGGTGATCCTCAGAAGCTTGAATTTGAGGGTATGGCTGTCCATGGCGGTGGCTCCTGCCAGGTCTCCATCGCCTACACCCGTAATCCTGACAAGGACACTAAGTTCAAGGTCATCAAGTCCTTTGAAGGTGGCTGCCCCGCCCGCAACGTCGACGGAAACATCCAGGGCAACACCCCCACTACTCCTCTTCCCGACAAGTACAACTTCACCATCCCCGCCGACCTCCAGACCGGTGAGGCTACCATCGCCTGGACCTGGTTCAACAAGGTCGGTAACCGGGAGATGTACATGAACTGCGCTCCTGTCACCCTGACTGGTGGCAACAGCAAGCGCGACGAACCCGTCAAGCGTGATGCCTTGGACTCTCTGCCCGATCTGTTCGTTGCCAACGTTGGCAATGGCTGCAACACTGCCGATTCCACCGACCTCGTGTTCCCCAACCCAGGAAATGATGTCGAGAAGAAGCCCAATGACCAGAGCTTTGCGCCTCCGCAGGGTAACTGCCAGAGCGGCTCCGGCTCCTCCGGCAACTCCTCCTCCTCCAGCAGCGAGTCTTCTTCCACCAGCGCCGCTCAGAGCTCTAGCGCATCCGGTGGTGTCTTCGTCACCGCGGCTGCTCCTTCCTCCTCGGCTGCCAGCGTGACCGTCAACCCCGTCAACCCCGTCACTTTCTCAACCGCCACCCGTGCTGCCGCTACCGCTGGTACTGGCGTCCCCACTGTCACCGGTTCGAGCGGTAACGGTAACGGCACCTCTACTGGCAGCTGCTCCAAGGATCAGGCCGGTCAAACCGTCTGTTCTGCTGACGGCAAGCAGATTGGAACCTGCAACGTTGACGGTTCCGTCGTCTTCGGCGACGTTGCTGACGGTACCGTCTGCGAGAAGGGCTACCAGGTCGCCGCGCGCAGCGTCCGCGCCCCTCGTGCCCACGTCCACCGCCGCCACGGCCACAGCCACAACTTCTAAATGGAGAAAAAAGTTGAATCTCTTTTTTTTTCCTTGGATGGGCTAAGCCGTCAAAGGCAAAGTAGATAAGATGCGCTCGTTCGCTGGCTCGAACCTGCTCGGATTCATCAAATCACGGACATACAAAAAAATAAAATGGTTGCTTATGATTTGCTTGTCTTCCCCTGGCTCGTTTTGTGAATATGCAGAGCCAGGTGGGCTGGCGTTGGTGTTTGGTGTCTGGATCTAGCAGATATAACCTTGGACAATTTTCAGCTAGCGAATTTTAGAACTCATTCGTTCAGTCATCATTCTTTGAATCTTCATGCTACCGTGATAGGTTGATGCTGTGAGTCGCCGTAGAGGAGCAGTTAAGAAGACGGATCCTTTGTCAATCCTTGACAAGGTAGACGTCACGGTCAGCCTGGTCTGTTTGTTTTCTGAAATGAAGCAACCACCGAATTAGTATATTAATTGCAAGTTTGAAGAAGAGCCTGGCTCTCCTGATCCAGGCAGATTAAAGATCAGGTCATTTTGGATGGATTTATCTCAGGGCGAGAGTAATTTCTTCAATTCGTAGCGACTTTTTTATTTTCTTATATTTTTACTTGTTCTTCAGATTTTTATTCTCCACCTTTTCTTTTCAGAATTACATTGTGCGCAACTAAGAAAAGAAAAGAGCCATAAGGCCAGTCATGTCATATTTAAACCCGATGATTTCTCATTCATTTTATCTAAGCCAAATAATTTTTGCTGCAAACAAACCTCCAACCTGCGGTGCACCTTCCAATATCAATTAGTTGATTTGGGGCAAGTAGTCCCCAGGGGTTTTGTGGCGCAACTTGTACGGCTGGCTGACATAAGCTATCTGGTTCATTGCCAGACGCTCTATGGATACTTGGTTCGTTTCAGCACCAGCGCGCGTAATCGAAACGTAGACATCACCAACACCCGCACATGCATCCATGAGATCTCTTTTATTGAATTCTCTAAAGACGAACGTAGAGCGTAGTTTTGTCAATATACAAGTGCTACTGAATTATTTCTTTGCACATGCTGCTCACTAATACGGTTCGTGGAAAGATGACCTGAAGTAGGTAGGTACCTACTACGTAGTTTTGGGTATTTCGCTTGAGTGAGGGCTGGGCCCTGGAAACCCACAACGGAAGTTGCCGTAACGAGAATCTCCCATCGCCAAACGGCTCAACGCCAGAACAGTCGCAAAGAAATCCTCAGCGACAACATCGACAGACGACGACAGCCAAAATGACCACCCGCCCTACGGTCACGATCATTGGGGCCGATGGCTCGGCCAGCGATGCCACCCTGCCTCTCCCGGCTGTTTTCAAGTCGCCCATCCGGTCGGACATTGTTCAGTATGGCTCTCCATCGACGGAATTTTCGTCACGATACATGAAGGAATAAAGGAAAGGTTCTGACACGAAGGTCGCAGGTCCGTCCACACCGGTATGGCGAAGAACAAGAGACAGCCGTATGCTGTGAGCGAGAAGGCTGGTCACCAGACCTCCGCCGAGTCCTGGGGTACCGGTTAGTACAGGCTTTTTTTCACAGAAGTTAGGAGCCTGGAAAGGATAGGGTTCTCGAGGAGAAAAAATTTTTCTTCGTCGAGGGAAGACCACTATGGATTTTCACGGCTTGGGTCAGTGATTGGATTGTTACTGACAATTCTCCAAAAATTAGGTCGTGCTGTCGCTCGTATTCCCCGTGTTTCTGGTGGTGGTACCCACCGTGCTGGTCAGGCTGCTTTCGGTAACCAGTGCCGTTCTGGTCGTATGTTCGCGCCCACCAAGGTCTGGAGAAAGTGGCACCAGAAGATCAACCTGAACCAGAAGTATGTTTGTTCCAATTACCCATCAATCGGAATGATGGGAGAAACAGAGTCATGGAGACGGACAAAGAAGACTAACATTTGGATGATAGGCGGTTCGCTACCACTTCTGCTTTGGCTGCTACTTCTGTTCCCGCTCTCCTCCTTGCCCGTGGTCACCACGTCTCCACCGTCCCGGAGGTTCCCCTCGTTGTTTCCTCCACCGCTTTCGCCAACGCTGCCATCAGCAAGACCACCGCTGCTCTTGCTCTGCTGAAGGCCGTCGGTGCTGGCGCCGATGTCAACAAGGTCTACGGCTCTCGCAAGCTCCGCGCTGGTAAGGGTAAGCTCCGTGGCCGGAGATACCGCCAGCGCCGTGGCCCCCTTGTCGTCTACGCCCCCGAGGAGGACGGCAAGGAGCTCGTCAAGGCTTTCCGCAACATCCCCGGTGTTGAGACTTGCTCCGTCTTCGCCCTGAACCTCCTCCAGCTCGCCCCTGGTGGTCACCTTGGCCGTTTCGTCATCTGGACCTCGTCCGCTTTCGGTGCGCTCGACAAGATCTACGGTGACGGCAGCGCCCCCGCCGCTCTCAAGAAGGACTTCCTCCTGCCCTCCAACGTTGTCTCCAACGCCGACATTGGCCGTCTCATCAACTCCTCTGAAGTCCAGGCCGTTGTCCGCCCCGTCAAGGGTGGCGCCCAGACCAAGCGTGCCGTTGTGCAGAAGAAGAACCCTCTCCGCAACAAGCAGGTCCTTCTCCGTCTCAACCCTTACGCCTCTGGCTACGCCAAGGCCCACCTTGGCCAGGAGAAGATCAACACCGAGAAGCCCAAGCGCGCCGGCGAGACCTTCAGCACTGTCCTCCACGAGAACTAGGAAAAAGTACTTGGCTTTTTTTACGGGTTCCGCATTTGGTTGTGACGGGTTGCTTTGTTGGGGTGATCTTGCGCATTTGTTTCTCCAAAATCTTTTTTTCTCCATTTTCTTAACACTATTACATTGATACTAGTCTAACAAATGACCAAATTTCAAAAGGGCTAGCTTATCATTCTTCTTGGGTCTCTTTCTACGGAACATGTAACTTTGTGCGTGTTGTATTATTTGTGATGAAGTAATGAATATTTTGGGACAAACCAGGAATACTTTCCCCTTGACCTTTAAAAAATAAGCGCCCATTGAACCATCTACGATCTTGTTTTACGTTCCCATCCCTTCGATCTATATGTTCTCTTGAGTATATAAAACGATTTCACGTCCCATGGATCAAACAGACAGGCAGGACGGGAACATGTGTTATCGTTTTTCTCACTGTAGACTTTCGAGATTTAACCTTTTTTTCTTGACGCGCTGAACACGACTTACCGAGCCTGCCATGTCATATTCGCAGCTTCGTTACTGATAATGTAAGAGCATTATCATTAAAAAAGTCCTTTTTCCTGCGGAGTGAACATGATACTTTTGATATTGGTTCAAGAGAATTCAGAAATTCAAAATTAAAAACTAAAATAAACAAATAAAAACAAAGAAAAGGTGAACATCACATTTCTAAATGAAGCAAATGCATCATAATATTCAGGAACGTCTATATGTATTTATTTATATATGTATGGATGTATGTAAGTGTGCAATGTGCAATGTGTCTACTTCATGTGCCATGTACGTACCTGACCTGGTATGCCTTGTTCAAAATCAGACATAACAGTGGAGAAAAAATGGGACAACTAAAAGAAAATGAAGAAGAGAAAAAAAAAAGAAAAAAAAAAAAAAAATAGGTGAACGCGAATTATAAGGAAAACAAAAAAAATGAGAAGAAAGAGGAGAAAGCGGAGAGCAAAAAATGTTCCGTTATATGGATATGTGATGAGGAAATATTACATGAGTAAAGTGAACAAGGAGGAAGACGGCGGTGTTGAACCCAAGCATCTCGAATTTTCCTTTGGTATCCAACGCGAATCCATAGTAACGACGATGATGATCGCGAGCCGTTGAGCTCTCGGTAAATTGTGAAAATTGCGAGTAAACAAAAACAAACAATAAAAAAGGTGAATAAAGCAGACTATAGATATACAGGGTAATATACGTAAGAACGCTCATGGATTCTTGACGAAACGAGTCAGACACACAGACACACGAACAGAGAAACTGATATCAAGACTGTATCGAGACCCGAAAAGGCGCGCCGCGCCGTGCTGCCAGTAACATGTCCAAATGAATCCAAAAATATACATATACAGGAAAAGAAATGCAAAACCAGGCAGAAAAAGAAGAAGGAAAAAAAAAAGAAAAAGAAAAACCACAGAAACGCCGATCATAGCGGCCGTGTACCTCGTTAGAAATGAAATAGAAAACATGAATTTACAAAAATGTATAGATATAATGTATATATATGTCGCTGATCAAATGTTGTGGATTATTTCGTTGCTTGAAAGAAGACCCAAACTGTTATAATCCTTTTGCGAGTAGCCCGCCGGGTGAGAAACGCCAATTGAAATAGTAGTTGAAATTTTGTGCGTCATAATGGGGGCGAATATCCCTTGCCAGAGGGACGCCCATGTCGATAATCGTCTGCTTCGTTAACCCGGAGATACATATGCATCAAAGATATATATAATGTCACGCAATAATTTAGATCCACCCGATTTGAGAATCAAGGACTGGGGAGAATGTCGGAATACCACGCCGTGGGAGTGGAATAGACTAGATCGAGGTCCTGCGGACAATTGTCCTTGGACTCTAATGGAAATTGCATCGCGAAGATTACCTGATCTGCTTGGTCGGAGGACTGGTTGAGTACCGCGCGGCTCAGCTCAGCGATCCGACCGAGAATAGCTTTTGCTTGCATTCGAGGACTGGCCCAGAACACCCCAACGTCGCCAACCAGTGCTACTCCCTCGTTCATGCCGTTAAGAATGGTACGCCAATCAACGACTCTTCCGCGGGCACTAAGAATGTCGCATGCTGTCAAGGTGGTGAAGCTGACAAACGGGGGGATGACCGAAGCGTTCCGGCCTGGAAGCATGTGTTTGGTCTGGTTCAGATCGCGTACAATCTGGAGCCACCGTTGGGAGCATTGCCAGGCTTGGAATATGTTTCTGCGAATGCTTTGGGAAGAGAGGCAAGCTCCTCGAGCATATCGGTTTAGTTTCATCACCGTGGCGAAATGCACGGCGTGAATGCCCAAATAAATACCGATACGGCCATCTTGGATACTGCGACCAAGGTTTTCCGATGACTCAATAAAAGGAGAGGGAAGGCTGTTACGCCACTCTGCCAACCGTTGCTCCGCCCGGGCGTAGAAGGATTCATAATTGTTCTTGTAGCTATTGACCGAGCAATGGACTGTCCGATACACATCCCGGGCGACTTCCATATAAATTGAAGCGATCTGGACGAGGAAACCCATAGGGTTAATATTTCGCTCGTTGACAGAACGGCAAAGCTCCGAATTAATTATTTTATTGTCAAAGAACGGCGCAGAGCTTTCAACTCCGTCCTCAAACAAATCATCTCTGCAGGGCAACCGCAAAAACACGTCTTCGTCGTTCAAAATGGCAGGACTGCAAGTATCAAAACTGAGGATGCGCTAAATAATGTGAAGAATGTGAGTTGGCAAATGCTTCGGACAATTTATATTCGCAAGGTAAAAATTGGACTTACGTCGGCTAGATAAACCGCCCAAAAAGTTCGTCGTCGGACTTCTTTGATAGCGGCAGATGTATGGGCATACCCTAGGCTATCATCGACTTTCATCTCCCCCAGAGGAACGTATTCAGAATGAAGCCCAAGCGCACTTGCAGTTCTCAGGGATGAACCCGCATACTCCCACGCCTCAGCCTTTTGACCTTCAGCGAAACAGTATAGGGCCATTAACAGACGAGACTGGCAGAGTTGGACGCTAGGCTTGTTCCAGTGACGCTCCAAAGCACAGCGCGATAACCCGGCAAATGTTTCCGCATAACTTTTATGCTCTTGTCGCGGAGAGAGATGGGCAGCGACGGCCATGATGGTATAGAGAAGCATAAGATCTCTATCTGATTTATCTTTTGCTGTCTTTGCCCAAAGAAGAAATGGCGTGGAGGGGAAGAGAGACAAACACTGGTGGTTGATATGGAGAAAGTAGACCTCCATCAACTGACCTGTCAACTCCGGATCAGACTGGTAAGGGTCAACGTGTAATTGGAAGACAGAGTGAGTCCGGGTGAGAGCAAGGTCTCGCGGCGGTGATTTCGTTGCGTAGACAAAATGCCCCTCGGACGACCCTTTTCGCTGAGGCAACATTTTATCGGAGCCCAAGCCTTTCAGCATCCCCCACGACAGCTCCGGTGAGAGTTGACCTTCCATCTTCTTCTTCTTTTCGGCGAGAAAGTTCCTCTCCTGGTCGATTCCCAGAGTGCCGCTGCCAACATGAACATCCAATGCGGCAGGCGAGGGATCTCTGCGTCTCTTCAAGGAAGGAGATTGCTGCTGAGGGTTTAGGCCAGTGTAGGGTTCAAAGGCTCTGGGCGGTGTCTCTGGTGAGCTTCCGACGTCAATTTTCGGTTCAGCTGAGTGAGCCTCTGGACTTGTTTGAAAACCTCGGGGCCTGGAACATTTCCGAGTTAGCCGTGATGCTTCTCGAAACGACAGACCTTGAATGATGAATATGACATGTTCCATAAACGGAGAGTTTGCCTCAACATTCTGCCTAGTTTGTGACAAAAGGCCCGGATGCCCGTACGGTTGCATATTCCGAGAAAAGACAAAAATATACTTACGCATTCTGGAAACGACACTCTCGCCCGAATTTCTCGCACTGAACACATTTGGGGAAATCAGGCTCGCACTTTATTTTCTTCTCCCGACAAGTCAGGCATGCGACCGCTAGTCGCTTTCGAGGCTTGCCCGCTTTTGTTACTCCCCACTGAGCATTAACCACCTCGCCGTCAATGACCGTTTTACAATGCGTTCCATCATCGTAAAAATAACACGGACCTTCTCCGGGTACATCATGCTCTGCTATAAATCGCGGCAAGAACTGAGCACCGGTCCAGATTCCCCGCGGCCGTGATCCGCTGGTTGAAGTTCGGCGTCTCGCCTCTTGTGAAGGCATGGTGGTGCTCTCAGTGCTGAACCGCCTGTGTGAGCCCAAGAAAGGAGCAAAAGATTGGGAAGAAAAAGACGTTGACAGAGGCGCAGGTATGGGCATTTGCGGTTCTGGGAGTCGTAGCACAGCAGCCGGCCCATGGATCGCTCCTTCTGATGCGACGGGGGCAGAGGGTCTCCGGTCTCTTGCTGAGGTGACGTAGGACGCAGGGGGGCCATCAAACGCACGCGACGCTGGAGGCGGGCCTCGAATACCCAACGATTGAGATTCCCTGCCGAACGACGTGTGCAGAGGGCTTGGCGGGCCGCCCGACGGGGCCGCCGAGCTATGAGGCTGGGAGGTGGGGTTGAAGGCGTCCGGTGTGAGTATCTGGCTGACAGATGGCAGGGGAGGGTGCCAAGCCTGATTGTACTGGCCCTGCAATGGGGGAGAGCGCTGCTCATAATGGTCTGAAGCAGCCGATCCACTATCTCGGCGGCTGGCATTTGCATCAGCGTCCCTAAATGTGGGATCAATGGGACGAGGCAAATGCATGTTGTGGTGAGGCAAAACTCGGTCACCACTGGGAAAGCCTGGTCGCGAGAGCGGCACAGACTGCCAGTCGGGCTTGGGCAACGAGGGATCTGAATAGAGGCGCACACTGGATTTGCCGCCAGCGAACCCGCCACCAGCCGCAGAGAGCATCCTTGCAGCGAAGCGGCCGGGACGGAAGTCGTCCGCTGGGGCGGGATGGGGAAATATGTCAAGGACCGCCACGGTTTCCGGTGGCCCTGATGCTCTTGAAGCGAAATAAGACTGTTCCACCCCACGAATATCCCGCGGCGCGGCCAAAACGGTCCTCAATTTAAATTCTTTATAAGGCAGAAATCCGGCGTTGACGACGCGAGATTGAATTTCCTCAGCTGAGGGTGGGGGAGATCAATCTGCCTTGATACAATTATAAGTATTTTATAGTATTGGAGAGAGATGCATACTCACTACGAGACAATGTTGTTGTATATCCTTGTTCAAGATCTCCAGCCTTGCCAGAAGTGCTAGAGGATGGATTGCAAATTGGCAAAGAATTTGGATCTCTTCACAAACATTAATACAGTCAGAGTGGCGCACCCAAATTACTGTAGATGTCAGAGACGAGCAATAAGAGAGGTGGTGCTCAAAGTCATCCAATTGAGATGGTCCAAGCAACGTATAAGAAAGCAAATCAGCACCAAGATCCTGTCATCGACGAGACAAATCCATGAAGAATATCAAGGAGCAGAAGGCGCTTGATGATGAGTAGCAAATGAGGAGAGAGAGAAAGAGAGTGGAAGAAGAGAGTGCGAGAGGGATAGAGAAATGGACATGACAAGAGAGGGTGCACGTCCCTATCAAGTACCGGCGGCAAGGTCGCTGGGACGGGGGTGCTCTCATCCGCACTGCCGGCAAGTGGTGAATTGGAGGGTTGGCGGGGATGTGGGAAGGGGTAACAATCATCGGAGCCAACAGCAGTCATCGTACAGGGACAATTGTTATTATTGTATGGCATCGTTCGTCAACGATCCGCATTTGGATAACTGGGGGTGGGAAGTAGACAGAAGACGACGAGGAGGAGGAGGATTAGTGAGGGTGTAGTGGGGGTGGACCAGGGTCGAGAGAGACGGGGCCACGTTGGGTCCCGAACAGGGCTTCCCTCCTCCATCTCGTTCACGCTTGTAGAGGGAGATGGAGTGTGTGTGTGTGTGTGTGTGTGTGTGTGGGTGTGGTTGTGTGTCCCTTCACCTTCGCACCGCACAGTTAGCACCGTTAATACCCGAATAGAGACCAAGGCAGCTTCACATGGGGTCAGACCAAGTGTGGGTGGGTGTGTAGAAACGAGCAACTAGAGTAGAAGAGCGTGTGTGGGTGGAGAACAGACGTCGACAATAATCAAGGGGACTAGTGGGACTTGTGGTGGAAAGAGAGAGAGAGAGAGAGCAGAGCATGTGTGATGATGGGCTGTCGAAAGGGTTAGAGAGAGAGAAGAAAGAGCAGTAAAAAGAGAGTAGATGTGGATCAAACAGCAGCGCACAAAAGCTCGTTGGATTACCTCGTCTTCGGTGGCGTAGTATGACCGGGTTCAAGGAAGACAAGGTGACAGCAAGAGGAGGAGATTCCAGGGACTTTTCTCCCATTGGATAGCGAATTCAAGAAGCTACAGTTATGTCCCCAGTTCATCGCTCCCATTGAGACGCCCATTGGGAGGGTTCGGTCTTCAGTTCCAAAAGTCGCTTCGACCAAACCAACTAGGAAACGGGCAATGGGTTAGTGGGAGGGTTAGCAACCTGGTCATGGCGAGCAGCAGCAGTTACTCCCCTCGTCCGTAGTTATCCTCATCATCCTCTCTTCCTTGGTCGACGTCTTGGGTAAAGACTTGAACCGGGCGGAGGTCTCCCAAGGGGGCCCGAGCCTTAAGATCCAAACTAACGTAGTCGAGAGCGAACTACTTTTACCCTGGCTGGCGTGGCGAACAGGGGCAAGTTTCCCACCATGGGGCATAAGTAGCAATGATCGCTGGAAATCTCTCCAGAAGAGCACAAGAGACGAAGGAAAAGTAATCCCATGCTTCCCCGGCCAATGGGTCTAGTCCTGTCAGATCGACACAATTTTTCTCACGAGGGGTTCCCCGTCACCAGTCATATCCAAGCGCAGACTTGAGACGAAGCCGTCCCGAACTCGGGCGTAAAACGTTGCAGACGGGCTCAAGGATGGTCGGCTTTTGGATCGACCATCGTTGACGCCTTGAGTTTCCCAAAAACCTCCCTGACTACCACGCGCGTGGAATAACGGAATGGGGAGACTAAGTGGAGAAGGTTCCTCTTATTTGCGGCAAAGAGACAGGCACGCACGTACAAGTAAATACCTAGTTTGATGGGGTGGTAGAAGGTGCCCAGTACCCACCCAGATACTTGACGCGCAGTCATTTCGTTCGGCTGTCGTTTCGTACCCGGTACCCGTTCCGTGTCTGATATGTGAACGGCCCCTCCTGGACCAGCTACTGGAAGGTCTTGAGCCTTCTTGCCAAGGCCAAGATGCCTGTTCCCCCGGCGCATTTGTCGACAAAAGTCCACGGATGTTGTGGTAAAGCCCCAATCTTGATGATGCCAAGTGACCTTTTTACTTCAGATCGAGGCTAAGGGATCAAGTCGTTTGCCTCGAGCGTCCATGAGCTCATCCTCCTTCTAGTCTCAATACCCAATGAAATCCACCAAACCTGTAGCGTTATCGGCATGCAAACCTATCATCATGGGAATGGCCGACCGTCCCACGGTTGCGGCACATTAGAAAAGACACAGAAGGAAGCGCCTTCTCTAGCGTAGTATTAGACTTGCACTGGAATGGCTGAGCCATGCGCAAGAGTGCCAAAAGAAAGCCCTCTCTGTGTCGGGGAACCGTGGAAACGTCACCTCATCTCAATCTATAGGGGTACGTAACCCCAGCTTACGGTGAGAGATAATGATACGCAAAATTAGAGCAAAGATCTTCGCTCATCTTGCTGCTTTGACGAGGGGCGAGCAAAAGGCGAGCCCCGGCCACGCACGGATCTCTCGTTTTTGGGGACTTTGTAAAGAGCTTTCTGGTGAGCGTTGGGGCCAAGGCCTCTAATCGTTTTTAGCAGCGTCTATCGCTAACAAGCGCCGGTGCTATAATAACCGTGGATCGAGCAACGACGAGCCTGACTACGTAGTAAGATCTCATAAACACGGGAATTATTATAAGACTTGGCCACGGATACACATACAATCTGTATCGTCCAATCCTGGTTGGAACCTCCTGCCTCCATACTCAAAAGCATCCATTCAATTCATCATGTTTTAGCCATATGAGATAAATTTTTTCGCGAGTTTGGAATAGATTATCTTGTATCTGACTGAACAGTAATCCTGTAAATGCCAAGTCATGGGCGAACGGCCCCCAAGCCCCTTGGCGTTGGAGGAACCCCGAAATGCGGGGTTAATCTTGAGCCCCATCCAAGACGCTTCAATCATCGAATCGAGCAGGCCCAAAAGAACACGTCTGGCAACAGAGACGGGAAGACCGTTTCCATGTTGCGCAACCTCGCATCCCGCTTTTGCACCAAAATCTGTCCCGTAGATTGGGAGCAGCTAAGTCGTGTGGCGTAAAGCGTGACTTGCGCAGCAGATGGAGGCCTTTTTTGGGTTTACATTACCCGAAGTTTGCCCGATCTGTATAGAAGTAGGACCGGGATTTGGGAACTCTCCCGTCTTGATATTTCGGAACTTGACCATCTTCTCGATGCCGCATAGAAAAAAAAAAAAAAAAAAAAAACCCGATGTCGCTATGCAGGCGCTCGGATTTTCGCAGAGTTCCTGTTGCCAAGCGTCAAGGTACGAATGTGCTCCACTCTCATCTGGAGAACCTCACGGAGGTTACCGTAACACACACTTGGCCATGTTTCCACACGCTCAAATGGCAGTGATATGTCACGCTGGAAACTGCGTTGGCTTCAAGATCATTTCAAAGCCGAGATGGTAGGGTCAAATGCAGAGAGGCGGGAGTCATTATCCCTCTCTTCGGGAGTTAGAAAAAAGCCACTCGAGACCACGGTGATGGGGGACGGCATGCCGAATGATCTTGATAATTTTGCCCACGAATGACAGGAGGTCAATTCAGCCAAAGTAACAATGGTCACCTTTTGAACAAATTCCCCTGCTTGTTTCCGGTCTATGAAATTTTCCGGAGTTTAGCCAGGTGGGCGATAGATACGATACGTAAGCGAAGAGGGAGAGGGGTGAAACGAGCAAAGGATTCAATTATTGGCGGGAGCTAGCAATCAGCACCCAAAGAAGATTAGCGCGACCCAATTATCGTCCCCGCGGCCTAAATCGGAACGTGCATCCGCCACCGTGACTCCAGTCAACTAAACAGTTTTTGCGAGGGGGGTAAACCGATAGGAAGAGTGGCAAGTCGACATCGGTACCTGTAAGTTAGGTGCAGTCCCTAACAAACAGAAGTACAGAGAACTCAGTATACTCTGGCACACTGACAAAATAATGGGGCCCAGTGCGAACAACTCAGTAGCCGAACAAGGGTCATCCCCGTGGGCAGGGAGACATCGGTCGGGGTGCATTCGTTCCACCATCCCATATGACAGCATTTTAGCCTCTCAGCCTCTCGGAGTTTTGCTCTCGAAGCGAAATGATTGATCGATTGCCCCGACATGGCGCTGCGTAACAAGTTTTTCTCTCTGGACCAATGCCGAATTTCGATAGTGCTATGAAACTACGGCATGAGGCTTGCCGATACATTTCCAATTCGCCCGTCACTCTCCCGAGATGAGTCCAAACGTCCAGCGCACATGGCACGCGGCTCTCATGGAACTGCCGCGAGATACTCCGTACATGGTTGCAGAATGGAATCGACTCATGCTCTTTGCCTGTACTACCTTAAGAAGAGCGTAATGCACGTGCAGTACGGTATTGTAGAGAATTAATTGCATCAATTCTTACCCCCACGCGTCGGGGGCTCCTGCTCATTAGCCACATGGGCATTGTACTCTCTCATCACCCCCACGCCGCGTGATGCGTGTCCCTGGCACAGCCGGTAGGTACACCATGCATTGTCCGGCAACGCACCTCGACTGCCGATTCATAAGCATTCGATTTGTCACAGTGGGTCGTATTGTGTTACGATTGGGGTTGGAAGTATTAGCATGACGGCCCCCAAATATGCTCCGCTATTCACATTCAACAAAGGAGAATTTTACGAGCCATCAATCTGCTTGCTTAGCGCTCCTGACTTGGGTATCCCCACAGAAGCGAGTCATGCGTTCTTGGCAGGTAAATGTTGACGCATGCCATTATTTCGCTAGACCCCTGAAGATTCCAATGGTCTGGATGATACATTTTTTTTTTTGGCGAGCGAACAGGGGCGGTGAAGCTTGGCTCACTGGCTCGAGCTTGACATGAGTCTCGCTGTCGCAAGCTGTAGAATCTTGGACGTGTGCCGGATCCCAGTGACGAATGTCATAGGCGACGATCTCTTTTTCCGGCGATAACCGGTTCTGATAGCGACAGACACATTTTGACAGCCGCAGGTACGGTATCTTGGCAGTTTTGAGAGAATGAGAGCAATGGACTCCCGGGTTGAAAAGTGTGTGATTGACAAGTGTTTGTGACCCTGCAGCATGCGCAAAGCTTGAGAAATTTCCCCTTCTGGATTGTCAAGACTAGCGTAATGAATGGCGTCAAAAACCGTCTTGGTCAAGAGCCCTGGTGAAACGGGGAGCTCAAAGTTATCTAGAACGCAGAGGGTGGGCTCAACTTGCAGTTCTCCCCCGAACTGCTTTTCTTGGTACCACTGTACGGGAGCAGGCAGGCACCGGGCAATCATCGACCGATGCCGCATCCGAACGTTGTCAGGCAATGATCCGGCTGGCCCTCAGCCCTGGCCCATCACTATGGTCGAAAGGAACTGGGGACGTACTCTCCAAGAAGTCCGGTTCCATCATTGCACCCAATCAAGGATTTGAATGGCTTCCTTCTCTTATCGCCTGGACCTGCCAGTATACCCAGCCATAGTCGAAGATTGGCCCACGTGGGTTGTTGCTGGACGCATCAGCAAGAGAATCAGGTTGTACCTACTCGTAGTATGGATGGATCTCTGCAGTAGTCTACAGCCATGTTTGTGCGTCGTAGACTAAAAATTATGAGGCACATGAGTGTTTCCCATTTTTGGAATGTTTGCTGATAGCTTCTCACCATCATCGCTTCAGGGAGAAAGCGGCGATTGCTATGGCAAGTTTTTGTTCTGTCGGTCCGTCATTAATGTACATCGATATGTAGCTTTCTGTCGATCATCCCATCTGTCATCACTTGAGGTACATATGGCTGACCATCTACCTTAGGTACCTACCTACCTACCTACCTACCTACCTACCTACCTAGGTAGCTTCTTCGGTCCTATTCTTTTGAGTTGAAAGCGAGGTAAGCGTGTCTGCGGCGATGCGGCGATGCGACGGTGCTGCTGCACTCGCACTTGCATAACCGAAAAGCCTCATCGGACGTTTTCAGGATTTTGGAGGTTACAGATTAAGGGAATCACTGTATTTGCCAAAGTTTATTCAATCCATGTTACTTAAACTGCAGAGTACTTATTGCCACCAGCCACACAAGATTTTTACTGCCCGGACAAGTGTCCATCACCCTGTACAGTTAGTTATACAGGCGAGCTATCCCGAATGAATAACCTCACCAATCTCAACTGTTCATGTTCAACGACATTATGCAGCCTAGCCTTTTCAAGGCTAACTAGGAACGATAACGATAATGCCCAGTTGACAGAAAAAACGGTTCATATTTTCTAATTCTCATTTCTTCTGCCTCCAATCAGAAAAAGTTTCTATGGCATCAGCCATTCCTTCCCCATGTTTGGCGTCGGCCCTTCCCGTAGAGGAATGTCGTCATCTACGCCACACCCCATGCACTTCCCACCTACACACCCTCTTCCTTCGTCAAAAAATCCTTCTTTGGCTATTATTACCACGGTAGGAGTTTTTTCAACCGTAGCAGAGAGTCGAACTATCATTTGTTGACGAACTAGACGGTGCTTATATGATTCTTCATGTCCTCTCAAACCTTATCTACAATCATTTCTCGGAGTCGAGGTTCTGGGGTTGGTACGCATTACGTGTCCGCTCACAACCCGCAAGCATTCAAACCTGGAGAACAGGCGTCTTTGCTCAAGACGGAGAAAGCGCACCTGAACCCTTACAACTAACCATCTTCTACATAACTTTCCGAACGTTTCACCGAGACCATGACTTTTTGGGCAATGAATCACCCCGAGGAGATTGTTATCCAGCATTTGTCTGAGCCATAACCTCGGCGTCTTTTATGCTACCTTCTGTGATGCTACCTTTTCATCTTTGATGCGACCATCTTTATCAAAGCAAAACAAAAAAAAAAAAAAATTCAAATGATAGATTTGCAATGTTGCCCCAGCAGGTAAGAGACTCAACAAGTTAAACTTCAATGACGTCTTCAGCAGCTGTTAGTGTCGGATTTTGAGATGTAGCTTAATATCTCTTCGCCACGTGTTGTGTTCTATCCACCGCAAATTTTGATGAACATAGGATGTTTATCTTACCTTTTCCACTAATAGTTGCAGAGTTTCCATTCACTAGGGTCGGTCCTTCTTCTTCGACCAGCGATATTCTACGAATCAACAGATCCTTTGGTCTGGTTGTATTGCTCCTGGTGTGTCATCTACATGGAAATCTACTTTTTTCTCCGACCGCGGCTTCATTCAACAAGCCCAATCCTGCGCCCGGGAGCACCCTATCTCAAAAAGGCGATACTGAACAAGAAGCTATGTTTCATCTATCTGTTCTACAAGCCAATTGATGCGGTCCCGCAATTATTCAACAAATTAGGATCCAAGGTTCGACATGATATCCAGAAATGTGATTCGCTAGTCGGATCATGCCAAATCGACTTTTAAGTAGTAAATTGGCATCTCATTGGCCAATCTATCTCAATTCGTCAGCTCGTTAAATGACTGCCAAGATGAAAGTCACATACCTGCTGAATATCACGATTAGCTTATTTTGCAGCTTCTAATGCCATCATTCGTAGCGCGACGAATGCGTCGTCAGCTAGATAGCTCTGTCTGCGGAACAGAAGGCGAAATTCTTGGAAGCAGATGTGCTCCTGATATCCGTATCTGCTCCGATACGTACGGTTTACACCAAGACTTGGCCTGACGGGTCTTTTGTTGCCCGAAATGGCAGCACCTAGGTCCAATTTTTAGCACCAAAAGTTTATGATACATCCCTGCATTTCTACACAGGAAAGAGCTGTTCAAACAAGTGTTCTGGAAAATGAAAATTGACTCTTACATGATAAGCCGTGTCACCTGGCTCTGTGACGCGCACATATACTATTACAGCACTATGAGAGGTCATTGTGATTGAGTTACACAGCACTGGGTCGGCTTCTGCTGTCAGATGGAGGTAGAGCATTGATGCTAACTTCCAACAGGTACCCAAGCTGGAGATCCAGTGGAGCTGGAAAGTGTACAGCACATCTTGTGCCAGGAAGTATCACCCAATAATCTCCTTTACATGCCATCCATCAATGCAAATGCTGCCCATTGCTAGACTGCTCCTGGCGGTACCGTACTGGCGAAGCTGTTCTTCATGGAGCACAATTACGTCTCTCTCACTCTTCGCCCAGTATTATGACCACGCCAGTCAGCAAGAGCAACGTCTCTGCGATCATCGCCGATACCTGTGACACCAACGAAGATGCCCGCCCAAAGAAGAAGATACTACTCTACGATGGTGAAGTAGGTAGTAAAGTGGGTGGTGGAGTGAGAGTGGTGAGCTTTAAAAGGGGTGATTGACACCAGGTACTGTGTAACACGAGCCCTACTACACCGCATAGGCAGAGGAATCTGCTGCCGGAATGCGGGTTTAAAGACGAATGAGATGGGATTTTGGCATTACGAATTTGATACATATGCTCATTTGACTTCGATGCTTGAACAACTGCAAAAACAGACACGCCACTGCGTACCGCGACAAGGACAATTCGATTGTCTGAGCTGATCACTCGCTCGTGCCACCAGCATTCTCGTCAAGCGGTTTGTCTTCCTTCTCAGAGGTCTGGCTGGGCGATCTGCGATTCACGGCCTTCTCCTCATCTGCAGGCGGGCGCGGCGTCTCGTCCGTCCGCGCAAACTGGGACCGCCCCCGGATTGCGGCGCCGTACTTGTAGAAGATGAAAGGTATGGGCATCAGCAGCACGCCCACGCCGCCGATGAGTGAGCCAGCCCCGCCTACACCGAGTGCATTGAACATGTACTGTGTGAAGAGTGGGGACGCCGCGGCGCAGGCGGACCGCAGAACGGTGTTTGCTGCGACGGCGGACGCGGCGTACATCAGGTACGAGTCGATGATATAGTTGATGAAGACGACGAAGATGAGCAGGATTGACGTGGCGAGGAAGGTGCCCGCCACAGTCGGCACGGCCCAGTGGACCGAGTTGTATTCCGCCGTCCAAGCGAACCAAAATATCGTCACGGCGAACATGATCCCGCCAACCATCGCACCGGGAAGGCGATCTTCTGGTACTGATTCGCGGTTGCGGGTCTTCTTCTTGTCTATTTGGCTATTGATGAATAGCGCCAGGCCGCCGAGACCCGCGCCGATGACTGTGCCGATCAGTGGCAGCTCACCGACGCCGGCATTCCAACCACGCTTCTGCTGGAAGACGATGGGGTAGATGCTGAAGAGCATGTACAGCAGAGTATAGACGACGGCGTAGTATATCGCCACGAGGAAGCTGATTGGGTCGATAAGAAGTCTCCATGGCCTCGTCAGGGCGACTTTGAAGATGCCTCCCAGGGAACGATCAGACGCCTCGATTGGAGCCTTGACGCTCTCATTGCCAGGTATTTTGCGTAGGCGCCGGGCCTTGTTTCGCAGGACCATCATGGGAAGGGTCTCCGGGAGAGTGATGAGCAGAAGCTCGGTGCCACCCGCCATCCAGAGGAGGACATAGAAGGTCCAACGCCACGTCTCCTTTAGCTGAAGGAATCCACTGACCACTGGCCCAAGAGCAGGTCCCACGAAGGTCATTGTGGCAAACAGAATCATGGCGTTGCCTCGCTCGACGGGACCCCAGATGTCCGCAAGGATGCCGGGTGCATTCGTCAGGGCAGCACTGGCTGCCGTGCCAGTCAGGAAACGGCCGACCAAGAGCCCGGCAAAGTTGGGCGTAAAGGCGCAGAGGAAGCCAAAGGCGAGGTAGAGGGTGAAGGAGATGTAAAAGATCCAGCGACGGCCATAGAACTCGGACAAGGGGGCCCAGAAGAACGGACCGGCGACGTAGCCTAGGAGGAAGAGGGTGGTGACGAGGCCGGCGGCCTCGACAGAGACGTGAAGGTCGTCGCTGACGCCCTGGAAAGAGCCGGATGGTGCAGAGGAGGAGAAGGTGGCATTCATGACGAGGGAGATGGCGATGGCGGTGATGTAGCACTTGCGTCCAAACGAATAGTTTTTTGGGTTCTCGGGGTCGTCTGGTGCAAAATCGAGGTGGCCATCCTTGTCGAAGAAGAGCTTCTCATCCGACCCGACGACAGCGGTCGAGGTGCGCATTGGGAATATGCGCCTGACAAACTCCATTGCTCGTGCTCGCGCTGGCTGTCGAAAGAGGTGACAGTCACAGTCTCGACAAGTCTCAAGTTGGATTGAGGATAGGGTGTTTCCCGGAGGACTTTTAAAGGAGCTCGCTGCCGAAATGTCTTATTTGCTGAATCATCTCCATGACTATGGAGCGCCATCACGGTGATGAAATGGCACTGTAGATTTAAAATCGAAATTTGAACCTTTCTGACCAAACAATTGAAGATTCTAGTATTGGCATTCCGGGCAACATATTACCGTATCTGGCAATCTTGTGTTCCTTGGTCAGCACGGGCCCGGGCCGATGTGGCGCCGATGCCCGAATGTGGTAATTCTGGATCAGTTCCGGGACACCCAGTAAATCAACTAACAGGGTCCTCGCATTACGCAACGTCTTTATTCCGCTGCTGACGAATTCGAAACTAGAGAACGTGAGGAGAAGGAGAATAAAAACCGACAAAGGTATTAGAAGAATGGATATAAGTATGAAGAGATGTTCGTCCGTCTCGCCTCGCGACTACCAAGGTTGTCTCACGTAGTTGTGACCTCTCTCGTTCTTCACTCAACTATTCGAGCCTTGACCAAAGCACCAGCACCCTCCAGTCACGCTAGTCTCACCATGGCATCTCCAATCGTCACGCTGAGCTTCACTGAGGCGACTCAGAAGCGCCGCACCATCCGCGCTCTCGACTCAAAGACGACGGTCCCCGACAGCACCATTGTCAAGCTGGCCGAGGCCGCCATCCTCACCGTCCCTTCGGCGTTTGACAGCCAGACGACCCGGCTGACAATTGTGTTCGGGGAGGAGCACAAAAAGCTCTGGTCCATCACCGCCGACGCGCTGCTGGCGCGAATTGGCGAGGAGCGCTGGAACGGGGGCACCAAGGACCGCATCGCCAACTTTGCTGGCGCCTACGGGACCATCCTGTTCTGGGACGACCAGTCGGGCGCGACCGCGATGAAAGAGCATTCCCCAGACATCTACAAGGACAAGACGGACGAGTGGGTACAGCAGAGCAACGGTATGCACCAATACTACCTGTGGACCGCCCTCGAGGCCGTCGGGCTGGGAGTCAATCTGCAGCACTACAACCCCCTCATCGACGCCGAGGTGCAGAAGACGTGGAACGTCCCATCAGACTGGAAGCTGAAGGCACAGATGGTGTTTGGCGCTCCCAAGGAGGGCAGCGCGCCGGGACCGAAGCCACAGAAGCTTCCCTTGGAGCAGAGGCTGCAGGTGTTTGGAGAGAGTGTGTTGAATTGATGGAAAGGAGAATCAATTCAGGAGTGATTGCTGGAGGGGTTGAAAGTGTGTATCTTTTCACATGCTAGGTTGGATGAAGACCAGACGTCTCAACGATCTGCATCATCGTCGTCGTTGTCGTGCTGTTTGATGGTCGATTGTCAATCACATGTGTCTATATGGATTCGCGGACCTCAAGACTATTAGACCTCGCCAAAACGCGGGTCGGAGCGGGTCTTAGTCAACAGGCCCCTCGCACGTGTGCGGAATTTCGGCGCGCGGGTTGGGGCCTTGGGGCCAAGAGGCGGGTTTGAGCGAGGATTAGATATGACTATTCGATGGTGTTTCATCTGTCATAGAGAATATTTTAGAGCAGCCTTGATAGAGTAAATACGTCTTGATATCCTCTATTAATTCATTTAATTAAAATGAAACGTGATACCATGGTTGTTGATTGATTCATTTTTAGAGTTTCACCATCACCAAAATTGCTCATTGGTAATCATTCTACCAAGGTGCCCTACCGCAGACTTCAGATCTCATATGTCATAGCATTCATCCTGCACTCATCCTTCCTCCAGGCGCTCTCTCTCTATTCCGCCACGGAGACTGATGAGTATTGCATATAACGTACAGAGCCGCAACAGAGCCTCCATGTTTCACAGATTCTCTGCGATGCCTGGAAAGGCGCGCAGCCAGACCAAAGGCTCTCGGTCGGCTCGCACCAGCAACAAGAATAATAACAAGAATAGCGACCCAGACTCCAACCCCGGTCCCGAAAACACAGGCCGTCCCCTGGCCAAGCGGCAAAAGACCGCCAGAGCCTGTGACCGCTGCCGCCTGCACCGCATAAAGTGCGACGAGCAGAAGCCCTGCGCACAATGCATCGGTATGAAGGCGAAATGCATCGTCTCCTATGCCCCTCCTCACTCCTCTCGGACCAACAACAGCGACGCCGACCACACGAGATGCGAGTCGTCGTCAGTGCTCCCTCCAAAATCACCCTCGCCTTTGTCTACTCCCACTGCGTGTCGCTGCAACAGCGCTCGCGCGAGCAGCTCCACCGCCAACACCAGCCCGATCAGCCCAATTGTCCCACGCTCCGGCATGAACATGGGCCAGGAGAGCTCGGGGCCGACAAGCATTCCGCCGGACAATGTCCACAAGGAATCTCCCAATCTCGCCGCTCACGTCCAGGGCTTCTTCGGCGGTGGGCAGCCGGCCTTTTCACAAAACTCTGCCCTTGCTGGCTGCCTCTTCCCCCAGCTCCCGCATCCCGCCCTCCCATCGGGGGAACGCCCTCTCGCGTCGAATGCGCTGCTCAAGAGCCAGCGGAGCTACTATCTCCGGCTTTTCTGGTACGCTTGCCACCCGCTTCTGCAGATTATGAGCGAGACAGAATTCGTCGAGCTCGAGGCTCTGCCGCCACCGACCGTGTTTGATGAGTATTCGGCGAGGAGCGCCCTGATCGATTCCATGATCGCTCTGGGCATGCAGCACAGCCATGCCACTGGCCTTGCCGGGCGGATATTAGGTCTCCAACAGCCATCCTCCCGGCAGTACTACCACGCAGGCCCTCCACCGGAAGCCACCTGGCCCGGCTTCGAATACTTTCATCGCAGTCGTGAGTGCATGAGGACCAGCACAGAGGCGACCTTGGAGGCCCTACGATGCCACGCTCTCATGGCTATCTACCTCATCAAGGGCAATGCTTTCCGCGACGCCTACAATTTGCTCGGCATCACTATTCGCAAGGCCTACATTGCCAAACTCCATCGACTGCCACCGAGCCATCTGCCCGAGGCGGAAAAGACTGCACGCATGCAAGTGTGGTGGATGCTCTTCTCCCTGGATCTCCAATGCTCGCTGCAGCTCGACATGCCCGCTGCCACCCAGAAGAGCCTCGTGAAATGCCCCTTTCCTGCCGAGGACGCCCTCGCCAGCTACCTCTCCTCCCCTAGCCACCGCGAAGGGGGCATCACCGCTTACACTTACTCCACCCGTCTGGTCAACCTCGCCGTCATTGTGGCCGACATTGGCGCGTGCGTCTCGACCGCGGACCTCGTCGACGATGACGACGGCGGCGGCAACAGCCCGGCCACTCTCGAACATCACGCCCTCAAACTTTCGTCCGCCCTCCAAAAGCTCGAGGTCTGGCGCCACCAGCTACCTTCGGAGCTGCTATTGAGCCAGTGTGGGAACGGCTCCGGCAACACTGAGATGCTCGACTTTGATCGTGACCTGTTCCAGCCCGCCTGGCTGCAGCGGCAAACGGTGCTCTTGGAGCTCCACTATCACAACGCATACACGCTGATCCAGCGTCCCTTCCTCCGTCTCCGCTACGCACACTCCAACGCCACCAGCGGCATGATCACCCCACCCCCCTCGCGGCCGCCGCACGTGGAGCTGCACATTGGCAGCGCCTTCCACCACGCAATCACAATCGTCGACACGGCCTTCACGGTCTGCTCCATGTCCGACGTCCTCTACGGCTGGTCAGAGGTCCTGCAGCCGCTCTGGAACGCGACTGTGACAATCATGGCCTACGTCTACGCCAACTCGCTGAGCTCCGAGGTGCCGCGGGCGCTCGACTCTCTCACACGCGCCCAGGCTGTTTTCGAGTCCTTCTCCCCCACCAGCCCGACCGCCCTCTCCGCAAAGGATACTGTCCAGTCGCTCGCCAACAGCCTGCAGAACATGATGGCGCAAGGCTCGTGCGCACTTTCCCACGACGACCCAATGGGCTGGGACCTCTTCGCGTCGCTGCTCGAGGAGCAGCAGACGTCCCTGGCCGGCCTCGAGAACGGGCCCTCACCCAACGATCTCTATGGTAGCGTGCTCTTCTCACCCTTCATGCCCTCGGCCTCGCAAATCAACACCCCCGAGTTCAACGCGGTGACCATGCCGTTCGGCGGCTCGTGAGGCTTGCGCCTGGCCCTGCGTCCCCAAATGCCAGCACCCTCTTGAAGGACTGGATTTCGGGCGAGCAACGAATATTACGATTACCGCCGCTCATGGATACGGAAAGGACTGCTGCTACAATACAAAGGATTGCCACCGCTGAAGGATTGCGACGACGAGAGAATACGGATTACGATGGGCTCACGCAGGCGAAACGGTCACACGCACGGAAAGCTAGAATTAACGAGTCTCATAGAATGGATACCGCCGCGCACGCACGCTCGCTCGAACGAACGAAACGATTGCATTGCATCGCATTGGAAATCTAACGCTTCTAGACCGTCAGAACTCGCATGGCTGCCCCGTAATAAGTCCTCCCGACCCTGCATGCCCATGCCGCTGTCATTCGGACCGTACGCTGCCGGGATAGCTGGCCGCTTGCCCACGCCGTCGAGCATCGCCATGGCCATGCCACCCGCGAGGTGAGGCTGGATGTGGCAGTGCAGGATGAAGGCGCCGGGGTTCATGCTCTGTTAGCGGGTTGCGATCCAGGCCGGCATGCCGGGCACTGTGTGTGTCGGTCGTCGAGTTCAGGTGGATTTAGTCTCATACTGTGATGAGCTGGGAGTTAGTCACTCCATTTGCCATTGCCGCCACCTCGGTCTGCGGCGAAGACTTAATGGGACTGTATGGCAGGGGCTCCTGCGGTTTAGGGCTGACGTATTTCGGATTGGACAGGCCATCGCTGATCATTGCAAATTAGAATCAGAACTATGGCTGCGCCGTCTCGACGGTGCGAAAGGCAGCAAGTGTGTGTGAAAAGCTGCAACATGTAGAGTGTAGAAGAGAGAGACGGATGAAGCAAGGCCGCGAAGCCACGGAGGAATTTATAAACTCTGCATAGACATGGGCCATAGAGCGTTCTAGGCCAGCAGCGATTTCCTGTCGTAGAGGCGTCCATTTCCTGGCGCGAAAATCTCATCAGGCAAATTACTCTATTGGTGTTGCAATAAGTCGAAAATTTTTTTGGCTTAGATATTGTAATGGGTGAGAGACCATCTGGAGAGAACGAAAGGTCTCCATAGTCTCTCCACGTCCCATACTGAAACAGACTCAGATCTGACAGTAAGCCAATTCTTATATGTTTACATATTCGCGTCAAATTGAAACCGCGACGTCTTATGAGCATCAGTGCAGTAATGTCTCAGCCACGTGGGAACTTGGACCTATCAATCACCGACGCTCATAACGTCTGAAATGAACACCGTTAGATCTACTGTGGTATAGATGATGATACTGTGGTAATGATTGGATTTCATGGGTCTTGTCACGTGGGCGGCTGCCTTGTGTGGTGCAGATCAGCCACGAATAAACCAGCTGGCGATGCATGAGATCCTTGTATTTAGGCAACCAATTACCCGCATCCTCCATCTCTCTCGACGTTTTATTTGTTTCCCCTGCTCTTGGCTTTTCTTTTTATGTCATGGAGCGGGGACAAGGCTGCGATGCCCTCCTTTGCCCCGCCTGACCTTTTGAACAGACATGGCTTGATTGGCCCTCAGACTCAAAAGTTGAGTATCTTGACTAACAGAAAGCGACGCCGTGAACATGGGGAGGTATGCATGAGCTGCATGGCGCGCACCGCGTCAGCATGTACGCTGTTGGCATACAAGGCCAGGGATATTTATTCTTATTACGATTGCCCCCGTGGTGCTTTGATCTCAAAGAAAACCCGTTGTCAAAGACAAGCGGCACGGGCCATTTTGACTCCAATTCACTTTGGAGATGATGGAGCCATGTCCTGTTGGATGCCTAAAAACATCGTCATTGGTTGCCTGGAAAGGCTGAAGAGTGAATCACACACAATGCAGCGTATAAAGAAGCGGAGAAATCAGCCTCAAAGCCCCCAAGTTGTGTTTTTAAAGGTGGGAGTTATGCTCCTTCCTCTCTCTCTCTCTCTCTTTCTCTCCCCCTCTCTCAAATTCGCCAAAAAAAGCTCTCACCTGAGACTGCAATTCTAATTCTCGCCCCAATCTCACACTTGATCCTTGATTCGCAATCCTCTTCGGGGGATCTGAGAAGATGGTTCGATCACTTACTCAGATCCCATTGCTCTCAGGGCAGCCGCCGCAAGACGCCGCAGCCAATGATACCGATTCCTACGTGCCCAGAATTCCCCTTAACATTCTTGAAGCCTTCATCCCGGGCTACTCTGCAATCTCAGAATTCCTCTTTCACGCCCTTGGTTTTGACATTACCATTCTCGTATCTATTGGCTTTCTGATCTTTGCTTTGATCACATCTGCTCAGTACATCTGGCAACGTCTCTACGAGCGTTTCTGCCAGTGGTTTACTTCAACCATTAGCGTCGAGTCTGAAGATGACATTTACGACGACGTCATGAGATGGGTGGCAGAGCAGAATATGACGATGCGGTGTCGCTCACTCAAGGTGACGAGTGGCTCCTTCACTGCATGGGACACTGATGATGATTCGGACTCGGACTCGGACGATGAATCTGATGACGGAAACTCAAAGGACACCACTGCGTCCAAGATCAAACCGAGCGAAAATTACCGGCCTACCCACATTGAAGGATATGGTGATGTCAAGCTCCTCAATTTCCGAGCGGCATACGCAAAGACACCCCCTCGCTTCGAGCCTTATTCTGGCAAACACATGTTCTTTCATAAGGGCAGCTTGTTTATCTTTTCTCGCAGAAAACAGACCCGCGAATCCTACTACCGTCCCACCGAGTACGAAATTGCTTCCTTGACCCGCGTCGGTCGGTCGACTGAGCCGCTCAAGGAGTTGCTTGAAGAGATTCGAGAACACAATTCGACGCGGGAAAAGGCGCTGACCGTGATCCGCCGACCGGCATCAAAGGAAAGCCGAAAGAACAATGGCGCCACATGGACACGTGTGGCTGCCCGTCCGTCTCGAGCCCTGAACACGGTGGTGCTTGATTCGGTGCAAAAGGCTCGCGTGCTGCTTGATATCAACGAGTATCTTCATCCAGCCACTGCACGCTGGTACGCTAACCGCGGCATTCCGTACCGGCGAGGCTATCTCTTCCACGGCCCGTCGGGCTGTGGCAAGACTAGTCTGAGCTTTGCTATTGCCGGCATCTTTGGTCTTGACATTTACGTCATTTCACTGCTTGAACCGACGTTGACAGAAGAAGAACTCTGCGCGCTACTCAATCACCTCCCCAAACGCTGCGTCGTGCTTCTCGAAGACATTGACAGTGCGGGTCTGAAGCGCAAGGAGAAGAGCGACGCGGACATGGAGGACGCCGGGTCCAAGTCTCCATCCGAATGGGGTCTCGTGGAAGTCGCTCGAGCGCTGAAGCAGGAGCAAGACGAGAAGAAGGACAAGGACAAGGGCATTTCGCTCTCTGGTCTGTTGAACGCAATTGACGGCGTGGCATCGCACGAAGGCCGAGTGCTCGTCATGACTACGAATTATCCTGACAATCTGGACGATGCCCTCATTCGTCCCGGCCGCGTGGATATGCAAGTCCAATTCGATCTCGCGACAAAAGATCAAATTCGCGAACTGTTTATCCGCATGTACTCCAACGAAGACACAAAAGCCGGTCATCATTCTCACAAGCGTCAAAACTCAAACGGCAGCCTCCATGGCACCGTCAAGACCAAGCATGCTCGCAAAGCCTCCCGCGCAGCAGCTCGAGAGAAGAAGGACGGAACTCTGCCGTACGAAGAGTTGCGATCTATTGCGCGGGACTTTGCTGATCATCTTCCCGACGGTCGCATCTCTCCCGCAGAGATTCAAGGGTTTTTGCTCATGCGAAAGAAGGAACCGAAGCGTGCGTTGGAACAGGTGGACGCCTGGCGTGATGCCTTGTTGCATGCCAAGGAAGCCAAAGCAAAGATTCTTACCGTCCAGTAGATACGGTCGGTCAATGCGCACTGGGAATTATTACGTGAACTGGGATTTCGTTTTCCTTTCGGGCATCTTTTTCTACAAAATTTCCAATTAGCTTTTATAACTCTCTTTTTTTCTTATTGCCCTCTTATTTGGCCTCCAAATGAGAAGGATCTGCAGGTCGATGGCACTGATACGCGAGACAAATGAGACGTTATGCTATGCAAGCCGCTGAAATGGTCTCGACTTGTCAAGATTTCTCCATAATTCCACTTCTCTATGCGTTTCCAGTACAGAAAAATTTAAAGACGAATTCGTAATATCATATTATTATCGTCTCAAAGCAAGTTAAAACACTTTTTCTTCAATTCTTCAAGGTCAAGCGCCGCGTACATGACGAGAGCACAAGAGAAATAATGTCTAGGTAAAGAATAAAAAAAAATAGCTTTATCAATTGCAAATTGCAATTGATAACCATGGATAAATTAGGGTTAGAGTAATATTAAAATAATGCTGCCAGGAATATTAATAGGGACAGCTTTTCGCCAATGCATTTCTGTTTCCGCCGCTCCTTTTCCATCCACAACTTATTCTGTATCCCCCAAGTGTAATGCGATTTGTATCATTCTATTGAGCAAAAAGGAAGCCCAGTCCATGCCGTAACCGTAGGCTCTCTTCTCTATGCAATCTAATAACGAAGCCATGTTGTGAATCAGCCGCTGTATCTTGTGTGTCAAACTCCTGAATACCCTCTGCCTCCTCCGTTTCTTGAACCATTGTCTCTTCCAATGGTTTCCCCAATCGTCTATTCTTCAATTTCCATTCTCGCAAGACCGCCCTGAATAACTTGGACCTTCGTCTGCTGATCTTCTCGCACCGTGCTGTATACAGTAACATTTCGTGAATGACGTCCCTTGCGTGGAGAAGCGGCATCCGGCTGATTAGTCTCACTCTGGGAACGTGAAGGATCTTCGGTAGGCAAACTGGACTTTGCTCCCTGAGATGAATGTCTTTTGCGACGCGTCGATTTTGATGGGCGACCAGGCACTGGTGCGGGTGCGAATGCTCCTGGTGGGTAAGGCATGAAATAGATCGCTCCAGTATGCAAGTCATAGTACGCATTTGGCGCTGGGAAAGTCGTCATGGGAAATTGACTCATCGCTGGTGCAGGTACCATTCGGAGATGACCAAATTGCTCCTCGAGACTTGCCTGTCGCCCAGAGCTCCTCCGGCGTTCTGGAGGCTTTTCTGAATTGCTTGCGTTAGACGAGACATGTGCTTCAGACTTCGAGCCCGGAGTGAAAGCGGGTTGATGATGGTATTCAGTCTCCTTTTCGGCACGGGGTTGGTGATGACGGTCAGATACATGATCAGTCCTGTAAAATTGTGACTGGATTGCTTCATCACTAGGGGCTGAACCTGTCGTTGACCAAGGGTAGCAGTCATAGGTAGTACCGTCGACCTGCTTCATCGAATCTCCAAGAGGAGCCTGCTTCTGCTTCATTTGAACGCGTTCCTGGTGTTTATTTGATGCTGACCAATGGTTTCTAGGTTGTCTAGTTGGTCTAACTGTGTCGTCAGTGTTACTTTCCTCTCCGTCACTGCCGTCGTCCAAAACTTTCTCTGAATTATCACGGCCACGGCTATCAGTCGTGATACCTATAGACCATAATGGAGAGCGAGAGTGTCCAACAGAGGGTTGATCATTTGTCAGTCCGCTTCCTCGCACCCAATGAACCCGACAGGGCCGACGTGGCGTGCGAAATTCAGAGATTTCCGGAGGGTCCCTAGATACTAGACTGCTTTTCCTCACAAAAATGGGCTGAGGACGATCATTGAGGCTCTGCTCTTGGCTTGCTGGTGCAGCAGATTGCATTGTGGGCGTGTTTGACCTGTACAGAGGTGGAGACGGTATCATGAAAGAATCATCAATGAAAGAGCCATCGGAATTATCAGAGTCAGGATCTCCTGTAATCGACCAGGTTTCCATTGCAATGGTGGATTTGCGTGTCCAAGGTAACTTTTGTAAGAACGAGAGATGCTGGAGCTAGCCCAAAGGAAGGCGGTAAGGTGGCTTAGCTTTTATTTTATGAGAGTAGTGTCACAAGCTGAGTTTGCGAGCAGACACATATGCATGTCAGTTTGCCGGAACAAAAGGCTGACTCCCAAAGGGTTCGGGACCTTGCAGAGGTTAGGAGCTAAGGAAGTATAACAGCGGTTACCAGCTTTCTGGATCTGCTGCCACGCTGCATGGGTTGCACGACAGATGTATCAATCACTAAAGACAGAAACGTCAGTGGACCAACAAAAGGAGTCTCGGTGCATTATGAATCGAATTCCCTGATGATACGACTGTAAAACGCACCTCAGTGTTGCACTGCGACGTTGACAGTGATGTTTTCAAGAAAGTTAGCAGACCCGCGAGGCAAATGAGAAGAAAAGCAAAGGCAAAGCTGAAGGAAACTTGCTGACGAAAACGAAGGGCTGAAAACTTCTCTCAGAATAGGTAGGGATAGTAATGGCTTTTCTCAAACCGAGTTGTGGGTTACAAGTGTTGAGAGGAAGAGTGAAGAAGTAAACAACAGTTGCAAAGCTTAGTCTCGCCGTTCTAGACACAAACAGCTGGCATGGCAACACCACTGATTTAATCAGCACCGAAAGAGGGGACGAAGCTGCCAAGGAGAGCCCCGTAGAAGACGAATGATTCAAAGAAAAAAAAAGTATACGTGTAAAAGAAAGAACCGGTCAGAAGTCGATGCTCTCGGCAGTTGTCATTTTCATTGGAAGGGACTGAGGAGGAAACCGAGAGACAACAATTGGGAAGCGCAATTCATGAGCTCAGTCTCTGTTCTGAACTACAATTATACTTATCCTTCCTCCTCTCTATCATCCTACCTGACTAGTCTTCAAGAACCTTTTGTAACGTCTTTCCCGCGACATCATCCGTGCCATCGTTCTACCAAACCCAATATCTTATCGTACAACACTGCATTTCAGCAATCCTCCCAGCGTGGAGCTGCTCTATAGAATCCTCTTGTGAGCACTCAAATTCCAGATGGTCATCTGAAGGTAGGCAAAGATCAGATGTAGCTTTGGAATGACTGAAGAAGACGAAATGGAGTGAAGGTTGTTGTTGTTGTTGTATGGACTTTACGTAATAATCAGTCAGACAGCTTAAGTTAACCGTCTGAGTCTCAAAGGGAGTCCCTGAAAACACACCCTCAAAATAGAGCAAATTGCAATCGACATAAGATATATATCGAACAAAGAATTATTATGAATCTTAGTAAAAGGGGCAAAGTAACTTTCAGCTGAACCTAGTGAAATCGCCACGCGCCTAGAATGCGACAATCATGATCCTGACCCAAGCCCAGAAATAGACGACGAGCAAAACAATGCTTTTCTGCGCCTGCGCTAAACTATGCAACGCCATTCTCTCCGGTTCCCTCCATCGCATCTCCCGCTTCCCCATTTCCAATCTTCTGCTCCTCGTCTTCATCACCACCTGCTAGTACCTTTGTCTTCGGCGCGTTTTCGCCCTCGGGAGTTCCGCCTGGCGTCACGGCAACCACATTGCCATTTTCGTCGACGAATTCAAAGTTGTACCGAGAAAGGAGATGAGGAATAGCAGAGAGTTGGGGGCCATATCGCGCAGTGTTGTCATAGAGTTCGAAAAGCGGAACGGCGAGCAGTTTCATGTTCTTAGGGACAGAAAGGACCTCTGAGCCGCGTTAGTGCCTGTCATTGAGTAACCATTTTCAATAGGTTCGGAGTCTTCACGTACTGCTTCGAGGAAGCTGAATAAAGTAAAGCTTTTTGCATTCCTTTGGCCGTGTCACATGGGCCGGAATGAACGGATACATGAACGTTTCAAAATTTGGTCGCCACCACTGTGCCAGAGTGTCACCAATCTCCCACTCGTCATTGACGCCTTCACCTGAAAATTGCGTGCCAACAGGGGCTAATCGTTCGTTGAGGCGGTTCTTGAATCCGTCGATCTCTTCGTCTGTATGGTGGAGATAGTCACCCGGACTACAGAAGGGCATGAAACGTCAGCCCAAATAATATTCTCACAGTGGATGCCTTGGAATTCCGAATAGTGTAACGTGCAGACGTACAGCTTAAAAAATGCATTTGCAATCTGAAGCATCAAGATATGCGGGTGATTGTGCTCATGGCAGACTAGGACGCCCTCGCATGTCCGGCGCATGCCATATTGTTCGTAGTGCTCCTCGAGTCTCTTCAGGCGTGCAAGGACTGAAGGATCTTCCTCGGGCTGGTTTTCTTTCGTCCCAAAGGTGTAGTTACTTAAGGGGTAGAGGCGTATCGTTTTTGGTTGGTTCGCATTGAATGCATTCGGGAGAGTTGGTCTATGTGCCCAGAAAAGTTGTTAGCAAGCTCCCGAACAACTCAGCCACTCATATGGCGTTAAGGATTGCAAGCAGTGCCATTCAATTGATGAAAGGCTCGACTAAGACTAGGTACGGATCATGCGCATAGTCTCTGTCTCAAGACGTAGTCCAAAGTCTCTGCAAGTCTTTCACTTTGACAATCGTGCAACCTGTGGAATTTACGGCATCCATAAAATTGGGCCAACACCTCAAAGATGCGAAACTTCATATCTTGCGAAGGCTAAGGTATGCTGGCTTTGCGGTGTGAAGGTATCGAGGAGCGGATTTATGGACGTGGACCGACTCTTGAGCAGAGCCAGGGAAGGGTGCGAACGTACGGATAAGACGTCTGAAGTGACGCGCCCGCAACCGTTGACATTGTGCGCGAATTCTTGGGTTGTCAATGAGTTCAAATGCGGCAGCGCAGGTTAGGTACACTCCTGGTGTGTGAAGCTATGAGTTGGGCAATGTTGTCGACCCCGGCGCGAAATGACGATGTTGCTCCGTGGTTCCTAAGTTAAGAGTGCTTCACACATTTTGAATCCAGGTGTGCATAACAGTAAGCCCGTGTGTTTTTACAATATATTGCGGTGGATTTCCAAATTTTGACCGGCGTCGGTCTAACCAAGCGGTGTGTGCCTATGTAAATATATTGATATTCACACCCAATAATTCTCACTTTTCCATCTTTCAACATAAAGGGACGAAATAGATGGCAGCATCTGCAGACCTTGTGACATAAAGTCATTTATTTGTTTTATTTCTAGTATTCACGGCTCTTCATTATCCATCGCAGCCATACAGCGCAGCTGCCTGAATCAGAAAGGATGGCTCATCTTTAGATACGCCGAAACGCTCGAAGCCACGCGCCAACGTCAATGCTCACATGCCGAATTTAGACAGGTCAAATTCGTCTAGAATCTAATAGAAAAGCTTATTCAAAGCGAACACCTACTAATCAGAGCTTGGGGTCGTTCTCCTCGAATTCGCCCAGAGGCTTGACGGCTGCTGCACCATGAGATACCGCCAATCGAGCCTTAAATTCATAGACATTGTCTATAATGACCGCGTTCTTTACCGTGTCAGTTGCGGGGTCAGTTTTACTCTCCGGAAGCTGCTCATCATGGGAGACTTCAATTCCCAGACTAGGTAGTGCCATAGCGAGCAACTGCTTTCCCTGAGCAAGGATCTCTTCGATAGGCTCAGCCTGCATTTGTAAGTCTTCAGAAAGATAATTTTTGATAGCAGATACGATGCCATCTTGGCCATTGGCAAGTTTGACGCCGTCAAATCTACGTCGGAGTTTGTCGGCCTGCACCTCGACACCAAGAGAAGGAAGGCTTTTCTGCAAGAGCTCGAGAAGCTGTTCAAGTTGCTCCGCTGGAGACGTCTTCTCCGCAATTGCATGAGGTGAAGTTTGGGCAAGCAAGTGGACAGAAAGCTTTGCGCGAGTGGGAGATGATGGGTGAATATAGTGGTGGAAAAAGGAAAGAACCTCGTCCTTGGTGACTGGCTTCAAATGGGCCACGTCATAATCGACTGAGACTAATGTTAGCTAAATGGTGCTTGTGAGGGGTTTATAAAACCGTTAGACTGACCCTGCTCGAAATCGTAATATTCGTTGCCAATATGGTTCCAGAAGCGGTCGCTTTCCTGATTAAGATTCTTCACCTTCTCGAGACGCTTGTTGATCAAGCTACGCTTGAGCTTTTCAAAGTCCTCCACAGACTTCTCCTCTAGCTCTTTGCCGAGTTGGATGAGGAAAGAGTTGATGCGCTGTTCGAGGTATTCCGGTGTCCGCTCACTCTGGATGAGGATGCGGTAGCTCATCGTAGTTGCCGCTAATCGGAGACCTGAGAAGACGACATATCCTAACTGCTCCTTTGTTCGAAGCTGATCAAAAGCTGGCTCCTCGGCCAGTTGTGCCAGCAAAAGTAGCTTAGCTCGAAGGGCTCTGTCGGGATTTTCACCGATGAAGAGAAGGTATTCAATGCAGTTGTTGATGTTGGCGGGGTCTTTAAGAGCTCTTGGGTAGATATAGTTGCATCCCTGCGGAAGCAGAAGCGATCGCCGAACGTGCCACTGAGACTGGGGCAACGGTCGAGGCTTTAATGTAGCTTCGACAAGATCAGTCAGCTTCAACGCATCATCTCTGTAGAGATTTCCATGCACAAGTGCTTCGACATGAACTTGTCGCAGCAGATTGGGGAAGAATGTTCGAATATCCTCTGGGGTCAGGTGAGGAAGCTCGGCCAGATATTGCTCGTTAATCCAGCTCTTCTCACTGTTGAGCCAACGACTGAATTCCCCTACACGCTGGAAAGGCTGATGATACTCAACGTTTCGGAAGCCTCGCAAAAGTCTCTCTTGAATGATGTGAAATCTATCCGGCTTGACCTCCAAGTCTCTCATTGATGTGAGAACCTTTTCCAGCAGAACAGGGATCTTGTCGTTGTATCCGCTAACTTCGATATCGATGCCGATGGAATTGCTGCTGAGGCTGTACTCGAGGCCAGCGATTTCGGCGTCGTATGAATACTCAGCAAGAGAATCTCTGACTAATTCACAAAAAAGCTTGGTCTTGACGGCACATTCAGGAGTCGTGTAAGCCAATGGAGTGCGTAAAGTGATGAACACATTGGCCTTGGGGACCCAAAATTGGTCATCCTTCTTCCACCATATTCTGACCTTGTCATCGTGTCTGAGCAGCTTCGGTGCCTTGCTGGGCTCAGACACCTCCCATTTCTCAACCTCAAGCTTGGTCGGTATGAACTCGTTTCTGTGTGGCAGATGCAATTCCGTGGGCAAGGTCTTCTCTAGGCTAGGCTCGATCCGTGCTAATTCATCGAGGAACTCCTGTGAAACATTGTCGCTTCTATACTCGGTGCCATACCACTTTTCCCGTTGGTCCCAGTTTCCAGGAAAGGTCTGACTGATGATACTCATCCTAAAGTTGTCCGGACGCAAAAATGAAAGACCTTTGCTTATGGCATTAGGGTCATACTCTCGAATCAGGCGCGAACCACTCAGCAGCCACTCGCGGGGGATGCGTTTCTGCATGACCTGCGACAACTTGCTAGTGAAGCTGCTTGCTGGAGTCTTTTGCTTGAATCGAAAATCGACAATGTTCATCTTTTGGATCTCCTCGACGATCCACTCCTGCGGTGGGGTCTTTCGAATCATCGCAATGTATTGGAAGACGACTTTGACTACTTCCAAGTAGTTGTCTAGTCCATTCTCGGTGAGACGGATTGACACTGTAAAGAACGCAGAGCCGGGACTCAGGGGCATTGGGCCAGAGGCTAAGCCATTGGCCCAGCCCTTTGCTTTGATGTACGCCAAAATACTTCCTGGTCCCTCGTGGCCAATCAAGTGGCTGATATATCGACTTGGTTGCGACATGAAGAAGTCGTCGTCATCCATATAAGGGAAGACAATGTCCAAGGATCGCATCTCCATGACCGGTTTTGCGGAAATTTGAGTGAGTAGTTGATCTTTTGTCAACGGCTGCACATGATCCCATCGATTTTGAGGCAGATCCTTATTTCGAACGCCAGAAAACAATTCTACCACCCAGTCTTCCAGATCGTCGAGCGAGTCGCGGCCAAGCACCACTAATCTCATCCTATTGGCGGAATATTCCCTTTCATGAAATTTCATGAATTCTTTCCGGACATCGATGCCACGCTTGCGCGGTTCGTCCCGCAAAGTCTGTAGGTTGCCGGTTGAAAAGTGACAGTAAGGATGCTCGGGGTTCGAGAGCGACTTGCTGAGCTGATGCAAACGCCAGGGATCACTCTGAAGGTTCTTCTTGTTTTCTGAATCCACTGCTCGAAGCTCCCGGTCCAGTGTCTCTTCAAGAAAGAGGGGCGCGATGAAAAACTGAGCAAAGCGGTCCAGTGCGCCATATAGCGGGGAAGTTTCCCGGGTGTTTGTGCTGTGCTCTCCATCGGGCGCGTGGGAAGCCGCCGCGACTTCGAAGAAATAGTTTGTTGACGTAGCGGCCGTGAAAGCGTTCGAGTATCCTGAATGAGCAGCGAGGTACTGGTTGTAGGCATTCTCTTGGGGGTACTGAGACACGATTTCAGAACAGCCGGCTACCAACGCACACGTGGGGTTTCAGTGGCCCTACCTTCTCTGTACCCATGAAAAGCAAATGCTCCACTGCATGAGCCATTCCCGGCATATCGTCCGCATCGCTGAAAGCACCAACATTGACATCCATGGCGGCGCTTGCTTTGTCAGTCTCTGGATCATGTACAAGCATAGCCTCTAGCTTGTTCGGGAGCTCAATGACACGGTAAGAGCGATCGTCAAGGGCCGGCTTCTCCAGCGAGTCGGTCAAAAGCTGAGCGGTCGACATGGATCGAGTATTGTTAGGCTGGGAGGCACCAATTGGTACACCCAAGCGCTGAGAAGTTGACATGACGGCAGAAATGGCCAATCCACGAATGCCGGAGTTGAAGATGGAGCGGCCGGATGCTCCAAAGGGATTGGAGGAATTGAGACCAAAGAATCGGAATGGAGTGAGGAACGAGTTAGACGAGTTGACTAAAAGAAACCTGCTTGCGGACCAAAATCTATTCCCAACCCAGAAGCCAAAAGCCATGGACCGCCGAGATCATGCCTTTTTGTGTATTGTAGTGTACAAAGACTTTGCAAATGACTATTGTACCTGGGGGGCAGCCTCCCAATGGACATGTAATCAAAGCGACACTTTATCTGCCTATCGGGGGCTCGTCTCTTTCTACAGCAGAGAGCCTGACAGCCTGAGAGGGTCCCTTGACGGCCATTTGGTCAAAGAGACAGCGATCTGTCTCGCTAAACGCACCGGTTGTAGAAGGCCAAGCGAGATCGCAGGCGGTGACTGAAACCGATGGCCGGGGGGGTACGGGGGTAACCATTGTTTACTTGGCGTCTTATAACATTGTTGACAAGGATTGATATTGACTACTGAGATACACGTAATTGCATTACTTCTTTGCCATGACTGCAGGCCGACATACCTTTGACTCGACCTGAGCCATTCTTAAAGTCTACGTTGCTACTGAAAGAGTATCTCACTAGCGCCTTTATCGAAGACAATTGCCGTGACCTTTACTGTTACACGCACCATCTAGAGCTTTCAGTCTTCAATCCGTCAGTTATTTTCCTGACAAAACGCCATCGCTGTAAAAAATATATCCTGGAAAATGAAAATAAAAATAAAAGATAAGAATTGCAGTACTGCATAGACTAAATAAGTTTGATGACACAATCGTTGCATGATTAGTCAAATTGTTCCTTTCCAAACTTTCCAAATAAACCAGCAGTAAGTAAGTTTTGGGATTGAATCTCATCCTTCCTCGCCACCAAGTCTTCAACGTCCCAATTGGCACTGATATAGCGACCACTCAAAAACTTCGCTTGTTCAGTTGCCAGCCATACTCCAACACCACCCACCAGCTGCGCAGTGTCGTCCGCGAATGGCATAAATGCGTCAATTGTCATGTCGGTCTTCACAATGCCCGGATGGAGCGTAACCGCGGTAACGTTGGGGTACTCAGCTGCAACGTACGCTTGGAGCTGGATCACGGCGAACTTGGAGATGCTATAACTCGAGAGCCCAGGAAACACGCTGAGGGCGGCGCTGGTGCTCATGTTGATGATGTTCCCCTTTTTCTGCGATCCGAGAAGCTCGAGGAAGCCCTGCGTAACAAGGAATGTTCCACGAACGTTGGTTTGCTATGGCATATGGTCAGCATCGTTTCTCGAAGTGCTTTGCAATTGCCAAATATTGAGAGATATTTTCGGCTGGGCAGAGCTCACAAAATCCGACCACCACACGTCGGGCTTCACATCTGCGACGTTCGCTGCAGGCGCAAAGGATCCAGCATTATTGACAAGGACATCCGCTGTATCAAACCTTGCCTTCACCTTGTCCCAAAGCGCTGTCACGGAGTTGGGATCGTCCAAGTCTGCTGCAACGGCCAGCACGTCAACCTCAGGGTTGATGTCGCGAATTTCCTTTGCAGTCGCTTTCAGGCGTTCCAAATTTCGACCAACAATCACAATTCCTCTTGGACTGGCGCGAGCAAAGGATGCGGCGAAACCCTAGAAGAGTTGATGGTGTTATTTCTCAAAGAACGGCAGAAGTTTTGGACAAGGCGAAAAGAAAGCGACCCACCAGACGTCCAAGACCTTTGCTAGCCCCTGTAATGACAATGACCTTTCCAGCCTGACTCAAGGGCTCAGACGAAGGATTGATAGCAGGGTACTCATCCCGATGAGTGTTCTTCGTAAATTGCTGCGAGGTGACAAAGTAGTCTTTTGGAAGATTCTCCATTGTATCCGTAGGAAATCAAGTATATTTAGAGTTAGAGATGGATGAGGTTTAACAAATAAAGTGATGATTGCAAGGGTTCTGTACACTCCAACGTAAATTGATAGGAATTCGACGATGGCGTGAAATGATGATCTAGAAAATTTGGTCTTCAGGGTCTCATATATATCACTATGGGCCATATACGAGAGATGAATGGTATGGAGGGACCAAACGGACGAGATCCGCCTTTTTGGTATAGTTGATCTACTGCTCTAGCATCTGACTGATGATAAATAATTACTAAGTTTGAGGAACACGTTCACAAAATGTTATTGTTCAGGTGTTTTGGTACCCTCCACACTGCAATGGAGAGCCGTTGCAGGGAGAGCCGTTGGAGAGGGTTTATTGGAGTAGACGGAGAGGAACATTACCTCATCATTCTGATTTGGTTAGTCTCTTTAGAGCTCCCGCGCTACCAGTTATACTAATACTAAATAGGAAAATGGTCCCCTGTCGCCGCTGGAAAGCCACGGACCCACTTGAACTACCATCTCTCTCAACTTACTACTGTAAGTTACACTGTTGACTACAATTGAGCACCGCGTGTACCTTTCCCATTGCCTGGAGACTGCTTACATTTAAAAAGAATTTATGGGCCAAAGTTCCCATATATAAATTGCAAAATGCAAACAATCGTGTCATTTCTTGCATCGGATCTTTCCCCCAGATCCGGATACCGGCAACCTTATTAGGAAGTTTCAAGGGTCCCCACTTCTGAGATCTTGAGATACAAAACCCGCATCGAGCTTATTTTTTAGACCTTGTCACGAGATACAGTGTGAAATGGAGGTTCACAAGTCTTACAAAATTGGAGAGTAGGTGATTTTCATATTGATGAAAATGTATCAAAGCTTTACTCATGCCTCCCATTCGTGCAGCAACAATGCCCGCAAAGCTCCGAGTGGGAGAAATGAAGCCCACACGGCTCGACATGGTCAAGGTCGCTTTACTTTTGTCAACACAAGTAATCCGAAAAAGCCTAAAGATCGTTCTGTTCAGCGTGTCATTCGAAAACATGTCATGCGGGATATAGGCCATGCTCGAAGACGCAATGGTAACTACGGAAGACAAAACCTTTTACAGATACCCACATTTCTCTTATCAGAGGATGCCTCCAATGACTTTATGAATCAATTATCCGAAATCTCAAACGCTGGCCCTGTCATCCCGGCACCAATGGTGTTTGAAGCCACGCCAGACTCACGTCCGTCGAATTCTCCGGTCAGCGAGGCTGAAGCGGCCTCAGATTCTGCTTCGGTTCAAGTCAAAGAAGACCAGGGCTTGCTAGCAGCCTGCAAACTTAGCCCTTTTACCTCGCCGAGTAAAGCCTTTTCTGATCCCTTTTTAAGTTATCCAATTGAAATGGATAGCCGTGCGCATTGGTTGATAATCAATAGTCAGTCGAACCCATATAGAATTTTGATTCTGTCGGTATCGAATTAATTCTTACGAGTTTCGCAGTTTTTGATGACAGACATGCCAACTTTCAACCCTTTCGGGACATATGGTTTCCACTTGCGCTATCGGATGGGGCTGCCTTCCATCAATTGCTCTCCAATTCAGCTTTGCACATTACTTCGCTTCGTCCAATTGATCGCCAACGAGAAGCATTTGAAGCATTGTCTCATCATGCGGTAGCTCTTATGTGCGTTCAGAACCGACTTGCGGATCCAACGGTAGCTATAAGCGACGGTATTATCGCTTCCATTATTGGTTTTGCTTGCCACGACGTATGTGCCCATTTGTTCCTCCCACTTGTATATTTTGCGCGCAGAGTTTCTTTCATCTTGATGATCACATCTTCTGACAATACTCTAGCATATGACGAGTAACTTCGAAACCTGGCGAGTACACATGAACGGCCTGAAGAAAATTGTAGCATTGCGAGGTGGCCCGGATGCATTAAATGAAAATCGCTTATTGCGATTGATATTGACGTGGTACGCCTGGGATTCCTTCCCATTGAGTCACCCATCCCCAGCACTAAGATCTCGATAGGGTCGATGTAATAGGTAGCTGTGCACAAGATGCAGCGCCAGTGTTCCCACTTCCTGATAGTTTCTCTTCTGGGCTTCCATTGTTCGATTCGGCCAGTGGGTTCCCGCCATTGGTCAAGAGAGTCTGTAACAGGTGGCGGCAAGACTTTCCCCGAGCTTCAGAGATTAGCTTCATCTTCGAGGACCTTAGCCTCGCTATTGAGTATCTAGCCTTGGAAGCTAAGATCAATCCTTTACGGGTTTGGAGCGATTATGGCATTGTCGGGTTCTGGTTAATGCCGCTCATTCATCGCCTGCTCTCCCTTTTGAGCCTTAATGGTACCACAGAGCATGAGCCTTCTCATGATTTGGAACATATCTGGCGTCTAGGAATGATTCTTTTTCTCGCTGACATTCGAAGAAAGGCTGGCTTCGCACCCATGCTAACTCGAATCCCACTTATGCATCTGAAGGCTCATATTGAGAATCTCTTTCTATTGCCCGATGATCATTGCGTGCGAAAATTCTGGGAGCTTCAACTCTGGGTACTGGCATACGCAAGCATGGAAGCAACTTACGATCCAGCTTACAGAAAATGGTTCGTTAGCCACTTGGCCGCTGCGATTATGAAGTACTGTGGCGGCTCTTGGTCGGTGGCGGAACGCTGTCTAAAGGCCATGCCGTGGATAGATATTGTCCATTCAACCAAACTGGATCAGCTTCGAAATGACATCTCTGCTCGCATCTTTATATGTACGAAGTAAAATGTCAAGGATTATATGCGAAAATTCCTCCCCTCGGTCCAAAAGAAGGCATTTGCAAACTTAATAGATGAGTGCTCCATGTGGGTACGCTCTCACCGAATGGCTCGATAGCTCGTACCGCTAAACTATGACACAAGACGAAGATGGAACCGCCCATTAACCGGTAAATCTTGACCACCCACGGACTTTGTGCCCATAGACAAAGAGCAAGATCGGCGCGGGTATGAAGGCTATACATAGAAGCGCAAGCAAGGTCGTCGCCCAATCCACGCCAAGTGTGTGATACATGGCCACAGCAAACATTGGGAAACCCGCTCCTGCCAAGGATCTAACAAATGTGTTCGCTGCAATTGCGCTATTTGCATAAGGTCCATAGCAATCGACGATATAATTCAGTCCTTGCCAGAAGCCGACATAGATTCCCATACCCGCCGGGACACCGGCCAAGACTTGTGGTACCCAAGTCATCTTTGGACTACTTGTCCACGCAAACCAAAATAAGCCGATTGGAAGAGCCATCGCCCCCAATATCATCGGCGGAAGTCTCTCCTCCGGAATGACCTTGTTCCCGCTCTGAATATACTTCCGCCTAAATCTAGTTCTTGTCGACACAATCATCACCGCGGATCCTAAGCCGACTCCGACGATTATTGAAATAAATGGCAGGCTTCCGACCCCTAAATTCCATCCACGCTGCTCTTGGAATGACACGGGATATGCTTCCAGGAAAAGGTACAAGATCCCATAAATGAACGAGAGGTACAGCGTCACAAGCAAGAGTATAGGCTCTCTGATCAGCAAATAGAATGGCCGAAGCAAGTACACGGTTGTGATAGTCTTCAAGTGCAGTGGTGCTTCGTCTTTGGCTGCATGGATGGCCCAGTTGTGCGTCTCGTGCCTGACCTTCTTCGCCCGTCGCTGTAGGATCGTTGGTCCATGAGTCTCTGGCACGATAATAAAAGCGAGCATTCCAAAGAAGGCATTCATGATCAGGGTTATCCATGCTGTCCAGCGCCAGCCGAGATGTGATTGGGTGATGAAACCGCCCATGATGGGAGCACCCACCGGACCGATAAATGTGCCGCCGCCAAAGATACAGATTGCCATGGTGCGATCAATTGGGTTCCATATGTCCGCCAGGGCTCCGCCGACGACTGCCAAAGGTGCAGCTCCGAAGCAACCTCCCCAAAACCGGCAGATCATGATGGTTTCAAGGTTTTGGGCGACAGCAACTGGAATCTGGAAGATGCTGAAGCAGAAGAAGCCGATAAATAGCGGGGTTTTGCGACCAAAGAGTTCGCTGAAAGGATCCCAAAAGATTGGCCCAAAAGAGAAACCCTGCGGGATACAGAATATGAGCATTCTTGTTGATATTGTGGATGCTAACGGGGAGACAAGTGAACTTACCAAGACAAATAATGACGTGCCCAATGTGGTCACCTCTGGGGAAACATGGAACTCCTTGGCCGTTGCATCCGTTGCTACACTGAATACACTTGATGCAAATGTGGCACAAATAGCCATTATTCCCATGAAGACTGTGATGATCCATTTCCGTAGCCTGGAGAAATTCATTGGGTTATCCGGATCCGATGGAGAGGACCAATCAATGAGGTTTGGATCAGGTTGAGGTTCATTTTCGTGCCTCTCCATTGTGTTCAGGGACTGCGCATCTGCTCCTCCTTCATGTTCAGGGTGCTGATCGGACGAGACTCTGGTGCCTGTGCTATCCGGAGGAGTGTAACCTTTCTCAACGTCGGTATTAGGTTCAATGGAGCCAGAGCGTGGCGAGACATCACGAAGCTTCTGACTTTGTGCTACCTCTACTGCTGCCATGAGTTGCTTTTTATGCGGAGAAACTTTACAGAAGTTTCCTTGGCGGTAAGGAATCTAAGATTTCTCTATGAGTTTGATGCTAGTTGATCGGGTTTTCATGTCAATTCTTAAGTTATTTCATTAATTATTCTAGCTGTGCGAGCTATAATAGAACGATCTATAAAACATCACGGCAGTTGGTGATTTCTTAGCATACACATGATTAATTGGATCTGACAGCGTCATGACGTCGAAAAATGTGTTTAATTAGTAATTATAAATGAAGTCAATTGAGCGGATCTATCGGTGCTTGTGAGACTGGGGAATGCCAAAACAGGTGTTTACAATGCTTTAGATGTCTGAAAGAGTCTTGACCCTTCTCGGAGTTGACGGAGTTGCGGCAGGGAATAACCAATTTGGGAAGATTTCCCCGGAGTCGAGTCCGTGCTGGTTTCGGGGCCTTAAATGGGAAGGGCTCCGGCCCAGGACCTGGGCTTGACTCCCCTCGCTCGGTAGGCTGACGGCAGGACGGAAACTACGGCGATAATACAAAGTACGGCGCACGGTGTAGATCAGTGCCGACATTTGATAATGATGATGATGATGCCATGCCGCCACCATGGCCAACGATTCTTTGCCCACACCTGTTGATCTGCTAAGCTCATCGGGTTTCAACGGCTTTTCGAGACCGCTAGGCTAGACAAGCTTATAGCAGTACAGTCAGCGTGGTTGATCTGACTTATTTGTGCTGTTGAAACAACAGAAACCACCATGCAGATTTGCACCGCATAAGTCTGCACGCATTGATCTGGCTCCACGCTCATAGGAAAGCTCTCACGCTGCTGCCTACTTCTTACGTCAAGGAGAGATCACCATCTTTGGGTTCTCTGCCCTTCCCAAATATAAATTGCATATCTATATCCCCTGACTACGGGAATTCGCTCTACCAATGATCTCAACGGGGATCTATAACTAAATACAAAAATTATCAAGATGTTTACTACCTTTGCCGCTGCCCCAGCACCCCACCGCCGCCGTCACCGCCAAGATGGCCGAAGAAGGAGGTCAAGGTCGCTTTCATCATCATCAGATTCCCCCCGTCCAAGGAAGCAAGTCGCTAGAGCATGCGACTTGTGCCGTCTCAGTCGAGTTCGGTGTGATGGCCAGCAGCCATGCCAAACTTGTTTAAGAAAACAATATCAGTGCGTTTATGATGAGAGCAGAAACGTACGGACTCTGGCGGATGCTATGAAGTACGTGAACTATTTTTTATCCTCTATTCAATGTCTATTCCGTGGTGGAATAATCCCACCTTTCTTTGTTTTATTCCACATTACCCAGATCATTTCTCCCAGCCCGTTAGTCTGAATGATAGTTCAAATACCTTTCTCGTTATATGTTTTTATATGCATCAAATTTATTGTGAGCTCAAGGTATTATATATTGAGGTATCCGAGCAATAAAGAAAAGTCCTGAGATGATTTGAGAATATGCTAGCCATTATATGCTGATTCTGGTGGGCCTTTAGCTTTGTTGCAAGATATTCGAGCTGATGAATCTGGTTCTACTAGGGTTATTGATAGCTTGCGGGCTGAAACCAAATTTTTGAAGGAGCAACTGTCACCAGCAGCCAATCGCCAAAGCCAGACCAATCGTGGAATCTCGCGCCAGGAAGGGTTCAGTCACATACCGCAGCAGAGCGGTGCTCTGCACAATTCACAGGCTAGAAGAAGATCAACAAGTCCTCTCCGGCTCGACACGCACCCCCGAAGTCCATTTTGCACGTCAGATTTTGCGGATCGATTAGAGGCCTTCCTTCAGGATGCCCTTGAAGAAGAATGCCATCCAGTTATTGATACCTTCACACCTGCGTCGCTTGAATTGGCATCATTTAGAACAAATCACGCTTTTTTTAGCGCCTGGGATCCCGGACCCCCTAGGGGTGCAGACTGGGCCCTATCGCGCCCACAGGAAGAGTTCTATCTGTCTCTTTTCTGGCAAGCCCACCACTGTCTTGCCCCAATTGTGAACGAATCAGAGTTTAAAGAGCTCTTTGAGGCACTATGGAGCTACCCGATGAACGCCGGCACAAGGAGACATCCCTCTCCTTTGGTTGACATTGTCATGGCTTTATGTATACAATGGGGCGCCAATTTTATCGAAAGTCCGGATCACCAAAAGGTGGCAACAGAGGCCGAAGACACTAGCTTTTCAGGATCGCAGTACTACCGTCGCTGCATGTGCATCCTTGTTCAGGATCTTGAGAGTCCCTCACTTTCGACAGTCCAGTGCTATATCTATGCTGTCATTTACCTAAGTAACGCAACATTGCTAAGTATGTCGTACAATTTGCTCGGTCTAGGTTTCCGTGTCGCATATTCGATTGGCCTGCATGATGAGACATCTCTCAGTGAGTCTGCGCCGGATCGACAGTTACGTCGGCGAATTTGGTGGACTTTAGTGTTCCTCGACACAATCATCTCTCTCCAGCTGAGCCGACCGGCGGCTGCTGAGAATTCTCATATTCCGTTTCCCTCCGATGACGAGGATACAGCCCAAGCAGCTGGACCAAATTTTTCTAGCCTGTCAAAGGACCAAACGTGGCTAAATTACCATGTCCAGCTTACCAAAGCAGTGACTATTGGGAAAACAATTTATGATAATTTCCTTGAACACCACACCAAAACCCTCCAGTATAATCATGTCGACGCGATTGACGACGACCCCGCGACTCGAGAATTATGCGCAAAATATCTGACGGCGATAGTGCGGCCGCTTCATGCATGGCGAAGTGAAGTTTCTCCCCATCTAGTAAACAGTCGAAGGGCAAGCGGCAAACCATTTTCCACTGACAGAACAATGCTGGAATTGGACGGCACTCTGCCTCTGTGGCAGCAGCGACAACGCATTCTCTTGGAGCTATTTTATCACAACATGCTCAATACGCTCCATCGACCTTTTATCAATTTGAGCCCTTCAAGAACGAGAACTACCAAAACACCAATCACTGCCCCAGTAGCTGACGGTCATGCTATCACATGTCTCAATCATGCTGTTACCATGACCATGATCCTCCACCAAGTGTTGACCGAAACAGATATTCTTAACGGTTGGTACGATTTATTATACCACCAGTGGAGCGCGATGCAGTCTTTGTTGGCCTTCATCATTGCCTACCCAGCATGTCCACCCACACCGACAGCTTGGAAATTTGCAAAGGTTGCCATTGACTGTTTCGACATCCTCGGAGAGAAATGCACCCTTGCAACAAGGGCTGCAGGCATCTCACGAAGCGTTATTTCAAAGGCAAAGCGACGAAGTGAGATCTTTCGTTCGAGAATCACCTCGTCAGAAAGCCGTCCGAATGCAGTGGCAGCGAGCACTTCACAATCTCACCCGCCATCGTTCCTGTCTCCACCGGATGAGCCCAGAATATCTAATGGTTTCAATGGGTTGCTTTCGCCGACCGACTTAGCGCTCTTCAACGAACGTGAAAGTTCATGGAATAGTGACGCCTGGTCAACTGTGGAGATTTCACATACTGGGTTTGGTCTTGACGACCCTTCAAATATATCTGGCGCTTTGTAAAAGGGAGAATAAAATATTGTGTAGAGAATCATATATTTTATATCAGTAAATTGAGTACATCGAGCTGAAAGATTTTGATGAATGCTAAATATTAAGCAAAAGATCTTCTGAAGGCAAGACCAAAAAAAATTAATTCTTCATGTCTAAAAGATAATGATTGTATTTTCGTTGACACTCCAACGTAGATTCTCACCAGATAGGCTCGACACTGGAGGTGGACAGTGACGCTATTCCACTTTCGTCAAACAGCCAGAGCTTTGCGCCAGAGCTCCAGACCACCTCGCACTTCTTTTCGGGACAACCCACGTTCCATACTTTCAGATTCGGAGGATAATAATATGCTGATGCACTACTAACAAGGCAAAACTGGGACAAAGTACGGTCCTATACAATGTTTGATATCTAGCATTGTTTTGCTAAAAATCCTCTTTCCATAATGTCCACCCAAACGTCTCCAGACCGCTCTAGCCCGCGGGGGCTGTCCCAGGAAAGCTCCGAGTGGAGCTGGCAGGGAATTGGAGATTCTTCACAGAGTCAGAGCAATCAAGAAAGAGCCGAGGGCGACACATTATCCAATGATGAGGAGTATGACCGACTACTTGATGAGACAGCCCTGGAGGAGCGGGACTACTATGCAATGCTGGGACTGCCCCGGCAGCCGGCCCCTACTCCGCCTCAGATCCGTTCGGCCTTTCACTCATTATCCCTGCGCTTGCATCCCGATAAACAACCGCCGCATTTACAAGAGATAGCAAAAGAGCAGTATGTGCGGTTGCGAACTGCATACGAGACGCTCATCAACCCGCAAAAGAGGGTCGTATATGATGTGCTTGGAGAAGAGGGGGTCAAAGCAGAATGGGGGCCAGGCGGGTCGATGGCAAAGGGCGGCGAAGCCGAGAGCACACAGGTTGGAGTCAAGGCTATGACACCGGCGGAGTTCCGGCGTTGGTTTCTGCGTCTGATGAAAAGAAGAGAAAGACAAGCATTGGAGGAGTTGGTATCCAGCAAAGTACGTCATTTTGCGGCCACTTTGCAATTGCCCCTTGAGATATCCTGCACGGAGTCACACACAATTACACAAACCTCCAACTCGATTTTCTGTGTATTTAGCTATTACACTATTACAGTTTCTGTTTTCCAAATCACGTTTCACCCTTTTACCTTAACACTGAACTGACCTGCATTTTTTTCAAGAGCCATATCCGCGTCAACCTCGATGCCGTGGGTTTCTTCCACCCTGACGTAATTCAAAAGCTACGGGCCGTGTCCGGTCTCATGGGCGATCACTCTCTTGCAAAGGCACCGCCTCCGTTACAGGCCACTGAGCTTGAGCTAGGACATGAGTTCGATGTACCTTTGCCGTCGCTAGGAAAGCTGATCAACACAAGGCTTGGGTTGGTCTCAAATGGCAACAACAAGGATGGGACCCACGTTGAGCCGGACTGGGAAGAAGAGACCGGGGATGATACCCAACTTACCGTGTCTGCTGGCATTGAGGGAAATATTATTGGGTTTGCAGCGAAACCAAAGCACCATCATGTTGAGGACGAGGACGACGGCGAAGAAGGGGTCTGTCAAAGAATGTTCAGATGTTTTTATCCTGTAAGGTTGACTAACTTGCATCTAGTATTCTCTCACAATGCCCGGGGTTCTTGCCCGCCAATTTTCGCTTGGCTTTGACATTGAGCATGCATTTCCGGAGAAACCCATCTCAAGCGTCAAAGAGCCGAACCCGGCCAGCTCGTTCCTTCATGGCACGATGGTTGGTCTGAGGACCGAATTACTTCCTGAGCGTCGGATACAAGCATCGCTCACTCGTCCAATAACATTGATCGAAGGGACGCAACCATTCTTCTGTCGCATACAGACAACTTTTCAGAAATCTTTGCTTACCGGGCCTCCTTCAGTGGAGGTGACCGTCACAAGGGCAGTTGGACTAGGCAAGACGCTCTTCTGCTCATGGTCATCGGGCTCCAGTGTTTGGCCACCGTTCGTACAACAGCTTTTCAGTAGGTTTATGCCCAACGGCGAAGAAGGCGGGGCGACTGCTGTGCTTTCCACCGTGGTGCCAAGAATGGTCGTTGGGATCAGCGGAGCTCTTAGCCCTGCAGTTGCAGAAGCTACACAAGAATCTACGGCAGATGGCCGGGTGCAAAAGCATCCTTCCAGCAACCGGACTTGGAACGTTCAACTCATGGGTTCCGTGTTTGGAAACCAGTTGAGCGCTACATATGGACAAGACTTTTTTGCAAGTGCGTCAACGGCTCCAGTGCGATCCGCGTTTACGAGGTCCGGAGAGTACAGCGGCGAGGACTCTTCGTCCCAACATATCGAAGGCTCTCGTGGCATTCGAGTAGAGGTTGAAGGTAGGATAGGACCTTCGGCATCCTTTGCTTGGCAGATCCGAGGCCTCCGACGAATTGGCAACTTTACTCGTATTGGAATGGGTGTCGGTCTTCAGGGTGTCGATGGGGTGTTTGTAGCCTTTTCATGGAATCGACTCGGACATTCCATTGACGTGCCAGTCCTCGTATGTCCTTTAATGCTTCTCAGCGTAAAGGCCGTGGTGCTTGCATTGTCCGTACCAGTGGGAGCCTATTCGCTGCTTGAATTCGGCCTTATCAGACCGCGATCTCGGCGACAACGGAAAACCAAGTTGGCAAAGCGGCGAAATGAGCTTCAAAAGCTTGTGGATGGTCGCCGGGAGGAGGCTCAACAAGCTAGCCGACTGATGGAGAGAGATGTGATGGTGAAGCAGGCCCAGGAGGCAGAGCGCAATGGTTTAGTCATTCTCAAGGCCGAGTATGGCTCAAAGGAAGCAATGGCACCTCGCCGGCCTGACCCGAGACGACGCCAGTCCCGTGACGAGATCGCAGACGTTACAATTGCGGTAGCGGCGCTGGTTGATGAAGGCCAGCTCTCAATGCCCCGAAGGCTCCAAAGAGTAAGTTTTTTTTATTGAGATTCCTGCTCTACTGCAATACCAGTGGAAGAACATATCTGTTCCAGAAACGCAAGCTCGGATTTACTGACGCATTATAGTCTGACATTGTTGGATTCTATGACCCTGCACCTCTCCAGAAGAAGAGACTCCGCGTACGATACCTTTTCGCTGGTCGAGAACACGTCGTCGAGGTGGATGACGACGAATCACTGACTTGTCCAATGAGATCCCACCGAACGAGCACATAGAAGTATTTGGACGAGATGTACATATTATCATTTTTTTGTGTAAAAAGCTCCCCTTCTCCGTAATCATTCACTTCATATATTTACTTTATTTCTGGACTCCGGTACGCTTTTGAGGAATCATAGAGAGGGCATTCGGTGCAAATGTTGTGTAACTCGACCTGCGCAGGTATCCGTCGTGGTCTCCACATCTGCTCTCTGAAGGAAAAAGGTCAGTGGCTATCTCGAGCTCATAATGCCCAGACTTGACCGCTGTTGTCGACTCAGCTCTTATTTGTTCAGTTCAGGGGGAGGTTGTGCAACCCCCGCCATTGGCCCCCTCTCTTTCCTCTTGTCATCTGAGCCGAGAGAGGCAGCCACTGCAATCTCAGCTTGACAACCAGACATTCTCACTTCAGACTCGTTTTTTTATTTTCCTAGATGTGATACTTGCTTGAGAAAAGCCCAAGAAAGATGTGTATCCCCTGCTGGAAGTTTGAAGAGATCATCCTCGAAGAACCACCCCCGAAGCCCAAGGTCAAGGCTTCTGCTGAGCAGACTCCGACACGGGTGATGATGCCAGCCGTTACCTATTACGTACGTACAGCCAGTGACGGCTTTCTTTTACTGCTCACTCTTGCCTTCTCGCGTCGCACTTCACTCCTCCTCCTCTTTTTCTCGCTACGCACTTAGCCACCATCATTCCCCATCCTTCAACACCCCCCAAAACCTCTATTTTTCATCTTCCATCACAACTCCAAAGAACGGCAAATCATCTTCCAGGATCACAGCCGACGCCTCATGGGGTCAACAAACTCCATTCTGACTCCCCACTCGGTCTCGTCTTAATCCCATTCTCCTGGGTGAAGATCAAACAATGAATTATCCCTTCTATTCTCCCGCAGTCCCTCCTCTGCAGTATACTTACCCTCCGCCGCAGTCACCTCAGCCTGTTGCACCTGGACAATACGGCCCGAATCTCAATGTGTGGCGCTACAGGCCACCCAAGCCTGAGACTGGGGCTGCACCGCCTGCGCCGCCTCCTCCGCCGCATCCACCTCTAGCACCTGCACAGGCAATTGCCCCCAAAGACATTCTAACTTACAAACCAAGACCTGCTAACCATGCTGCTCACACACAGCCTGTTGCGTCTGATCCCGTTGCACTGCCGGGTGGTCCTATGAACATCTGGCGGTACAAACCACCGGGCAAGGCTCAATCTGAAAAGCAACAATGTGCTCCTCAAGCAGCCCCGGCTCCGGCTGCATATCAGGTGCCGGCGGGATACTACCCATCTTACCCGGCCCCGGTGGCGTTGCAGTATCCTCAATTCCCCTACGGATACGCTCCGTATGGTCACTATGCACCCAGTCAGCCTGTCGTCTTTGCGCCGCAGCCACAGCCTCCGCCAGCTCCAGCTCCCGCCGCTCCGGCAGCCAAGCAACACGTGCAGGTGCATCGAGTCTGGCCTGGTGCTACCAAGGCGCAGATTGATGCTGAGAATCTTCGTATGGCGGAGAAGTTTGGAATTAACAAGGCGGTTCCCCTAGTCCCGACTGACACTGCTGCCGATAAAATGTACTGGTTCCGAGACCTGGACGGGAACCATTATCTGGCAAATTACGGAACCATTTCATCGGAGCTCAGTCCGGGTTATTGGGTGCTTGGACCCCAGGGAACCCCTATGTTCGTCAGAGAGAAGAAGAATCAGCAGTGATGATGTTGTTGATGCTGAGAGCTTGACGGGGATCTGTAGTTGGAGAGCTGAAGAGCAAGAACTTTATTTCATGGGGAGCGAAGATGTGGAGATTCTTTTACAATTTGACTGCTTGAGCTGCTTCTTTGTGGGGAGAATTATTCGGTACAGAACGGCAGCGAAGCTCCTTTTGACGCTTTCATGGCCTATGTTATTTACGGAGCGATATTGTTGACTGGAGGGTCTGATGAAGTTGGCATGAATAATCCCAATTGCTCTTCAATGCAACGTTTATCCATTCTCCTATATCTTTATATGCAGCTGAGTACTTTTTTGAAATATATCTCCTAGAGATATATCGCTTATCGCGTGTTTTGCATGATCTCTATCTAATCCGTCCAGCACCGACCGTTGACTGGTAAACTGTATGGTATAGATATGACGTAGCCGAGCGCATGTCATTTCTAGTTAAGTTTCCATCCACCGCCCACCACAGGAACAACAGAAATTATTAATTTTTCCCCACATGGTGCGACTGGTCTCTTGATGACGCTCTCCCATCCCACCTCTGCTTCTCACTATTCAACTCGCTCCATCTGGCACACGATCATCTTCTTATCCATCTTCATACTTGCCTTTTTTCCCAACTTTTTCATCAGCCTCGTTGGTTTCCCATTTCGAAGCTTGCGCTCTCCTAGCAAATCCCATTCTCTCGAACACAACAATTGTATGTTTTTTCCCTCTTCTCCGTCGCGTATACAGTTTCGATACGGACTTATTGTCTTACTGCGTATTCACGTTTGTCGCAAAAATGTCCCATGTTTCTTTCGCATTGGCTTTTGCATACCCCATCCGAGAAACAGAGAAAGCACTTTTGAGCCAGAATACTTTGCTTCTCCCCAAGAGCCAAGAATCCCAATTTTGTCGCAATTCGGTTTGACTAACTCTTTGGCCGGTTTGGCCATATCTAGCACCTCCAAATACACAAACAAGCAACATGTCCTGGGTCCAGAAACAATTCACCCTGTCGCCCAAGAGCCGCGGCTCGTACCTGATTGACGACCAAGTGCTGGCCGCGGTCCCCGAGATTCGCAACTACAAGGTCGGCCTGCTGAACCTGTTCATCCAGCATACCTCGTGCGCGCTCAGTCTGAATGAGAACTGGGACGAGGAAGTGCGCGAGGACATGAGCGATGCGCTGGACCGCATTGCGCCCGAGGATCGCAAGGGAAACTTGTACAGACATAGTGCCGAGGGATTGGATGACATGCCTGTACGTTTGATCCCCCCTTCCTCCCCTATTAACTTTTTGTCTCCCCGTTACCGGATCAAGGAATGCTGTGGAAGAAAAAAATACTAATGTTTGGATTGATAGGCACATATCAAGTCGGCCCTGATTGGCGCGAGCGTGACGGTTCCGATCAAAGATGGAAAGCTGGCGACAGGCACATGGCAGGGAATTTGGTACCTCGAGTTCCGCGCCCACCGGCACTCGCGCAAGGTCGTTGCTACGCTCCAGGGCGAGAAGGCGTGAATCGGTGGATACGAAAATGATGATGATAATGATGGTATAAGGGAGCGTGAATTGGGGAAGTTGTAGATTGATTTGGGTCAGAGATTATGTGGCCTATATGGATGATGCGATGATACCGTTAAATGCAATGGAGTTGTGAGCGGGGGCGATGAAATGTTCAGAGACAGATATCATGGGTGGGAGTGTTGAGCCCCTTTATCAATGAGACATATCTCAGAAACAGCAACTAGACTGAGATGCAGAGATAGTATAATGAAACGAAACATTAATCATGAATCTGCAATTATCGTAATATCTCATTATCAACAAAGCTCGTAATGATTGCGACAGACTGGTCTAGTAACGATCACGCATAAAATAAAAAGCATATGCTCCGACTTCTCATGCAATTGGCTACATCATGAGATACATGCTGCACCTGGTATGCACAATATCAACGCTGAGCCAGAGGCTCATCCGTAATCTGCTGCGACTCCTGCACTTCTGCCGTATCGCCCTTTGGTCCAAGCGGGTATGACGTTGACGGCTGCGACTCGAGCAGTTTGCGATGATGCTCGTGGGCCTGATACCTAGTCAGTCACACAACCACCGTCGAGTATCGCCAGAGACGAGCTCAAGGAGAGTGGAGGGGAAGGGAAGGCGCGTACAAATGGCAGACCGCAATAAGTGCACCAGCAAATCTGGGGTTTATCCACATTGATAAAAATCTTGGGGTGGCCGAGCGGTCCTCCGCCGCCATCGCATGCCACAACGGACTCGTGCGTCCACCGCACAGGTTGCTTATGGATCAATTCGATTGCAGAGTACGGTTGCGGCTGATGTAATTAGCAAAAGTTTTCCCATTCCGTATATCATTCTCCTTCTTCCACTCCTTCCATCCAATATTTCCAAGCAAGACGAATTGCCGAATGAGCAGAGTCTAGATCATGCTCAAATGTACATAACAGAGGAGATGCGTGGACCAAAAAAAGAAAAAAAAAAAGAAAGGGACGTACTTGATACTCCATAACAGTCTGTTCGAATCTCGGCCCAACCATGGCCTTGTCTCGAGGCTGCTGACTGCGCGACCAAATCGTCGCTCGATTCGGCGCTTGCATTTGCCGCTGCGATTCCGCAGACTCGGCCGACTCCTGCAATGCCTGGTCCTGGCCTCCTGCCGAAGAGGTAGGCACATTGTCTGTCCCACGTGCTGACGCACCCTTTTGCGCTGGGCCAGGCACGTTGGACGGGTTCGGGTTGTCCGTGGGGTAAGTATCTGTTGAGTAGGCATGGCTATTGAGGCGTAGGGAGAAGGTTGTCGTTGCTGCACGAGTGCAGAGATGAGGCGTGCTCGATCGGAGCAGGACGATGCGAGAACGTAATAGAGACATGATGGTTCTGAGGAGAGATTGGATATCGGTCGATGAAAGGTATAGTAGTTATGCGGAGAAGTGGTTCTATGGCTTCAACTATATTACCCCATACTCACTGGCCTCACAACACCCGGCTGGGGTACGTATCGTAGTACTCCGTAGCATATCCGCCCATCCCGCCTGGGGGTGCGCTAGTCCAGCTTAGGCAAGTTTCCGTCTAGACAGTAATGTGAGGGGTACAAAGTACAAGAGACATGTAACTTACTGTTTATCTTCTCGGAGAAAACATTCGCCGGACCGAAGAGCCAACTGCAAAATATCATAGCAACTCTCTGAGACAGCAACACTTATCGAGCATACCTCTATATCTCACAACTCAACAATCATAACATTTTCTCTTTGAGCACCCTTTTTTCTTCAGCCGCATCTTCAATTTATATTTCAATCCAATAATACAGAGGAGAAGACGAAGCATAGCAACGAAACGTCATCATGTCCTCGAAGCCATCAACCCCGGCGAAGCCGCCAAAGCAAATGTCTTCGCGGCTGCTCACCATGAAGGTATTCTCCTTTTCCTCCCTCCTATTTTCATCCCTCCTATTTTTATATCATCTTGGCACATATCTATTGCCCTTTCATAAACCTTCTTCCTCTATCAATTGTACCAAAATTGACGTATGTCCTACAAAACAGTTCATGCAACGCGCCGCGGCATCCGCATCTCCATCTAGCCCCGCCACGCCCGACGGCCCGTCTCCCAAACGCCAAAAAACGTCCCCATCAGGAGGAAAGGGCGCAGCATCGGCGTCGGCGGGGGGATCAGACTCGGACGCGATCAAAGCCGCGCTCGAAGCGGAGGAAGCCAAGCGGCAGGAAGCGCTGGACAAACAGGCGGCCGAAGCAGGCGAGACGAAATGGGTGCTGAGCTTCCGGGACGGAGACAGCGGCGCCGCTGACGCTGATGATCAAGCGCGGTCGTCGTCAACGTCAACGTTAGCTTCTGGGACGGGGAAGCTTAGAGTCGTGCATGCGGGATACGCGGGGATAGATGCGCCGACGTCGACGTCACCGTCTGGTCCTCGCAGGATCGTGAGCGGTGATGGTGACGATGATGCAGATGACACTGTGGAAGAAGAAGGACAAAGCGGACTGGTTGGACGGAGAAGTTTTGGCAAGTTTAATAAGACGCTGGAGGTACGATTACATTCCCCACCCCCCTTTTCATCCGTCTATTTTATTTATCCCTCCACCCGAGTTTTTCACTTTGGTTTGTATATACATGAAAATTACTGACATACGATGGGCACAGAAACAGCGAAAAGCGCACCGGAAAGCACACGAAGCCGAGTCCAACGCCGACAGACCCGACAGATCCGACAGAAAAGGAAACGAAGACGACGACGACGACGATGACGAGGAGGAATCATCAGACGAGGACGAGGACGAGGATGAAGAAGAACAAGAAGAAACCAGACGCAAATACACGCCCCGCAAAGAAGTCAATCTGAATAAACTCAGTTCGATATCTGGCGGCGGAGCGGGACTCTCGTCGTCGTCGAGACAAGGGCCGAATGCAGCAGACATGGACTGCTTCAAGTGCGGTAAACGAGGACATTTGAAAAAGGACTGTCCAGCCGGTGCGGCCCGTTCAGCGAGTGCAGTTAGAGGGAAGAAGGGCAAGAGAAAGTCGACATGATCAATTAACAGTTCATTGTGCACTCATTTCAATAGTTTTTTTTTTCCTAGTGGATGATGATAGCATTAGTTGTGGGCGGGATACGCTGTTGATTGGCGCTTGCATGGGATATCCGTGTTTCGTAAGTATAGGTACTTTGTAAATTAGATTCTGTAGGATAAAAGTATATGTGTACTGTCCATGTTTGTTCATTCGAGGGGTTATAAAGTAAAAGTCTGTCTGTGCAGGCGTGGAAATGGTGACCGAAAAGTAAAGCAATGTTTTATGCCATTTTGTAGTACACTATTCGCTCACTTTTTAAATACAATCAAAAGAGACAGGCCAGCTATCTTTGATGGTCGTCATCATATATGGTCATCATCCTCCACAGAGTCGCACTGGAGCCAGCCATTTAACAGAGTCTTGTAAAAAAACCAGTTTACCACGGGAGCTCAGCACCGTCGTACTGGTTGAGACCCTCCTTCTTCTCCCATCCGGGCACGCGGATGTTGAAGAACTTGCCGTTCTTGTCGGGGGTGGCGCTGTAGACAATGTCCAAGACGGCCTTGGCGCCGACGTCGCTGGGCAAGTCGGCGGCAGAGCTGCCCAAGTCGGTTTGGCACCACTGATTAATGTTAGTTGTTGATACAGCAATTGCATATACGAGCAGAGAAGAAAGTGCCGAGGATGAAAAATGAGAAGACTTACGCCAGGGCTGAGAGTGACAAAGGTGAATCCCTTCTCGGCATACGCCTGAGCGTACTGAACAGTCAACATGTTCAGAGCAGCCTTGGAGACCTTGTAGGCGGGGACAGGGAAGAGCGCATAGTTCTTGGACATGGCAATGGATCCAAGGCTGGTCGAGCTGTTTTCTTTTAGTCAGTAATGGTGGCAGAGTAAACACGGGTGAAGCAACGGCACGTACACGTTGACGACCTTCTTCAAGTTGCCCTTCTCAAGGACAGGAAGGAGTGCACTGGTGGCAATGTGCGCGCTGGCAACGTTGACCTTGAAGCTCGACTCGAGGTCGTCCCTAGCGATTTCTGTCAGTAATTCTCATTGTATAGTTGTGATAGCCTTGTGACATTGTTGTTGATGCATTCCGCGAGATACAGTGGCTGAATGTAGAAAATGTAAAAGTTGACAAAGGTATAGGCAGGTAAACATACATGGTGTTGATGCCATTGGGGCTGTAGTTCATGATACCGGCGTTGTTGATCAAGACGTCAAGGCCCTTACCGCCAAGGACCTTCTCGACTTCCTTGGCGGCGTCCTTGGCGCTGCTCTCGCTGGTGACGTCGAGAGTAACAAAGACGACACGGCCGCCAGAGCTCTCAACAAGCTTCTGCACGGCGGGGCTCTTGGAACGGCCGCTGGCGATGACAAGGCTGACCTGAGAGGCAGGCAGAGAGGCCAAGCTGGTGACCATCTCGAGGCCAAGACCGCGGGTGGCACCGGTGACGAGGTATGAGGCCATTGTGATAGTGGTGTGGTTGTAATGAAGAAGTCGTAGATTCGACGGGTAATTTGCTCAAAGTATGAGAGAGAGAGGTAGAGTCTTTAAGACTTTTTGTTGTTGTGTTGTTGTATGAAGATGAGGATGGAGGTGAGGATAGTTTCCGGGTCTTTCATCCCATCTTTATATCCCATTCATGTCTCATCTTTGATAGAAGATGCAATCTGGCATTTCGTCATTGACCTGCAACATTTCGAATTGATCAGCATTCTCAATGGTTTTTTTTTTTGCCCACTGTGCCACAGAGATGCGCTGCGATGGAGAATGCTGATCAGTAAGGCAAAAGACGATCAGTAATAGAAATTTCGTGTCCATTCGGAGCTTAGGACATGTGTCCGATCATTGCAACGGCGGGAAGGATAGCGACCCACTGCGAGGTCATGGGGAAGCAAGACAAAGGCGTTCGCCATCGAAGGCTTAATCATCAAACTGTTATGATCACTTTTGGGGGAAAAATTGGCGATATCAGGCTCCACCTGGGCAATGGGGTAGCTTCCGAACTTGTTCCGAACCCGAACCTGGCCTTGTCGTTGCCCTTGGTCTGATAGTAGGGGGGGTGGTGTTGTTCACGTCATAGTGGAGAAATATCGAAACCGGGGGGGAGGGTGTATATACGGATGCCCCGTAGAAAAACACCACGTATCTGAATGGATCAAAAAGACGATCATCAAGGTGACCAAAAGGGAGTATGAACGAAGAATGGAAGAAAGGGGAAAAAAAAACTTTGAACAGGGGGACGAGGTTAGGAGATTCGAGGGGGTTGGATTAGTGATAGCCAAAAGAGGTGGATTGTGCTCCTTTCGGGGCACAACGGGGCGTTGAGAGGTTGTGGAGACTGCGATTAGGGGACGGGTAAAAGGGACGAGGGGGAGGCCATCTGTTCGGATAATTCGTTCCGAGACTAACAATAATCGACCGCGAAAAAAGGGGACGAATGCAGTCTGTGGGGGCGATGAATAACTGGAAATGGTTGAATAATAATCAGATACAATATTGGATGTGTCCCTAACCCATTGAACCCTCGACTAACTAGGTAGGTATTGCCTGACAAACAAGTATTCGTAAGTTGGTAACCATTTGCTAAGTAAGCAAGGCTGTGCTGAGTCAGTACGCTAACTTCCAGGGAAAAACATGTACTAGATAGTGGGCTGATGGAGATTTCTTCAACTAATCTCGCCTGTAGATGGCCCAGGACTTTCCCTGTTCCCTGCCTAGCCCTAGCGACAAGGGTCTCTTCAACCAGGGGACTCCTCGGGGATTAGTTAAGTCGTGCATGGGCACTAGGGGACGGCTTCGAACGACGGAAAATCTCCTGTATTGCTGCCCCTCCACACTACCCCGCGGCCCCCAAAGAACAAATAATCCATCAACCCACTTTTCCTTGATTACTGAAATTGAACGCGTACGCAATGTGCCAGGTAGACTGTTACTCTACGACTTACTCTTCGACTTACATGCCAAGAAAACGAAGGAAATCATCTCCCTCTCAATCGGCTGGACGTTCGATACCGTGTAGCATATGACACGCGTTTCTTACAGCACGAGAGTAAAACATCTTTGCTTGCAAAGGACCCATTCAGCGCATTTTATCCCTACGACAAAGAACATGGAGATGAGAATGAAAAGAAATATTATTGTAAAGCTCTATCCATTTACACAAGTATACCCTTTTTACGTGGTTCTATCTGTCACAAATATTTACAGTCTAAAAGTTTAACTCATATCTCCACCAATTCGCCTCCAGATCATTCTGAGAGGATGTCGCAGGCAATCTTCTCCGCAAGCGCGTCTAGCACATGTAGTTAGCAATGCTATCCTCTCTTCATCAGCATAGACGAGTAATACTTACAGACTGTGGACATTGGGTGTCCGGGAGGCAAAAAGGGGAAAGATGAGGCGTCGACGACCCGCAGGTTTTCAACGCCAATTACCCGGGCCTTGCTATCCACGACGGCATTCTCATCGTCGGCTTGACCCATGGCGCAGGTGCACGATGCGTGATACACCGTACTTACCGTCTGCTGAATGGTGTGCAAGAGGTCCTCGTCCGATTGCACCTGCGGTCCCGGAAAGTATTCGGGGCCGATCAGGGCGGGCTCAATCGCAGTGGTATTGAACATCTGCCGCACGCGCTTGTAGCCAGCCACGGCGACAGCCTGGTCAGCCGGATGAGTCAACCATTTGGGGTCGATGACAGGAGGGTCTGCCATGTCCGCAGATGAGATGCCAACAGTGCCGCGAGACAGCGGCGCAACAAGAGCGACGGAAACTGAAGCGTAATTGTAGCCATCAGTTGGCCCGCCCTTGATGAAGTTTTCCTGGTCTCCAAGGTAGCCGTTCATGCTAATGTACTCAACTTCAGGCCAATCCTCAGGAAACTCGGAAAGTGCGCCCTGCGTGTCGCTGGAGAACGATGAGCGAAGAGAGTCTGGAATCTTCTCCCAAGCTGGATGGAGCACAAATCGTCAGCATAATTAGAGCAATGACAACCGAGAGGAAAGAGTGTAAGATAAAGACAAAAACGCACCTAAAAAGTCGCCGCCTGAGTTTGTCAGGATACCGGCTTGTTCTTCATTGTACTCCCGTTCGGCTTCCTGGAGGAACTCCGGGTTGGTGAAAGATGAAGAAGTAATCGCATTGACCCGGTAGCTGGGTCCCATGAGAACGTGGTCCTGGAGGGCATTAGTCTGATACTGCTTTTTGTCGCGAAAATACGTATTTATTTTAAACGCCAAAACATACCCACATGTTCTGTCCAACACCCGGTCTGTCTGCAACGACTGGAATTCCATATTGCTTGAGGGTATCAGAGGGTCCAACTCCAGAGACCATCAGAAGCTGAGGAGATTGGAAAGCGCCAGCCGAAAGGATTACTTCCTTGTTGGCGCTGAGGGTGTACTGCTGGTTGTCCGAGTCGACTTCAACGCCGGTAGCCCGAGTACCATCAAAGACGACGCGCTTCGCCAGAGTATTTTTATAGACGATCAAATTTTTGGCTTTACCAAGCCGGGGCCGGAGGAAAGCAGTTTCCGATGACTCTCGGTGCTGGGTGGCATGATCAATCGTTTCCAGAACGTATGAAGATCCGATGAGTTTACCACTGGTGAAACCATTAATAGGCTCGATTCCAATCTCCTTGAAAGCCCTCTGTACCCAGGAAGACATCGCAAGGGCAAAGTTGGAAAACGTCACCGACAAGGGGCCACTGGGGTTCCCCATTGTTGCCAAATCATACTCGGGAGTTGCATTCGAGGCGCGTTTGCTGTAGTCGGGCGGAGCAAATCCAAGGCTCTTCTCAAAGTACGGCAGGAACTGATCAAACTCGTAGCTTGAATCGCCGACTTGATCCGCCCATTTCTTGTATGAATCTACAGTTCCTCGTTGATAGGCCATGTAGTTTCTTGCCGAGCATCCACCCAATGTTTTTCCTCGAGCGTAATGAATCTTCGCATTTAACGCGCCCTACACAACAAAGAGTTAGGAGCCTTTCATTTTACATATTGGACAACTCTGCCCATTTTCCCACACGAACCTCTTGTGGTGTTGTAACAAATCCCCAATCAATTAGCGGATTGGTATCACTAGGATCCTTTCCATCCCAGTACGTGTCAAAGGCAGGAACACTCAGATTTGCAGCGTCAGTCTCGTAGAAACCTCCGGCCTCTACAACTGCCACTGATACCTGCGGGTTCTCTGCTAATCTCGCAGCAATTGTTAAACCAGCATTTCCACCGCCAACAACGACATAGTCGTACGATGCGTCTCCTGGCGCGCCGAAAGAGGAATCATCGGAGTCTCTCGCTGAGAGCTGCTTGCCCAGCGGAGTACCAGAGGCTATAGAAAGAGCGGCAACTAAGCCCAGCAATGAAGGAAGGAGCCCCATGATTTCAGCTTGACGAGATTTCGCTGGAGGTATTGTTTGAGGATGAAGTCGAAAGCTCGTTCCCGGACAGAAGAATATATAATGCCCGTCGAGACATCAATAGATATCTTAGTCAACGATCAAAAACAAGATCTCATGACACCAAGCTCGCCCCACAATCGAATTTAATTGTCAGAGCCTCGGACATCGGCCTCATCAGAAAAATAATGATGATCATCATTAGCAAACAAAATTATCTTCGTCTGGTCTTTGAGGTTAGCTTGGCAAGTAGAACTAGAGAACTTTAGTGCTCAATAGCCTCAAAAAAGCCAGGTTTGCAGTGCCACATTCCAGCTCAAGTGAGACAAAGTCGAACGCGCGTGCCATGGTGACGGTAAATTTGGACCGTTTTCGATACGGTAGCTTCATGCAAACCCCCAAACTCAAGCATTATTATAACTTTCGGTCGATTTGCGGCGTAGCACAGCTATAAACGTCATTGAATGAAGCCATCTCTGTCATGATTCTTCAGATAGATGATAGAGTTTTGATCGGACCCCATTCGGAGCGGCTCGGCGGCCCGTCCGGAGGCCGAGCAGGACACATGGCGACAAGATGAAAAGAGTAGGTGGTGGAGCATAGCAAGGAGTCAGCCTTAAGCCATCGGGCCGTGATCGTGATTGAGAGCCAAAGACCCACAAATACGAAAACCCCAAGACCAAAAATGTCCAGGCAATGCATACTAAATTGGAAATGCGGCACTGCAGGGGCACAGCACCACTATCCCGTTCCTTGGTCATGGCTACCTGATGCGTCGACGGGTCTCTCTGGGTTTGATGATCGGCCGATGGAGGGATTTCGAACTGCCTTGATCGAGCATGAGCGGAAACCCTGGGTTTCAAGGACCCCAACCTTCCCTGAAGTTAGTTGGCGGTGGTGGTACTGTTAGTGGATGGTCTACCGGAATAGTCGCACACCAAGCGAAAACCGAGTCCGACAACGCCTCCCGTAGTTCTTCAACCTAGCGCACTTCGCTTTGGTTGTGGAGGGCCTGGTGGGAAATTTCCCTTTTGTCGCACCACCTTCGATGATGCCTAGATGAGCATCTTTCAGTAAATCATGAAAAAGTATGGGTGATAGGGCAAAGGTTATATCACAGTCTAAAAAAGTGTGAAGGGAAGCACCAAGAATTAAAGTGACGTGGGGAAAAAGAAAACCAAAAAAGAAATGAAAGCATCGACACGACAAGTTGGAAGTGGTATTTCAAAAAAACATATTGGACTTCATTGCTCTAGACCAGCAAGAAACAAATGTAGTCATACATAGTATGAAAGCAGAAATGAATGAACAAGCTATCTACCATTTATAAACCGACGCCAGCTAAAACTTTCATAAGGTACTCTCAAGAATGCTCCAACGATGCAGTAGACCGAGAGGGCGTTTCTTATATCTCTCTATAACAGAGACTTAAGCTGCGGCTCCGACAGCGATGAAAGTTCGCTTGCGCTAGAATATGGGTTAGCATTTTATTTTGCTACATGACACTGCTGTACAAAGGAGTAGAAATGCTTACTCTGAGGAACATCGCGCCGACAAAGGCAAGAGCCGCGGCAGCATACGCTGGAATGAATCTACAGAAACATAAGTTAGATGCGATCGCTGTCGAAATGTACAAAATGTTAGACTTACGTTTTACCCATGTTGTTGATGATTATATTAAGAGCGTTCTGTCGTGTTGATTCTGGCAATTTTGCCAATAGCCCACTGCTTGTACCTGAAATGGACGCCTGGAGTTCCTTGACGGGTACGTTGGGTAACAGATGCTTCAAATCAACAGTAGCGCCATTGATGAAGACGGAACTGGCAATTGCAAGTGAAAGCGCAATTCCACCGATTTGAGCTATCGGAATAATTAGTATCATTTTAGAAAAGAAGCACACGGAGACTAGAGAAATTTACCAATCATCATGAAAGACACGGCATTAGCCACGTGATCGGCATCAACAACAGACTGGATGACGGCGTATCCAGCTTGCACAAATGCGCCTCCTCCCAGTCCCAGGAGTGCCTCAAAGCCATAGATGTAAGATGTCGATGTCGAAGCATTGATCCGAGCTGATGATATGATATTAGCATTTCAAGTTGATCAATTATCCAATGATAATCTCAGACATACAGAGACAAACGGTGGCAACCAGTGCGAAGGCTGAGCCCACAGCATACCAAGGCATATAATAGCCCATTTTTGACATGAGATATCCGTTGGATAGAATGGTGAAACACAGCAGAAAGATGAGGGGTAGCAATCTGACTGCAGACTGAAGGGCGTCATCTCCTCGGGTAAATTGGAAGTAAATGGGGATATAATATATCGGAACGAAGACGGCTGAGTTGCAAGCAGCAGCGAGAACGAAGAGCAGGACAGCTTCTTTGTTTCGGACGAACTCGACTGGGAACAAGCGTGTCTCCTTTGTCGTGAACAAGGCCAGGCCTTGCTGTATGCCAAATGCAATCCAAAGCACACCAGATACGACGAATAGCGCGATGATGGAGCCACTGCTCCAAGAATAGAGCGTACCACCGAAGTTGATAGGCATGATGATAGTGATGAAAGCGGCAATACTGATTACGATGCCGACGCCATCCAACTTTCCAAATCGCTCTTTGAGAGAAACATGCGATGTAGGGTGAAATGATGGAAGCATGAACAAGTAAACTGGGCTGAAAACGGCTCCGATGATGAGGTTGATGTAGAATGCCCATCGCCACTATGTTTCCAAGTAATGCATTAGTTTTTCGATTGAGTCCATTTTTTTATCAGGGGCTCAGACGTACCGTGACTTGTTCAAAAGCGCCTCCAATGACCGGACCGAGCACTGTGCCTGCCCCCCAGACCAGGCCTCTGCGTGATCATGTTAGCATAGCATCGAGAAATTGAAACGATGGAAATGGTACATACACCAGACTCAAATACGCAGGGCGCTCCTTCTCAGTTGTGTTCACCGATAGCAGGGTCATCACTCCGATATATAGTCCAATGCCGCCAGCACCCGCGAACACTCGCCCTACAATCATGGCGTTCATGGTAGGCGCCCCTCCGCAAAGAGCGGAGGCCGCCATGAAAACGATCATTGAGCCAAGATACAGCCATTTCGCATCGAGGATATTGTAGAGTTTCCCCAGAGGCAGGATCGAAGCTACACCACCGATCATAAAACTGGAGAGAGCATTAGCGGACTATGCGAAAATGGAGGATGCATCTCGTGACCAAACTTACCCTACTGTGAGCCATCCTAGATCACCAACGTCCTTGAAATCGTTGACAATGGGCTGAAACACACGTTATGAGCAAAAGAAATGTCACATGACCAACGAAGAAAGACTTACTGGAATGAGGACAGCAACAATGGTATTGTCCAATGCGTATACAAGAATACTGGACAAGATACTGATGACGACAAGGGCCCACTAGACACATGTTAGCCTCCAAACGTCGATGTTGATAGCACTGACTTGCCTTGGCTCCACCCATTTCCCGCACAGGTGCCTCCTTAGCATCGCTAGCTTCAGAGGAGCTATTGTCCTGTTTTTCTGGGTCTTCTGGAAATGCAACAGGTGGCTGGCTAGTGCCTGGCTCTGCCTTTGGGCTTTCTTGGAATCTCTGTTCTTCCGCCATGGTTCAGCCGCTAATTCTGGTTGTATCAGAAAGATGAATATGGTCGCAGAGTCTTCCAAAACACACTATGTTGATGAGATGGAGCGGTGCTAGATTTGGCGCCTTCATTCCTGCCATGTCCATATTTATGAGTTTGATCGAGACGCAGATCCTACTGTAAGTTGATACTCGCCACTGCGTATCAGTAATCGCCACTCTGTCTTTTTGCTCAGTTTCTTTCTTTTCACAATCGCGACTTTGGCAAAAAGATGTTCAATAATCAGAAATTCAAGCGATGTGGTTCTAACGCGGCAGACTGTAACGAGCAGCAAACGTTGCTCGTGCCACACGCTATTCCCACGACTAGGCTGTCTCGGAAATAAGGGATGCCCCCGCAAGCCAAGCGAAATACCCCTGAGATGGCGTGCGCAGGGGCCACTGTGAGGCTTTTTATTCGTTATGCGGAGCCGCTAGGTTTCGGGTTAGCCCGACAGGTCAAATGCCCACTAAACAAGGATGATGCGGCACATTTTCTGCATTGCTACAAAGTACCCTTGACTGTCGTCTTAAGATCAACGCTCGCATTAGCAATTTAGCGCTTCTAATCAGTTTTCATTATATAACTATAATTGAAAATGGAAAATCACATCAAGGAAAACTTTCCGAGTGTCCCTGGTAATCCAGTTTGGTGAGAAAACCGTCGCGCTGAGGGCCACAGGTGTCCGTTCTATACATCCCACCAACATTTGCCGTCCATTGGTCCGGACACACGACCAAGGAAAGGATTCGAGCCCTTGCAGAACGCGAAGCTCTTTTGCAAGTAGTCTCAATACGAGACTTCGGCCCCACTCTCCGATACGTTTACTCAACATGGGGACATTTGTGGTCTTCCTTCCATGCTGCCTTAGTTCAGTAATCAGCAAAGGCAATGATTAACTATTGGTTGCTGATACCACCACCTGCTGCTGTGCCGCAGAGAAAAACACTTGACAATCAGGACTGCCCATCGCAACTGTAACCATTGCAACCCAGATCAGGCCAAGAATGGATTGTCATGCATTGTGGAGCGATGAGGTCAGCGGCAAACAATATCACAAAATCACAGTATGATTGCTGGTTGCACCAGACACTGTGTCCTTTGATCACGAATCCAAAATCAAAATACTGATCTCTCAGGTCGTAATCGCAACACATGTCATTCCGATTTGCCGCCGTCGATCGCTCTTGTTTTGTAAGGAATGTAATAAGATGACACGTTGATATGAGATTCGTAAATATGAATATTTATATGAGTCGATTCGGAATATTTCCAGATCGTAGAAAGAATCAAGAACAAACTCTTCAAATCAAAAGCACAAAGCATAAATCATGTCGACCCAGAGCGCTATCCAAATTGAGTCCACTGGCGTTGCAAAGCTGGTGCAGAATGCACCAGTGCCAACGTTGAGAGACGACTATATCCTGGTCAAGACAGCGGCGGTTGCCTTGAACCCCACTGACTGGAAGCACATTGATTTTTTGGCTTCCAAAGGTGCCATCGTGGGCTGCGACTACAGCGGTGTGGTTGAGAAGGTGGGGCCGGCAGTGACAAATTCTCTAAAACCCGGTGACAAGGTCGCTGGTTTCATCCACGGAAGTGAGTAACGTTGTATTTTTCTCTCAACACGTGTATTTTCAGGGAGAAAGAGAAGTGGACGCTGACTCGTGCTGTAGGCAACAGCGATAACCACGAGGATGGTGCATTTGCCGAGCATATAGCGGCCAAAGGAGATCTCCAGATCAAGATCCCTGACAACCTGTCCTTTGAAGAGGCCGCTACACTGGGAGTGGGCATCACCACTGTCGGACAGGGATTATACCAGTCCCTAGGACTCCCCTTGCCTACCCAGCCTTCGCAGACTCCATTCCCAATCTTGATTCTGGGTGGCAGCACGGCCACGGGAACGCTAGCTATCCAATACGCGAAACTGTCAGTATCCCTTTGAGGTTCTCGACTAGTAGATTTCTCTTCAAGCTGCAATACCAATACTGACAATATGACGAAATCAGTTCTGGCCTGCAAGTAATTACCACCTGCTCTCCATCCAACTTTGAGCTAGTCCGCTCGCGCGGCGCGGACCACGTATTCGACTATCGTGACTCGGCGGCCCCCAAAGCTATCAGGGAACTGACTGATGACAAGCTGCGCTATGCGTTTGACACCATCTCGTCAACAGACACGGCCAAGTTTGCTTCTGAGTCTCTAGGAACCGGTCCCGGAGGCAAATACAGTTCTCTCATGCCCATTGCTGATTTCCCTCGCAAGGACGTGAGCAATTCCGGAACTTTAGCCTATACTGCAATTGGCGAGACTTTCCATAAGCGGGGCAAAGAGTTTCCCGCCAGTGCAAAGGATTACGAGTTTGCTGTCGAGTTCTGGAAGCTGGCTGGGAAGCTGCTGGAGCAAGGAAAGATGAAGGTGCACCCTCAGACCATCCGGTCGACCGGACTCGAAGGCGTGCTAGAGGGTGTCGATGAGCTCCGCCAGGATAAGGTTTCTGGTACCAAGATTGTGTACACTCTGTAAAAGAAGTAGATTGAGTGTCTTGGAAGCCTCTGCTCATGAGCGTTTCAGTATGATTATACGAGTTGAAATTGTTTTGCTCTTTTTTTGTGTTTAGCTTGTAACATAACCAATCGAGATGATAAATCGAACAAATAAATTTTTTTGAAAGCCAATTTATATTTTTGCCTTTTATACGACTGAAGATGATTGCACAACAAAGCTTGACTTTAAATTGGCAGGGGCTGGGCAAAGAATAAGTTTCGTCACGTGCGTTTAGTGTGTATATTTGGTGGTCATGAACATCGTCTCACGAGTAGAAAAAACCTTTCCCTATCTTCTTTGATTTTTTGTTCATAAATTCTTTAGAGTAGGGGTAAGGAAAAAGGTAAAGTCCAAAGAAAAATATTACAGGCTCACAGCACTCTTCAAGCAATTCTAAACATAGTTTGACAGTATTCTAACAACGAGAAAATCTTATTTACTCACAAGTCTAACAATAATCAAATGTGCATATGTATAAATGTATATATTTTCAAAAATTTATCAAAAATCAGAGTTGAATTATTCCCCTGATTCTACTGCTGCAGAGTCACAAGACAGAGTAATTTTAATTAATGCATGTACTCTAGTCACGATATAAAACATTCAATTTGCCTTTGAAATTCCCAGGTCGAGTATTTCCCTTGTCCATGTCTGCCAAACACGTGGCTTATGAATTCCATGTACATGGTGCGCGGTTACCGACCACATCTGAGCTGGGATATTACCTGCAAGGCTGCAAGCACCACGCATCACCTGACAGATATCCCGGGATTCCTTGGATTAACATCATATTTCATCGCTTTTCCTTTAAAAATGTCACGAGCAATATATCTTGTCGTTTTCAGCAACGGTTCCAAGCCTGCTCACTGGGCCATCTGGATTCCGACCGGCAACGCGGGAGCCAAAGGAAAATTGATGCATGCTACGGGTAACCCAGCTACAGGCTTCTTCCTCGAGTTTCGGCGCAACTACGATTTCGAAGATGAAACCCGAAGATATAAAGTCATTGAGTTGGCGCAAGTCAGTGACAAGTATATTGCAGATACAGTAGGGAACGGCGAGCTCATAAACGAAACGACAGCTCGTGATCGCTTTGAATCAGCTGCAACTACTGTAGCACCTCCAGGCAAAAGTCCTAATCCATTTGATCCAAAAGTAAGATGCCTCAAGGTTTAATGAATGTTCATGTACAAATATCTTATGCGTTGAACAGGCCCTCAATTGCCAGGATTGGATAAAGGCCTTTGTCGAAAAGCTTATCGCTATGGGTTATATTGACGACGGTTCTACCACGGTGGTCCAAGATGCTCCCAGGTATCTTTGACCGCCGAATACCACTGTCGTTGAGAGAGGATATACAGAGTAGTTGGCGAGTTTCAGGGGCGGCAGCATCAGGAACAACAACGTTATCAGATTATGGAGCGAATCGCAACACTACCCCAAATTGTACACTTGGGCATCTTACCTAAATTTACGGTGAACCTGTACAGCATGAAAAAGGACAGCGAAACTAAGCTCGCCAACGAATTAGTGCGACGAATTTTTCCGAGGCTTGGACCTGCCGTCAGTTATTGAGAATTGTCCGAGATCGTTCAATAAACCCTCAGTCGGGCTTCACTACATCGTGCAGCCCATGATTCTTCCAATGCCCGACCGCTTGATGCCCCCACAGTGACAAATACATGTCTTCCATCTGTGACCCCATCAGTAGCTTCGAGGTACGCGAACGGCGTGCCTTGGCTAATTTCGCATTACATGAGGTGTTTTCCCAGCCTCTCTTCAAGTGTGGCACAGTAATGCCAAGGGAGGAATGAACCCATTCATCCAATTAAAGTAGGTGTTGTGATCACAAGGGGATGATCTGAATCAAAGCATCTCGCCTCCGTAATGTTAGACACCGAAGAGTTGCTGATATACTACCCGGTCCCTGGCCCCTTAGGACAAGTGTTGTGCCGCAAGCCATTGACGAAAAAAGACGTGATCAAAATTGATCTTGGTGCCGTTGAGCATCAATCAAGGCGCTAATATAACAGGACCACGGTGGATGTCGGGAGCAGGGTCCATCAAGAGACGGAGGGACGTTAGTGGGACGGCTAACAAGCAATAGCGAAAAGGGCTGTAAAAGTGGAAATTTCTAAGCTGCTTACATATGCACTGCCCAGCTTACGTGTTTCGATAATCTCTCCAAGTTTCCCTTTCCCCACCTCTTCCTCTCCGCATCTCATCCGGACTTAGTCTTGGCCTCGTATTGATTATCACTGATATCGGGCGCTACCGGCTCCTAAGTCTAGAACTAATAGCCAACGGAAATCACCGCACATCAACAACATCGATGGTGGAAGAATGGAAGCTTGAGACGAGCAGGAATATATTTAATTGTCAACGCGTAAAATACAAATATGGAAATCTAGCAAGCTAAAGCAAGGAGAAGAAGAGGTGCCAACTTTTTAGTCTAGCGAGGGTCTAGTAACAACTAAAATCATAGGCTCTGGAAAAGGAAAGAATGAACATTTAACATCTTGGTCCACCATGTCCCCACTATCTACATGTCTCTCATCTCTCGATCTCTCTAGCTTCCGCGTTATGACCCCCACCGCACCAGGCAGACAAACACACAACCATCACTTCGTCTAATCGACAAAGTAGTTGTTGGGATCAGGGCCAGCAAGATCCCAGTCCACACGGGTGATGCCGCCAATGCCAACCAAGTACAGGGTCTTCAACTCAGGGCCAGTCCAGCAAATGTTCTCCACTGGGTGGTTTGTCTGGATGCGAGCCAGAACGGAGCCATTCTCATCGACGATGTCTGCGCCGTTAGAAAGACCGGCTCCAATAACGATATAGCCATTGGCAGCGACCTTGATGCCGTCTGGGCTCCCTTCAAGGGACTGGAAGATGCTGCGCTTGTTCGAAAGGTAAACACCGTTGCTTGGAGTGCGGTTAACATCAAAGGCATAAACGTTGCGCTTGTTGGTCGACGTAAAGTAAATGCGGATTGGGTAGTCGTAAAAGTTGCCTGCACCTTTACTGGCGTCGGGACCGACAGTCTCAAGACCACTGTCGGTGATGTAGAGCGTCTTTCCATCGCGGGAGAAAGTAATGCCATTGGGGTGTGCGAGCGTGTCCTCGACAACCACGGTTTCCCCAGTGGAAGGAGTAAATCGGTACGTAGCCAATTGGTTTTGGTTTGACATGTTTGACACACCAAGGCCTAAGGCATAATCTGTTCGCATAGGAAATGTGAGAGCAAATTCATAATCACGTATTCAAAAGCGGCCGATGATATAAATGGGAGGCTGAGGCATTCGTTGAATACTTACCACTGTCGGTGAACCAGACGTCGCCAAAGCGATCAACCGTCAGGTCGTTAAGTCCTCCATAGAAAAAGCCATAGTAGTTGTTGACGAGCCATTCGGCTTCAAGCGTGCTTGGGTTGACGCGGACAACACCAGGGCGCTGCTGCACACCGCCTGGGAGAGAAACATTGTTGCCCTGAATTGCCCAGTAGATCGTGTTGTTGTGCAGGATCCCACCAGTTGGCTGGTAGACTGGCGGGTTGGTGACAAAGGTGTTGATAGTGGGAGGGTCCGTGTTCAGGTCAATCATGAGATTGGTAAGGTTGCCAGGAGGGCCATCCTGCGTGACAAACAACTTGTTCAGGCTCGGCACGTAGATGGGCGCCTCATGGATGACGTTGAGAACTTCCAAGTACTTATGTTGGATTTTTGGAGTTTTTCCGAGGAGCTCGAGGCCACGATTCTGATCAAAGACGACAAAATCTGCGGTGCTCACGAGCTTCCAGGAAGGGTCATCTGGAACCTCGGTCCCAGAATAGCCCACTGTGGGATCCGCATCCCGGTAGAATGATGGGGGCAAAACTGAGCCATACTTCTGGATGCAAACAATGTTTGCTGACTCTGGACCGCAGTTCTGGGCCACTGGTGATACAGTGTTGGTTTTGTTGCCAGTCACGGCTGCGCTAGCATTGCTGGCGCCGAGAAGAAGAAGGCCAAGTGTAAAGAGCGCCATTGGAAAATGAAAAGCAAGCGAGAAAATGAGACCAATGTTTAAGTTGCTGAAGTATTGTTGTCTTGAATAGCAAATTTGTTGAAGAGGAAATCAGCTTCAGGAACTCGGTATATATCATTTCATTTCAATGGACAGACGTAATTGTGCATACTTGCAAATATTCTTGCCACATAACGCAACTTCATTCTGACTCTGCACTGTGACGACAAACGTTTCAATCTTGCTGGTCAACGCAACCAAAGAATGTTGATCATCTGCTGGTTTTTCATCTATGACGATGGCTGGTTGCAGTTTACATTCGGCGGGGGCCGGCTGGCTCTGGGGCACGGAATCGCCACTGTGGTCCTTGGCTTATCCCTTCCTATCCCTTTTGGCTATGAATTTTCTCCATTCGAAGGACGATATGTCATAATCTGAATGGTTGGCGGCCAAGTGTCTGTATGCAGTGAAGGCACTTTAGGGGCTGGGTGTGCCCTGAGATTTGCGGCACAGCATGATCCTTCCAAGGACCAGGTGGATCGTCATGATACAATCGATCAGCTTGTTCTCAGCAGCTCATACTGTACGGTATGCCAATACGAGCTTCTGCGTCATTCGTCGTACTCCTCTGGAGGTATCACGAATTCTCACTTGATTGCTGAATGGATGCAATGCCGGATAATTGGCCACCGTGTCCTGGACGGCACAATACCCCCAAGGGTGATGTTCCATTTCCAACCCTGGGGTCCACAATCGCTAGAATGTGTAAGCACGATGACAAACCCCATTTTGTTAAGGCTGGGTCTTGAACTGCACCAGTTGGGTTGGGATGCAGCCTCGCCGCAGTATTCTCCACTCCTCTTTGACCTTTTGGTTCATCTTCGATTAGCACGCCCTCAAGATGAAAGGGCCCCTATTTCTTTTGCATCGGTGGTGGCAATGGGGAATGTTCAAAACGTGACAAGGCCTCTTGTCTGATCCAGCAATCTTTTCTTGGGGTTCCTAGCCTCCGAGTGGCATCAATAATGCGATACATTGCGATGGAGCCAAAGGTCCAATTGACTCGGCGTTGAGTCGGCGTTGCATCGGCGTGGGAATCCGGCGTCTTGGCCGATTCTGGGCGGGGAAGAACAACCCCGGCGGGTCGGGTCGGATCGCACGCGATTGATTAGACTATAAGCAGCCTAGTAGGGCAGTAAGCTGCAGCAGGTACAACTATCCTCACAGCAGGGGTCTACGCAAAAACATCCCAGCCTTGCTTTGCTTAGTCATTGGGATTTGCAGTCTAACGTCCCTAGCTAATGAACAGATCTTGTGCGGAATTGGGTAACATGTTTGGAATGGCCCCCACGGATTGTTCGCAGTGGGATGGCTCGGATTCAACGAGACTTACGTGCTCATCATCGTCTTGCTCAGCATTATAGAGGAGGATGTCGTTCGTCATTCTCGACATGCTGCCCGCATTCCAGTCTCATTCCTGAACCGTATAACAAAATGTCTTTTTCTTACAGTGATCACAGTACCCAACACAAGCATATACTGATCTGCAATGAAAGTACAAATCATCTATTCCATTTTGGTCACCCCTGAAGATCTAGCTTATGGCCATGTTGCGAAAAGACACGCTATCGAATGGCATCATCCAGTCGTTGCTTCCGTCTTGGATTGTTTGGAAATTCGTATCTGTGCCAGCCGTGCCGCAAAAAGAACCGAAACTCCAAGGATTACCGTGGTCCCTCCAAATATTTGTGCATAGAGATAATCGCCATGCTTTTTATCGATCAGGACTCCGGCGATGGGTGGGCCCGTAAGACATGCAATGCTGATAATACTGAACACCATTCCCACTCGGACACCCATCTTGTTCAGGTCCGTTGTCAGACTAGAGAGCGTTGATGGGAACAAGGTCTGAACAGCATTGGAGCAAAAGCCATATACAACAACGAAAGCAACAAAGCCACCAAAACTTGAAATGGCAATCCAGCAGTAGAGCATGATACCAACGCAAAGCACAAAAACAAGCAGAGTATTGAAAGCACCAAAGTAGGCGTTTGCTAGTAGTGCGGGTATCAGACGCCCTGGAATACCAACAGCGTTAAGCACAACCAAGAGGATCAATGACGTGCCATCTGATATGTGGGCGATGCTTTTGCCAAATGTCATTGTCTGCAGGGTGTCGATCCTGGTCAGCACTCTGTTCTCACTAGGCATTAGAAATTGATTCCACGTACATAGAAATATGCAAAGTACACGCCCCACAGCGTGAAGAATATACCAATGGCAAACAGGGTATATGGTAGTTCACGAAAAGCGCCCCACTCGACGAATGATCCCCGAGGTCTGTTTGAGCGCCCCGGACGGGCCAGTAGAACGATGATGACTGCGTTGAAGATCATGACGAAACCCATGACCCGTGTGGTCCATCGAAACCCGATCTGTGGATCCAACTGACGAGCAATCTTCAAGGGGCAAGAGTGTTAGAAATCCAATGTAACGTTGGCAACAACCAAAAAATCCAAGTGCTTCACCTACAATGGGAAATACAATGCCGCCAACTGGTGCTCCGCATGCAGCAAATCCGAGCGCTAAGGGCCTCTTTTTCACAAAATATGTCGAAACTAGAGCGATGGCAGGCGTAAAGAGAGTGCCATTCCCGAGTCCTGTGGTAATTCCTTGTGACAGAACTAGCTGCCAGTACTTGCCAACTGCAGAGGTGGTGAATATTCCGAGAAGCTGCAGCGAGCAGCCCACGTAGACAAGTGATCGAAAATATCCAGCGTCCATAATCCTCCCGGAAATTGTTCCAACAAAAAACAAGAGGAAAAGCTGAATTGATCCCACCCATGAGATATCGGATGATGACTTCTTCAGAGCATCCATCCAATGAGATTGGAACAATCCAAAGGAAGTTTGATACCCAAAGCCATTAACGACAAGCAGGTGGCTGACCAAGACCTGAGACCAAGCTAACCAGCCTCCATCAGTCTGAAGTTCAGATTTGGAGACTGTAGAGTCATCTGATGATTCTGATCTGGCCCCTGAGAATCTTTGTTCTGGTTCTTTTGAAAGAGACATAATAATGATTGAGAAATTGAGCGTCGTAAAATCTCAAGGTGATACAGCTGAGCAGATTTTGTCTTTTCCCTCCGTTGATATATAAAATATGGCTTATGGGAGACACTGATAGCTCTTGACGATCATTTTGGTGAAGATTCTAGATTGCACAATCCGAATGGACACGGGTCCACTCTGATAAGACCTAGCTACGCAATCCTTCTTATGCAGGGGCTTCCTGCAGGGTTCCTGGAAAATAATCGGGACGCCCTATGAAGTAGCAAGGGTCCAATACACCACTTCACCTTAACGAAGATCATTCTTGTTAATCTTCTTTACAAATGGTACAATTTCTCTTCCAATAAAATCAAACCGTATAGGTCCGTGGCAAAAAGTTGCCATAGATCCATCAATCCCTTTCCTCAACGTGTCAACGAAAAATCTTAGTTTCATCCAACGTAAGAATTTGAAAGATGCATAAGATATTTGCCACAGGCTATGACTCTCAACGAACAAAACAAACGTTACACTCGACTTTCTCCACAGCGGCATCTGCTGTTCATTTCTCCATAAATCTTCCCGAAGATCTTTTCGACATTCGTTAATGGGTTGCCCTACAACATTGCAAGGGTCCAATGCATCTATCAGCCTCTCAGAAGCTTTCACGTATCCATGTGAACAGATATCCATGTTTTCCTTTGAATGGACAACTGATAACATCCCGGAGAAACGTTGCAATGAGCTTCATCTCAACACTTCTTGTGGGGGCCTGACGAAAATTTTCGATATACGAGGCACGGCTGGAAGTATTACGAATCCTAAGCGGTTATGAGGGGAACACTAATGCAAAAAGAAAAAAGACGCAGTCAGATGATTTTGCGTAGTATCTGGCCTCATGGATGATGATGAAGAGCATATAAAGCTCCGACTGAACCACAGTCTCAACTCCTCACCAGGCAATCGAAGAGTCTTCAGCCAACCGCACCCGAATTCCCAAGCCGTCCAGAAAGAACGCAAGAACCAGACAAAAGAGGCTATATACATCAAGGCTCTCGAGCATTGTGAGAAGAATTTATTTAGAACCGGTTTTCATCGCTAACCTTTTGCTTTTCAGGTATAAAATCAAACCATCAGTCAATATGCCTATGTTCATCAATGCCGATGTTGAAACTCGCCTCTCTTCAATGGAGCAGGCCCTGAAGGATGTGCTCCATTGGCAAAAGGTCATTGCGCATGCGGCAGTCGGGAAGACTACTTCGATTGCCAAAGCCAAGATCCAAGAGGGATATTCTTTTCAGCAGGAGAATTGGAAGGAGCCGATCTCGAGCCACTCTCTGGCAGTCAAGCCCCCCACTGAATTGAAATCCAATCATTCATCCCTCAAAAAGGACTTGCAATCCACGGTCGTTACTGTTCAAGGTAAATTTTCAGACTTTCTTCTGAGCAAACCCTAGCTTGACTAATAAACCTGTACAGAAATCCCGGCTGAGTCCGACCCGGTGCTCACAAAGCCTGTCCCTGACGGACTTTCAGACCGTATCCTTGACATTATCGAAAAGTATGGTCAACACCTGCCATCAGCGGCTGCTGGTGATGAGAATGCTCGAGGATGGATCGGACGATCTTTATTTTCGGCCATTGTGAGCAAGCAAGTTCAGCAAGGGAAAGCTATTCGGATGATCCTTCCAGCATTTCCATGGAAAAGCGTATGCTTGAGTCCTTCCACGGCTTGACGCATAATTTCATGCTAATCGAAACAACAGATCAACCAAGTGGACAAGGTTCTCGGCCCACTTCCTGACTTTGGTGAAGAACTGTCTCTTGCCAGGCTCAATCAACTGTGTGAGGATATCCGGGAGGTGTATACACCTGGAGGAGAGGTTATGGTCGCAACCGACGGTCTTGTATTCAATGGTAAGATGCTCAAACAACCGTTTGAGGAAATGCTCGGCACTAATTCTTATATAGATATTGTCGGAATTACGGACGACGACACTTGGAACTACAGCCAGGTGTTGATGGAAATGGCCAGAAACATGGCCTGCAACAATATTAGAATGTTGCGGGTCATGGATATTCTTGGATACACTGATGAGGCCGTTGAGATGACAAAGGAGACCTACTTACAGTTCGTGGAGAAGTCTCGCGAGGTTCTTCTGAGCGAGTACGGCCGCTCTGAAGAAGAAGTTCGCCAGATGATGAGCGATGACCCTGATACACTCACAACATATCGCGGGTTCATCCGCTTTTTAGAAACCGATCTAAGGTATTTCAGCAAAGCGGCCACTCAAAATCATGCTCCTGTTAACACTTTCACAGATATAGCCCCGTGGCAAAGGCCGCAACCAGCGGACAGCAATTCCGCAAGATTGTCAAGAAAGTGGCAATGGGAATGATGATCCGGGCAGAGGTAAGCAAATATCAATCGATTAAGATCTAGAACTTCATATTGATGGATCTTCTAGTCCTTCACGAAATTGCTCCAATCTCGATGCACCGATTACGTTCGACTTTCAATTCATCCATCCACTGGATTGCAAAAGCTTTCCGTTCCCTTGATTGTTCAACAGTCGGGCGGCTTCCCAAGAACACCTTGGCATTCGGTTGTCGCTCTTGGAGTTAACGGTTCCTACACGACCCTGCACGTCAAGGATCTCCGCGACACCCACAGTCTAGTTTACCGAGACAACCGCCCGTACTATTATCGGGAGAAATCAGACTTGTGGGACGTGGATGGCGACTCTATCGCTTTTGAACCCCGCTACCCGAACAAACTTCTCGTCTATCCTCGCGAAGACTCCAGCGCGGGAACTGCCTTAGCAGTCGAGCAGATTCAGCGACTCCAGGAATTAGCAAAGGTGTTCAAGGGCTCAGTCGAAGTTTCAGGATTCTCAAACTACCCTTGAGAACTTCAGGCTGCGGGAATTTGCTTTTTAAACTGGTGCAATGTGGTATTTGGTGTTTTATTGATTTCCCACACTCTTTTAAGGGTATTATTGTTTTTGCTTCTCGTTTTCATGTTGATTTCCCTCTTTTTCCCCAATTGCAAAAGTGGCTAGAGACATACAATTGCTACATCAATATAGATTGCTACATTTTTTAAAAATTTCTTCGTTCAAATATTGGTTGCAGGCGTGCATTCGAGTCACCAACACACGGTAAGTAAAATTGGTACAATGCATACACTCTGTTAACGAGATATTGAAGGACTTACAGGAAATTTCTGAGGAAAGTTTTATTGGAATAATTAAACTCTGATCATTCGTATATATAGTGGATGGTAAGTAGAACTAGGCTTCTCTTTGCTAAGCATTATATCTTACTGCAGGGCTTCGTCCGCAATTTTACAAGATTTCAAACATTATACTCAACCTGACAGCTCTATATATATGATTCTACGATCGTCCAATTCCCTTTTACAAATTCAAACTTGGGATGTACTGTTATGAGTGTACGTTTTGGCTCTGAGACGAACAATGTAAGTACGAGATTAAAAGATATTCGGAAAAGCGTTTCGTACGCTAAATTCAAACGTGCAGTTTTATCAATTTCAGACATTTCCATTGATTCCAAAGGTGGGAGGAGATAACAGTTGTCTCATGTCAACTCGCAAATATGTGGGATCACGAATTTCTTTCATTCTCTATTCTCTTCCTACAATCGTGAGTCTGTGGTCATCAACATGTACTTCTGCAAGCCGTAAAATTTGTCTCCAAATTCGAAGATGCCGTTTATTTCATTCTTAGATAGACTTTCATTATTGAATCTCCGATAATGCCACCATATATACGTTATAGCTAAAACGTAAAGCTTTCATCCCACAATTTTAAACCTGGATGTTGTACTCGTTCGAAAACTTGATAGATGACAGATTTCAACAATTTGAAACCCTCCGATATAGCGCAACTCGCGGGCATCTAGAATATGAAATAAGATCTTAGTAAATAGTGTGATAAGCTCCCCGCATCTGATTGAATCTCAAGCTCGGATGGTATGATCCGAATGTAACCACCCTCAACCCTAAGATTGCCACTTTGCAGATTTCTATAGCCAACGTGGCTATAACGTGCTTCAGTATCAGTCTATTCCTCTGTATTTGCCACCACATGGTCCAACTAAATGCAAGATATCAAAGAAAAGCGGGGAAGGCTGAGGGTTTTAGTTTGCCACCTGGAAACTCCAGATAGCATAAATAGAGGACGTTTCTCTCTTCAAGTTCCTAAAGTTTCATTCAGTCAAAAAAGTCTTTTCTTTCTGAAGTTACTGGCAATGGGAGTTTTACGGAATATAACAGAGGCTCTAAGGCAAGTACTATAAAGGATATTCGAATCACCTCGATGGAATGAGTTGAATACTAACTAGACTGACAGCCTTTCCTCGGTGCTTCCTGGCGGTCCTATTGGGTAAGTTCTCAGATTAATGATGGTTTTAAGGGGCTATTTCATTCCATGAGGCGGGCTATACTGACTTGACAGCACTCTTTTACCGTCTCTCATACCATCGCTTCCGCCATCATTCTCACCGTCAAGCGTTGTCGAAATTCCTGGATTTCCCGACTTTCTTCCTTCAAACGTGAGCAAATCTGTCAAAAACAAGAGATTTTCTTCCTTCCACATTGTTTTCATTGCTAATATCCCAGAAGACCACCGACCAATTTCCATGGGGAAACCGCACAGCGAAAATTGATCCTCACGCAGATATTCCTAGTACAGGAATTACGCGATATTACAACTTGACAGTATCTCGAGGGGTGCTGGCACCAGATGGTTTTGGTAGAGTAGTCCCGAATATACACCCATTCTATCCGCATTATAATTCAAGATGTATGCCTGCTAAACATTCTTAGAAAAATCCGGAATTTACATCAATGGCCAATTCCCCGGCCCAGCTATCGAAGCCAACTGGGGAGACATGCTTGAAGTCACAGTGCACAACCAAATCTCTGGGCCGTCTGAGGGCACATCAATGCACTGGCACGGTTTATCTCAAAACGGCACACAGTGGTCTGACGGAGTTCCCGGTGTCTCCCAATGCCCTATTGCCCCAGGAAATTCATTTACCTATCGTTTCAGAGCCGACGTCTATGGGACATCATGGTATCATTCCCATTTCTCAGCACAATACACCGCAGGTGCTTTCGGGCCCATGATCATCTACGGTCCAAAACACGTCCCCTACGACATCGACATTGGGCCCGTAGTATTAGGAGACTACTACCACCGGGACTATTTCTCCGTTATCGAAGACGTTGCTGGTACTAACCCAGACTTTAAGGTCTTCGTCCCTTCGTCTGACAACACCCTCATCAATGGCAAAAACAACTACAACTGTTCCATGGCACCAGCCAATTCTACTTGCTTTCCCAACGCCGGACTTGCCAAATTCAATTTCCAAAGCGGCAAAACTCACAGGCTCCGCCTGATCAACGCTGGCGCGGCGGCTTTGCTACATTTCAGCATCGATGGACACGCTATGCAGGTTATTGCAAACGACTTTACGCCGTTGATTCCCTACGAAGCAGACGTTATCACCCTGCATTCTGGTCAGCGAACGGACGTCTTGGTCACAGCACCAGAGGAACCACTCGACGCGTACTGGATGCGCTCTACGATCTCCCTGAATTGTTCTGTTTCAACGACAACTAATGCACTTGCCGTAGTTCTCTACGATGATGCAAGTGAATTCACGCTTCCCAAAACAGAGAAGAGCGCTGCTGCGGCTGTTGCTGATAGGAAGGATGTTCTCTGTCAGAATGTGCGTCGAACCTAGTTACTATTTTTCGCGTCTTCCTCCTCCATCATCTTCATTTTTTCTTCGTCAGTAGCATTCTTGTGAAAGGTGCCGAGATCAAGACCAAGACGAAATAAGCTGACACCGAAGTCCACTGAAACAGGATCCACTACACATGACTGTCCCATGGGCACCTATTCCGATTGACCCTGAGCCCGACATCACCGTCACTGTCGAAGTCGATCTGGTCACCAACGCCACGGGGTCTCATATTTGGACAATCAACAATCGCACGCAGTACACAGACTACAATGACCCGGTTCTTATGCTGGCGAATCAAGGTAATTTTTCATATCCCGACCCAGAGTGGATGGTCTGGAACATGGGCAAGAGCAAGACCGTCCGCATCGTCATGAACACGGTATACCAATCTCCGCATCCAATGCATTTGCACGGCCATAGCTTTGTAAGTTTTCTCAGTTTTCCCGCCCTGCCCTTTTCATCTTCAAGTCATGTCATACGAGGCATAAAAGAAAGAACAAACCAAATAGAATATAATATAATAATCGAAATGAACTCAATCGAAAATGGAAAGCTAATACCGCAAATAGGCCGTTCTCTCAGCAGGCCAAGGCCCGTGGGACGGCAAAACGATAATAAACCCGACAAACCCCGTGCGGCGAGACATCCACACGCTGCCGCGCTACGGGCATCTCGTCATCCAGTTCACGGCAGACAATCCGGGAATCTGGTCATACCATTGCCATATCGCGTGGCATTCGGCCACGGGATATACGATGCAGATTGTCGAGAGGCCAGGGGAGTTTTATAATCCTGAGCTTCCAGGCATTATGGACCAGACGTGCAAGGCGTGGGACAAATACACTCAGGGGCATAAAGTAGATCAGATCGACAGTGGGATATAGATTTCCTTTTTAGAACAGCTTTGGCGAATCGATGTGTGGGATTTTGGTCTCCTCGATGAATTTGGGCGGTTTTCTGGTTAGCATTGGCGTTGGATAACCAATATACTCGGATATTCTGTTTTTTTTTTTTGGCGATGATTGAAATAGAATGATAGAAAGAATAGCAATGATGAAGAAATCTCGGACTTATACGTGTGAAAGGGAATTATTTGAGATGTTTCATTGCTTTGTATCAAAGGCGCGGATATGATGATGATGGTGATGATGTTGATGAGACGTGACTCGCTGCAAGTATACAAAAACAAAGCTCGGCTAAAGAGAGAAGGGAGAAAAAAATGAAAAGGGGAAGTGAAAATAGAGGAAGAAACCCCGGAGGAAGGAAAAGAGAAGATACAGCAAAGTAGAAAGTAGGAGAAGAACTCATAGTATCATAACGCCGCAAGCGCCTGGCCCATTTCCAGATTCGACCGTCCCCTGCCATAATCAGTACTCCTCGTCACTCATCATCATCATACTCCCATCGCCATCGGTAGCAGGATTCATTGGATCCACCACGGACGACGAAAAAGAAGACGACGCGATTGATGAACGCGCGGCATGACTTGATCTACCCCTACCCGCCGACGAATGACGTGGAGGAGGCATTTCTCTTGAAGCTCGGGCTGATGATGACGATGGGATTGCTGCTGCTGCTGCTGCTCTTTGTCGTTCTGCTGCCTTTTGCGCTGCCACCGCCGCTCTTGATCGGCGGCCCAACTCGACTTCCTTTCGGCGCTCGCTCATGAGACCTTGAAACTCTTCTTCGACTGCAGCGTCGTCCCAAGTCACACTTGCGCTTTCGTCGAGCGCTTTGCCAAGCAGCTCTGTAGCAACGGGGTCTTGGGGACTAATTGCGAGCGCCTCGTGTAATGCGACCACAGATTCCCAGCTGCGGCCCAGTTCGAGTAGCACGAGACCCTTTGCGCAGAAAATGCCCGCATCTCGCCCGCCTTCGCGCAAGACTTCATCGAACTCGATTAGGGCTTCGCGCAGACGACCCATTCGACGATAGGCGTGGGCGAGGTTGGCGCGAGTAGCAACCCAGGCGCGAGGATCTGAATCGATTTCCTTGGCAATATGGAGGGCTTGTCTGAAGACGTTGACGGCTTCGAGAAAATGTTCTTGGTGGTAGAAGACAACGCCAAGCTCATTGAGAAGTAGTGGATCTGTTTTACATAGTTGGTAGGCTGTGTTGAGATACTCCTGCGCGAGGGTCATATTGTTTAGTTGGAGGTTTTGCATGCCGAGGAAGAGCTGAGGGAGGTGGGTTCCCTGGAAGAGTCGTGCGGCGGTCGAATAGGCAGATATGGCCTGGTCGTGCTCGCCTTCGGCAGCAAAAGTATGCGCGAAACCAATCCATGCTGGGCCAAAGTGTGGGTCCATCATGGAAGCTTTGGAAAAGAAGCGTCGTGCTTCTGCTATTTTGTTGGTGGTGAGATAATACACGCCGACGGCGAGCCAGGAGCACGGTTCTTCTGGGTGGTGGTCTGCTAGATCATGCGAGATGAGGAACAGGGCGTTTGTTTGGTTGAGTTCATGCAGACAGGCTAGGTGAAGAGGGTATATGCTAAAATTATATCGATCCGTTGCCAAAATGGACTCTGTTATGGCGAGGGCTTCTTTGAACCGGCATTGGGTGAAGAGGAGCTCGGCCTTGGCTAAGAGGAGATCTGGGTTCGATGCGAGGTTGTAATGTGTGGAGAGAGTCTCAGTGGCTGTTGCAAATTGTGCTGGATTCTTGTATTTCGAAAGTCGAGTGGTATAGAGCATCCTCGTAAATTCTGCAGCTTCTTGTGAACTTGAACTATCGTCACCAACGGAGATGGAGTCAAAATCGAGTGACTCGAGAAACGCCCATTCTTCATCCGGTGACATGAGACAATTCTTCATCAGCTGGTCGAATGCCTCAAAGCATTGAACATCTATCCGGACAGCATCCTTGTAGCATTCCTTGGCCCTGTCAAAAGCATTCTGCTTGGCGTAGCAGATCCCTCGTAAGAAGCACATGGCCGCTTCAAATCGGATATTTGCAATATCTTCGCGATCCCTCTCCTCGCTGCGGTCCACGCGCGCTGAGCGGTGCGCTGTCTTCGTATGGCGGGTGCTACCGTTGCGCAGGCTGCTCTCCGCGTGCAACAGTTTTCTTCTGCTGTTGCCGGCTGTAGAGATGAGGTGCGTAGGGTTCTTCTCGCCGAGAACTGTAAGAGCTTCTTCGAATCTTCCTTGCTTTATAAAGCAGTGCGCCGAAAGATATCGACATGACGGATTACGTGCCACGAGATCTTGTCGTGCGAGGAAGCTTTGAGCGCGAGTGTAGTTCCCTGTTGAGAAATGGACTTGAGCAAGCCAGAATGCATCCTTATCATTATCTAATATTTAGGAGCAGAAGTATTAGCATATTATCGTAGTAAAGATATCTGCGATGTTGCATACGCACTGGTTAGAGCCAAAAGCTTGTCGCCAATGAAGACTGCGGATTCATATTGGTGTTTGTTTAGGGCGTCCTGCCTCCATTCCCTCAGAAAGCGCTCCATGGTTATGGGGCATTAGGATGCCGGAAGAACTCAAGCAGACAAATTTCCGCAATTACAGAGCCCACGGCAACTTCAGAAATGTTTTTTTCTGCTCCACAACTAAATCGTCATGGAACTTCAAACACCTCTAGACCGGATAGCCCAAACACGTTTATTTTGGTCTGCGCGCTGCTTCCCCGCGTAGGGTAACCACCTGTACTGCCAGTCTTATCTCATCCATCTTATCACACCAATCTTCCGCCACTAGAACGCTTAAACCCCCAAAGCATCATCTCCAACTTCATCCTCACCACTACGATTCCACAAATACCACCGGGAAGGCCTCCATCACGGCTGCCATACGAACGACTCTCATTCTGTCACCTCTACAGACCATTCTCTCGTCTTTTACCGAAGAAGCGCCTGCAACCAACCGTTTCTAATATACAAACTTCCTCTTCCTTTCCGCAGACCGGTCGTCTCCCGAACTTTAACTTTCCAAAGCAAGCAATACCAGCTTCATTCCTCTCAAACCAGTAATTCTTCCAGCTATCGCTGAACAGCCACCATGTCCGAACGTAAAGTTCTTACGAAATACTACCCTCCCGACTTCGACCCGTCGGCGATCAAGCGGGTGCGCAAGCCCAAGGACAGTGGGCCGAAGTCACAGACTGTACGTCTGATGGCGCCCTTTTCCATGCGCTGCACTATGTGCGGAGAATACATCTACAAGGGACGCAAGTTCAACGCACGAAAAGAGACGACCGAGGAAAAGTATTACAGCATACCCATTTTCCGGTTCTATATTCGGTGCACGCGTTGTTCGGGAGAAATCACATTCAAGACGGATCCCAAGAACATGGACTACACGTGCGAGCGGGGAGCGAAGCGAAATTTTGAGCCGTGGCGGGATCAGACGCATAAAGAGGAGACGGAGGAGGAACGATTGGATAGGCTAGAGCGCGAAGAGCAAGAAGAGGAAGAGGAAAAAGAGCGCAATGCCATGGCCGAGCTGGAGAACAAGACCACGGATGCGAAGCGCGAAATGGCCATTGCTGATGCTCTCGATGAAATACGTACCCGAAATGCACGCAACGAGAGGTCTAATCGTGCAGAGGAAGGCCTCGTCGGTGTGAGAGATGAGATTGATGATTGGCAGAGACGGCAAGATATGGAGGACGAGGAACTAGCCAGACGAGCTTTCATGACAGAGGATGGGGATCGGGTTAGGCGGTTAGGAGAGGAGGAAGAAGAGGGCAGAGACGGGTCGAATGACAGCCCAGAAGTCGATGGAGGTGTTTTGAATGGCAAGGGCAAGGGCAAGGGCAAGGAAGTGAATGGGACGAATGGAGAAGAGGTGGAAAAGAAGGTGGAAGACCAGACGCCAGCGCCGACGTTTAGGCGTGCGCCAAAGAAGAAAAAGGATTTCTCGGCCGCGTTGGGGATCAAAAAGAAGCCTGCGTTGGTTTAGTCGAGATGGCGCGTCAATCTTTTCTTTTGATTTCCGAATTTGCGGTGTTGGTTGAAACTCGGAAGGAGGCGTTCACAGGAATAGGGTATCAATGGTGTCCTAATCTCAGGCTCTTTATATCTGCCACTTTGCACCTTTATGTGGTGTATTGTTTTGCCATTCTTCACTAATTTACAGATCATTTTCGGGCATATCTAAATAACAGAATTATAAAACACAAATTGTCCTGCACGACGTGCTTTTGTAAAAGTCTTTGACGTACTGAACAGGAAAATTGGTAGAGTCGCCTGGAGCGATGCCGTGAGCGCCTTTTATCGAAACAATTAGAATCCCTTTTCTCCAAATTACGCCATTGTACCAGGAGAAATTTGTCCTAGGTGCCTTACATCCAAATAGAAAAAGAAGAAAGCCCAGTGTCTGAATGAGCTATAACATGGAAACTGTAACGGGAAAGGAACATGGGAAACGTGGAAGGCTTGAAAATCGCGATAGAAATGAGACAAAGGCAAATCTAGAGGTATGGCATCCAAAGTGCGTCACTTTGGGCCAGATGCATGGGGTTGGTTGCACGAGAAACGAGGTCAATAATTGTCTGGTTCGCAGGAAGATTTCCCACTGGCGGTTGCGCAAGGCTGACTGCTTTCTTGACGATAATGTCACTGTTCATCTGAACAGTCTCCCGCAGTTGGTTTTCCTGCAAGCCGCTACGGTGCTGCTGGGTGAACCAGAATATCATTTCGTCCCGCACAAAGATGCTTAGATGCTGCTCGAGCTCAAATTCGGGCTCGGTCAGGCATCGAGCAATAGCCATGACAGCGCAAGAGAAGATACCTTCCATGGCAATGGGGCCCATCGTCGTCTGAAGATTTGGCGTGAGACGGAATGGCACAGGTTCGGGATTATGGAAGAATGCCTTGCCCGCAGCCATGGCGGGAATAAGTTCGGCGCCCCAGATATTGCCCGTTGCCCTGGATATAAACATCTTGTGGGGGTAGCGGTTGTTCATATGCATAATGTAAGTCATGAATGTAAGAGCTGCAAGTTGGTACGAGAATTGACGACGGAAGAGCCAAAAATCGGCGAAGTTGGGGTAAATATGCTGGAAATATTCAAGCACGAGATTGTTTGGAACCCATTTGTCTTGAATGGCGGTGTAGGCTTCCATTCGCAAATTCATGGAATGATCGGGGTATCTCTTTTGTAGTCGTTAGTACTCAAGACCTGTTTACTAAGTGGGTGAAGTGTAACTTACGCTGCTCTTCATGTCCGTCAGAGCACGGAGCTTCTCCATTGTGAAGAGAATAGGCTCATCCTTGTTCATTCCGTGTCTTCTACAGTGATCCTCAAAAATACCTTGAAGAGGAATGTACGAAGGGTCGTCTTGCACCATGCGGATGTGCGGAGCAAGTGGTATCATCAAAGGAAGGTGGAATGTGAGGTTCCGGCGTCGACTTTCCTTTCTCTTCGCGAGTACCCCATTGAAAATCCTGAAGAGTTGCAATATCCTTTCTTCTCGCCTACAGTGTCTCGCTGCAGGATGTTGGATAGCGAACTGATGAATACTTCCATCATGTCCACGGATCTTAAGTCGGCGGTGGCAAACCCCGATACCTCGCACGAGGTCCACATTCGGCAAAAATCGCTCGATACGAATGAAGTCTTGGTTCTTGTCGCGGTGCTGCAGGTACTGTCCTGGAACTTCGACCTCGTCGAATTTCTGAAACCGGAACTCACTGAGATGAGGACTAAACGATTCGAGACTCTGCTGAGAGGGTCGGCGGTCAAGTTTCTCTTCAAATTTGTCACGCCATTTTCGAAGCTTCTGAATATACTCGAACATTGTTGGTTTCTTGGCTACAAAGTCGGCTTCAAACGACTTGCGAATGTGAGCTGGCAATATCGTTTCTGCAAACCGGGTAATATTTGCTTCAGTAGCAGGGGGAAGCTTAACGTCTTGTGCGTACGACGCTGGCATTCGACCAACATACTTGTTCTTGTCAGTTACGCTATCAGAATGTTGGGGAAAATATGTTTGACTAACGGATAAGCCATCGTTCAATAGCGCAACAATTAGGCGGTAAGCATCTTCATCCGGTGGGCATTTGAAATGCTTTTGAATTTGGTCCACCATTGTCTCCATGGAAAGCGCAAGAAGCGGGAATGCAGTCTTAAGCACGGCCATGATCTCCTCCGTCAGTTCCCATGGCTTTTTGGGCGCTGGCTGTGCTGGCGTCTGCTGGCCGCCTTGCTGGTCGGTCTGATTCGGTGGTGCCTGGGCTGCTTGGGCCGGGTGCATTGGTTGACCGCCCTGTCCAGGCTGACCTGATTGTTGTCCAGGGTGTGCAGGTTGTGGAGCCTGTCCAGATTGCATCGGCTGCGCGGGCTGTGCCGGTTGCGCGGAAGGGGTGACTTGGCCTGGCAATCCAGGCTGTGCCATAACACCTAAATGCCTGTTAGGAAAAGGTCCTGAAAGTATATGATAACAACAAGGCGACTCACCATTAGGAGCTTGTGGTGCCATATGCGCCGCATCAGTAGCCGGCGCCGGTGGTCTGGGGACGCCATTGGGCTGCAGATTCGGCTTGTTCGCCAGCGGTCCGGATTTTGGAGTTTGGCCTGCCGCTTGCATAGCCCGATTTATCTTCTCCTGCCTTTGCTCCTGCTGTTTCTTGATAACTAACATGTCCTCGCGGCTGGTACGGAGCAGGAAATATAACGCTTGTGGATAAATCTTTGCAATCTTTACTAGGATTGCTCGTGAAATCCGTGCTTCTCTATGGGACAGGCTGGTCAGGAGTTGCGGGATGAAAGTGATCCAGTACCAAACGGGCGTTTCTCCCTTAAAATTTTCAAACGCTTGGTGCACTTTTCCTTCCGCATCGTCCAAACTCAAGAGCCATAGAATTCGGCTAATCATCTTTCGAGATTTCGCACTCTTGAAAAGACCAGCTGCTTCCAGATAGCAGCTGACAGCTGCCGCGGCTCGTTCCATATTAGTTGGCTCTTCTTTGAAAAGATTGTCGTTGTAGTGACCCCACTCAGCCCAGGCCTTTGGTAGTCGGATGTCGTAGTAGAGCGCAGTTCCAAAGGCCTCATTCGCCTCTTCCTTGTGGTTCAGTTTCGCCAGGAACATGCCTTTGAGAGTGAAAAACTCAGCTTTTTGCTGTTGTCCAAAATAGTTCAGGTTGGTATTATTGATCACATCAAGACCGCTAGTAAGCTCATTGCGATTCTGATAATGGCACTTCGCTTGCTCTCGGAGCTTGAGGAACGCCTCCTGTATTTCAATATTTGGAAGGGTATAGATCCTGCTCAGCTGGTTTATGCAGACTTCCGGCAGTTGATGCTTGCGCGCGACATGGGCAAATCTATTGATAATCCACGCCGTCTCATGGTACCCTCTATACGCATAAGAATTGCCAGTCGCAGAGCTCTGTTGCGGTGGGAGCAGGGTGAGGTAGGTGCCGTTGATAAGCTGGAAAACGTGCTGTCGCCAGGTTACAAGATCCTGCCATGAATTAATGTCGTCCCAGACGTTGGGCAAACGATCCCGCCACGTGCCCAGAAGGAGTTTCAGCTCTTGCGACTTCGTATCGAGATTCTGCTGCGTGGTAGAAGCAAGACTGGCACAGATGACGCTGGCATCGTGAAGCTCCACAAGCTGCTGGAAGTTTTGTAAAATTGGAATGTGAGCATTCGTAATGCGTTTGGGCAGTTGGTGCCACTTGCGAATTGAGAGCTGCATAGCCTCATCGCAGATTCTATTGAAGTCATTCTCCGATTTATTATGAAGCTTAAGCAGAGACATAAAGGCTTGGAAAAACACTCTTCTCGGCGTAGGTGCATCCGAGACGGCCTTTATGATGGATTCTAACTGCTCTCGGTTTTCGCTGGTCGTCCATGTTTCAAGATTGCGCCAAGCTGATTCGAGTAAGAGATCATTGAAGTTTTCGTGCTTGGCAAAGTCGCTCAAAATCTCCCACTGCTGCAGCTTTTGTGCGCAAAGTACCCAATGATCTTCCCACAGCATATACTCTCCTTGCGAGAAAGGAATGGTGCCAATACGTGCCTTAATCTGCGCCGCTTCGTAGAGCTGCTGGGCTTTATCCCACATTCCATTTTGTTCGTAGGATAGGCCAGCATTTGTCTCAACAAATTGGCATCGTCTCCGCCAAAGACCGTAGAAAAGATCGTCCTCTTGAAGGCCGGCGTACACTTCCACCAGAGCGTCGAGAGTGCTCTCACGAACCGCAGGAGTGTCGATAACTGGATTTAGTGCGTCTTCCTCTAGTGAGCAAGCTGCCGTATACCAGGCATCGTAAGTTCTGCTAAGGAACTTCATCACATGCGGCGGAAGGCTGAATCTCGGCTTTGTCCGCGCGACACCTTCAAGCAGTGCCTGTACCACATTGGGACGTTTATCGACTTGCCGCTGGTGGTATTCTTTCGTAAGCAGAGACACAATCCCCTTTTTAAGGTCCAGACGATCATCCTTTGACATTGCAGCCCAACAAATAGGAAACAATGAAACCCATAGCCGATGGGAAAGATTGACATCTGTATGCTGCAATTGACTTAATGGCTCAATAAGGTCGCGAGCCTTAATCTCACCAAGTTCGCTGCAGAATCGCCTAGAGCCGGCTATGAGCTCTTCAAACTTATCATCAAGCATTATGTTATCCTTGCGATGATCATTGGCATAGGGGCCGAATAACACAGATGCTGGAAATGTCTTCAGGTCATCTGCATGGAGCGAAGCTGGAGTTCCCTTCTCCACCGCTCCTAGGATCAGTTGAGAGGCTTGTGCGATCCAGAAAGAATCCGCAAGGGTGTCCCAATTCTGCGAGGTCAGGACATAGCTCAGCCTTGCCTGCGCCGTTCGGCTGAGGCTCGCATCGAATATTGCCATGAAACGATTGCGCATTTCGATATCCTGCGCTCTCGTCCCAACCAGGAAGGCATGCTCCAGTCTGACAGTGAGTTCCGTACGCTTGATCTTTTGGTCCTCGTAGATGCGTATCACCAGGTTCAAAAATTTCATTAGTAATGTCGGATCTGATCTCGATTCGAAGAGCAGCATTTTATGGAGCACTGCCGTTTTCTCTTTAAGGGTAGGGAAAGTCTCGTTGGATCTGAAAACCCACGACTCCGCCATATCAAGGATCTTCAGACAAAGTGGAATGCTTTGTGACTTCTCAAGAAGGGAAGCAAGAACACTCAAAAAGGGCCGCCGTTGATCCCCAAGTGCAGACATGCGCAGTGCCGTCATTTCAATAGCCTTGAGTGTAAGGTTTGTCTGGATTTCTATTTCATGGGGGTCAGGGCCATTGTTTGCCGAGGCTTCGCCGGTTCGAGCTGCTGCAGGGCCTGCGTTTTGTCCTGGAACAACGTTGTACGCTGCAAGATGATCCTTCGATAATTGTTGGAGTGCCTTCATGACTTGAGGGATGTGCTGATCGAGCTCCGAGGGCTTCCGGTGCGCAAGGGTCCAGAGAATATTGATGCTAGACACCAAATTGCCTGCGGAAAGCATTTCAGTCGCGATGGCGGATAGGAAGGCAATAAATCCAGAGCTTGTTGCTTCCGGGTCTGGCTCATCTTCTTCCGGAGTTTCATCAGGAATGGCATCAAGGATGCACCTAACGAGCGGTTTGAGCTCCCGTTCGGGAGAAGTCTCTTCTGCTGCTGCATGCAGACAATCCTGTACTTCCGGATTGTCGGATCGAAGCGATCTTTCCAGCAATTTCTGAAGTTGCGGCACGTGCGATACCAACCACTCGTCCGACTTCGAGTTTACGAGAATTCTCACTATTTGTAAAGAATTGATAATACTTGTCAGAACCTTCTCGTCCGGTTTATCGATCTTATCCGAAGTCAATATAGCTTCTGTGACTTTCGGGAAAAGATCAGTGTCTAGGTCTCCCCAAAACTCCGAGCCTAAGAGGTCATGCAGCAAACGAAGAGCTTTCTTGCACATGTCATTAGTGGCGGACACTTGCAATGCATAGGGAAGTGGATCCCTAGCCCTAGCAGAAGGCACCGGATATCGTTCGGGGAGCGTGCTGATCAGCTGAACAAGATATTTTATGAGGATCATCCTGAGCGGCGCAGGGAGAACATATTCAGCTCGCTCGCTTCCTGATTGAGCTGATAGTGAAGTAGCCGGCGAACTAACAACTTGCGTTCCATCAAGTTTGCGCTTCTTTAACTGCGGGGACTCAGATGGTCCACGTGGGAAAGGAGAGCTAGGCCCCCGAACCCTCCGTTCTTCCCACTGCCAAATAAGACTGATGAGGTTGAGAGCAAGTTTCTTGCTATCCGCAGATGGATTAGGCGGCGGCGCTATCTTAGAGAGCGATTGAACGATGAGTGGGGCAAAGTGTTCCCTTGCCTCATAGAACAAGTCAGGATGCCGAGCCACAAATTGGAAGATACTCATCAGCTGCTGCAAGTTGGAGATCTCTTCGGACAGGATTCTTCTCGGCAGTTTTGCCCAGATTGGAGCGCGAGGATCATTACCCTTGGCAACCCGTTTTGGAAGGACTGGAGCAATTAATTCAAGGGCCTGTGTGACAAGAGAGCGGCCTTCATTTTGATGGGCTCGAAGCAATGCCACGTAGATCTGCACCACGATCTTGGATGGGGTCTCGTAGTGGGCGATGAAGTAGCCGATCAACACGTAGGCTGCATGTTTGTTGATGATATCATCAAGTCGAATATAGTTCCATCCAAACTTGATGACATCTTTTCGAGCATCCTGAACGAGATTGTGATGATATTTGATCAGCATCGCTGAAAGCTGGAGCAACTCCATGCGGGCGTGATCAACCCCAGGTTGGCCGCTGTCTTCTGAAATATCACCCAGCTGTGGTCGCCACAGTTTATTGTGAATCGCTTCTGTCATTGCCTTGTCCAAAAATCGAGACACTTTTGGAGTAGGTTCTTTGCTCCAATTTCGTTTAATATCTGTTGCGAAAATGGGGTTTACCAAGTAATGGAAGGCAAAAGCTTTTGCCCTTTGTGAGACCGATCGATCAGCGTAAAGATCCATACACCGCAAGACAATAACTCGCCAGTACTCAAGGGAGTCGCTTGAGATGATGTGGTCGTAAATATACTTGAAGAAAGAATGGCTGGGCTTGAGCTCATTAGAAGTGATGGCCTCAATTATCTCCAAGAGTAGATCGAGGTTTCGCTGCGCGCCAGCGAGGTAGTGAGCAAATATGGACATCAGCTGCTCACCACTCTGGTCGACTGGCAATCGCAAGGGTGCTGGCAATGTATCTCTTCTTAATCTGTCATGCAACTCCTTTCCGACCATCAAAAGTCGATGTCTCAAGCTATCGTGCGAGAGGAGCGACTTTGCACCGGAACAGATGGTGATAGAATGAATGATATGTATCGTATTCACAGTGGCATATGCACGTCTGTCAGCATCCTGGATGTCAAAGGAGCATCCTATCAGGCCATCAATTTCTCCGGAGATGTAGTCTCGAAGTGGTGCGCTTGCACTGTCCTCAAGGATCTGCGCGAGGAGGCGTCCATATTTCATCTCATGCAGTCGGGCCGAGAAAAAGCTCCAAGTTTCTTTGGGGTATCGATTGAGATACTTGACAAGAGGTTCGCGGAAAGGGCTGTAAGTAGTCCGGCGGAGTTTCTCTTCGAGTTCCAGCACTTTGTTTACAAGCCCTTCCATGAATGTGATGGCGGCCGGAGGGAGAAGATGGAAGATATTGAGTATGGCTGCTACGACCTTCATACTCGGATTCTGCTCGACCAATGTGAAGGAGATCTTTTGCAGCGCATTTTGATCCGCAATGGTGCGCATATGATCCAAGAGTCTCGAACCAATTTCGACCTTGAAATAGTTTGTAAGCAGCGTCAGCAGCCTTGCCAGACCATCCAATCCAGCAACGCTTAATCGCTTCGGATCCTGCAAATTCATCAATATCGGGCGGAGTCCATTCTGGAGCAGATCTTTCGGAAGCTTATTCGTCATCGTGAGAACGCCTTTGAGACCTGCATTTGCAGCATCGATAACTTCTGGCGATTTAGAATAGAGAGACTTGAAGAAAACGGCGATGATCCTGGGTCGACTTGGATTGGCCGGTGAGTTGCCGAATTCAGCGAAACCCATTGCCATAGATAACAAGCGGATACACGATACCCTGAGACTGATAATGGACTCTGCTGTCCGCTGCTCATTTGGCTTTGTAGCTAAGCTTTCATCATCTGCGTCTGCCAGGGCAAGGGACTCCATTAAAAGGCGATTCAGCTGATCGTTGAATTCGACTATTTCATGTTGGAGGCCCAAACAGAAGGAAATTGCATCAATATAGCCGATTTGTACAGCAAAAGGAAGTGCTCGGAGGGGCTTGTTGTAGATAGGCTGTAACAGCCTGTCTTTTACAGGTATCATGAGCTCATGTACCTTTACGTTCAAGGCTTCCGCCATGATCGTGAAGCCTTTCTGGGCTGCCTCTCTCACATGTTTGTTCAAATGGGCTAGCTCATAGATAAGCAGGCCACACAGATTGTAAAGTCGGCTTTGCGGAGACTTGAAGTCATCCTTGGACATGCTCTTATTGCATCGTCCCAGCAAGACCTCAAGGGTCTTTTGGGCCTGCACCCGGACGCTTGCCGGTAAATCCTGAGGCACATCTTTAATGACGTACATCAAAGCGCGCACGAATTCAACTTGACGATCAGCCATCCAAGCATCTCCCAGATCTATCTTTGTTGCGAAAACATCGATCCCAAGACTACCTCCTGCTTTCGTAAACCATTCCTCTTCATGGCAGCTTTGACAAAACGTCCGTGCCAAATGAAGGAAGAACGGAAGCTTTGAGACCTTTTCGACAGAACCGAAGAGCACCACGACGCAATCGAAAACGGTTCGAATAGCCTCAACCGTGACATCTCGGATAGCAGCATTTTCTGAAGATAATGACTCGACGAAGGCATCTGCTAGAATCCTGCTATCAACGTATACTGGCCCTTCGCCAGATTTAACGTCGAACGGCTTTCGGAGATGCCTTGCTTGAGCTGAGGCCCTGCCAACTTCCAAAATGGTGAAATGCCGGCAAACGTCCGTTATCAGAGACGTGGCAGCCTCTTCGGTCTCCACTATTGTGCAGGCTACGAGGCACGCTTTCAAAAGTTTCTTCAGCGTCTGCTCTTCTGCGCTTTTCTTGTGCATGGACTTGTCACGTTCAGACTTTGCGAAGATATCCGGCCCAATATCATACTTTGCTTCCAAGAGATCGTCAACTTGAAGCCTCACCAGGCGGGCAAAATCTTCTGGAAGGCTATCAGAGCCAATATAGAGCTTCAGCTGAGAACTCAAAAGCTTAAAAGCCTGCTGCTTATAATAAGCATCTGATTTTTTAGCGACCGCCGTCTTCGGTACTTCGAGGAGCTTTCCGTACGCAACGTCAATTCCGAGATCGGCAGGAAATGCTCGCTCTTTGTTGGTGCCAATCAATTTGATATCTATGCTGCAGTCATCATCGGCATATTCCTTGAAGTCCAGTGGAGAAGGTCCGTTGAGAAATTTTCGGTTACGTCCGCCGAGCTTTCCTAATATTCTCATCGTCGTATGGGCATGGAAGTGACTATAGGGCATCGGCCGCAAGTGATCCCAAAGTGCAGTCATTAATTCATCGATGACCGGGGCCATGATAGGATCAAGGTAGTCAGCAGTTAAATTGTCCACGCAAAGCTCTAGAGTTCGCAATCCCTGTCCGACGAGATCTGAACCAGCGCGTAGTGCCACTACCAGCGGCCGCATCAGGTAGCTGAGATGTGGAAGGAGATTGCTAAGTCGAGCAGGTACTGTAAGACAGAGTTCCACGTAAAGATCGCGATCCTGAGGCTTTCGCGCAGCGAGGAGGAGGTTGTTCAGAACCTCAAGAAGCATCTCAAGCAGAGGGAGTATCTCTTTGTAAAGGTGTTCAAACCGACCTCCTCCAATGCTTCTAAATAGCGACCGAAGCAACAAGAAATAATTGATCGGCTCCTCTGCTGTGGTGGACAATTGAATTGACTTGGTCACTATCTTCGTCACATGGGGTAAAAGTACCTGCTCATTGTGGGTTGAAAACAACGTCACAGCCATGAAAGAGAGTTTGAAAAGTCGTAGAAGAACGGACGAAACTTTGACATCGGCAGAGCCGACGTCGCCGATTCTACTCATAAGAAACTGCAACAGCATCCCGGCAAAGCTTGGCGAGGTGGCCTCGCTGGCGAGGAAAAATTGCGCTATGTGGAGCAAAGCAGTATGCTCAAAGATCATGTCGTAAAGCTTGGGTATCTCTGAATGAAAAACTTCGTGAAACATTGCCGGATCAATGGAGTGAAAGACAGTAGCAAAAGTCTCGAGGAGATCCTTTTCTTCCTTGCCATTGGGTACCATATAATGAGTCGCGAGATACTCAAGGGCCGAAGAGTACTGGGTTTCCGATTGAGGCTTTTCAAGACTGTAGTATCGAAACACATGAGCTCCCTCCCGGAAAAGCTTCGTGATGACAGCCACTTCCTCGGCATTGTAACCATAGGATACTTCCTGCCAATTTGGGGGCGCATTAGCCGGATCTATCGGTTCCGGCTGTGGGTTGCAAGCCTTCAGTTGATAGAACACGTTTTTGAGCCCATTAACAAGGTTTTTGAAGAGGAATTTGTTGTCTGTCACGGGATCAGCGCCGCGGTCCCGCGGATTAGACGTCCGAATGGGCACAGCATTAAAGATTTCAACCTCATCCCAATCAGGAGGGTTCGCCTTATCCGCGAAGTAATTTTCCGATACCTGGTCCTCCTGCTGATTGGCATACTGCTTGGCAAGCTTGACAGCGTTCGGATACTGTCTGTTCATCACAGCAAACTTCTCTGCTATGGAATCTAGAATCATTATGAGGAAATGCCGCGCATCCTGCTTATTCTCCAGCTTTGCGATAGAGTCAGCCATGTTCAGTAACAGCTTCGCGCTCATAGTCTGAAAGCTAGTTCCTGGGAAATCGTCGTGTAAGTTCTTTGTATATACGACCACTGTTCGACAGATTTGGTCTCGGGAGAGAGATTCCCGGAGGTGGTGGAGCAAATCTGCGAGCATACTAAAGGCTAAAGGTCGCATTGTCTCGTAGACAGTCAAGCCGTCCCCAATCAGCACTCGTTCATCGAGAAGCTCGTCAATCTTGGTGAGAAAAATCTTCCGAAAATTGAAATTGATGATATGTCGTATCGCTACCAATAATTCCTTGCGGGCCGATGATCGCTCACGAGGGCAGTCCTTTAGGAGACGAACAACAATCTCAGGGAGTGCTGGCAAGAAGTCGGAGAGTTGCTGCGCGTATGCTCGTAAGAGATAAGCCAAGAAACTCATCGTCTTCACTTGTGCAGTGATGAAATCTCCGAAGGCAGTCCGATTTTTTATATCGTGGCTAACACCGGTAAAGATTTTGCCCTGGGCCCTGGCTTCAGCATGGGCGCGCTCTTGAGGCCTAGCCTGTAGAAGCAAAACGCTCTTAATCAGGGGCACGAAAAGTTTGACATTCTTGTTCACACAGTTTCGATAGGACTGGAACAGAGATACGACAATAATGGGGCACTCCGCCAAAACCTTGAAGGACTGCATACCCTTTGCCAAAGGTCGAGTCGTCTGTTGCTCAACGCCCAAGTCTGAAACCGACGCTGTCGGAGATCCGGGTCGGGGTGACTGGAAATTTTGCGGATTGCTTGGCGTAGCTGGAATCCCGGATGTTGCAGCCTGAGCCGGATTGTCGAAGGTGTCCTTGACCGCTTGCTCCATCATCTCAAACATTTCCTGGATAAGGTCCAAGAACGGTTGAACTCGCTCACCCAAAACCTTTGTTTGATTCCGCTGGAAGTTTATGATAGTCCTCATGCAAAGGATAGCGTTCTCTTCATTCTCCACGCGAGCCAGGCCTATCAGGAGATCTACGATCTCCGGTGCATATGGTTCGAGGGCTTCCGGCGGAGTCATCGGTAGGCGATGAATAATTTCGAGCACACAGTTTCGAAGTTTCTAAAAGGGCGGGCACATTAGCGGATCCACGACGTTTCAGAGCGTCTGGGGACTACTGACCTGCTCCCATGATGTGCTTATAAAAACAGGTTGTCCGTCCAACAGCTTTGTGAGGATAGGCATGAGCTTCTTGAGAAAGGTAGGATACAGAGATCCTTGTGAGGTAAAGGCTTCGACAGCATCTCGGAGCTCTGTCGCGACATTGACCTTGTGTTTTACATCTAGAGTCCTGTCAGTGTGATTGGGAGGTGACAAAAATCACGATCAATCGGCGATAAGTGCATGCGAACCTAGGTTGGGGTCCGAGAGCCTCATGGCAAAGTCTTCAATCTTTCTTTCGGCCATGGTGTCGGCAGTGCGTCCGGCGACGGCAGACCAGGGCAGTCAGGTTTTGCCCGGGCGTCAGGCCGGTTGTGCTATGTATCGCGCAGGAAATAGAGTTCCTATCTTATTCTCTGGGTATGCATCGCTCATCAATGTGCTTTCGAGAATTGAAAGCTCAAAGTGGCAGGCGTCGCCAGCAGCGAGGTGGGTTCCGAGAGAGCTGATGGGCTGTATGGAGGGTGGACAGGAAGGTGAAAATGAAATGCGCCGAAACCGACCGTAAACGTAAACGTAAGAAAATAGTTTTGAGATTGAATCTTTAAAGAGGCTCGTGAACAAAAAGTGGAATGAAAATAGTAAAGAACGGCAGAAAGTCAAGGAAGCAAAGAGTTAACAGGTTTGCACCACCTCAATCTTAAGCTTTCTCACACTGCACGCGATGAGGCTCAGTCGCGAAATGGATTCAGATTCTTTGGACGGGGGAGTCGCTGAGACCCCGAACATCCAAACGGGTTTAGTGCGAAACGGATAAGCTAGCCTTTAATGTACTAGCGAGTTATTATCTAAGGTTTAGCCCCCAGCCACACTTGCAGCGACGTAGTCCCGAGAAAATGAAGATAGTTTGGCAACTTGTAAGGCGACTTCCTGCCCTCTCAGAGCATATTATACAACTGTACGCTATTTTAGTGAATTGGGCCAGAGTAACAGCTGCCTGCTTCATCGTTCCCTTCTGCCTCTTCCTCATTGTCATCATACACATTCATCATGATATTCTCGTCTGGCCGAGTCCCTAAGGAGTCGTAAATATCGACTTCCTCCAGATCACTTCCATCCTCTTCACCATCACTCTCCGCTTCAACTTCACCCTCGTCAGCTATCGGCCATGATTGATGGTCAGGTCCAATAGAATTTGATGCTGAGTCCAACTCCCGCATTGTCTGTGTGACGCGGGGGTCCACGATCGACAATGAACCTTCGTCTAATTCTGTTGGTGAATGAACCCTTAATTTAGGAGTTGAAGGTAGCTCCTCCTCGGCGGCCCCAGTACTCTGCGCCGAAGTTCGCATTTCTGGTCCCGACGTGTTCGCCATGGTTCTAACCTCACTGGCCATCTGAACCTCCCTTGGCGTGCCCTGGTACCGTCCTACGACAGTCTGGTGCCGGTTTGACGCATCAATAATGTCCGGCATGTCTACTATTCGGCTGTAACTATCATTTGACGGAATTTCGCCTTGAAGCAGAATACGGATTTTGTTCTTCATAATCGTGCGGGCCTTAGCCCAAGTACCATTGTGATACCAACCGTCGATTTTCTATTCAATGGATCAGTGGCAGCCGGTCAGGAGTCCGAGTCTTTACGGGCTTACATCGCATGTCCTTCTCAAGTTCGTCGTTTTAAGGAGAGATTCAATGAGCGGATCGGCTATATCGCAGACCTGCCAGACCTTGCCGTCCTGTATTACTTTTCGTCCATCAAAGATGTGACTGTCTAACGTGTCCTCTTTGCCCTTGGTCGTGCGGTTAAACTTTGTCCGGGCATCCTCCCATTGTTTTGCTCCGGCTTCATCTTCTTTTGTGTTGAACTGGAACATCATGGTCTGATAAACGCGGTATTTTGGGTCCGTGCGAGGATCCACCCCAAACCTCACTATTGCATCTCGCCATGGTCCTGAACGAAACATGTAGCCCACGTACTGAAGGGCGTGGCGAATGGTGTACAGGTATTGCTGCTTATTGCTTACATTATTGGTCAAAGCGCGGCGGGTCCAGATCGGCCGTCTATCAAGCAATTCTTTGAGTTCCTCGTATATCTTTTTGGTAGTGTTATCCACGGTGTCAATGGGGGGAAGGTCTCCGGAGGGAGCTGTGGGTATTTGGGCCACTTCATGAGACACCAATTGAGTGAGCACCTTAGCCGCCTTTTGTGTGTTGATGGTGACGGCCCGTCCCGTGCTGTCAATTGCGGATTTAACTGAAGGATTCTGTCGATAGCTATTGCTCGTCAACTTAGAGAATTTTCAGCACGATGCAATTGCTTTCACTTACGAGTAATTGAAAGGAACGGTGAAATGCGTGAAGTTTGGTGGAGGAATCAGATCCCCGTTAGGCTTGAATCCTTTACTTAGGTTGAAGCGATATTCTTTCAGTTTCGGATCTGATCATATTTAGTATATAGATCTCGGAAAAAATTCTACCTCATTCAGGAGTTCTTTACATTCGAAAGGCGTGATGTGGTTTCGCAGCTCCTGCACGAAAGGGCTTTGACTCGTAGAATACTGAAAGTCCACAAGGCCTAGTCTTGTGAGTCGATGTATGATAAATGACAATTAGCCATGGGACTCACCTCGAAACCGTTGAGTCTGCTCAATAACTCCAACAGGCTCTGCGTTGTACCTCTCTGGGTTATCACGAAGGCTTCTTAGCATGCGTGAGGTGCTGACAAATCCAGTGGACGATGCAGCTTGCCGACGCGGAGACACCATCCGTTGGCCATTTAGAGGGACATTGACAGGCTTAGGCTCATCTAAACTCTCTTCTGAGGCGTTAAAGGGTTCTGTGGATCCTCTCTTGCGTTTTCTTCCTGTCCTGGCTGGCACAGTAATTTTGACCAAGAGGTTGTTTGTGTCAGCAGCCTGAGAATATGCTGGTCTGCTCATAGAATCATTCGGCCTGAGATTGACAGCCAACCCTTTGTTTATTCCGTCGACTCTCACCAGCTATCATCAAACAATTAGCAAAACGCTCTGAAGATGGGGCGTCACGTGCTCGAATTGGCTCGAGGCACGGTGCGGGAAAGAAAGACATAAAAAAAATCATTTTAAAAGGCAGACCTGTTCAATCTCGGAGCTACCGCCAAGAGTTTCGATGGCCTTGTCAACATCTCGAATTATGCATGGATGTTCAACGCTAGTGATAGTTGTGTCTGGGACTGAGAACCAAGGAGCGACTTGATGGCGGGACATTGCGTGGAGGTATTTTGAGCGAGGATGGGGGTTAAATAAAGATATTTGCCATCTAAGACTAAGTTCGACCGTCACAAATGAAATTGTAATAGAATGGGAGCGAAAGCATCATCTGAATACTTGAATATGTCGTCCGCCGCAACTGCCGCGACCTTGCAAGATATTCTGTCACCGCAATGAGATGTCGCCGATTTAACCGAATCCGAGTTACCTCGCTAGAAGTCGACGGCGCGTTTTGCTCGGGGGGGTCGACTCCACTGGAAACTTTATAATTACGCCTTTTGGCGTCGAGATAACAGGTATTTAAAAGTACTCAGAAGTACTTGGCTAACTCAAAACTCTCGGCCATACTTTGACAGCTGGTAGCGTTTGTCGTCATCATCACCATATCACTTGTCGCGGGGGGACGTGGAATAACTATAAGCAATGCAACAGGTAATATAGCGACGCATAAATTTTGAAATTTCTTTTTATAAATGAGCATCTAGGAATAATATTGATTTTTTTTAAGTTTTTTGAATCATGAATTAGGAATATTAGTTTGGAAGTATGCTCCTGCTCCTGGTTCAGGGATATATTTTAATACTCTTTTGTATGATCAAAAGAAAAATGATCTCGAATTAATGTTGGATTTTCACTTGATCTAAACAACAACTTGATCGTATCTTGCATTCTTTCATGCTAGATTGAAAAAGAAAAAGAAAAAGAAAAAGAAAAAGATTCGAAACCAACTGTAAATTACGCAGAAAACCTCGCAAAATATACAATCACTTTACCATGCTTTTGATGGTCGAGGAAGCCAAGCGTACATTATATCTCGTATGGAGAGGAGAATTGTTAGCGGAGATAGTAGCGTGTCGGAGGTCTAACCGACAAATTCAGTTTCACCGCACAATTGCCGTCACTTGTCCAACCTCAGCTCTCTCGCTCGCTCGTCCTCTGTCTCTCTCGCTGTACTCCAATGTGGATGTAGCTGTCTGTGTTCCTCACTCTCCATCTCCCCCGTTTTGCTCGTCTCGTCACGAAACACGTAAAAGGTGGAGAGGTCCTTTCTCTGGTGAGTACCGCCCAAAGTGACACTGAGCAAGCAGGGCAAACACCAACGCCTGTTCCGACAAGGAGGAGCTCGCCTCAGATAATTGCTCCCCTGACACAACAGCCACAGTCAAATCCCAAACCCCACCAAATCAAGCCGCCTGCTTACATTGTGTCGCAATTCTGCACAGATGTCACTCTAGAAAGCCCAACATTAAGATTTCATTCAATACAGGAAGAGACAGGGTCCTGGGCAGGTACGTAGTAGCATCACTGGCAGTGCTGGAGATCCCGCATCCGCCGCCTCCCAAACTAACGATCATCATTCCGACATATAGCGTAGCATCCGAGCGCCAGACATCACCCCCTAACACGGAAACCTTTCCATTTCCCACCAATACCCCCCGGAAGCTCCATCGACACATTTGTGGGCCCTGGTGTCGACAGACGGAGGAACCACCACCACTTGAGCTCTCTCTGCTGCCATTTCTGTTCACCACAACATATCCAAGCCCATCTTCGCTTAGCATCAATTGCATTGTTGTGTACAACCTGCCACTCCTCGTGAGGTTTCCTGGGCCTCTCTCGAGCTCCTCTCGACATCCTCTCCCTTCGCTGCCTTTCCTGACCCAGCTCGACAATCTCCGCCCTTGACCCGCGCGTCTTCACGTCGCCGCTCTTTGGCGCGTAGGCTCTCGAAAGAGGCAGTTCTGCGCCATGAAGGGTTTCAGGCAAAGGGTTGTAAGTATCCCCTGCCCCTCCATTTTTCCCGACACCAAAAGCCTACGGATAGTGTACACCTCGTGCATTGTCTCATCTCTCTTTCTCACTCGTGTGCATGTTCCTTTACCCGGCCACTGACTCAATTTGTGGCAACAGCTTTCGAGAGCCAAAGATCCGAGCAAGTCATCTAAAAAGAAGGACTCGTCATCTGGCACGGCTTCACCCTCTCATGGTTCTTCCAACACGCCCGTCCACTCCCAGTCTCCTTCCGGTTCGAATCATGGCACACCCACATCCTCGACAACTGCGGTGAACGATACTCGGAATAAGTCGGTGGGTCCCAATGAGGGCTCCCAAGCAGGAGGTAACCATGTGCACCAGTCGCTGCCGCCGCAGGCTGGCCTTCCTGGTGCCCCCTCTCAAAATCATTCCTACATAAACCAGCAGCAAGCAATGGCCGGAGGGGCTGCGAATCCTTCTGGAGCTCCAAGTACTCCTGGACGACAAGGGCTGCCGTTGGCGCCGAGTGTCGTTATCAGCCCGAGTGCGCCTGTAAGTGGATCACCATTGCGGACAGACGCGTGAGCCGGCGAGATGGATTTTCGTGCCTCTACCGGAGCGCAGCTTTCTCTTGGGTCACATTTACTAACATCGCCTTTTTTCATTCTCAGCACATCCCCCCCCCAGGTGCCGCCGAGACTATGCCTGGCGACTTGGCCCCCCCCAAGGCTGGCCAAAAATCGCTACTTTTTGACCGGCTGCAGACAACTCCCAAGGACGTTCCAGAAGGCATCCGAACACCAAAACGACAACATTCTTCTCGATTTGATATTTCTGATCAGCGACAACGGGAACTCGAAAAGCTTCCAGGTTTCCACGAGGTGCCGCCCAATCGGCGCCAGGAGCTGTTCATGCAGAAGATTGACCAATGTAACATCATCTTCGATTTCAACGACGCCAGCGGTGATATGAAGTCCAAGGAAATAAAACGGCTAGCGCTCCATGAGCTGCTCGATTATGTGGCCAACAATCGACAAGTCATCACCGAACCCATGTATCCTCGTGTGGTTGAGATGTTTAGCAAGAACCTCTTTCGGCCAATTCCTCCGCCGGTCAATCCCCAAGGTGAAGCCTTCGATCCCGAAGAGGATGAACCTGTACTAGAGGTTGCTTGGCCGCATATACAGGTCGTTTACGAGTTCTTCCTGCGATTCATCGAAAGTCAAGACTTCAATACAAACATTGCCAAAGCCTATATTGATCATCAATTTGTCCTTCAGGTACGCCTTTTTTCGATCTTCCAGATGGAGACTGGTTTTCTGCACACCCATACTAACGCTTGATGTTGCAGCTACTTGAATTGTTCGACTCCGAAGATCCGCGCGAGCGCGATTTTCTTAAGACCACTTTGCACCGCATCTATGGCAAATTTCTAAACTTGCGCTCTTTCATCAGACGGTCCATCAACAATGTCTTCTTCCAATTCACCTATGAAACGGAGCGTTTCAATGGAATTGCCGAGCTGTTAGAAATTTTGGGTTCAATCATCAACGGATTTGCGCTACCGCTTAAAGAGGAACACAAGCTCTTCCTGACACGCGTGCTCCTTCCTTTGCACAAGGTCAAGAGTCTGAGCATGTATCATCCGCAATTGGCGTATTGCATTGTCCAATTCTTGGAAAAAGATGCTGGTTTGACTGAAGACGTAAGTAACGGCCTTTGCCCTGGATATTACTTCTATGATCAGTGGTTGATCTGTACTAGGTTGTTCTTGGACTTTTGCGGTTTTGGCCCAAGGTTAACAGCACAAAAGAGGTCATGTTCCTGAACGAGGTGGAGGACATTTTCGAGGTCATGGATCCTGCCGAGTTTGCTAAAATTCAGGAACCGCTTTTTCAACAACTGGCCAAATCTGTTGCCAGCCCACATTTTCAGGTATTGAATTTTCCCATTTTGTCGCTTCGGCAAGAAGGCTTTATGCTTAACTTCTTTTGTAGGTTGCCGAACGTGCCTTGTATTTCTGGAACAACGAGTACTTCTGTAATTTGGTCAGCGATAACGTCGAAATCATTCTCCCCATCATGTTCGCTCCCTTATATGAGAACTCAAAGGGTCATTGGAACCGGTAAGCACTCAAATTTCCATTGCACTTGGAGCTTTTTAGGATCGGTATTGATTTGATATTGGCTAGAACGATCCATGGAATGGTGTACAACGCCATGAAGCTTTTCATGGAGATTAACCCTCAGCTTTTTGATGAGTGTTCTCATGAGTATACCGAAATGCAGAACAGTGCCGAGGACAGGCAGCGGTTGCGAAAAGACAAATGGGCCAAGCTTGCCGAAATGGCCCAACAGAGCAAAACTGTCACGGCAACCGAAAACTTGCCAGCTGCAAAGAACCCAACCGACGACATCGACCCCATGACGCAGGATAGCCAAAGTCGGCTAGATGCCTTGAAATTACAAGATGAGATCTCACCGGTGAAGGGCCAAAGACCTCGGGATCATGAAAGGCAGAATTCGGTAGGCACTTCTAGAAGTCAGCGATGATTGCATCTCTTTCTCTCTCTGCCATTCTGCTCTCTTCCTGTCTCTTCCCCTTTGTCATACAGCTTTGCTACTTTCAAGTGTCAGGGCATGGGTTGGACTTTTTTCACGAGCATCTCTTTTCTCACAATGTTTCTCATCATTTCTTCTTCTTTGCTCATGGTCATGGTTCCTGCACCTATGGTGCTGACCATTATCGCCATTGCTAGAGGCGGCGTCGACAGTCTTCGGGCGAATCATCAAGACCTCAGCAACACCCCATCATTCCGGTGAGTCGGCCGCGAAGCAGGAGTCGGGGCTCAAGTGGAAGTGGGTACGGCACTACGGCAGGACCGCTGCGCCGGTATAATTCTGGAGGTAGCGGTGGCGGGGGAAGTGCCGGTTCAAGGACTGGAGGAGCGGGTTAATCGAAACGAAAGCTTTTTGGTGTTTATCATCTGTGTTGTGACTATTGTCAATGTCATGTCTTTTCGCTTTTTTTCTTCCCCTCTTATTTTTTCTCCATTTACTCTGGCGTTTTGAAAGTTACCTTTTCATCAATGGTCATGCTCTGCTCCAATGAAACAGTTGACCAAATAGCGGCTTTTCAATTTTCTTTATTCAAGTCTTTTATACTTGAACTCAGCGGGTTGGTTCGTGATGCAAGGCTAGAGAAAGTGCCGCTCCGATGCAGGATTTTGACCGTGACGTGTAATTTGAACAATTCTCATTATGTGTTGTGTCTCCCCTCTCCCATTACCTTACAGTTTGTGATCTCCCTGGCGCATGCTTGAGATGGAAGGAGAGCATGGATGGGGACTTTTCTTTCTTGGATTCCCTCGGAGGGGAGTTCACCTCAGAGGCTCATGGATTAAGACTTTTTCCTCTTTCGCAATGACTCTGCCCCCCAATCATTATAGACTCTATAGCTGTAGGATTTGCGCGATGCTCTTCTAGTCGGTCTGATGTGGCTTTGTCAAATATCTTCACTGGAAGGGAGGGAAATCATGGATCGCATGTTGCACCCCCGCAAGATACTGTGCTCCAGTTCAATCTCAAGCAGGTTATATATATATCATATCGCATTCTCGTGTTTGAAGTGCTTGTAATTCATACAGGATGAGACGCATGCCCCAAGATGGCGCAGAGACGATACTAATCTCTCACTCTCACTGTTGATACTGTTGCGGTATCGAAACATCATACTCTCTGGCCACCTTGAAATGCTAAGATTGACGCATTAAGCGCTCATTTATTCGGACGAGAATACAATAATTGCAGACAGGGTCGAACTCCAGAAGTTGCATAGGACAGTGCCTCTCCTTTTTAATATTGTCAGTCTTGTCCCCTTCCGCTGCAATCGGTGGATTTGATCGTGGAGCACTGAATATTATGATTGCAAGTGGGATGTTCTCAAAGCAATGCGCCGGTTTACCTCTTTGACACTGGGAATGTTTTAAAATTTTGGAAGAACGCTGAAGAATGAGGGAAGGTTCGAGAAAGGTTATAGCATTATATAATTCTGAATGGATGATGAAAAGAGCTTGATGGCTGGTGGCGACTATTATCTATTGTTTGTGCCTTTGCTCAGTCCTTGTGTTGCAGGAACCTTTCTGTCGCCGAGACTGACGCAACCGCAATTGCATCACGCCGAGCCAAGGGACCCCTCCACCCCACCAACCGAGCCCAACCCAGCCCCTCGACTGTCAACAACATCTCATTTCTAGCAAGCTTGCTGGTAAATAACAGAATTTTCGCTCGTCAACGAATATCAATCACGATGCCTCAAACTGCTCTAATCACCGGTGCGACTGGTTTACTTGGTCGCCAAGTCTTCAAGGCTTTCCAGCATGCAGGATGGATCACCATCGGAACGGGCTTCACTCGTGCGAATCCTCCGTCAATCCTAAAGGTAGACTTGGGTAATACAGAGGAGGTTAAGAGGGCATTGGATGAAGCCAAGTATGTATATATATCTCTTTCGAAATACGCGCATATATTTTGCTTTGGAGCTTCCCGCTGACTCTATATTACAAGGCCGCAAGTCATTGTCCATTGTACGTGAGATTTCACATCCGCTTCCGATCTTCTCTTCCGAAACAAATTTTGAAATAGCTTGAACGAATGCATTCAGATTAGTAGATCCCATACTAATTTGTCGATAGGTGCTGCCAACCGCTTCCCTGACAAGTGTGACGCGGACCCCGAAGGCACCCGAGCATTGAACGTGGCAGCTTCACGCGCCCTCGCTGAAGCCGCTGCCTCGCGCAAAATCTTCTTAATCTATATTTCCACAGATTACGTCTTTTCCGGCAAGCCCGGTGAGGCGCCTTACCAAAATGACGCTAAGACTGGTCCCACGAACTTCTACGGCCAGACCAAGCTTGATGGCGAGGAGGCAATTCTTGAGGCAACCAAAGGCACAGGACTGGGCGTTGTTCTGCGTGTGCCTGTGCTGTATGGCTCTGCGTTTGAACCCAAGGAAAGTGCTGTGAACGTCCTTCTGGAAGCTGTCGACAAGGCGGAGGCGCATGCCTTGGCCCAAGGCAAGGGCGAGACTAGCACTAAAGCTACCAAGATGGATGATTGGGCTTTACGATTCCCAACAAACACCGAGGATGTTGCTCGTGTATGTCAGGACATTGCGAAGAAATATTCTGTTGAGACTCCCGACGCGGACCGCGCGAAGCTCCCAACTGTGCTGCAATTCTCGGCTGAAGAGCAATTTACAAAGTACGAGATGTGCAAGCTTTTTGCAGAGATTTTGGGTCTTCCTTTGACCGAGGACGCTATGGTTGCGAACAAGGAGGGTAATGACCCCAACGCTGCTGTCCAGCGGCCGTATGATTGCCATTTGTCTACAAAGGCGTTGAAGGATCTCGGTATCCCCGTCCATGCCGTTGACTTTAAGGACTGGTGGTATGTTGTTCCTGCTGAATTTGACGAATTCTATTTTCCCTTTGCCGCCTCTATCCGGTTATGAAATGATTGATCAGAGCCCATGCTAATTATTTTCCCAACGCCAAACAGGAGACGCGAGCTCAAGGCCTACCGCCGATAAACCGAGACCTTGAAAATTTGGTTTTATATCTTTTATATTTGTATATATTTCCGGCCTTTCTCATGTTCATGATAGATAGAAGTGTTGAACCAGTTTGCAATGATGACATCTTTCTCGGAGTTGACCCAGTTTCTACGATCCCACCATTTTCATCGTCTTTGATCGCAATGTCGTCTCTTCACATATTCACAGACTCCCGCGCTCGGCGCTAAATTCAACTTTTACAGTGAATTCTCAACCATGTCCCGTCCTCTAATTCGTTCGCGTTCCCGGCTGCGGATTTCCCAATCCGGCAGTCTTCAAACTTCGTCGGACGTCTACCGATCTTACAACTTCAGAACTGCTTCCTGGGGAGACGTGTAGACGCGCGCTGAACGTGTATAGATGACATCACGTCTTCCCGTGCTCTAGAGCATCATTTCACATGTGAAGACTCCGAATAGGAAATCACAATTGTCGTTGGACGTCTACCAACTCTGCAACCTCAGGAACTGCTCTCAGGGAGACGTGTCGGCGTGTCTGCTTCGTGTTGCGATGACGCCACGCATTTCAGCGTCTCTTGGAGCAAATATGCGCGTGAAAAGCTCGAATAGGAAATCGCAACTGTCGTTGGACGTCTACAACTTCAGCAACTTCAGAACTGCTTCCTGGGAAGACGTGTCGACGCGCGCTGGACGTGATAGATGATGTCACTGCTCTTTGAACTCCTATAGCCCCGTCACTTCCTATTTCGAATTTTCAGCATTTCCGTCAGACGTCTCAAAGTTTAAGGTTATGGCAAACGGCTTCCACACTGCCTTTCCACGTGCACTGAGCGCCTTAGCCTGACATCACTAGCTCCAGGATATCTGCAGGGTCCTTTTCAGGGTCCACGCGCGCTTTTGGCGTATCGATTGCCTATACAGGCAATTCTTTTGTTTTTCGTCGGACGTCTACCACTTTTGAACTCTGACATTTCCTTCGAATAAATAAAGGAAGACGCGTCAGATGAGAAGCAGTGACATCACAGTGTCCAAGGGCCGTGATCAAGAGTCCAGACACCCTATTTACTGCGTGGAATAGAGAGCATGGGAAGCACGTGGCGGCGTGGTGGTGTGGGGGAGGGGGGGGAGGTATTTTTGGCTACGTGTATTCTCCGTGGCTCCAGCCATTACATTCACCAATACTCTCAAGTGGTAAAACCAAACAGAAGTACCGAATGGGGCCCAAGGAACCAGTTAATCGTCACTTTCACTTCTTGAAAAAAGTCACCATGTGCTGCATTTCCATGAGTCCTTGCTGTTTCTAATCTCAACTTCTCGAGTACTATTTTCTTTTACAGGCGATTCTTCTATACTCTTATTAAGTATTAACACTTGTTGTGGATATGACGTGGAAGACTGTTGGGTCAGAAATCTATAATGTAAAAGGCTTGAATTCTCCAGGATCGTGTGGTCTGCCAGCTATATATGTAGGAGCTAAGCAGCCGTGTGAGAGCTGTGGTCGATGCGCAGCAATATGCCGGTTGACAAGAAAAGCCATCGGCCCTATGGTAGAGATAAAAAATAATACGGCAATAGCCCATAGGGCAAGGAAGCAACGTAGCCAGCATACAGCGTAACACTACCTGCTATATAGCTAAGCTAAAGCAACCATTATATGAAAGCAATCGTCGTTTTAGATCAGGTTGATAATTTCAGTTTGTTGTTGCTTGCACTTAGGCGCCGCCGTGATATTGCAGTGTTTATGAACGAGATTATCAATGTCCTTTTCAGATAGTGCCAGTGTATAACTTTTGGGAGAAAAATCATTGATGGGAAGGTGAGTAGAAGACAGAAGAGCCAGGATACAGCTTCATTCCTACTCAGCCTGTACTTTGACCCAAACTCATTGAGCCATTGTAAATTTCTCCATCTTGTGATGACACCATTCTTGATGGCCATCCTGTGCCTTATCCACAGCCTCACGACATTTATTTCTTGTTCTAAACATATCAAACTAATAAATGCTATGCTCTAGAGTAATGTATCTAGAATCATTAACCATCTGGTATTCTACACCATCCTCTGATGTTGTGACATGGCTACGGGTTGAATGGTGGTGATGCCACAAGCAGAAAGAAGATAGAAGAAGATGAAGCTGGATTGCTAAACTATGACGGAGGCTATGAATATATGTGAGCTCTCGGTCATGTAATCCTACGCTAGGTAAGCCAGCGGGGTGCCATAAGAAGGCCTTAACATCTGAGGTACAAATGCACATATGGACCATGGTACCACCTTGGATACCCATGGGTATCTTGCAGAGGTTTTGATTCTTTTTTTGGTACAGATGGTTTCATCACAGCCTCTGCTGGCATGGCAGGGCAGAAACAATCATCAGGGACAGTAAAGCTAAGATTAGGGGGCAGGAGCTTGACGACGTTTCCTTGTGGGCAGACCACTTCATGTTCCCGAAATTGACCTAGCAATTTAGCTAAGGTGAGGCCGCACCGTGGTGGAACATAAGGGTCAGATAAGTAGGTGATAGGAAGCTGTATTGCAATGGAGAGCTATCGTGACGCAATATAAACATCAAGAACGATGGTCATGCGCATATACCGGCGGAGTGTCCATAATAAACCATGTAACAACCGTGGTCGATGTAAAGCACCCAGCTTACTATAGTTTTTCCATATTGGTCCAGCTTTTGTAAATAATCTTGTTACTTAACATGCAGTCACGCTGCATGGTAGTGGCATAGCTTCTGGTCAGTCCTCTGTCTGTGTCTTAGGGTTATAAACCATGAAAAAAATGGAGCCCCTCGTCAGAGAGGTGAACAAGGAGCACTAGCTGTACTCACTGTAGTATATAATCCCTCGTTATTTTTTCGGCTCTTAGGAATGCAATTTGTCCCTCATAAAGAGAGATCTCATTGAAAATGCCACATAATATTGTAAAAAGCAGCAGCCTGTAAGGCAGCTAAGACTTTCTGAACATGCTTCCGGTGTGTCTCTAGGTCATAGCTGTAAACAAGGATGTCATCCAGATAAGCCGTGCAGAATACATCAAGGTACTCTCTCAGAATGCCATCTATGAAATGTTGAAAGGAAGCTGGCGCGCCACACAGACCAAAGGGCATAACTAGCGATTCGAATAATCCATAGCAGGTCCGGAATGCTGTCTTCCGTTCTCACCTTCAGCCATTCTGAGCTGGTCGTAGGCAGCAATGATGTCGAGATTGGTGTATTACCGCGCCTTGCTCAGGCGGGTCTAAGGTGTCCCGGATTAGCGGCAGGGGATATTTGTCCCTAGGCGTTTTGGCTTCTGTCAGTTCTCTCCCAGTGTTAACAAAGTAATGTTATGCCGACCCAGAAGTGGAAGCAGAGCTGCACTGGAATCCGCGAGAAGTTTCTTCCAGTTTCTTGAGGAACCAAAAAATCTTCTAGGTTGCTCGCGGGAGCCTCTTGTGTCCCACCTCCGGGCTGGTTGCTACTCAAATGTCTCTTGGCTTAGAAGCTCTTCCGGTATCTCAGCTTGATCGATGTCAGCCTGCCTGAAGTTGAAACATAGATTCTTTTATCTCGTAAAGCATTAGTAAATTGTTTGAGTAGGATGTCCAGACTCCTGTGTATCTGCTGCCCAGGCCCCAGGATCCGGTAGTGTACATGTCAGATTTGATGGTTTGTTGATTTGTTTTACCTGCGGCCTCGAGATTGAGACAGAAACCTCTTGAGATATATTCGAACAGTTCACTTTAACTTTCCAGAGTTTTATTCAGCTCTTGTGGGCTTCTGAAGCATATTCAAGGAGCTCTAAATTTCCGTCCACCCCAAATTTGCTTCGCATAGTTCTGATGCTCGAATCTTGAATTTCTGGCAGGCGGAATGTACTGATTAGCAGAATTGATGAGGTGGTGCTTCAGAGAAGAGGTATCAAAGATTTTCCAAGTATTTACGGGAAAGTGGATAGAGAGATTTGATCCTCAGTAATTGACAGCATATGAACGGATGAAAGGTGTCCTGAAGGAGAGAGGAACCATTTCCAGGGACCATCTGCTCGTCTTGTTTGCGACTTTTTCTGTTGGATAAGGTTGATATAACAATGCTGGATCGGAAGATAGTCTCAGCTTGTCGATCTGGGCGTAGTTAGGATCAAGGTCCGCTTCCTCACAATTGTCACCTTGTCCAGCTAGAGACAAAAAGTTGAACCCAAGACTTTGAGCACTTTGAAGAAAGAAAGTGTCCGGCGCTGGTCGTGAGTGCATTTCCATCCAAATTGATGACTCTTGCTTCCACGCTTGAATTGAAGTTAATCAAGTTATATTTCATTAGCGCTCATAAACCTGATACATTTTACCGGTAGCTGTTTCCTTCGCCGTCTCGGAACTTGGCATCACTGCTAAGGGGTTTAGCTGTAGCGGGTATCCGGGTTCTGATCCAACCGTCACATTTTCAGCTTGCCCGTTAGATTAGACGCTCACTAATGGCTACTGACGCCCGGGAGTTAATAACATGCTTTCGGAGTGCTGCTGCCGTTAGAAAAGTGACCCTCTTGTCATCCTAAACGAGCTTAGCAACCAGTTCTAGCAATAGACGTTATTTCAACTTACGCTGCAGCCTGAAATAATTACAGCAAGTGACGCTTATACCCTTAGTTGTTAGGTTGTACTGCTCAATTTTCAAAATAAAAAAACTTGATGTACAAAATGCAATGGCATACGGACATTCCAACCAGCACCGATGAATTGAGTTTGCTGAGTGAAGATTATTTGACAAGTATAGCTAAGCCAACAATGGCATTTCCCGAGAATGAAGCCAAATAGGTTGATATGTTGACCATTAAGAATTATGGAATTGATAGGAAAAGAAACTTTAGGGCTTGAAGCGTTCGTATCTTGGACCATGAAAGACTGAAGTCAGCAGCACGCCGAGAGAAAGAAAAGGATAAGACTCAGGTGGGGGTTCCTTTGGCATTTATACCCGGCTCCCTCTCCCCTGCCGTATGCATTCCCAGTGCTGGTTAGGTATGAACAGTGGATCGGTGAATCGGTGATGGTATTGCGAATTTGCTGCTGTTGCCTAGATGTTGATAGTGAAGATGAGTAAATTTGTAAAATTATAGAGTTTGGCGTAATGGCAGTGAAGGCAATTATTCTGAGCGTAACCACGGGACAATCTTACGCGGTGATGAATTTGCATCGTTGCTGGACACTGAAGGGGGAAAAGAAAAGAGGGAAGGAGGAAGATCGATTTGGAGACCGAGATGAAGGAAATGGAGGGCCAAATTGATGCGTTGCTGAGTTATTTGAGTCCAGGGAGGAGTCTGAATGACATGTACGAGGCTTGTTGATAATTCAGATCTGGTTAAGAGTGCGACTGGGATCGGCGTATCGAGAGCATGTATCCAATATGTTCCTCTCGAGGGTATGATTTCTGCCATTACAGAATTCCAAGGCAATAAAAGCCCCAAGAAATTACAACAACGAGCGGCGCATATATAAGGAATGAATGAAATTCTAGTAAAAGGGCGAAAATTCAAATAAATGATATTCTTCTCGAATTGGTGCTGCAATGCCCATCTGACCAACGCTTGTACCGTACCCTATCACAGTATCCTGTCCATAAAAACGAAAACGACACGCGCGCTACACGATGCATCATTATCCATCCATGAAATAAATGATACAATGACACAACATGCACCCATGACTTTTTGCCATCCAGCCATCCAGCCTGCCTAACTGCCCGCCTGCATGCCCAATCCTCTTAAATGCGAATGGTTAAGAGAATGTTTTAAGAAAACTCCACCAGATGTTGAGAAGAAATGTAAGAAGTGGTAAATCGAAAAGAAGACGAAATAGAGAAAAAAGGGGGGCAAATATAAAGATGTTTAACAAGGTGAAATGAAGAAAGGAAAGTTTAAACAAATCCACAAGGCACCGTAAAGAGCCCAGCCAGCCAGCCAACCAGCCATCCGTCCACGCACCTTACCTCCCACGCCCGCTTAAAATATGGCCCGACACAGAAAATAAAATGCAACAGGTGGTCCAACATGATTTTTTTTCTCATCCGTCTTACGAACATTGCAACCCATTCATCCTTATTCCATCGCTACCCATATCCGAACAGGCCAGAGCTTTTGCCGTTTGCCGTGCGCATGAAGAATTAAAAAAGAAAAGGACGAATTTGACAATTAACACAAGTGCGTTTTGGACTCGACTCCGTTTCCGTTTCCGCTCTGCTGTAGGGTGTGGGAGATAAATAAAAATTGTACATGATAAGAGGTAAACACTTAGGAGGTTTGTCGACCTTAGTGGTGTTCGGCGTTCTTCCTAAGTGCACCGTTCCCATCTAGACAGCAACCAAAGAGCCCACAAGTGGGATTAGATACGAAAAATAGTCGAGATAGCGTTTTCTGCGTTAGGACAATAGCCTCATCACTTACGCGGGAGACTTGCCCGTAGTCGTCGTGCCATTGATCCGATCCCGACGGGCATCGTCGCTCATGGTGAGACCACCGAGGCCAGTCGACAGGAAGGAGAAGGGATCTGAACCTCCATCCATCGAGTAGAAACCGCCATTGGACGCTCCCGCAGAGGCCGGACCGGGGCCAGCAGACGAGAATGCTGCCTCAGCAGCACGGCTGTCAAAGGGACCAGCAGATTGAAGACCGCCGGCGGGAGCGGCCGGAGAGTTGAACTGAGTGTTCAACGATGGGTAAGGCGCAGCGGTTGCGCCGCCAAGGGCCGAGGGTAGACCATAGGTGCTGGGCGGTCCAGCGAACTGCTGGCCGGGGAAGGCGCCAGCGCCGAAGGCATTACCGGCACCGGCAAAAGCACCAGGACCAGGTGTGCCGGCAACTGACGGAGGTCCCATGCCGTAAGCCGCGGCGGCAGCGGCAGCAGCAGCATCAATGGGAGATGGGAAAGCCGAATCAGCAACGACAGCAGCGCCAGCACGGCTGGCACCGCAGCGAAGGCAGCTGACATTCTTGGCAAAGTTGTGGTAGCCGCAACCCTCGGAGCCGCACTTCCAGTCACCAGCCCGGAAGGGAACCATGCCACCGCTGCCGCCCATGCGCGAGTGTCCCATACCATGGCCGTGGCCCATGTGATGGTGGTGATGGTGTGGCGCCATCATGGATGGCGGACCGTAGGGGAAGCTAGGGAAACCCATAGGGTCGCCGGCAGGGCCAGACGACATGGCGGGGAAGGAGCATCGGAAACAGGCAGTACGACGTTGGAAGTTGGAGAAACCGCACGAAGGGCAGGTCCAGTCGCCAGGTCTCGGTCGGTTCTTGCTCGGGGGAAAGGGAGTAAGGATCTCGGCGGCACGATCGAGGACTCGGCTCGAAGAAGGGGACACCTCAATTGCCTTTTCGTTCAATGCTCGACCGTTCATGCAAAGGCTCTCGGCCGCCTACATTCAGATTCCAGATGGTTTAGTCTTTTGTTTTCAAACATGGGAGAAATTTTCATCCTCCAGGGACTCCTCTTTCTGCAGGAAAGACCTACCTCCTCGTGGGAAGAGAAAACAGCGAAACCAGTTCCGGTGGGCTTATGCTGGTCCGGAGTTCGAAGAGTCCAAAAGGCTATCGGACGACCACCAAACTGGGTGAACCAACTCTCGAGCTCGGATTGTGTAGTATCGTGGGGAAGGCCACTCATGTGCAGGACCTTGGAACGCTCAGACAAGAACGCACGGACGTCGGCGCGGGCATCGAGGGGACGGGTCAGCACATCCGGGTGCTCGTGGGGAGGCTGAGACTTGCGGATAAGACCACGCAAAACTCTAGCTAGAGTGACGGCCTCCTCCATGGCACGACGAGGCGAAGCCGGCGCCAGCGCCTGCAGGTGGAAGGGCAGGTTGTGCTTGATCGGAGCAGAAGATTGGACGGGCTCCACCTCCAAAGCAGCGCAAATGTTTGCCAGCGAGCTGGGGCCGAAGGGGAGAGATTCGGGGTGGTGCTGCTGCCAGCGCTGGTACTCAGGCCGCAGGTCGAATGTCCGAGAGTGCTGGAGGTACGGAGGGAGGACAACGGCCTTGTCACGAGCCTCACGGGGGAGCTGCACTCTAAGATCCCAGGAATCGAGGGTTACGAAGGCAAACTCGAGATTGTTGGAGAGGAGATGCTCGTTGGCGAAGGCGTCAAAGCGGTTAACAGCGTCGCGGAAAGTCGCGGCTTGGCGGACGTGCTCCCATGTTAGGGTAGTAAGGCTCGCTGCGAAAGGCGCGCAGAAATGTCAGCTTCAAGCTCAGGTCGACCTTAGATGAATCCCGAGGACCTCGACAAAGACCACTGGGCTAGTATATGCAAAACGTTCGTCAAAGAGTCTAACTTACTGCAGAGAGGCGTAATAGGAGTGTTCACCGGCTTGACGAGCACGCTCTCGCGGTGAAGCTATAGGAAATTAATGGTCAGTCCAATGGCATCTATTTAATGCCTAAAAGAGCCGCATGCTAACCTCTTCGCAGCTTTTAGCATCGAGCAGGATCCAGCCAAGCTCAATGACCTCAGCAGAGTCCTTTGTGACATAAACGCCATGCTCATCGCATGTCGTGGCCACGTGAATGACCACGTAGCGGTCGAGGTTAGGCTGAGGAACCTGCGCGGTAGCCATGCTCAATTTCCAATATGCTTTCGCCAATCTGGACGATCAGAATCTCTCTTTGCGCGAATGACACGATCGAGTCTCAAAGACGATTTCGAGGAACGACTGAACGATGATAGAATCACCCCGTAACTCCGACGATTTGCGACCTGTAGATGTCGACCCAAAAATAGGCAGGCAAATTTTATTATAATTTTCCTTGACGAGAACCTGTTGATAATTTGGTTGGCGGACAGTTCCTAATAAAAGACGTCTCTTTTGGAGTGTGGGGGGTTCGTGCTCACTCGGCAGACAGTACAAATTTGGTACCTGTCAAACGAGACCCGAAAAGATGGTCGTCGGAAGAGGAGGATTAATCAGACGGGAGGAGAGCTGGAGAGGAGCTGTGGGGAGGATGAGGGTGAAAGGCCACGAATTCGAGATCACGATCAGGGTCAAAGGTCGAGGGACGAAGTTGAGGTGCTTGGGTAAAGAAATTGAGGCGCTAGGGCACGTCGCTACAAAATTCGGACTAGGCGCCTTGTACCTGTCCCTGACCAGTCTTTTTTTCGTTCTCTCACCTGAGCAACATGTCCAGTTCTGCATCGCTTTTAATGACAAAGTCACCTTGGGGCCTCAATGAGAACAGTGTCAAAACGTGAGCTAATTTCTTTGTTTTGCTTTCGGTTTTGTTTTTGTTACTTTGCTTTTCCCCTTTTTTTGCTTCTCCTTGCAAGACGCGTCTCTGCTGCATGGTCTGCACGAGGATGACTATCCCTCTTCCTACGGTAAGGGACAAACTGTAAGTCACTGTACCCGTACCGGCGACCAGTTCGGCTAAGCTCAGGTACAAATATATTCCTTCCCGCTCCAGCGACACATGATCTTATGTCTACTGCCAGAAGAGAAAGACAACAGATAATCATGGGTCATCTTGCTCTTACTATTCTTACCTCACTCTTCCCTTCTTATCTTTTGTAATGACCAATCTGTTATTCTCTTATATGCATTTACGAGAGGAGATACTTGCCGAGGACGTTCAATGCCTCGGAAAAAAGCCACATATAAGACAGGTTATTATCCGCACAGGAATGACACATTGAATTTGCTGTGTGAGACATCCCCGCAAAAGCTACAGAAAAGAAGTGAAATATTCCCGGCTTCATGAGAAAAATGTATATGCCATGTGATTGGAAAATAGAGTGGTGAGAAAAAAAAGCAGTGTTGAAAATTTCTGGCGGGGATGCGCGGCTGACTAAGCTTTGCGGATCGGCCGCTCGGGCGGAGAAACGCGCATTTGATGCGTCTACGGTCACTCAAAAGGACCACTATTGACGTTTCAGGGTCCAGTGGTCCTTCATTCGATCGACGATAATCATTATTCCTCTCCCTGCCATCCAGTTGGGCATAATTACTCCCTCTCTGGTCGATCAGTCACCTCCTGAGCAATCACTTTTGCCCTGGTAAGCACCAAAAACGTGTACCCTTATGCAATGAAGAATCAATGCCGCCTCTGAGCTCCTGACGGATTCGCTGACTGGGTGCCCCGATTCTAGTGCTATTAGCGGCGCCTGTTGAAACACCTACGCTTTGCCTCGCGAACTCCTGGCACTGGAAATCCAACCCAGGGAGAAAACGCTCCAACGGCTCATCTTTAGACTACAAACCCTGCTATCTCTGCCACTTGTGGCATCAGCCGGGAACTTTTCAATTTCAAGCATCCCTAACTTTCCAACATCCTTGACCCGGCCCATCCCAGCATGCATGTGTCTGAGCTCAATGTGCACATGTGTTAGTCGCCCTCACCCCTCATCCCAAGATAACGGACCCGTGAACCGCTCTCCTTCAAATACATTTCATCAGCCTACGCAAGTGCACGAAGCTCTATCCTTACGATTGCCTTTCGCTTTCTGTGCCATCTCCTCCTTGACTACTACACCCAGTAGAGAGGACTCTACAACCCCTCAGTGACAAGCGGAGAGGACTTGCACAGCTATATCCATTTCTTAATATCTTTGTCTAATATCATGGGCTTTCTCAAACATATCCGGTCCAAGTCAAAAATCAAGGCGCAGGCAGCTGCCGCCGCGGCCGCCGGAGAGAATGATTCATATCGATATTACCCTGCAACCCCGGGGTTTCGAAGTCATCGCCCAGCCCCAAAGCTCCCGACAGCCGTGCTGGAGACCATTTTTTTATTCCTCTGCCCCCATACTCAGGATGAAAACTATGACGCTTGCGAAGATTCCATGATCGAGGATGGGTGCATGCTCTGCGATATGCGCGATCTAGCACACTGTGCTGCAGTCTGCCGAGACTGGCGTCCAGTGGTAGAGAAGCTTCTGTAAGCTCGTGACGACCTTGAAGGATACGTGTACATAGCTAACTGTTATCGTAATTAAGGTATCGGAGCATTAGAATCGATCCCGTCCATTATTGCGAAAAAGAGATTGAGCTTTCGGAGAAGCGGAACCGTCGATCCTTTTCACGAAAAAAGGGCGACGATGGCGATGCGCCAGGACAGCGGCTGGCTCTGCTATCGCGCACCCTGCGCGGTAATCCTTGGCTCGCAGTTACTGTGCAATACCTTAAAATGCCATTCATGACTCGAGAGACGCGCAAGGCCGATCTTGCCCGTACAATATCCGTGTTGCCGAACCTTCAATATGTCGATCTTCCCGAAGGCTTCTACAGTGACGACCCCTCTTGTCGGACCCTTCGTGAGGAGCTTGCAGCGCGTTGCTGGGATATCAGGAAGATGAAGTACACTGTCGGTTCAGAGCATTCCTTTACATTATTAGGGCATGGTCGATATTGGCAGGGTCTCAAAGCGCTCGAGTTGGTCGGAATCGTGGTCGATCCAGGCACGCTCCTGCAAGGCATGGCTTCGCTGCCCATTTTGCATGAATTGAAATTGGTTGACTTGCCATGGCTTGATGATTCCATTTTCCAAACAAACGCTGCGCTTCCCGCCTTCCCTGCGCTACAGAAGCTCAGCCTCGACGAGATACCGAACGTAACAGCACATGGTGTGAGACAGTATCTTTCCCGCCCCGAGGCCCGGGAGATCTTTAACACACTCCAACTGAATTCCACTGGAGTCCTCCCAACTGAGCTCCACATTGTCTTGGCCGCTGCGCCATGGCTGACGCAGCTCTCCATTGTCGAAGAAGTGACACGCCCATTTCCGATCCAGGAGAAGATACCTCTAATGGCTTCGCGCAGTCTGCGCACATTGCATTACGAGATTACCTCTCCACCTGTTGCGCAGGGTGCGCATCGAGCGGATGAAGGCTACTATCAATACCTATCACACTCTCTCCTGGCTTCTTGCCTCCCAGCACTCCGGTCACTTTTTGTTCGATATACTGATTTTCATGATAGCCTCTTGCTCGAGGCGCCTCGTCCTGCTTTTGCCGGAGATGCCGCTCCGCGGCCACGGTTTCGGCAGACGATGGACATTTACAGCAAGGGGTTGGACGAGCTGGAGTGGAATTTCACCTCAATCACGCCGCCTGTCGGTCCCGGTCGCCGAGGTAGTGCGAGTATCACTACCCCATTGAGTGCGCATCGGATGAGCGGACAGTTGAGTCCGCAGTGGGGCGGGGATGCACGACGCAGCGTGGTGGTCGGAAATGGCTTTGGCGGATTCCTTGCAGTACCTACCGAAGCCGACGGCAGCACTGTCGGCTCTGGCAAGGGTCATGCGCGGAAGAGTAGTCGACAGGATCTCTGGAGATGATTTATGCATCAATGACGTGGGGACATTTGCCGGGGGGTATTTTTGTGCATCTCTGTATGCTAGGACAGGGGGAAGGATATTAATAGGTTGGGCCCTATCACGACTTGAAACGTTGCATGCATGTTGTTTACCTGAATGAAGCATTTAGTCTAGCGCCGGAGAAACAAGGGTTTTGCCGTGTTCTGGAATCGTACTGCGCAGCGCCTCTCATAGATTAATTCGCTTGAAATGTTGAAGTTTTCTCTTTTTTCTTTGTTTTTAAAAGTGAAAAGGCTGCTGTCTTGTCTGCTTGAAAAAGATATAGCCATTTATCCTAGTGGTAAGTAGGTAGTATTCCTAGGTACGGGTATTTCATCGTCTATACAGTTGGGTAGTGATGGGTCAGCGGGAGAGAATGGGGGCAAGGCATGAACATCATCTTCTTTCAGTGAGCCGAACAAGGAAATTCCCCTGGCTCGTTCCTCGGATCCCTCGCATGATTCTGCTGTTCGCTACTGCAGGTCGCGTGCCTTTGGAGAGATTGGGGGGGGGGGTGCAGACGGAGGGGTTTAGACGCGCCCATATTTAAGACAAGTCACGACCCTGAAAATGATCAAATTAAAATTGTATCATTATTAAAGCGATGATGGGAAGGCACATCCCTCCTCCCCCACCCACTCCCCATAATTATCAAATATTCTCCCGTACTCCGTAGTGCTAAGCTCCACCACCGACGTTTTACCCCAAGGAAAGCTCTCAAAATAGAAAAAAAGGTCCCCACTTCGTTCGCACACGCCGCCTTGGCCTTTTCTCTTGCGCCAGTTAAACACCCTTTACCCTGAACTCCATCCCTGGCGATCTGATCTTTTGGCGACTCCAAAACCGTACGAACGAGTGAAATCGACACTGGAAAGTAGGCGAACGAATTTTTAACGCCTTGCGATTAGGTTCATCCTTGTAGGGCTGACGAAGTGAAGCGGCCGGTTGGACCCTTGGCTGCCTGGCTTGGTGAGGAGGTACTCTCCTGTGCCGCGCTTTAATATTATTACTCTTACTGCGCGGCCAAAGAGGAAGGACGTTGAAACAGCCCACTCAAGCGCCAGAAGAATCCTTGTTCGCTCAACAGAGGGACCCACGACGTCAGTAACCGACGATCGACGCTCCGTACCCAGATTCCATTCTGTGACGCCAGGACGCCTGCCCGTGCGAGAAATAAATTACGATTGCGTCAGAGTCAACACCGGCATGGATCGGAGATCTCTTTGATTGCCTCGCCTGGAAATTTCCAATTTATCACTCAACTTGACGTTAAAAATTGAAGCGGTGCACACCTGGACTCATTCCCAAACTGCGGGGAAACGCAATCGTTCAAATAAGGCGTTTGGATTCAGACTTGAGTGTGTGGGGAGGGTGAAGAAAGAGGAGGACCGCGAGAGAAAAGCGACAGACTGTCCGTGCGTGTGTACGTGTCCGATTCTTTGAGTGCAGAAGGAGCAGGCTAGAGAATTGAGGGACCCCTCAAAGACTATTCTGCATCACCACCATTGCTCTAATTTGGCCGTGGCCGCTTCAGCTGCGACCATGGCGGCTTCTTCAGCATCATCGTCGATCCCCCAGGCTACTGGAATGGGTTCGCTAGCAGCACAACGGAAAGATTCCATAGCGCGAAGTATGTCGCGATACCGACGGAGGGGCGCGAGGCCTGCTTCAGGCGGCTTTTCGACAAGGACTGGGGGGCAGCAGTCCGAGGCGGTGCCGCTAGTTGGGCCGTCAATGGCGACGGTGCCATCCCCGGAAACCCCACGCTCCTTTGTGCCGAACGAGGAAGAAGCACGGGCGGTCTACGCAGAGGCAGGAGGTGGAGGAGGTGCGTCCCATCGGCTTCAAGAAGCCACAGCACATGGAAGACAGGCTGTAGCAGTACGCGATGCAGGGCCAATTCAAAATCACTCTAATCAACACCAGAATGGGGTGATGCATTCTCGTGGGCAACCGAAGGAGCATATATCAAGGTCGACTTCGACAAGGTCGAGGAGGAGTTCAGACAGCAGGCAACGGCCTTCTTTTACTGCAGAGGATACCCGTCGAGACTTATCTGCCTCTCAAGCCGACGATATGCTTACGAGTTGCTTCCCTACCAAGCGTGACAAAGACGTGACTGAAAAGCCTAGCCAAGCGCCTGCGGATCCCAGTACCGCTGCAATGGGACCAGGAATAGATGCACCAGTGTCGGCGGTCAATGCTGGCGAAAGGGTGAGTAGTTCCGCACATCAACACTTATAGTTTTTTTTTTCTTTCCCTCCCCGCTTTGCTCTGTGCTAGAGATTTTCAGCTAAAATATGACATTCAGACCGTTCTCGTCAGATTTGGTCCAGCAGAGACCATGATCTCCGTGACACCTTCAACAACGGCTGTAGATGTCATCTACTCAGCCGCGTTCAGCTTCTCGCAAAAGGTTCATCCTCAGAATGCTCTCATGAAAGAATGCTTTGAGCCCTTGGGGCTAGAGAGACCTATTCGAAACTATGAGCGTATCCGCGACATATTGAATTCTTGGGACACCGACTCCTTGAACAGCCTTGTGCTCGTTCCGGCTGGTGTCGACGAGGACAGTGATGATCTTCAAGTGCGAGCAGCTCCCCGCACACGACCTGCGGAGATGACTGTTCATATATATCATTCTCAAAAGCCCGGAAAATGGGACAAACGATTCATCACAATTCGGTCAGATGGCCAAGTGATTGCAGCCAAAAAGGAAGGATCCAAAGACGCTGTCAACATCTGCCATCTTTCTGATTTTGACATTTACCAACCAACGGCTCGACAACTTTCAAAGCGGCTCAAACCTCCCAAAAAGTATTGCTACGCCATCAAGAGCCAGCAGAAGTCAAGCATGTTTTTGAGCAAAGAAAATTTTATTCACTTTCTCTGCACAAACGACAAGAGGCTCGCGGTGGCTTTTTACAAAGGGGTACAGCAATGGAGAAGCTGGTACTTAGTCAACGTCATGGGGGAGGGGAGAACAAGTCCCAAGTCTTCCGAAAAGATTGCCGGTATTGCGCTTGTGAACGGGCGGTCCAATTCTCTACGCGAGCATCAACGTCCTCAGTCAGCAGGTTCAGCAGGTTCAGACGGCGTTGCTCGACCGTTACTAGATTTACGAGACGCACATATTGTCGAGGCACGAAGCCGATCGACGCTTGCGCAATTGAAAGAGATGAGCGTTCCTCAGGCCCCCATGAGTACAAAAGCGATGCATGATCGCGCCATGTCGCTCCGTCAGCATGGTCCGCCTCCGGTCTCGTTTCCCAGCCGATTCGTAGAACGCACCAATTCTCTGACCAGCCGCCCACGAGGCTCCTCGCTTGCGAGTCCGCTGAACTCTGAAAGCGAAGAAGACTCTGCATTTGCACCCAATGGTTTGCTCGGTCGAACCTATAGTCAGCGGCAGAAAGCTATGCAAGACCGCGAAGCCGGCACAATAGGTGCAGTGAAGCGACGAAGCCAAGATCTCACCGACGGTCGAGAGCATTCCACGACTGCGACAAAGGCGGGAGGAGCAGCTGCCGCCGCCGCCGCTCAAAATGGCCACGCGACGACGACAGCGGCGACGACAGTGGGAGCTAGTTCAAACGCAGACGGTGTCGGAACCTCTGGCTTGGGTCGATCACTCTCGACCCGGTCTCGCGCTGATTCCGTAAATGGATCTGGCTTGAAGCGTGGCCCGTCTGTCCGACAGCAAAAACAGATGCCGAAGCCTCTCGTTGACCTCAGCCCTGCTTACCGAGAGCCGCCCCAGCATGCTCGCAAAGGGCGCGGCGTTGTCATCGACCACGTGCCGGCCGGAGGTCTTGTCGAGATTGCGAATAATCCGGCTGAGGTTGCGATTCAAGTGCCGGCTGCAACGACATGGCGCCGTCCGAGGACCGCCGACGACTCCGTCCAGCGTCGCGCGACGGTGTCGCGAAGAGATAGAGCTGGATCTCAGCCTAACGGCACTGGCCATCATCACGAAATTCAACAATCGCAAAACCACCGCTCAGCCCCGCATCACAACAATCATCATCCTCATCACCATTCTAGGCAGTCAGACCCCACACAACCACAGTTGGATTCTGGTGACGACTCCAGGGACCCGTTCACTGGTGGTGGCTTGTTAGCGCAAACGCCGCTCTCGCGTGGCGGCTCCCGCCACGGGCGCGGCGTCATGGACGGTTCCCATGCAAACGGTCCCATGCTGGACCTTCGCGAACGAAGCCAATTTTCTCCGGGAAGTTTGCTGGCCAAGGTTGAGAAAGATCGACCAGCTCCCGGGCCGACCATTGCTCGGGAGAAGGCGAGGGAAATAGTTGTCGGGGTTGGTGAGGCGGTGAATTAGGATAATGTTGTGCCGGCCACATGCCAATACCTCCGCTCGCTCATCTTTCGATCTATTAGTAGTCCGGCACAGGTCGGTCCAGTTCTCAATGCTCTTTACTTGTTCTTGAACCAAGAGCATTTCATCAGTGTGCTGTTTTTTCTATGCAATGTCAAAACACTGCAACTTCAGACGAGGCAAATTACGGAATTGTCTCCTATCGGGAATTATTTCCCGTCGGCCTTGTGTTTTCCCGTCAGCCTTGTGGGCTGAGCTTTTTGCTTGTTGCTTCCTTTCTTCCTTTGCGGCTCCGGGTTCCCCTCGACAGTTCCAATGAAAGATATTCACCTTTCTACATCAGACTTGGTTTTCGAGGTGTCCGAGCCAGAGAAGAGCTTAATATAACCGTCGCAAACTTTCTTGCCGAGGATTTTAGGCTTCAAACTATTCAGTCACTCTCCACGTGGAGGTGTCGGGAAGTTCCCGTCTGTTGGTGCCTGATTAGACCGGGTCAGTCGTCGGTCGGTGGGAGGAAAGAGGGGTCGCGCGCAACAAGAGTTTACCTTTGAAGTGCTCATCTCTTCACCTCTTTCTCGTTCTTTTCCGTCGCTTCTCTTTTCCTGAGTTTGATTGAGCTCTGTCGAATCCGACCCTGGCTCTCCTTCGGCTTGTGTCCTTGAAGCCATTTACTTTTCCGGCCATTCGGCTCGTCTGATAGTCTTCTTTTCGGGACCTTTCGGGCTTTTCAAAGAATTTGTCTACTATCTATCCTCATCTCTTTTATTCTAAATCGACAAGGACATGCTCCTTGGAGTACGCTTCACTCGCCTTGTCCTTGGCCGATATTATTTCCCGATACCCTATTGTCTTTTTTTTTTTTGTCATGCGGTGGACATTGTCTTTTTGCAATACCATTGCCGCTTATCCATTTTCTCTCTTCCTTTAGTCTTCATTGCAGAGACTCGACTTTCTCGGCTTTCTCGACCTCTTGTTTTTCTCGCCGTAACACTGGCTCCTCCCTCCATGAATGATGTCGTTGTATGACTTGTTTTTACCTTGCGCAATCACGCTTCATGCTCTGCCTATCTCATTATGTACCCTTCATTTCATCATTGGACATTTTACAAGTCCGCATGAGCGTGGTGTCTAGGATCAACTCTATTCTCTTTTCAATGCCTTTTTTTTTTTTTTTCTTTTTTCCCCATTACTTTTTTCCCTTTCCTTTTTTTTAATATCCTTGGCTTGGTTTGGTTCGGTTTGGTTTGGTTTCACAGAATCCTACTTTCGAGGCTCTCACTAGCCTCTGAGCCACCATTTCCGAGATTCTCCTCGCTCATGCTAAAGTCCGTGCTGCAGCACTTGAGAGTCACCTTCCCATAGTCTTGGGACATGATAACTCTTTCAGTGGCCCTTATGATTCCACGCTCTCATGGTCCTTAGTTACGAATTAAAATCAAAAATAAATGATACTGTAGTATGTTCAATCTCGATCTCGATTTCGATTTGATTTGATTTATTGATTTTTATTTTTATTTTTATTTTTATTTTTATTTTTTATTTTTTATTTTTTCATGTTACATTGTTGATCTACATTCATCGTATGAAGTTCAGTAGGTAAGGTAGTTACCATAGGGTATTTGATCGCAATGCTTCTAGGTTTTATATGCCCTGGTTGCCTTTGTCTGGAACACTGGAACATTGGAGTATCAAAAACCTTCTTTAATTGTTGTTCTGATAGCTATTTAATTTACCGCTGTATTTGTAATTGATATCTCACCCAGCAGTGTCTTTAATCCGCGTAGAGGTCTCCCGTTCGAGGCCGTTGGAGCGAGGGGAGACTGGGAGGAGGATTGACATCATACGAGATTGAGATCGAGATCGAGGTCGGAGAATTTCCATTTCCCACTAAATTGTATACGGAGTATGCCTTTTATTTCCATACTCCCTTGAAATCGTCTATACCTTATTGTATTCTATAGCTTTAACTTGTTACAGAGTATAGTCCGGTCAGATTAAGAGATTTTTGCTGGCTGGGAAATAGATAAAGTGCCGCATACGTTTAGAGTACTGTGTTGTGCTAGAGCTTCGCCCCCCTCGGCCGTGCAAACGACGCGGAGTGGCTTCCGCAGGGCACTCTGCTTGTGCGTGTGTTGTGGTTGTAGTTGAGTCCCAGGGTTCGAGGGTTGAGGAGTTCCCTCCGGGGGTGCGAGGTGCCCCTGATGGTGGGAGGGGTGAGGGTGAAGCACATTACGGCAGCCTATTTGACTTCCTAACGCAGTCTCTAATACGGCGGTTTACATATCCTCATAGTGCAGCCCTCTCGCTTCCCTCGTTCTCTCAGGCAACCAGCAGGGCCAGGCTCGACCCTCTCGCGTTGTCGCCTATCCTATCCAACCCTAAACGGGCCACTTCCCAAGTCTTGGCATCCTTCCCAACATGTTACCCTCTTCTCGGCTACGTGCTATATAAACCCCTCAACCCGCTCCCCTCTTTTCACTTCTTCTTTTTCCTTTTTTTCTTCTCTATCCCAGTGCACGGGCATTACGCGTATCAGTGAGGATTCGTCCGAGATCGTGTTTTTGCTAGTTGAAAACTACTTAAATGTTGACTGCTCTTCTTGGTACCTTCGGGATCGAGAGGGAATTTTTGGAAAAAAAAAACCGTCGCAAGACTTTTCTTGTTTTCCGAGTTGGAAGACTCTTGTGTCCTAGTTCTGCAGGACTTTTAGTCGAAGGACAGATGCTGTCTTTGACGCTTTATAACGAAAGGATCGATGATCCGATGATTCGACGCTCGCAATGAGCCCTCCTTATAGGATGGGCTGGAAATGAAGCACCATATCGTAGATTTGTTCTGTACTTTGCTCTGTTGCGATGTTATGTGATGGAATAGAGTTGAGAGACTCGCGGGTCGCATTTCGATAGTAGACTGAGACTGCAGCAGTAGTAGAACATGTTTGACGTGTCTTTGCTGGATACTGCATCTGATGGGCATTGTCAGTTCACGTTTCTGCGTCAGTGATGGGCAGTACACTTTTTGTCCATTGCGAATGGCGAGTCGTGTGTCGCGGGTCTACGCTGTACTTTGTACTTGTCTGCTCAATTCGTTCGGGCTGCATGGTATGATACCTTTGTATAACTTATTGGACCGAAGGGCTTGAATTGATTGGCAATATTGTACTTTGTAGCTGATCCAAAACCTGCATACAGTCTACCATGTCTCTTTGTTTCTCATGTGTCTTGTCTCCGCAGAAGAATTTCTCAAATATAATTGTATAAAGTTGTCAGGTGCTTGTACAAGTAAACCTGCCTGCATTGATTTGAGCCGTCCTGACATATCTCCATCTTACGAGCTCGTTTTGTGATATATGCCGTACCTACCATACCTACCTTACTACCTTACCTATCTTACTTACCGTACCTGCCTGACCTATTTGAGTTTAGAAGCCTACGTCGATACTTCTACATTGATAATCCTACATCTACAAGCACAGCTACAATGCAGATGCCAGGGGACGAGTACTCTTCATATCTCCATATCTTGCGTGGCTTGCCCTCCCTTTGCACTCGCACAAAAAATGCATATTCAATAGAGTGTCGTTATGGTCAAATCAGCGAAACACATACATACATACATACATATATACAGATATAAAAATATAAGGTATATAAAGATATATATCACGACTTGCGCGTGGCGAGTAGACAGATTCATAGACGTACTCAAATACTTACAGATGAAGAGACAGACAGACAGACAGAGGGTAAGAGTCCGACCAAGCTAGACAAGGGATATATAAACAGATTGGCAGACCCAGAGTCCCAGACTTACAGAATTACAGACTGAAAGACTGACAGACCAACATGGTGACTTGCTCAAGGATAAAGAGCAGCCAATAAAGCTCAACGACAGAGGACACGACACAAAATTTACAGAATATCTAAATCACAGGGCAGTGAGAATGCAATTTACCAGTTACCAGTTACCTCTATAATTCATTCACTCACGTATAAAAAACCAAAGGACGGATAATTAGACGGAAACCCAAACGCAGACAAAAGACCAAATGAATAAATGAATGAAGAAACCCCTTCCCTCCCCTCCCCCACCAACAAACAAAATGAATAAAATTAAGAAAGCAAAGAGAACGAAACGAAATGAAGAAAGACTAGAGAATGAATCAATCCATATCCATAGGATCATCAACATCCATCCCCTCTGACGCCGTTATGCGGGTGGCATCCGACAAGACACTTTCATCCTTGACACTATTGCCCGTGACTGTAGCTGCATCATCATCGCCGTCATCCTCGTGCTCGTCTTCGTGTTCGTACTTGATTTGGCTTTCGCCTTCAAGTTGGGCTCTGCTTTCTTCATCGGCTTTACTCTCTTCGACCCCCTCCTCGTCGCCGCTACCAGCCTTGGACAAGAATTTACTTTCGTCTTCTTCGCCGGCCGTCACCACCGGCTCGGCCTGCTCGGCCTGCTCGGCATCGACCTGTACAACCTTCTCTACAGCATTCAAGACCTTGGTCAGCGCATTTCTCGACGTCGCGTCTGGTGCGATACGGCCCGAGGCGTCGACCGCGGCGGCAGCGAGGTCGTGGAGTTCGAGCAATTTCGACGCGTCAGCGGCATGCGCAATGTAGAGTTTTGAGAGGAGGGAAATGAGCGTTTTGCGTTCTTCTTCTGTTTGGTCGTTAGCACCTGATTAACACGAAAGAAACAGATAGGAGCGGACAAGGGGAAACAAGTACGGAGAAAACAAGATGATGAAAAAGAAAAGAGAAGGAAGACGTAAGAAAGATTAAATACGTACTTGTGCAGCCCGAGCTGAGAACCTTGTTCAGCACATCCACGGCGACATCGACATGAATGTCTGCTTCGACAGGCTTCGTTTCTTTGCGGCCCAACTCGTCCCATCCAGTGGAAAAGGAATCCAAGACGACCAATTTCCGTGGGTCCGTCCAGTCGACGAGGTGCGCAGTCACCAGCGTCAAGCCGACCATGCCTTCATCTTCTTCGAGCTCGTCATTGAGCGTGACAAGTGCATGGACGAGGGGGACCGCAATGCGGGCCATGCGCTCCATATTCTCGCGCCGCGAGTGGCAGTAGACGGGCAAAAAGTAAGTCAGAGCTTGACGCATAGCAGGATTATCTTGCGTGGCGGGATCAAAGTACGTGAGTACGAGCTGTTTCAAGAGGTCATCTTCTTTGATAACGTTGCCGAGCATGAGCTTGCAGAGAGCCGTGCAGCCGGTAGACTGGACGTCCGTAGAGGACGACCGCAGGGAGCGGGAGTAGAGCTTGAGAATGGGTTTCTGTAGAGCAGAAGGGGTGGACTCGGCCTCCGGGTCCGTTGGAGGGGTCGGTGACAGGAGAGATGGGTGGGTAGTTAAAATGTCGGTGATGATCTGGACAGAGGTCGTTTGAAGCGCTTCATGACCTTTGGCGAAGCAGTGCAGGAAGAGAATCAGATTTTCTTCTGCGAGGCTCTGTTTGTGATTATTAGTACAGAAGGATATTGCGAGGGGAGTAAATTGACTTGCCTTGTCCAGTAGGCAGCATAGACCGAGACATACTAGTCCCCTTTCTCTGATAGGTGCTTCATGACTCCGTACAGCCGGGACAATGAGATTGTTGAGTGTTGTGACGAGATGAGCATTTTCCTTCAAATCTGTTTGCACGTTTTGAAGCATGCACTGCGCAATATGGAGACACTTCATGTTCACCACGATTTCTCTTACAGCCTTTTCCTCTTCCTGGGCTTCCTTTTCAGCTTGCTCCTCTGGGGTGAGCGGAGCCTGTGCCTTCTTCTTGGCCGGTGCGTCGTCGCTGACTTCTGATCTCGCAGAGTGAAAGCTCTCCTCTCCGTCTTCTTCGCCATTTTCCGCACCGTCTTCGCCCATAATCGTATCATGGACTTCGGCCACCGCTTCGAGCACCACGCCGCAAAAGTCTCGCTCTCCATTGGCATTCTCACCGCAAACCACTCGTAAAATGTCGACTACGAGTCTGGTAGTTTCTTCCGGAAGCTCCGCCACGGCAAGAATCTCTCTCATCAATGCGTACATTTTCCTTCGTCCCACTTCATCAGTATAATCAAGCGTCAATGCAATGTGCAGTAATTGCTCGACAATAAATTCAAGCTCGACAGTGTCTTCATCGTCGCCTTCAGCTCGCTCATTGGTGGTTTTGAGTTTGCTGAACAAGACGTTGGTGTAGCGTTGGATGTAAAAGGCAAGTTTAGTAACCTCTGGCATCTTCTCCTCGACCAAATTCTCATACTTGCCATCTCCTTCTTGACGGCAGAATGCGTTGAAGCTTCGAGCCATAAATGCGCCTTCAGCAGTCAGATTTTCCCAAAACGAATCGTCAAATGTCACTGCAGCACGATAGTCTGGTCGACCTTCCCAAAACTCCTTCATAGCCTCCTGTGCGATCCCGCTTTCGACCCCAGAGTTGACTACGTCAATACGTTCAAGCAATTCCGTTAACCCTTCAAAGCTAGGAGATTTTTGCTCAATGACCGCTCCGCCCTCTGCCTGCTGACGGGTGCCGGCACAGTCTTCGATCCAACGTTCTCGGAAGACCCGCGCCGCCGCTCGTCGCACATTTTGATCCCGATCCCGTAGACCCCAACGCAAAAGCTTCTCGCGCATGGACAGGGAGAGATGACGAAAGTCTGCGAGACTGGGGAGCAGACGCGAGTATAGTCCCCTTCTGGTAGCTGCGTCGAGATCTCTGGCGCGTTCAAGAAGATATGGAAGCGTTGCTGCAGTCAGAGGGAGGCTTAATAGTAGAGAACGCCGCACATCTGCGCTCGGATCGTTTTGAAGGGCATCCAAGAGCTTCTCAAGCAAGCTACTTGCATCATCTTCGTCATCTTCCTCCTCGTCCTCCTGATCATCCTCTGCATCATTGCTGGCAATCGAGCTAAGTCCTAGCACAGCTTGCACCCGAACCATGCTTTCCTTGTCGCGGATCCGTCGAAGAAGCGCAGCTCTAGTAGCCTGGTAAATATCAAAATCGATGGATTGTAGTGAGCTGACCAGATCCGAAGTGATCTGTGTCGCACGGAATCGGACGGTCTTCTCTTTGGAGGTCATCAATGGCAACAGCGTGGTGAGCAGGTGGGAAGTCAAGCGGGAGCTAGGCGTCTCAAGCATGTCGTCTTCATCGGCGACTTCTTGAAGAAGCGCATTGTCTGCCGGATGTTAGAATGGTGGGCGTTCAAAGTTCAACGTCCATTTCTTGCGCGTTCACTTGTCAAGAATCCATCTTTACTCACCTTTCTCGTTCGCATGCCTTAAAAATAGCACTAGAAAACGAATAACTCTATCTGCTGCATTTTCGCTCCTTTTAACCCCTAATATGCGGAGCATACATCTCGCCACCTCGCTCGTAAACTCCTCCTCGCCAAAATCTGCACCCAATTGGTGATATTGCGACACCTGCTTTCCTTTTACTGGTGAGGTCGGTTCATAGCAGCAAGCTTCCTGGATCTTGCGTAGGCTAATCACGAGTTTCCTATGTGCCGCTGTGGTCCGCTGGGCATCTCCAAACAAGGAACAAATCTGGACACGAAGAGCAGTTGAAGGTCCTTCATCCGGGATAGAGATGGGTATGGCGGAAGTTCGCGTCGATTTCCGGCTGGGTTTGCTCTCCGAGTCGCGGGTGGATTCGGTACCTCGCGATGACCGCGAACTCTTGATCGAGCCATCATCGGTTGCATTGTTGGACAGGCGCGACGAGGAAGCCGCAGGCAGAGAGAGATTCTGGGTGCTCTGTGCGGCTGAAGAGCCCGGCTTGCGAGATACTCGTCCAGGCATAGCGAAGTATGGTATAAATATCAAAAAGAACGTGCAAAGAGATCGTTAGGGTCTTGCTGGCGGTTTGGCTCTTCTTCTTAGCCCAGACACTCTGATTGAGTCTGTGCAGGCGACGCTGCGATCGGACACGGTCCGCCTGGATTAGGATCTTTCAATAGAGTATTTCACGTGTAAGATTTATCCAGATCTTGCTAAGAGATCCAGATGAGTGCTATAGGCGCAGGTTCGGGCCCATTTGTGTAGGTTGTCGTCGGCGTCTCCGAAGTTGTCGATGATTTCCGTGTTTGTTGTCAGTCGTGTTTACCCTCCACCGCCTGCCGCGACCGTGGGCCCGGCAAACCAAGCAAACATGACCAAAACCAGCAAGGTACTTACATTGCACCAATAGAGGCCTACAAAGGGTTTAGCTGGATTATGTAAGCACTTGAAGGAACGAGTCAGCTGTGGCTGTGCTACTCGGCGTGGTTGAAGGCTGGAAGATAATCATTCAAAACCTTAAATACTCATCTTTGGAATACCATCAAGCACGCATGGGGTTTATAGTTAAAACGTTGGCTGTTGTAATAAAATTTATATCAATTTTTTTTTTGTCCTTTTTTCTGGTTCTTTTCCCTCTTTTTTTTTTTTTTCTTTTTGTTTGGATTAATTCGCAACTAACTACATGATTCACCAAAACCTCTGTTCTATATGTATTGTAAAGGAACGTCCATCCTCCCAAGGAAAGCAATGTCCCTTCCTGGTATGACTGCATGAATCAGAGTTTGCCTCAAATTCCCAGGCAAATGAAATAAAACGACACGCGAGCTTGTGTCTTCACGCGCCAAATGTAACTTCTAAATAACAACTGCAAAATGTTTGCCGTGGTGCACGTTGAACGAAAGACTGTGGCAAGACCGTCATTTTTCACTTGCTCAACTTTCGGTGAACAGAAGTAAAATGCTTGTCGTGGTGGAAGTGCTGCCGACGGCTATTCTCTCGGAGATTCTAAATCGATAATAGTATAAGAGCTTCATTGCTCTTGAATTGGATTGAGGACTCATAGAGAAGAGCACTGATCCGATGTCGCGATCGTGGGAATTTCCTACTGAAAACGATCGACGAGGTGCTATGGCTGACCTACTTTGTGGCTTTGAGCACACAAAATGAAGTCGATGTCAACCAGCAGCAGGGATGGGATTGCATAGCGGCAATGCCATCCGAAAAATTTTCACAAATAGTGAGAGGTCGTCCAAGTAAAGCGACCGAAATTTTTGAAACGGACACCGGCCAGAGAACCGGCCAAGGCGTCCAGAATATCATCAACGTCGATGAGAAGATAGGGGGTCGATCTGTAACCCGAAGAGGAGGTGGCTTCAAAATTTTCATGGCACAGAGATCAACGCCTCTGATAATCGTAAGGGTCAAGACTCATCCTGTCTGGATAAGTCGATTCAACTTGCATATCGTCGCTCGATGAAGGTCCTGTCGAGGGACGTAATATCGGAAAATCAAGTAATGATCGAATAGGCGGTAACGTAATTGGTGTCTGCGGGTACGATGCCGATCGAGAGGGTTGGGGTGGCTGTTGTTCAAGCTCTCGGACCATTTGCAAGACGGAGGCAAAATCAGGCGTAGAACGAATCCTGTGTAATAGCGCTAGCACTTGTGGCTCGGGTTTCGTTTGTAGATATGAATAAATTTCCTTCATCTCGCCCAGCTCGCGCTGAAGCATCTCGTTTTTGCGTTTGATGGCCGCAACACGACTCTCATCAGGTTCAGCCGCATATTCACACTCGGAGCCCTTGCGCAAACAAATGGAGCATGTTGGTCTTCGACCATCACACTGTTTAAGACGTCAGTAACATTCCCTCTGTCGGGCTGATAATACCTCCGAAATGCTATATTGAATGAAAAAGAAATACAAAGAGCATACCTTTGATCTCCGTCTGCGACATGCTTCACATGCAGCAGCGATAATTTGGCGTTTGGGCTTTGGTGGTGGCGGACTTGGCGAACTTTCCTGTCTCTCCTTGTCTTTGAGCTTTCCCTTGTCTTTTGGAGGCGAAGCTTTTCGCGCCCCCGCGTGCACGGGGGCAATTGCTCGTAGAGATCTGGACGGGCCATCCATTGGTGGCGGGTCGTCGAAGACCAAAATAAATAGTGGAGGCGTAAATACGCCTCTGGTCGGATTTTACACTCGACTTTGGGAGACTGATGCGGTTGTTATGGAGGAAAATGAAATTCGGAGGACGTGCACAGAGCGGATGCGCATCCCCTCATCCTTATGATGAGGAGAGCCTTTGTCTAGAGTAGAGAAGACTGTTGTCGACAAGTTGTTTCACAGTCTACAATGCAGGCAGACGAAACCAATCGAAAGAATTAAGAAGAATCGAGGAGGAGGGGGCACCAAGGGGGGGGAAATATGGAGATGTGTGGTTGAATTTGAGCTCGTGGGCGCCAGTCGACCACTGAGCGCATGATGATCTTTGAGCTGCCGTCACTTTTGCCGGCACCAGCTGGAGCGGCCGTCCATCCGGTGATATGAAAGTGACGAGAAGTGAAGTCGGTGTCCTGTTTGAAGCGATTGGTGCCCGGAACGAAGTCCCGTGAACGTCTTCCCGCCGCGGAGAACTGCGCGTGGCTGTGGCGAAAAGAAGGAGAGAATCACTGGCAGGTTGGTGGGGGAGCAGGGACCAGAAAAGGAAAAGTAGGATATGGACAGTGCAAGAAGTTGACGAAACCACCCTGAGCCTTTTCTTCTCTGATAAAAAAAATAATTCCGTTAGGAATCTGTGTGGCTAGGGACAGGAAAAAGGGAAAGGTCGAGAATGTGCGAGGAGAAGTGGAAAGAAAACGGATGACGGGACAAAGAGGTATAGATAATTCACTAGAAAGGACCCGGGCCAAGGGTCAACGAGGGTACTATGGAATAGCAAAAAGCCATAACTGTGCGAAATTCCACCAGCATGCAGTAGCGAGACCGGGAAAAGGGCTCGGCGGGGCTTCCAAGGGTGGGAAAGGGTATGATGTGAAGTTGGCAGCTCGCTGGGGAGCTCTAGGAGCTTGGATTGGGGGTAAAAATTCGTGTAAAGAGACGTGCATCGTAACGAAGAGAGGTATAGACAACATTTTAGCAAGAGGGAACCAACGAGACGGACAAGGAACGGAGGGAAAGTGGAGGGCCAGGCCATCCAGGGGTCCGGATCCGAACTTGCACCTGCAAAGGTAGAAATCCCATGGTGAAAGTAGCCTTGTCGACAAGGGAAGACTGCTCCCTCCAGCCTGGAACCAAGATCCGGTCCAATCACCGTGCGAGCACCGTCCGCTGTGGCTCCAAGCTCTTCCCATCGCTGTGGCTTTACCTCAGTATCCTGACACCGGCCAATCAGCAGAATCTCACCAAGGCATAATTTAAAGCACGGAGAAAACACGGACATGGAACACCAACGAAACTGAGGAACTGCTGAGGAAGTGAGGGAGAATTGTTAGTAGGAATGATAACCAGAAAAAAAATTTCAATCAAAACAGTTCACATGTGGTCGAGAACCAGAGCGACCTTGTCGATCTTTGGCCCAATTTGCCACTCGATCGCAAGAGACCGACAGGAACACGCACGCCTTTTGCACGTCCTTGGGATCGCACGAGCCCATCGCCTTGGAAAAGTCTGATGACCCGATCACGATCGTAAGATGGAAACTTCCGATGAGAAACGAATTGCTCCTCTTGATCGGGGACTCGGACAACGACTCCTCTCGACCGTTCGAAGCGCGATGAAATGGTTCTGTACGGCGCGTAAGAATGGACCGAACAGCCACAGTCTAGAGACCTCGAGCTAAAAAGGGGGGGAGGGAAAGTGCAAATCCCATGCTCACTTCTCCACTCGCATTGGGTGGTTTCTCGTAGTCCCGAGTAGTCTGCCCATCCCTTCCATTTCAGGTACACCAATGCTGCCGGATTTACTTCCGGACGGTGTGCAGCCAGTTGGGACACGGTAAAAAAGGTTCGGGATCGGTCTCAGCCACACCAGCTGCGACCAATGTCCCCGCTCGTGGAATTTGCGAGAGGAGCCAGGCGCCCGGAACGGGCTTCAGGATCTGAACAAGTCTAGACGGGCGGTGAAAAGTAAAAATTTGAAAATTTCCGCCCAGAAGAAACTCTAGGCCAAAATGATCAAATGCCAAACGTTGATTGGTGTTGCACGCGGCGGTGCGACTTTTCTCTCCGGGACTGGGAGAATCCCATGGTAAAATTTGACCCTATGAGCATGTAATAATGTAACAGAATCGCCAACGCAAAAAAGAAATGAATCGGCCCCTTTTGGCGCGTTTCGATCGACCAAAGGAATAGAGATGATTTGATGATTCGTAATTTTCTGACATAACGGTTCGAACTCAATTTTTTGTGAGGAGACACCCTAATTTGCAAATTTCCCATGCTGCGCGATTATGGGATTTTGAAATGATTCCCATGTCATTCTAGTTCGATCACGTCAACTCTCTATTTTCACTTTTCCCTTTGATCGCCTTACTGTACCCTTCCCATTTGTCTCTCTCTCGCTCCCTTGCGTATCACCGTCACCTCCTCTCCCTACTGTATAGGCAGTGCCCCTCCATCTCCGACGTCATTGGATTCTAGAACGTTTTCCAATTTTATTGATTTTGTGTTCTTTTCCCCTTTGAACCCGATATTCTTTTCGTCTCTGTGAAGTGACCGGCCCGTCATGTTTCGGCAGTCGATTCGGCGTTTTGCTACCACTGCATATCGGAACGCCTCTGAATCGCTCAATCCGTCCCTAGCTCAGCTGGAGAGCTACAATCCCTATGGCCGACAAGTCTCCAAAGCACAAGGAGTGGTCAAGGGCCTGGTCGGAGGTAAGTCTGCGAAGTGTAAAATAGACAAGCCACGTTGTCTGGGGTCTTCGGCTTGACTCAATTGAGGAGACTCTGGCATCTTCCGTGCACCAACCTCCAACCTCCAAGAAAGAAAAAAACCCCCACACTTCAACCTTCTCCTCAGTCATCACCTTCGCTGCTGCCATCGTATTCTTCTTTTTCATCCTCCTCCTCATTCTCACTTAGGCCCTCATTTCGCAAGCCTACCCAAATTGGGAACATTCATGCTAATGTGTACGTTCTAGCTATCGGAAACACTCCTCTGATTCGTCTCAACCGTCTTTCGGCAGAAACCGGCTGCGAGGTGCTCGGAAAGGCCGAATTCCAAAACCCAGGAGGCAGTGTCAAGGACCGAGCTGCTCTGTATGTTGTCAAGGATGCAGAGGAGCGTGGCTTGCTCCGGCCTGGTGGTACAGTCGTGGAGGGCACTGCGGGCAACACTGGCATTGGTCTAGCGCACGTCTGTCGATCGCGTGGCTACAAGCTGGTCATCTACATGCCCAACACGCAATCCCAGGGCAAGATTGATCTGCTACGTCTCCTGGGCGCCGAGGTCTACCCAGTCCCGGCCGTGGCTTTTGACAACCCTGCCAACTATAATCATCAGGCGCGACGACATGCTGAGGCGTTGGACAATGCTGTGTGGACGAACCAATTTGACAATGTGGCTAACCGTCGAGCCCACATTGAGACGACAGGTCCTGAAATCTGGGAACAGACTCAGGGCAAAATTGATGCCTTTACCTGCGCCACTGGCACCGCTGGTACGCTGGCAGGTGTCACGCGGTACCTGAAGACCGTGAGCGAGGGACGCGTCAAGTCCTTCCTCGCTGATCCCCCCGGATCTGTCCTGCACTCGTACATAACCAGCGGCGGCAAGCTCACCGAGCGCACCGGCTCATCTATCACCGAGGGTATTGGCCAGGGCCGTGTCACTGACAACCTGAAGCCTGACATTGACCTCCTCGACGGCGCTGTCCACATCCCCGATGAGAAGACCATTGAGATGGTGTACCGCTGCCTTGACGAGGAGGGTCTCTATCTCGGTGCCAGCTCCTGTCTCAACGTCGTTGCTGCCAAGGAGGTTGCGGAGAAGCTTGGCAAGGGCCACACTGTCGTTACCATGCTCTGCGATGGCGCCTACCGATACGCAGACCGCCTCTTTTCCCGCAAATGGCTGACAGAGAAGAAGTTGATTGGCGCCATCCCCGAGCACCTCGAAAAATATATTGTATTGCCTTGAAGACCAAATCTGTATTATACTAACCTTTCGCACCTCTTGTACCACCCTTAGCGCCTTCCATTCAACTTTTAGATAGTCCATCGACCAAAATTAGCACAATAGAAGCATACTACAACCATTGAAAGACCGACAGATCTTTGCACAACATATTCTTGAGAAATGCAAAATGTTTCGAGGCAATCTCATTTATTGCCTGCAAAATCTGGCAGGAAAGAGCCACGGTATAGTAGCGGGCCCGAACACGTCTTCCGCCTGAGAGTCGCCACTTCATATTAACGAATTCCCTTGGCATTGGACCAGACATGCATCTTTTCGAATCAATCGAAACATTGAAATGTTATTGTAAATATTATTTTCGGCGTATTACGTGATAGTATTAACGGAGCAAACATAGTCTATCATCTAATTGTTTTGGTCTTATCAAAGCCGCAGTCGCTTAAAGCGCTTGCAAAATATGAGAAAACTGCATCAAAGAAATCCACTTTTCCCACGCCACGAAGCCCATCCCCCCTGTGCTCATAACCCATACGCGGCCATAACCCCCACATGCACCTCATTTCGATCCTCACTTAACCATTACGGGTATCGTTTAGTGGCTGCGCTTGTAAATCTTGCCCAAGAAACTCTCAAAAACGCCCTTCTTGAGACCGTCGGTCTCGTCTAACTCGGCAACCATCTTGCGGATCTTGCTCACTTCCTCCTCCTCGGTGGCCCGGTAAACTTCGTCGAGCTTGAGCTCGTTGAAGACCTCCTTGACAATTGCCTCACTGGCCTTGTCCTTGCGACCGTAGTGCTGGTTGAGTACCTCGCGCTGGTCCTTGCTTGCGCGCTGCAGCGCCTGGTTGATCAGCCACGAGCACTTGTTGTCCATGATATCCGTGCCAATCTTGCCAATCGTCTCGGGGGCGCCGTAGTTGTCCAGGTAGTCGTCTTGAATTTGGAAGTACTGGCCCAAGGGGATCAAGATATCCTGCGCTTGCTTGAGATTCTTCGGCGTCGCGAGGCCCAGCAAGTGCAGCGACAAGGCGACAGGGAGGTAAAAGCTATAGTAGGCAGTCTTGAATGTGATGATGAAGAGGTACTTCTCCATGGAGAAGTTGTCCAGGTCAACCTTGTCCTCGGGAGCGGTGAGCAAGTCGCATTGCTGTCCGAGTTCGGTCTGGTAGGTGACTTCGTGGAAGAGCTCAATCAGATCCAGGTAGCTAGGCTCAGAGCGGAAGAATTTCTTCAGAAGCACAAAGATGGACGACTCGAGCATGAATGCGTCGTTGATAGCAACCATGCCGACCTCGGGCATCAAATACCAGCAGGGCGCGCCGCGACGGGTCTTCGACTCGTCCATGATGTCGTCAGATACGAGGAAGAAGGCTTGGAGCAACTCGGTGCACCATCCGAGAGTAGCGGACTGGAAGTATTCCTTTTCAGTGAGGGGCCGGCCGAGGAGAACCTCGCTGCTGTCGACAACGGACATGCCACGATTGCATTTGCCGCCGACGGTGTTGTGTTGCAAAGACTAAATAGATATGTTAGTCAACATGAAGTTGAAAGGTGTGGAAACACTTTGGGGAGGTTTAAACAGATCTAGCAGGAGGGTGAATAATGAATATGAGGCAACACCTTTTGATACCATTCCAGTGCGTTGGTGGGCAGCTTGTATTGCTGCGCGTGCTCACTGAGCACTTCCAGCAGCTTGGGGAAGACGCTCTCGAATTCTTTTAGAGTGGTGGGCATGATGAAAGACGGCGATTGATATTTTGTGTAAGGAGAGAGAAATTGATGAAGGTGAGGAGGACCCTGAGATGAGGAGGCGGAAGCGGGTAAACGTTCGACAGAGATGTCGGACAATGAATGGTGGGGCGCAACAGGGGGCTGTTGAGGGAGTTGCAGCGGTAACGGTGAAATTAAATTGATATGGATTGATCTAATTTGACTGATCGATGAGATTAGATTGATATGATAATGACTTGTCTTTATGCTGGTTTTATGCCAAGCATTAACCTGCTTGTGGCTGAGGAATTGTGAAAAGCCACAACTCAACACCACGGAAATATCCGTGACGCGGGTCAATGTTTTGGTACAACTCTAAGAACTCTGGAGAGCTCAGGATTATTGCTGTGACGTTGTGATTTCTTTGAGATACCCCAGTCAAGTCAGGCGTTACTTGGAGCTTCTGTGAAGAGTGTGCGGTCTAGCTCAAATTCAAAGCGATTCTCGTGCCGTCATGAGGTTGAATTGATTTTACATTTACCCTTTCTACAACTGCGGCATGGTAATACGTCTTACACATTTTGACGGGTTATGACGAACGAATGCTACCCCTATAGATCCGCTTGATTGGACCGCTCATAGCGCTTCTGGCAATCACATACTCCACGTATCATATTTCAAGATGGTCAATCTCACAGACGCGGACATTGTGCGGTTACGCACCACTTTGCAAGATGCCGTGGTCAAGTGCTCTGAGCGCTGTCTATACCAGTCGGCGAAATGGTGAGGGCGAATCACACACTCCCTTTGTATGAGGTGAAGGGGAGGATCAGACTGACTTTCTGTGCAGGGCCGCCGAACTAGCTACTTCTCTCCCTTCCACATCTGAGCCTGAAACGACCCTAGACAGCGATGCAGACTCTCAAATGTCCAATGCCGATACGGAGGCAGCTCCTCCACCCATTGTCCTGTCCGCCAACACTGATCCTCATGAGGCCCGTCTAGAGGCACAAGAGGCTGGCAAATACCTCTTGGCTAAATCCTATTTTGACTGCCGCGAATACGACCGTTGCGCCGCCATCTTTTTGCCATCAAACCTGCCCCGCGGACCGCTGAATACAGCCCCAAGAGCAGATATCTTTACAGATCCAATATCGCCTCAGTCGACGCATAAAGGGAAAGGGAAAGCGAAAGCTACAGATTCCGACGCAAATGCGTCTATGGCATCTTCAGAAAGCGCATTCCCCCGCATGAGCCAAAAAGCACTGTTCTTGTCCCTGTACGCCAAATACCTCTCTGGGGAGAAGAGAAAGGACGAGGAGAGCGAGATGATTCTTGGGCCAGCCGATGGTGGGACAACAATGAATCGAGAATTAGTAGGACTGAGCCGGGGCTTGGAAAGTTGGTTTGCAGAACGAGAGCGCAAATCCTCGGCGACAGGCGAGGAGAATTCGAGCCAAGGATGGTTGGAGTATCTCTACGGGATAGTACTGGCAAAGGGCAAGAACGAAGCCGAGGCTAAAAAATGGCTTCTCAAGAGCGTCAATTTATATCCTTACAACTGGGGCGCCTGGCAGGAGCTCAGTGATCTTCTTGGAAGTTTGGAAGACGTGAGTGCAGACCACAATGGTCCCTGAAGAAAGTTTGACGGACTAACAGGTAGGCTGCACAGCTTGCTCAAATCATAAATGACCTACCACGAAACATTATGACATTTCTTTTTCACCTCCACGCCAGCCAGGAACTGTATCAGGCAACGGACGAGATCCACAGCGAGTTATCACAGCTCGAAGCTGTTTTCCCTGGAAGTCAATGGCTCAAAACTGAACGAGCGCTCCTTTTATACCACTCCAAAGGTACTTTTGCACCGCTCCCACTGTATAACTTTTATGCCCATCCCGTTTCCTCGCTGTTCTGCCAACCTACCCACTAACACATACCAGATTTTGAAGAAGCCGAATCCGTATTTTCTACCATCGTCGAAAACGACCCTCACCGTATCGACGCTCTCGACCACTATTCCAATATTCTTTACGTGATGACACTACGGCCCAAACTCGCATACATTGCCCAACTGGCGACCGCGACTGACAAATTCCGGCCCGAAACATGCTGCGTCGTAGGCAACTACTACTCGCTCAAATCCGAGCACGAAAAAGCAGTCATGTACTTTCGGCGTGCACTCACACTCGATCGGTCCTTTTTATCCGCCTGGACGCTCATGGGCCACGAATACGTCGAGATGAAAAACACCCATGCGGCAATCGAATCCTACCGGCGCGCCGTGGACGTCAACCGCAAAGACTACCGCGCATGGTACGGTCTCGGACAAACCTACGAGGTGCTCGAAATGCACTACTACGCCCTCTTCTACTACCAGCGCGCCGCGAGCCTGAGACCATATGATCCGAAAATGTGGCAGGCTGTCGGCTCCTGCTATAACAAAATGGGACGGCCCCTGCAAGCTATCAAAGCACTCAAGCGCGCCCTCGTGGCTGGCTCGTATTATGATGTGCCCGTCAATACCTCCACCACCACCCAGCAAGGCGGAGTCCTCGGCGAAAAACGAACCATGGTTCAAGCGCCCATGGACCCCGAAACACTCTACCAAATCGCCCTCATGTACGAGAAGATGCACAATCTCGACGAAGCAGCGGCATATATGGAATTGACACTCGCCCAAGAAGACGGTATTGGCGGAGACGGAGACGCAGACGAAGACGAAGACGAAGAGTACGACGACACTGATGAAGAAGAATACGATGACGACGAGGATTGGGAAGGAAAGGAAAATGACGATCGTGAGAATACAGACGCCGACCTTGGCGCGGATATGAACGACCATGATGACGAGCAAAACCTCCAAGGAACAGCAGGCGCAGCAACAGGCACCACCACCACCACCACCACCACCACCACCACAAGACCCGCACGACGCACCACAAAGCCACAAAGAAACAATCGACGACGACAAAAACGAGGTACTGACCCAAACACAAAGAAACCGCCCCGCAACAACAACATTCCTATACGCCCCGCTACCGCCGGCGTCGGCGTCACGTCCACCACTTCCCGCGCCCGCATGTGGCTCGCCAGATGGGAATTCAGCCGCGGCGGCCCCGCAGGCTACCAGCGCGCCATGCAGCTCGCCACGGAACTCTGCCAGGACGGAGTCGAAGTCGAAGAAGCAAAGGCCCTCGTGAGAGACTTGCGCGCTAGAATCGAAATGGAGAGCAGCGCTCCCGGTCCTGGTTCTGGATCTGGATTTGGTGGTAGTAGTAGTTTTGGACCGGGACCGGGACTGGGTTCTAGTACTTCTTCTGGTCTTGGCTTTAGTTCTGGTCCTGGTCCTGGTTCTGGTATTGGTCCCGGTTCTGGCTTTGGCCCTGGTCCTGGCCCTGCAGGGTTCGGTAGCAGTTATGGTCATCATGCAGCCGGAAATAATGCAGGGTTCGGGGGAGGAGGAAGAAGAAGTAGTACGAGTAGTTATGGTCCTGGAAGATCCAGTTTTGGAACGGGCTAGTCAAGTTAGCTGTTACACGTAGGTAGTTACTTGTCTGTCCTGTCTTCTATCTTCTATCTTCTCTTTTCTTCGACTTTTGCGCTCTTTTTTCTTCTTCTTCGTGGGCTTTTTCTTTTCGTATGGGAATTCATTGGCGCATCCAGGACGGCGTATGTCTCTTCAGAGACGTCTGACAATGTACTACTTACTTGCATTTTTTTTTTCTTACGAGTATTACTTGATATGGTTTATAATAAATCATGCGACAATCAAAGTTTGTGAGAAGAGACAAATGTTATGAACCCATTTCTACATTAATTTTTGCCCGACCCTAGTGGCCTTAAGTGATTACTGTAGGAATATGCACAAATAACACAAGTCTAGCCTGCCGTGTGAGGAATGTTCAGAAAAGAAGTCGGTACGCCACTGCTGTGCTGTACGCATAATGGAAAAGAAATAAGAAAAAAAAAAAAAAAAGAAAAAGAAAAAGGAAAAGTGGGCGGCAAGAGTTATGCTCGGCCCTTTTGGAATTGGGTGTCAGGATCGATGATTAATGAGTAATGATAACGAGTATTAACTGCGCCCTAACGTAAGCTCTTAATAGATGTTGCCCAATTCACTGCGAGAAATGGACGGGCCGGCGTGAAATCCTGACAAGATGCTGGCGCCGACACTGCGTGTGCGTGTCCTGCTTCTGCCGCGTGAAGATGCACGGGGAGCTGGGGTCGGACTTGTGGGAACACCGCCACCGCCACCGCCTTCAGGATGATTGAACGACCAGCTTCCAAAGGTGGATGCACTGGTTGGACCTAGAGGGCTGGTCGGACTTGTTGGACCACCACCAACAGGAGCTTGTCCTGGTGAGAAAGTAATATGAGGAGAGGGCGCAGAGTCATCGTGACTGGAAGGAGGAGGGCTTGATCTGAGGTCCTGAGATCTTGTGGGGAGCATGCTGGAGCGTGCGTAACCTGACGTGGCAGCTTGGTCGGGCCTTTCGGTGGTGTTTGCAGGTCCGACTTGGCTGAACGTAGATGTGCGGCGCTGCGTAGGTGTTCGTTTGAGGTTGTCTTCGGTCTTGTGCAGACTTTCACTGGGCAAGAGGATGGCGCGATCAAGAGCGTAGGGGAGACCACGATGGCGCCCGCGGATTTGCATGGCGATGATGACGAGTTTGGATATTACGTTAAATTCGGCGGAGAAAGAGGCGTCAATGTTGGGGTAGCCGAGGGAGAGACCGACGGTGCCGTAGGCAGAGACGATTTCGAAGAGGCAGGAGAAGAGTGTGAATTGCTACGAGTTGGATGTTAGTGAGCTAGATATGCACAAGGGGAGGCACACCCCCGGGGGGTTTGTTCTTGGGACTTACGTATTCGTTTGTATTGCTGAGTCGACTTCCTTCGGCAATGGCAATGATGAAGAGACCCAGGAAAATATACCACAAGTCAAATGACAGCTGGCGACGCAAGTGAGCACCGACATAACTCGGTTCTAGTGCCTCTTCATCTTCCTCTTCCTCTTTGCTGCCGTATATACCTAAACTCTTCTCCTCGTACACATTGGTGCGACGCATCGAGATGGCAACAGGGAATGCTGAAATGTACATCATGATAAGGTAGGATACTTGAATGCCTGGATGCAGCGCCGCAAGATTGACGACAGAAAAGCCTGCGGTGCGTGTTGATGCGGCTTGAAACCAGCCATCTAGGACGCGCGTGCCCGCGGCATATTGAGTCACGGCTGGATCGTTGAGCTGAACATGCGATTAGCAAAGAGAAACGCACCTCCATTAAAGTGCAAAGACACGAGGGGGGTACGGGAAAGCACTTACATCAAGAATAATAAAAAATATCAAGTCGAGGCCATTCAATATACACAAAATCCAGAACAGCCACCATGTCGCTTTGGACGGGAATAAAAGAGTAAAGCATCTCCTTGGATGGTCCAGAAGAAATTGCAGCTCCTCCCAAACACTGCTATCTTGGGGAACAAGTTTTGACGAAAGCCAGATAACAAAACGAAGCATACAGGGGAACCCTGTGTTGCCAATGATGATTAAAAAGCTGCCCAGCAAAAGAGGGAAGACGGCAGTCGCAAATGACATCATTGAGTCGGGCGTAAGCGTAAATCCGAGGTCGTTGAACATTGAAGCAGGAGTGAAAAAGCCCCTAAACTAGTCAGCCGGCGCAATGCGCTTTTCTTCTTGTCAGTAATGAAGATGAACGAATGACTTACCACCACACCTTATTCTGTGAAACCGCATCGACAACCGCGCCATATCTTTCACTCCGAACAATCCACGGAAGAAGACAGACGACACCTAGAAGATGGAAGCCGATGAAATAAACTATGAAATGTTGGTAAGCCGACTCCTTTTTTTTTTTTTTCGACGAAACAATCGGCGGACAACGTACCGACAAGAATAAAGGCCAATGTCTTTAATGCGCGATATTCAATTCCGCCCAATTCGTCTCTTTGCTCCTCGGTCAAATCAATGAATGCCGAGTTTCTACCAATTGTCGGCTGCCAGCTAAGGTATGGCATAGGATCCCGATCTTGGCTTCTCGAGGTCATGAATGATGAAAAAGTTGCCGTTCTGCCACGATTTCTTAGCCCAGAAGGCTCATCCTCATCCTTGGCGCCGTCCGTCCGTCTTCGGCGTAGTCCAAATGAGGCAAACGTATTGGTCCTCTTTCGTTGTCTTGGATGGTCTGGCTCGTCAATGGTTATGGCTCGCTTTGCGGGATGATCATCCTCATTCAACTCAAAATTATCACCTGGATCAACACGTTGGGTGCTCTGCTTGGAGTGAGCCAGTCCAAGGGGACCTCCGTCTTCGTCGTCATTTACCGTCTCCGGCACATGGCCACGGTCAAAATCTCTCGGCCCAGGTATACGCAAGGCTCCTTTATCCTGGTTTCGTTGCTTTTCAAGAAACGCAATATTCTGTTCCGTCGTAGCCCGTTCCGGTAGCCGTACCATCTCGACCCCGTCTTCTCCATCTCTCCGAGGGAGCTCATCTGCAAACATAATATCGCGCCGAAAGGAAGCTGTCGGCTCGTGCTTGGGTGAAGGCGGGCCATTGCTGGACTTTTCTTCGTCCTCAAGAGTAACTCCACTCGCTCCATTACTCGTATCCGACCCGCCAACCTTGTCACCGTCTTCTTCTTCTTCCTTCATGCCATCTGTATCGCCATTCATATGGCCGTTGGTGACTCTGCTGTTCATCCGCGAGGTGTCGTGCAAAACGACAATGGGTCGGCCATTGACCCCCCGTTCGGCACGCTCCAATTCCCCGTCATCTATTCCTTCTGTCTTTGTTCGGGACCGCGTCCTCGTCCGGCGAAGATTACGAGCATCCTTCACAATATTCTGAAAGCGCTTTTCAAACCAGTAAAGGCGAACAAACACGACGAAAGAATTGATAAAGATGGGATTAGCGATCATGGCCATGAAAAACATGACAATCTATGACGTGCAAATTAGCTGGAGTGAATTAGCTATCGGTGGGCAGTGTGAGAAATTACCTGCTGATACAAGTGCAGTTTATTTATGTCAACACTATCAATCTGAGTTAGTACAAGAGACAGTTTAGCACCATGACCTGAGAACCCACGGGTTAAGACCACTCTGGGTGCTACATCCTGCCGAGAAAAACAACGCATTAATATACGTAAGCTCTCCGGCTGGGTATAAAAGAATTGATCCGATGATAGTGAGGCCAATCAGATAAATATCTGTTCAAATATGGTCAGAAAAGACGGGCGTATAGGCTCCGGTGGAGCTCCTGCGCACGTACAGTGTAAGGTGATGAAATTGAATCTTGGCCGGCGGTAACCCCTCTGAAATGGAATCCATGACCGCAGCGTCGAACCAGCCTCCGTTATGCGATCGCGCAAGTCGATTATCTTGGTGAACATGGTTGCCCCTCTTTTACAAAGTCTGTCGATTTTTATGTGGACCGGTAGGTGTTCAGCGAAGAATCTGGTCGCCGTTCAATCGCGCATCTTTGGCGGATGAGGAAAGATCAAGACTGTGTGAATGGTGTAGGTAGATTCTCGAGATACGGCCGTCTGTATCAATTCAAGAGCCAACACCAGAAGAGAGGGTCTCTTCATAGATGGGGCACTCCATAATCTTCAGTTGACAGCAAACGCCAGAAACCTTGGTGTGACCGCAGTAAAAGGGGCGCGTCGAATCGATCGTTCGAGGATGACCCTGCCTGCGCGACCTTTTCTTTCAAGCCACGTAGAGTCTGGGGGCGAAGCTGGGTTGCTTTATGATTGTGCAAATCGGGGGAGTGCTTAGAGGCGATATCTGTATTCCGCAATTCCCTCAAGTGAGTTTGGAGCTGTTTGCCGGGAATCTCAGCAGCTGGGTTGGGCCACGCCTTTATAACTCGTCGCGAAAATGGAACAATTCTCCAGTTTTTGAAAAAGCCGCCGCAAATTATCCGGTCGCGCTTATCGGATAGAGAGATTTGATCTCATCAGACAAGATTGAACAACTCACTCTGGGTTGTATTGCGATTTGCGAGTTGGTGGTATGTCAAGTTATATCGAGCCTATGAGAGGAAAGGCAAAGCAAAATAGGAATCTGGACCGAGAGAGACCAAAAAGCTTGGCTTGGTGTGGCTGAGTAGCCCAGCAGAGGCTCATCTCAAATCCCGCCCGTCGTTTTGTAACTGTGACTCGGGCCAAACTCGAAACGAAAGTCAGCGGAGACAGACAACGCAACAGCAAACCTACGCACAAGCCAAGCGGGAGGGTTTCAGACTAGAGTAGAGTACAACTCACTTGCCGCCCCGTCTCCCTCTCGATCCGACTTCCACCCGTCCGAACACAACGTCTCGGAGTTGATACTTTGAAGGTGTTAATGTAAAATATGGTCACGGCAGACTGATGGATCGAACATTGTTCCCTGCTTGAATGCCCTTTAGCACATCTGAAACCCTAATGAATTGAACATCTTAATCGTCTGTTTCGTTCCGATCGGAGGACTTTGTAGCCAGAATAAAGCTTGTGATAACCTTTTCTGATGTGTATCATTGCCAGCTCGTCAGACCCATCACAACGCCATCGATAGATTAAATAACTGTATTATAAAATGTCTGTTGCTCCACAAAATGAACCTTCAAGTAAAAGTGATTGGCGATTCGTCGATTCAAACGAAGTAGTATCGGAAATGACAGTGGGCTGATAGGAATATCGCGCATCACACACAGATGTGAGAAATAATAAGAACCCCAATACCCGCGTTGAGCGCTTGATGCGTACTCAGTACTGCAAATATGTGAATGAAAGTATTCCCTGCCACATTATCGATCAAAGCTTGTCCCTGTTGCATAAGCGATTCCAGGGTTATTCCAGTAATGAGGGTTCGGTAACATCTCAAGTTACAGCCTCAGTTAATAGCTTACATTTGGAACTACGGAACAATAGGCTAGTTGATATCTACGGGGTTTGAGATTGTGGCATTAATTGAACATGTGGCAATTTCTGATACGTAAACAACCCAGCCAAATAAATGAACCTATCATCATGGCAAAGCCAAAAAGACAGACCAAGACCCAGACACTCCAACAGAACCCTCTATGCCGGAAAAAAAAAAAAAAAAAAATGAAACAGACAGGCGGGAGAGATGGGAGAGATGAGCGGCGAGGAGATCTAAGGCGGCGTTCGATCGCCCTTTACTGTTGACTGATTATATGCCCATGGTGCGCGTTGTGCAAGGGATGCCATGTGTATGATATGAAAAAAGTAAAGTGGAAGGGGAAAAAAAGGGGAGGTGAAGGAAATGAAAAGAAGAAGACAAATGAACAACAGCAAGGCCGCCTATGAACAAAGAAACGAATAAAACTCCCGAGACCATAGGATACAACCTACCCACTGATGCCAGTCAAACACGCCAGGTGCATCCTGCCTTGAGCATCTCTTCCCTGCACAGAATCACAAAATACACACACAGCCCCAATTCGCCAAGTAATCACCAAACTGAAACAAACGAGCCCGAAATGAAGTTCTCGCGGTAATAATGACCATATCTGTCAAACAGATGGACGTGAGTGAGCCTAAGCAACCAAGTCGTCCAGGCTCCTATGCTTATGACCATTGCGGACAGCTCCCCATGAAGAGGGAGGAATCAATGCTTTAGACCAACTGTAAAACCGTTAGTCAACAGTAATCGACATATTCAAACTTAAAAAGAGGTCCCAAGGATCAACTGACATTCGAACTTTCTTGTCATCGCCAGCCGAGGCGAAGAGACAGGGATCAGTGGGGTTCCACGAGACAGAATTGACGCAGCCAGACGCATGGCCTTCCAAAGTCTCCACGAGCGTGCCGCTTTCACGGTTCCAAATGTACACCCGAGAGTCTAAAAAGTTAGTATTCATTCATCAGTAATTTGTTTGTCTCGTGTTCGAGGCAGATCCTACCTTCACTTCCACTGATGATAAAATTTTCGCTGGCACCGCCAAACCCACTGCGAATCACAAACCGACCCTGCTGCTGGCCGAGGTATCTTCGAACTGTCTCGGCCGTTTCAATATCGATTAATTGAATCTCATGGTCCGACATGTTAACCAAAAGGTATCGTGAGTCACGGCTGATATTGACGCAGGTGAGCTCAGCCTTGAGTGCGAGATTGTACAGCTCTTCTCGCTTTTCAAGGTCATAGACGTAAATCTTCTTCTCCGTTGAAATTGTGACCAGCTTTGTACCATCGAGGGAGATGGCTGAGTCCTGTACTCGGTAGCCAGACCAAGCATGCAGCCGGTTTCCACTCAAGTCCCAGACGCAAAGTGAGAGCTGGCTGTCCAGCGAACCAGTGACGAATACTTGGCCATCTGGTGCCCAAGATGCGGTTGTAACTGGCTCGTTATGATGATTGATCGTCAAGGAGCATGTGCCGGTCTGTCAATACATCACAAGTCAACAACTGATTTAACCAAGAATCCAATGGCAACTTACACTCATATCCCATAAACGAGCTTTACGATCGTGAGAACATGTAATCAACTTCGAATCGTCCGGAGACCATGCAACATACGCGACAGGATCCGTATGCTCGCAGAGCACGTGAATTGGTTCCCAGGACCGGGTGTCGTATACGACCACGGTTCGATCCTTGCTCGCAGTCGCCAACTTGGTGCCGTCGTGAGAAAACTCCAAGAACCAGACCTCGTCCGTATGCTGCTGCAATTCTGCGGTTGTTCGCAGGGGAAATTGACTCCTATCGCAGCTATGGTCTGAGTAGAGAGAGGGGGAACTCGCAGTGTTGTGATAGAGACAATTTGAGATTTGGTGTTGCTTGACTTGGTTGAGCAGAACTGCTAACCTATGTTCGGGAATCATGACTGAAGGTGAAATGGATTCTGCACCAAATCAAGCATTGTTCGTCAGCCAAAGGCATGAAAGCTTAAGAAGGGGGGAGAGAAGGAGGATGTGGCGGGGAACGCACTCGAAAGCTCCGAAAGAAGGATATGCCGTGATGCTCCAGCAGCCCCATCCCAGCTCGCTTGCTCCTTGAGGTCTTCGGCAGACTGACACATGATCAAACTAAAAACGAACGCTGTTAGACTTGAAGAATCAAAGGCCAAAAGCGAGCATACCTTGAGAGAGCGTGCAGCTTGCTAATGTCTCGATTAAGCGGCGTCAGCTCCTGACGCAACACCATCAGAGCACTTCCTAGATCTCTTTCCTCTAGTAGCTCAAGAAATTTTTGCTGCCTCAGGCAAAAGAGCATCTCATTCTTGTCTGCACCTTCCGCCAAAACCAGCCCTCGTGCGTATGATCCGTCCGCCCCATCAAATTCCACTCCGCCGTCGATAGGTACGTTACCAAATAATAAGCTCTCGGCCTCAGCCCATTCACCTGATAGAACAGCGTTCCTAAATGCTGCTACTGAAGGGCTCTCAAGCTCGTAACCACTTTCTTGTGTGAGTGCCGCCGCAGCTCCATTATAGCCCAAATCAGCTAAACTTTGGATCAAAATTCGAGCAACTTCTTCTCGGTCGTGTCCAAAATATGTTGGGCGAGGTTTGCCTGAGGCGGTTCCATTGGACTGCGAGGTGGAAAGTCCGTTGGCTGCGCTCAAACCATAAGGGTTTCCATTGGACAATGCGCTCTTACTTTGCGGCGAGAAACGGGTACCATGCGACTGCGCCCGGGACGAACTTGAAGATCGCGACGATTCGTTGTCTAAACGCATTTTGTTTGCCGCAAGACGCCGGCGTTTCGAATCGTGCCGCGCAGGGCGGGTGTCGGTCGGAAATCGCCCAGGCCGGCTTCGTTGATGCTGCTGCAGCCCCTCGATGACGGGTCCGAGGTCGGGCACACGGTCGGAAGCTTCGTTGTCTTCCGAAGAGGACGAAGAGCTCCTTTGTCGGCGGCGGGAGGAGCTCGACACGGTCAAAGGTGGTCGAGTGGCTGCAGTGATAGGAGATTCAAGTTGGGTCCCGGTGGTAGAGTTTCCCGGAACAGCTCCGTCAGCTCCGACGGTACCCGATGATATGTCGCTCGACGAAGACTGCTCACTATTCTGTGAGCGCAGATTGTCTGGAATCTGAGGATCGCTTGGGAAGTTGCTTTGGTTACTGACAGATTGCCCTTGCAAAGGTTGGTCTGCCAGGTCGGAGATTTTTGGGGAGCGTCGCTGGTGCTCGCTCCCTTGTGTTTAAGTAAGATAGAGACGAGATAAAACAGGTTCACCTCGCTCGACCAAAGATCAGCGAGAAAACCTCATTCGTGAGACGGAGATGCTAAAACGCTTCAACGAGAGAGATGAAGCGAGAGAGAGAGCAGAGAGGTAGGCAGGTCGAAGTTTGCTTCTTGTTCAGCGTATTGAAGAAATAGGTCGGGCAAGGTCAAATGGGTAAGCCCCGCCACGGCTACGGGTAGGTGGTTGATGACGAGAAGTCACTAGTTAAGAGAACGCTGTAGCTAGCTAGCTTATCGCCTTAAACCATGGGATCCACTTAAATTGCTTCCTTTTGGCTAAAAACCAAACTCTTCCGGACTTGAAATGGGTTCGTCCCCGCCTTTAGCGAGTGGAGGAGTTGGATTTCGTCGATGACTGTTGTCAAGCTTCAGTATTCGAATGGTTAGAAAACGATCATGAGGATGGGCCGAATAGATGAGTTGCAGCGTGCAAGATGGGGGATGAAGAGGATTTGCCCCAGTTGGGTAACAGTGCTCAGGTGAAGCCAAGTTAAGCACCCAGTAATGGTAGGATGGCAGCAAACGATGGTCAAAAGGAGTCCTTGTTGTTGATCACTTAGAGGAGATCGTTTCTCTTTTTCTTCGCAACGCCCGGGATTAGGGGTATTCACATCAAGTCTGGAACAGGATCACTGCATTATACTGTGATGTAGTTGGTGGATGATACACTAACGAAGCCTACACAACAGCCGGAAATTCATAGAGGTTGAGATCGGATGTTAAGTATTCTTGGGTATGAACCAATCCCCCTAATATGGGCTCATAAAGGACCTTTGGTGGTCACAGGTACCATGGCCAGCACTCGCCTTTGATGGAACATGTAAGGTAAGCCAAGTCATTTGTATGCTCGGTGGGCGCTGGTATGTAGCTTGTGATCAACGACAAGGTAGGCCGAAACAAGCTGGGAAAGTCAGACGGACAGAGACAGTGTCCACATATGCACAACAACAACAGATCGGAGTATAGAGCGCATGGTGTCGACTGAAACAACGTACATAGTCTGTTAATAGCTAAAGGAAGCGATCAAAAACCGAATTTCGGCATGATGGACAAATCCAGTCCTTGCCTGGACAGATTATGCTCTCTCATCATGGTGAAAATGAGCGATGACGCAGCCCATTTTATCAGATCGGAATTCAGTAACCAAGAGATGAGGCGAGATTATCAAAGGCGAGCAACCCAATACCAAAACCGAGAAGTACTTACAAGTACCTTTGATGTGCTACCTCTAGAGAAAAAATTGAAGTACTCTAAAAGTACAAAAGAGTGACGAGATCTGGAGCTCGTCATTTCCTTCCGGTAACCTAATGACTTTTTAAAGTCATCCGAGCAAAATTGTGAAGATGTACAAAATATACTGTAGGTTAATGAGCGAAGGTGGTATTCGTTCTACTGCCGGTCTCGCAATCATACACCTTGCAGAGAAACAATGACAGATCAGCTTCTTTGCTAAGGCTGAGATTGGTGATATGCCAGGAGATATCATCATACTTCAAGTAATCGAGTGACGGAGCTCGCTAGAGCAGCCGACTAATGGTAATTGTGCTCTATGGTTATACTGGATACTAAACCCAACTCACCACTGATAACCAACCACTCGTCCTAGAGCCTCACATCTGGCCCTTGACAGGTCTTCCTTGCCGTTGGTTGCAAGCCAGACAAACAATGTATGCTTGGTCTTAGACCTCACCCGCTGCATCGCACATCGCTTCGAGAACTCATCACTAAGAAGTATTTCTCAGCTGAACTGTCTCCTTCCCCACAGTTTACTCCTGGAAGCTCCGACTACTTTCCCACCTCTGAATCGCAATCCTCTCGCCAAGTCGCATCTCGACCAACCACCACGATGGCGCCTGTGGGTTTCACTTCCTTCTTTACTTCTATTTCCCATCTCCAATTCACCTTCATTTGTGCGCTGTTGGATTGCGGAATGGATCAGTGACTAATATGACTGTCAAATTGTAGAAGGACAAGCGGACCTTCGAGGAGGCTGGCGAGGAACAATATGGTACGGTTCTGCTTCTCCAGTAGTCACTTACTCGAGCTTTCTTTTTACTAATCCATGCTTTTGCAGGCTCAATTTTCTCGGTTTCCGGGTACGACCAGCTCCAGCCATAAAACAATTCTCGCATCAAAAACTGACAAGATCTAGACCCGTCATTGTGGCGGAGAACATGATTGGATGTGCCATGTACGAATTGGTATGCGACGGCTTGAACCTCTCTTGAGTTCTCACTGCTGTTATGTTTACTAACTCTTGTCACAGGTTCGTGTTGGTCATGATAAACTTGTCGGTGAAGTCATTCGTATCGAGGGCGATAAGGCAACCGTCCAGGTCTATGAGGAGACTGGTACGTGCCAGATGATATACCATGTTATCGGATATAATGGATCTATTGACATCTGAATTCATCTAGCTGGTGTCACCGTCGGTGATCCTGTCATTAGAACCGGAAAGCCCCTCTCAGTCGAACTTGGCCCTGGTCTGATGGAGACCATTTACGACGGTATCCAACGACCACTCAAGTCGATCTCTTCCGTCTCCGACAGTATTTACATCCCCCGTGGTATCGATGTACCTTCGCTCGACCGAGAAGTGAAGTGGGATTTCGTTCCTGGAAGCCTCAAGGTGGGCGACCACATCACTGGCGGCGATATCTTCGGCAGTGTTTTCGAAAACACTCTCCTGGACGACCACAAGATCCTTTTGCCTCCTCGCGCACGTGGCACCATTACCCACATTGCTGAAAAGGGTTCCTACACCGTGGACGAGAAGATCTTGGAGGTGGAGTTTGATGGCAAGAAGTATGAGTACAGCATGATGCACAACTGGCCCGTCCGTGTGCCGCGTCCCGTCAACGATAAGCTTGCCTCCGATGCTCCCTTCATTGTTGGACAGCGCGTTCTCGATGCCATCTTCCCCAGTGTCCAGGGCGGTACCGTCTGCATTCCGGGTGCTTTTGGGTGCGGTAAGACTGTCATCAGTCAGAGTGTCTCCAAATTCTCCAACAGCGACATCATCATTTACGTTGGTTGCGGTGAGCGTGGTAACGAAATGGCCGAAGTCTTGATGGACTTCCCCGAGGTACGAATTCGTGCATTGACCCAATTTCCAAAGGGTGGGTTGCTGATGTGCTTCGTAGCTCTCAATCGACGTCAACGGCCGCAAAGAGCCGATCATGAAGCGAACATCGCTCATCGCTAATACCTCCAACATGCCCGTCGCTGCTCGTGAAGCTTCCATCTACACCGGTATCACCGTCGCCGAGTACTTCCGTGACCAGGGCAAGAACGTTGCCATGATGGCCGACTCTACTTCCCGATGGGCAGAGGCCCTTCGTGAAATTTCTGGTCGTCTGGGAGAAATGCCTGCTGACCAAGGTTTCCCCGCGTACCTCGGTGCTAAGCTTGCCTCCTTCTACGAGCGTGCTGGTCGCGTCACCGCTCTGGGTAGCCCAGACCGCCAAGGTAGCGTTAGCATTGTCGGCGCTGTTAGCCCTCCGGGTGGTGACTTCTCCGACCCCGTCACGAGTAGTACTCTTGGTATTGTCCAAGTCTTTTGGGGTCTGGACAAGAAGTTGGCCCAGCGAAAGCATTTCCCCTCGATCAACACCTCGCTCAGTTACAGTAATTACACCAACATCCTGGAAAAGTACTACCAGCGCGAGCGGCCTGATTTCCCTCGTCTTCGTGAGCGTATCAAGGAGCTTCTTACGAGCTCAGAAGAACTGGACCAGGTTGTGCAGCTGGTCGGAAAGTCAGCTCTCGGCGACCCTGACAAGATTACTCTGGACGTGGCTGCAATGATCAAGGACGACTTCCTCCAGCAAAACGGATACAGTGACTATGACCAGTTCTGCCCTCTCTGGAAGACGGAGTGGATGATGAAGGCATTCATGGCTTTCCACGATGAAAGCCAAAAGGCAGTTTCTCAGGGCCAAGCCTGGAACAAGATTCGTGATGCCACGAGCGACCTTCAGGCCAACCTTCGATCAATGAAATTTGAGCTGCCAGGCGATGGTGAGGAGGCCGTTTCGAAGAAGGTGAGCACTAATTCTTATTTTCTACGTCTTGAACCCGGTTGTGAGAATGATGAACTAACGTTGATGACAGTACGAGGACCTGCTTCAGAAGCTGCTGGAGCGCTTTGCCTCGGTTGCAGATGAGTAGATGAAGTCAAATGTCTGACGCTCTGATGATTTGCCGTTGGCGCCCGTATATCATGTGAAGAGTAATTGTAGCATACCTAGACGCCATGCCAGCTTGTGTGTATCTGTTTTTGCATCATGCGCATGCTCAGTAGATATCTCTTTGCGCTTTTGTCAAGTTTATAATATTCAATCTGATTCGTTTTCATTGGCCATGGGTCTACCCTGTGTCGGATTGATCAGCCTTCATTGCCAATCATGCAGTTTGTGATGAGGCAGCCTAATTTGTTGCACGAGAAAATCAGCATTGGTGAAAAGTAAGTAACTTGTTATCAACAGATATGTAATTGAATTGTTTAGTCGACAATTTAAAAAGGGAGATTATAATTAAAAGAGGCCATAGAGAAAAAGAAAAGAAAAATAATTTATGAAAACAAACAATATAATTTTTATGAAAACTTGTCTGCAAATAACGCCAATCTTTGAAAAGGCGATAAGCTCTTCTGCAAATAGACCTTGGGACAACAGGTTTAATGTTTTGGGCTGGAATGAAGCTATTGCTCGACATGATCTTATCAACTGTGGCGTCAGTATCCATTATGGATAGGCCGCGTCAACGTGGCTTAGCTGCTCGCATTATTCGCACTGTGCAAGGAGATGGACTTTGCATGGCCAAATCCTGTTGCCTAATAAACCACACAGTAAGTGACAGCTACAAGGAAAGTAAAAATTTTGTCTTTCACTGCCATCCTTTCTCGTGAAATTACCCCAATACGTCGATAACTTGGCCCATTTAGTTTCACTTTCTTTGGCCACTTGACCGCCCTGACCGTTCGTTATCAGCTCGGCTTTGCAGTTTGCGGTGTAGCCTGCGAGTGAAGACGTACAGGTCCCGGTACTTGGAAGTTCCCGCACCGCCACCTCGCTTGAGGGTTGCCGATACCTTGCGGCTCCGATACAAGGGTCGCCCGCTCATTTTCCGGCCAACCCCAGTTTGACTGGTTGGCCTCTCAGGCAGTAACTTCGTTATATCCTCCAAGGACACCGAGAAACAATCAACCTCGACAACTTAGACCAACCTCTCCTCCTCTCTTGCCGCATCACAACATTTCCTCATAGAACCTTCGTGCTCACGAAGGGAGTTTTGTTGCATTCCATTGTGTAATAATCCCGCCCAAGATGACTTCGTCGGGCTATTCGTGAGGACCCTGATCATCCCCATCTTCTCGAGAGATGCCTGCCTGGCTAACACCTCGCCTCAGCATCAACGTCAATGATCCTGGCCTGATTACACTGGTCAATAAACTTCAAGATGTCTTTACCACGGTCGGAGTACGTCTTCTTCCCTCAAATCAATGCCTTTGATGTTTTGCGACAAAGGAGTCCTGTGGAATGCTGACCCGACTTGCGTGTTAAGGTTCACAATCCCATAGATTTGCCTCAGATTGCTGTCGTTGGATCCCAGTCTAGTGGTAAAAGTTCGGTTTTGGAGAACATAGTGGGCAGAGATTTGTAAGCTGCTGCACCACCTTTACACCTCATGTGTGCATCTGGTGCTGACATTTGCTGTGTCTAAAGCCTACCTCGAGGAACCGGTATTGTCACTCGCCGACCCCTCATTCTTCAGCTCATCAACCGACAAGCACCAAATAAGCCGCAAGCAAATGGCGTCAGTGAGGATGTGAAGTCATCAGATAAGGAGGCAAACGCAGACGAGTGGGGCGAATTCTTGCATATCCCGGGTCAGAAATTCTATGACTTCAACAAGATCCGAGACGAAATTGTGAGAGAAACTGAGCAAAAGACGGGACGAAATGCGGGCATTTCCCCGGCTCCAATTAACCTGCGCATCTACTCGCCAAACGTCCTGACCCTGACTCTGGTCGATCTGCCGGGGTTGACCAAGGTGCCGGTTGGTGACCAGCCGAGGGATATTGAGCGACAGATTAGAGAAATGGTTCTCAAGCAGATCAGCAAGCCCAACGCCATCATATTGGCCGTCACCGCTGCCAACACGGACTTGGCCAACTCGGACGGATTGAAACTCGCCCGGGAGGTTGATCCGGAGGGACAGCGGACCATTGGTGTCCTTACCAAGGTGGACTTGATGGATGAAGGTACCGACGTGGTGGACATCCTTGCGGGACGTATCATCCCGCTCCGGCTGGGTTACGTGCCCGTCGTCAACCGTGGTCAGCGTGATATCGAGAACAAGAAGGCCATCTCTTATGCGCTCGAACACGAGAGAAGTTTCTTCGAGAATCATAAGGCTTACCGGAATAAGAGCTCATACTGCGGTACCCCATATTTGGCACGCAAATTGAATCTGGTACTGTCTCCTTGCTTTGACCGCCTGACTGAATCGAAAAAAAAAAAAAAAAAGCTAACCAGCCTGTCATTAGATTCTTATGATGCACATCAAACAAACGCTACCAGATATCAAGGCCCGCATCTCGGCATCGCTGCAAAAGTACTCTGCCGAGCTCTCACAACTGGGCGACTCTATTCTCGGCAACAGCGCTAATATTGTGCTCAACATAATCACCGAATTCAGCAACGAGTACCGCACGGTGTTGGATGGCAACAATCAGGAGCTCTCGAGCATTGAACTTTCGGGCGGTGCGCGTATCAGTTTTGTTTTCCACGAGCTGTACGCAAACGGTGTCAAGGCCATTGATCCGTTCGATCAGGTCAAGGATATCGACATTCGTACCATTCTCTACAATTCTTCCGGTTCGTCACCGGCCCTTTTTGTGGGAACAACTGCTTTCGAACTCATTGTCAAGCAACAAATCAAGAGGCTAGAAGATCCGAGCTTGAAATGTGTCTCCCTCGTCTACGATGAGCTCGTCCGAATTCTTACTCAGCTCTTGGGCAAGCAACTGTTCCGGAGATACCCGGCCTTGAAGGAGAAATTCCACCAAGTTGTCATTGCCTTTTTCAAAAAGGTCATGGATCCGACCAACAAGCTGGTCAAGGATCTTGTGGCGATGGAGGCCTGCTACATCAACACTGGACACCCCGATTTCCTCAACGGACACCGGGTAAGTGCTGGAATGTGATTTCTATAATCGGTACCTTCTAACCTGACACAATCTTCTAGGCCATGGCCATTGTGAATGATCGACACAACCAGGCCAAGCCGGTTCAGGTTGACCCTAAGACTGGCAAGCCTCTGCCACCAGCCGTGCCTCCCCGAACCGCTAGCCCTACCATGGATGCCATGACTGAGAGCAATGGCGGTTTCTTTGGTAGCTTCTTCGCTAGCAAGAATAAGAAGAAGATGGCTGCCATGGAAGCCCCGCCACCTACTTTGAAGGCATCTGGTACCCTTTCCGAAAGGGAGGGCATCGAGGTTGAAGTCATTAGTATGTAGAGAGAACACGCGCCCCTGTATAGTATGCCCCAAATACTGACCAATCTATAGAGCTCTTAATCACTTCTTATTATAACATTGTCCGCCGAACTATGATCGATATGGTTCCCAAGGCTATTATGCTGACACTCGTTCAGTAAGTGACATGTGATCATCCATATTCATTCCTACAGTTATTGACGCATAATCAAAAGGTTCTCCAAGGATGAGATGCAGCGGGAGCTCCTGGAGCAGCTGTATCGTGCAGCCGAGCTGGACGATTTGCTCAAGGAAAGCGACTACACGGTTCGTCGACGAAAAGAGTGCCAGCAGATGGTGGAGTCGCTCTCCCGCGCGAGCGAGATTGTGAGCCAGGTGCAGTAAAACATATTAGCTTTGTAGCATGAAATGGGTCGATATGCATGCATGGCGGATGCTCTCTTTCCTCTCTACATGAACCATAAGCGCCTAGACGCCCGCTCTTCATTTAGCTCATGAAGCTTTCGCGTTGACATGTTACGATCTTCCTTTATTAATCCGCAATTACTCTGGAGGCCACTGGGCTCGACCATCATATACCTCGCAGGCGTTTTGCTCTTCTATTATTTTTGCACTATACTGCTTATCTGTAATAAGTAGTCGGGCTGAATTATCCCAGACCAGGCAAAGGGGTGGTCCTGTTGTCAGAGTGTCCATTGTGGGCTTGGGCAAGTGTTTGGTCATTATTTCTGCTTTCTTACACTTTTCTTCCTTTTCTATTATATTTTCTTACATGTTTTTAATTCAGAATAGAAAGTCTGGATGCAGATAATAGTACCATTTCTCATATCTACGCATCTTTTGATCTTTTCGTTTCAATTGCCACACAAAACAAGTGCAAAACCTTGCCTTTTCCGGCCATATCGACCAACTCACGTGACTTCGTGACTGATTCGTGTGCCCTTTCCGCGTCGGCCCGCTGTGTGAAGCGCACAAAGAACTGGTGCAGTGTGAGAAACGGAATTCATTTTGGAAAATCAATCAAAGGCTTATTGCTATATCGGATGTCTATCGAGAGATATCGCGCACCTCATTTTTGGATGTTGGGCATATCTGGACCGAGTTGTCAATAATCTAAACTGCACGCACATTGGCGACAACAATAACAAAATCATAACAATCCAGCAACAACGTCTACTTGCTTTTAAATCTCTTCTAAATGACACCTCCTAATTATCCTCTTGGACAAGATCGCTCAGTTCTAGCGCAATGAATGCGTAACAAAAATCACCGGAGTTTGTGGAAGAGGAGGAAAGTGATCCAAGTGGTAATGATTACGGAGTGATATCTGATGCCCTTCAAATTCATCTACATCTGCGACTTGCTATCCCAGCTGGAAGACCATGCCACGCGCGATCCACCCCTGCTGGCCTCGCAACAGCGCGAGCTCGACCGTCGGGTTATCGAATCTTGGTTCCAGTCTCACCGGCGGCGCATCGATGAATCAGGGACAACTAACCGCGCTGCATTGCTCAGTGCATTTTTTCCCGAGCGCAGAACGGATAGAGTCTATGGGCTGCAAGAAAAGAGTCTAGTGAAAGTCCTCGGGAGGTGCCTATGTCTAGGGATCGAGCGCAGAAAGGAATTGGCGAAGTGGGAGTCTTTTGGAGGCAGAGGAGAAGATTTAGGATTTTATGTGGAAAGAGTTCAGAAACAGGCAGAGATGCCGATTCCACATCGAGACCACGAGGTTACAGTCGAAGAGGTGGATGAGGCATTGCAGGCTTTGGCAAGGGGGAATAAATTTAGCTGTCTTTCTTCCTCTTCTTCTTCGTTATCAGTGGGACAAATTACCGCTCGCCACAACGCCAACCTCTCAGGGGATACGTGTGAGAAACTTCTTGGGCCAATCTTCTGTCGACTACAGTCTCGTGAAGCCAAGTGGCTGACCAGGATGATTCTCAAAAATTATGCACCGGTAGTGCTGCCGGCGTATCTAATACTCCGATCTGTACATTTCCTCGTGCCCGATATTCTATACGTACGGTCTTCATTCGAAGCTGCTATAGAGTTACTTCAGAGCCCGGAATTGGTTCTTTATCCATCGCAGCCTGGGAGAGATGTGGAAGGTATTCTCAAAATCACTGCTGCAAGATTGATGATGCCGACAATCGGATGCAAATTGGCTCGGGCGCCATTCCTTAAAGCTAGGGTAAGCTTAAACCGCGAATTGTGCTGGCCAGGAAGGAAGAAGATTGACAAAATAAAGTCTATCAAGCATTGTGTCAATATGATTGGCGATAAGCGCGTGAGTGTCGAACGGAAGTACGATGGAGGTATGTTTCATCTTGTTCCTAAAGGAATAATTGTCTAATATGAGTAAAGAATACTGCCAAATACATGTCGATCTCAGCAGCGAGGGAAATTGGATTCAGATATTTTCAAAAAGTGGAAAAGATTCCACTAATGATCGACGAGCTATTCATGGGTAAATTCTTTCAACTATGTCTATGGATTATCACAACTAATATCTAGCAGTGTCGTCAAGGCCTGCCTTGGAATTGGAACCGACAAGTGCAAGTTTACTAAAAAGTGCATTTTGGAAGGAGAATTAGTTGTATACAGTGAAAGGGTAAGTTTTGTGATTGCTTGAATAGTGCAGGGCTCAGCAGTTCAGGAACAATCCATTTTGGGATTTCACGAATTACGAAAACATATACCCCGCGCAGGACGGTATCTCGGTGCAGAGCAGGACTCGCCGTAAGTCCAACAATGTCAGAGAATTTGGTCATCTCTAACCATCCCAGGCCGGACCCTCATGAACATCTAATGATAATGTTTTTTGATGTTTTACTAATTGATGAAGAAAATCTATGTATCATGCCATACGAAGACCGCAGAAAGCGCTTAAAAGACCTCATCACCCTGATATCCGGACGCGCAGGTCTGGTTGAACGGGAGCAGATGACAGTGTCATCGCAAAAGGGAATCCGACGATTGAGAAAAAGATTCGGAACTGCTATCAGAAAGCGCTGGGAAGGACTAGTCATAAAACCATGCCGAGAAGCCTCCTTTGGCATTATCGGCGCCGAAGAAAATGATTACAAGGGCCGCTGGATCAAACTGAAAAAGGACTATATCAAAGGACTCGGAGACACTGCTGATTTTGCCATTGTTGGGGCCAAATATGATGGCAGACTAGCTCACCAGCACAACTCATTAATCTGTCGATGGAATGTCTTCTACCTGGGCTGCCTTGTCAATAAAGAGAGAGTACTGCACTTCTCCGATAAGCCCCAATTTCGAGTAATCGAGGCCCTAGATTCTGCAATCAACGCAGAGGATCGAATGACTCTCAACCACGTCGGCCAATTTAGAAGCACACCCGTCAGCAGTGCTCAGACAGGTCACCCTTTTGACATATGGTCCACGTGGAATGTCAATTTCAAACCTGACGTGATTTTCAACGAACCTTTTGTTGTGGAAATTATGGGAAGCGGATTCGACAAGCCATCTAGCGCCAACTATTTTACTCTTCGCTTTCCCCGCGTGTTGAAAATCCATTGGGATAGGACCTTTGGAGACACTGTCAGCTTCGAGGAATTGCAAAAAATGGCAGAAGTCGCCGGAACATCTCCGGAAGGTGGCTCACAAGAAGATTCAGTGTGGATTTCGAAACTTGAGCTCGCAGACGAGGGTAAACGAACGACAAGGCCCGATAAGCATACACAAAGCAGCGAGTCGTACGGGTCTTCTCAAAAATCTAGTGTCCTGCATTCGCAAGACTCTGACCGTCAAGACCGTTCAATCACCGCTGAACCCGCGCCAGAAAATATGTCTTTTGGCCAACAGTCTTTCAAAACATGCACGGGCAGCTTCATGGCAGCGGCAGATCGTCTTTCACTGAATGTTGAGCCAACTCAGCCTGCGCCACGACATGCAGCGCCTGCAGGGGACAAAGCTATGCTGCCACCAAGAGAAAAGTCGCATAAGCGCACCATGGAAACGGAGAATCTTCCAGCCCAGGGCGCAAAACGAGCAAAGACCGCACCATCATCATCGTCATCATCGACTGCTCCCAATAAACCGTCTTCTGCAAAACCCGGTATGCATTCATCCTCACAAAGCAACTCTTACAGCGGCTCGTCCATGCCCTTGGGTGATATCACAAATGTATCGAACCGCCGCAAATCGGTATCAACAACAAAAGAGATATCGCAGAAACGCAAGTCGGACAAGTGTAATTCCCAGTCCACTGAAGTATCCACAACTGCATCTGAGAGCAGTACCGTTCCAGCTCCTCCTCCTCTTCTTCCTTCTTTTTCTTCTTCTTCTTCCTCTTCTTCTTCTTCCTCTTCTTCTTCTTCCTCTTCTTCTTCCACCAACAAACAAAACGCACCACAACCAAGCACAAAAACGCCTTCCTCCACGAACGACTCTCTCACTTTTCAACCACCAGCACCGCCAAATCTAAATACACCCACACATCCATCTCCCGTTTATACGACACCCACACATTCCAACTCCCGACGTCGCAACCATCCAAGAACCACCAGCCCAGCGCGTCAGTGTCCACTTCTACACAAATACATTCTACTCGCTCCTGATCTCCCGGACTCTTCTATAGTTACTCAAACCCTCTCTTCTCACGGCGCGGTATATACCGCGGACTTGGATACTTTTTCGAAACCTCCTGTATCATCTCCAGCTACCCCTTCTTCTTCTTCCTCCTCTTCCTCCTCATTGTCATTACCATCTACTTCTAGCCCTGCAATCAAACCCACATCTACTCACCCTCCAATTTCCACCGCACGCCTCGTTCTCGTGGACAGCCACAATCCCGAAAACACAGCCGCCACAATCGAGCGCGTGTTGTCCATCCACGGCGGCATTCGACAGAGCGTTACGTTTTACGATTGGCGCGTCTTACTCTCTTTTCAAAACCGTGCAGCGGTGTGCGCTCAGGCTGAAAGAGAACCAATTCGCTCAAGCCGCTCGATTAGCTCGATTTCCTCCACATCTGGAAATGGAAATGACCACACAATCGCAGACGTTACTGAGAATAACGACAACAACTACAACAGCAGGACTCATGAAGCTGGTAATTGCTCCTGCGGGGCAAATACGAGCGTGAATTGGAAAATATATTTCTCGGGCCGCATATGTTGGGATGAAGAGAGACGGGAAAGTTGTGTGGTATGGGAGGATAGCGATTGAGTCTTTGATAATACCGACAATACCGACACTGTCATGACTCATGAGGCTTGAGGCTGTTTGTAGTAATGGGCCAATACTGCTACTCAGAACTCTTCAAATATAAATAATCATAGTCTAAAATATATTTATACATATATGTATCTATTCAACATTCCACTTTGTGAAATTTCCATTCTCTCGAACAACTTGTCTTGATTGCTCTATTCACCTATTGTCCTTTTCATCTTGGATATATTTCACTACTCAGCCACGCAAACTGCCATCCTCCATCTTTGATTCTTCAGTGTTGTTCAGCTCAAGAGAACTGGTCGAAGTCTTGCTGTAGCCTGTTTCCCTTCTCCTCCCACTCCCCCCTTCCCAAAAAAAAAACTACCCGTCAAAGCTTCAACTAGACCCCGGCTCCTTTTTCGACATCTTTATCATCTCCTCCACCATCTCGGATTCTCGATGGAGGATAAATGGCTGTTCGAACAAACGACACCTGCATGGGAACGTCTGTTACGCGTAATGCGAAGGGCGCAAGAGGGGCGCAATGTGGACCGGTGGATGGTTGAGCTGAACGCATTCGCCGACCTTATCGTCAACGACCAAACGGCAAAGCATATGGTATCACTCCTAAACTGAAGTTTCAGGGTGGAAAGATGTAGTAGACGAAATCTTATGGTGTTGAACCACGACTTGGCCTTTGATGCGTACGAGCATGAAACCGATTTGCTCAAGGAACGCAACCGGACATTGAATCGAGTGTGTGACGCTTCAGGAAGATATAATTTGCGGAGGCGCTCGAAATTTCTATTGTTTCCTTGAAATCTTCTATTCAGGGGAAACAATAGCGGATGTCTACTTGATGACAACAACACAAGTGTGCCACCGCTGCTTCTCTGAGATCTGCTCGTCTGGGCAGTCGAAACTTCTTCAAGACTTTGTGAACGTTTTCTGAATAAATGCTTCGCCATTTGTCTTTTGCGTTCTCATCAATACGAAATCCAATGGACTGCACTGCGCGCAGATAGCATTTGCCCGTAATCCAGTACTCTTTTCTCGCTTCCACGTAACGATAGTACCTCGGAAAATTTGGGATATATCTGCTGGGTAGAGGCCGGCGGTTGGTTGTCCATTTCTGCAGTTGAAATGTACTATAGTGCTTAACCAGTTGTTCTAGGAAGCCTCTGTTAGAGATCCCATGGCACTGCTATCATCTAGGAAATTCCTGAAGTTCCATGTTGCGCGTCTGCTAGGCGAGCCAAGCGGTAATAGCTGCACCATCGAGCTCTTTGCATCAATTGTTTCAAAAAGACCTTGGAATGTTGCAGACGAGTGGGCAGGATGGCGGTCGCTGAGATCCTCGTTTATCTCTACATTAGGAGTGCAGCAATGTGTCTTCTTATTGTGGGTAAGCATTTTTCAACGGCATCTTGGAAGTATATGCACGCTTTTGAAAAGCTCTTCATGTCTTCGAGGGTGAAAGATGTGGTTTCCTTGCTCAGCTGGACAAGGGTTCCGCATGAGGTATCTCTGTGGACAATACAATATGTCTCAACTACCTCGAATATGGTGCCGAGTTCTGCTTTCCAATCGTCTGGCAGCTTAAACGCCAGGGAGACATCTCTAGGGACATATCATTCGCCTCGTCAAGAGTTTGAAGAATGGCGCGGCAGTCGGTTTTGAGACCAACTCGGCGCATATCTGCACCTTGAAGTTTATTGACAAAGTTCACCCACTTATTTGATGAATAGTCTTCTTTTGCCTTTCCTTGGTCGCCTTGGGGTAGGTCTTCTTGTAGCTTTTTTGCTACTTCAGTTAAAAAAATTTGCCAAGCAAACTGCGCATCTCATATAGTTAGTGTCAATGATTTCGCTTTGATGGAAATAAAAACGTACATGTGGCTTCATTTTCAGTTATTGATTCGTTACGAATAATGAACCAGTGTTTATCATCAGGCTCCCAATGAGACCATACAATAGGAAAGACCGCTCCCGCAGTCTGGCCGCAACGAACCGTGCAAGAGAGTTCCGATTTCGATCCTTTTCTCTGCCATTGCTGGGATTCTCAATCAAGTCGGTTTGTGTAGAGGGCTTGACCTTAACAAGGGTGTCTATCTCGATGCTAAATTTGTACTCAACCTTGAATAGACCTCTATAAAAACCTAACTGACTTCCGATTCTCAGTTGTTTGAGATCAGTAATTCGAATTCTAGGTGTTGGGACGAATAGGAGGTATGATATTCCCGTTTTATTCCATTCTGAAAGGTCAAACTGCTGAACTGAATGTTCGGGGTAATAGTCCGCTCAAATTAATTCTCGGCAGTTGTGCCTTTAGAAAGAAGCAAAAGACAAGACTCAAATGCTTGTCTCGTGGCTGGATTTTTTCTTGATGGCTTCATCGTGTTCTATATCTTCGAAGTCTGAGCAAAGCGAAGCCCTCGTAATGTTTATTTGGTGTGTGCAGTAAAGGTCCGGGATCGGAAAGCTCCGACTTCGAACATAAATCCAAGTCCGACAAGCTCTCACGAGCAGACGGACTTAAATATGACGGTGTGACTGAAACAATTATACAAATTGTTTCAAGCATCCTCAGATCTGTATACTAGAGCGTCAACATGTGTGGAATAGTGGAACATTTCATACAACTTTACACACCATTTCCAAGTAGTGGTATTGACGAGTTCCCCAGGCATTCAAGCTTTCTATCCCATATCGACGCAAATCAAAATCCGTTTTATGAAGATGCTATAAGTGGATCCTAAAAAGCCGACCAGGAATCCATACGGTCGACGTCCGGAAGTCCTAACGCGTTGGCAAGCCTTTCAGGTGACTGTAAATCCTTGGGTGCAACCTCCTGACCGTGCTCAGCGAGATAAAGCTCGAAATCCAAGACCGACGTTACGGTGATCAGAAGTCTAGTATTTCTAGCATAGACTCCCCATCAAAATTGTAAAGAGCATTCGTTTGTGAACCAGAGCTCCATGGACTTTTTCAAAGGGCATCGAGAAATATTATGTTTGATCTTCCGCTCGACCGTTCTGTATATTGTCGTTCTTCTAACATATAGTCCATGAAATTTCGAAGAATCAATAGATACTCATCGGAGTCAAGTTGGTCTGTTGGCTCTATGCTCAACGGATCGGCGAAGGCGACTGTTTTTTTGAAATCCAGAAGCTGATAATAAAAATTTAGTAATCGCCGGACATATACGCATTCATCATGGAAGACAAAAAGCATTAATAAATCATCATAACCGTACTACTAAGGTAATTAGTAACTTACCACTTTCAATTCTTTCAGCCCCATTGTCTTGATCAGAAATTCAGAATCTCTGTCGGCATCTGATTCACCGTCACTCTCACCTATGAAAAGCGGTACATCAACAGCCTCATCGGTTAATTGGCGAGAGCGTCGATGGAGGATCAATCTTTCCCACGCGTTTCATTCGTCTTGCGTGGCCATAATCATAGCGTTTCCAATGGGCCGCCATTGCTAGAACCATGCAACCCATCTATCAAACTAATTCGTAAAGGAAAATAGTCAACACAGAGCCGACACTTAAATAAAAGTATAGCCTGAGTGACCAGAGTTTGATGTTGTAGGGATAAAGGACGTCAGACAAACAAGTGTTGTTGTCGGGTTGGTGTTTGGTACCAGGACCCACTGGACCACCGGTCGTTCCTTCCACTTATATACGACAATTTGTATCCATTTGAAATGTGGCCTGAGTATTGAATCCAATCATTCAATTGCCTTTAAATGATTATATCGCCACTGTGAATTGGTTTGTTTCCAAGCAGCGCAAATTTGTGATTCACAAATAGAGTGATTATGTCGCCGAAAATATCAAGAGTACTCGGCGATCCTGTGAGTCTGCAACTTATATCGTCAAATTTTGCTTGAAATTGATTCTCAGATTGACAGTAATCCTTGAACTAATTGAGAAGCTACACTAAATATTTAATGCAAATATAGATATATAATTTTAACAGAATTCTGTATCTCTGGTCAATTGAATATCACCACGGTTTCTCGCGGCAGGCAACGTCCAATTATAGTAGTGATTGCGCTAGCTTGAAACAGTTAGACAAGCTATGCATTTCAATGGTCCGTGCGCCTTCCCCGACAACACGATACCGATAACGCTCGAGTGTCGTCATACCAAACAAAACCCGACCAACCCTAGAAATGCAGCTCATGACAGGAAAATCATAACATTACAGATATCTAAAAAATTCCATTTTGCGCCAATTGCGCTTGACAAAGGGTCTTGTTGCTTATGTGAAAGGAGCAAAGAAAATCTATCATTGAAGCATATCCAAAATGACCACAACGACACAGGTAAGTATATGCAAGGGAACAGGTTGCATCATCACGGGGTTTTCTTGTGTTTCTTGCTTGGAAAGATTGTGTCCATTCAATGGAAATTGTATCATATCTACTTGAATTGACCCAATGGCTCGAAAAGCGTGGGACATATTTGCGGGACTAGACTGACTGGGACACAGCTCGTGCATTCGAAGCCGGATCCGCTGAATCGGGAGCCGTCGCCGAAGGAGCTCATTGCGAAGTATGTCCTACACTTACTGCAGATTTGCCGGACCATTCTCTACCTTCTCTGTCAACGCCTTCAAATGTTAGGATAGCACAGTGGCCAGAGGCTAACATAGCATAGATTCATCACAGAAGGCACCGAGGATGGCGCATACGACAGGAATCACGGGTATGCAGCACCCCTCATCCCAACTACTCAATTGCGGCCAACTGCATCATCTGCTCCCCAAGACTAACACTCCCTGTCTAAAGCAACATCCCCCAAATCAACGGCGACACGCACACCGTCCGCGTCCAAGGCTCCGTTCGAACGCCCTTATCCCTGAGCGTCGCCCAACTCAAGAACGACTTTTCCCAGCACGAACTTGTCTGCGCGCTGCAATGCGCCGGAAACAGACGCCACACGATGCGCACGCGGCTCAAGGAAGTCGACGGCATCGACTGGTTTGACGGCGCGGTCATGAACTGCCGCTGGAGAGGCCCGCTTCTAAAAGACGTGCTCGAAAAGGCTGGTGTCAATGTACCCGACACTAACAAAGCTCACGTCGCATTCGCATGCTATCAGACCGAGACCGAAAAGGACAGCTGGTACGGCGCGAGTGTAGAATTATGGAGAGCTTTGAAAGCTGATGCGGAAATTATTCTCGCTTTGGAGGTCCGTACGGCGTACCCTTTCCCATTGCTCACTATCTCTTTCCCCTTCCCCTTCCCCTTCGCCTCACCGTTTTATATACGACCAACACGTACCGTACTAAAGCCCTCCAGATGAACAACAAACCCCTCACCCCCAAACACGGGTACCCCGTGCGCGTCGTCGTTCCCGGCGTCGCCGGCGCCCGGTCCGTGAAATGGCTCGACCGCATCACCATCCAAGACCACGAATCCGACAACTTCTACCACCAAATGGACTACAAGATTCTCCCCGCGGACATCACCACGCCCGAGGAGGCCCGCGCGCACTTGAAATCCACTCCTGCGCTGCAAGACATGCCTATCAACTCTGTCGTCGCGGTTCCGTACAGCGGGGACACCGTAACGCTGTCGCGGCGCGGAGACATTGAAGTCCGCGGCTACGCGCTGCCCGCAGGCACCCAGGGCCCCGTTGTGAAAGTCGAAGTCTCCGCCGACGGGGGCAAGTCCTGGACCGACGCGGAGATTATCAGAGATCGGCATCAGAGTAAATGGTGCTGGGCGCTCTACAGGGCGAAAGTGAAGATCGAAAGAGGCACGAATAAGTTGATTCTCAGCAGAGCGACGGATGCAGGGGGGAATGTGCAGGTCGAGAAACCAGAGTGGAATATTAGAGGGGTGGCGTATAATGGGTATGGAGAGGCGAGGGATGTGACTGTTGTTTGAGTTCTGTTCTTTTTTGTTTCTTCAATTTTTCTCCTTTCTCTCCTTTTTCTCCCTTTTCTTTTTTCTCTTTCCTTTCTCTTTCAGATTATTTTTCTCAAAAGCTGTTCGCTTGTCTCTTGTGTGGGGCGTTCCTGGATGCGGAATGAATATGTCCAAACTGTTAGTTGCTGCGAAACAAAAAGCCTGTGAAACGACGCAAGGCAAGGACCTGAATGCATAAAATCACAAGCACAATGGAATTGTTATAGGTCAAATCAAATTAACATGCATTTGCTAGCCAGGAAGTTGGCATTTTTTCTTCTCTAAGAAAAAGACAAGAATTGCCACCGGTGATCATATATGGCATGGTATCCCTATAGTAGAACCCTCAACTCCGATGCCATGCATGTATGGAAAATAAAAAATGCGCTCGCTCATGATGGTTGTATGCGCTGGTGATAATAAACCTCTCGTATAGAAAAAAGGGGAGGAGCACCGGTCTGATTGTCATAAAAATGAACTTAAACGAAAACAAGGGGGAAAATTTTTTTAAAAAAAAGTAGACTCAAAGTAAAATGGACGAAACCGAATCATGCAATCCATCTTAAAATAGTCATGGCACGACCTTTCCACGTCTTTTCCTCGGCGAGATCTCTTGGATCAATCTCATCAGCGGTGTGGGTATCAGTTTCGAGATCCATTTCGGCCAACTTGACGACCTTTGTGCGCTTGATGAACTTCCAAGCGAGATACATGACGAGCATGATAGGCAACTCGATATAATAGCTGACAAAATCGACAGCACTAAACGTGGGGCTGAAACAGCTCCAGCCTTGAACCAAGACCAAAAACGAGTTGAGGAGAATGGAGAACCACGGTCCGTAGGGATACGTCCAGTTCTTAAAGGGTAGGAGGTGTTCTTTGCCCTGGAGCTTGATGGCGGAGCGGAACCGAAGAGAGGCAATGCCAATGGCGATCCAGGAGAGCTGGTTGGAGACGCCGACAATATTCTGGAGCCAGCTCCAGAGCTGGCCAGCGCCGATGTAGCTTGCGCCGAAGCAGAGACCGCTGATGGCGGAGGTCGCGAGGACGGCAATCCAGGGAACTCCTTGACGGTTCAAGGTAGCAAAGAAAGGAGGTGCGTGGCGATTGACCCCAAGGGTATAGAGCAGACGGGTTCCGGCAAAAAGGGCATGATTACCGGCGGACAAGACACTGGTCATGATAACGGCGTTGATGAAGCTGCCTGCGACGTTGGAGCCGGCCATCTGGAAGACAATGGTAAAAGGGGAAGTGGCGCTGGATTTTGTGCTCAGGCCCGGATAATTGTAGGGCACGTTGAGGCCGATAATAAGAATGGACAGGAGGTAGAAGAGGAGAATACGCCAGAAGACATTTTTGACGACTCTGGGCATGGTTTTGGCCGGGTTCTTGGTCTCGCCGGCCGTGATGGCAATGGATTCGGTACCGCCGTATGCGAATGACGCGGTCACAAACACAGATGCGAAGCCACCAATGCCGCCCACGAATGGCGCGTCACCAATGTGCCAATTGTGTCCGCCAATATAGTGGTGCATCGTGTTTGCGCCACAGTTGACGACAACGCCGAGAATGATGAATATGATAATCGTGATTACTTTGAGGAGACTAAGCCAATATTCGACCTGTAGAGAAACGCCCTCTTGTCAGTTTTCCCGATTCTAAATATTCCAGTGTCGAGAGGGCATTGGGTGATTCTCCGTACCTCGCCGTAGGCTCGCACCGTGATGATGTTGGCGAGGATAATCGCAACCCAAAAAATCAAGCTGATGGCCCAGCCAGGAAAATGGTCGGTCCAATACTGCAGAACCAGCTGCAGTGCAACCAAATCGGAAGCGGTCGATACAGCGTCGTTGAACCAGTAATTCCAAGTCAGAGCAAAGCTAAATGCATCATCGACGAAACGTCTGGACAGCACACAAATTTGTTAACAAATGTTCCCTTGAGAAGCCAAAATAGCGGACAGCAATAGGGCTGTGGTTCCTTCTACGCACCCAGCAAATGTACAAAACGACCCGGCAATGGGCACAAACGCCGCCATTTCACCAAGGCAGAGCATTGTAATGAAAATGATGACACCGACAATGGCATATGCGATAAGGGTCGACGCGGGTCCGCCTGTTGCCAACGACTTGCCTGTTCCCAAGAACAAACCAGTTCCAATTGTGCCGCCAATGGCAATCATCTGGACCTGGCGCGCGGTGAGCTTGCGCGCCAAACGATCTGCGACAACTGCATGTTCGTGAGAGATATGCGAGCCGGCTTCGACAACGCTCGGATCCTTGGTATTATCACCAGCAACGGCGGCTGCCCCGACGCCGCCATGGTGTTCCAGCTCGGGCGACGAAGATTTCAGCGCACTCATGCTTAAGTCGCAATGTCCTTGATGTTGGGTTTCACACAAGGTTATTCCATGACTGAGAAAAAGAGCGGCAAACCGCTAGGTTTTCTACTCTATCTACATTTTATGACGAGTTGGTGGGGTTGTAACATCTGCAGATGGCATCAGCAACTAAGAAATTGTGTGATCGCGACAGCAGCGGGAGCAAACGAAAACGTCGATGCGCTTTGCTTGGACAGGCTATTGCCCGGATTTCTCTTACGAAAAACATTGGCTCTCCGCACTCGCTTGGCTTTTGGAGCTGCCTGTTGTGGCAAAGTCTGCCGCCGTCATCTCCGTGGTGGACCTTCGAGAATGAGCTTATTGTCTAGAGCTGCCAATCCACGTGCAAATTCTCTTTCTTGCAGAAACCTACAGTATCAGTATACTGCTGCGACAGCAGATAATCAATAACCCTTATTAACTCTGTTGAATGATGCTTTTCAAAGATGCGGAAATGAGTGGGAGCCTTGTCGATTAGGTGAGGACCCCGTGACATGCAGGCGCATCACGATGATGACTATTCAACGCCCTTGGAAAGACTCCAGCAATGCGGCTTGAGAGATCTGCCGCTCGCAGCGGGCTCAGGTCATAACATGCTCTGAGATGCTATGGCAGTCATTGACGTTCCATAGTCACTCTCAAGTATCTTGTAGTTTGAGGCTTCGAAGTAGAGACGAAAGTCACGTGATGAATAGTAAGACTTGCAGAAGATGGGCGAGTGTGAAAGGGATACAAGCTCTCGAAGATTTCCGTAAAAATCGATAAGAGGGCTTCATTCTAAGAATTAATGGTCAACTTTGGTCAACTTGCAGAAATAAGCTAAAAATGTCTCGTAGCCAGGTCAAGATCGGCACTTGATTTCTTCCCGGCTGCACTGCATCTCCTGGATGGATGATATCAGACTTCAATTGGCCCGGCCGCCGTGGCTCAAAAGTAGACGCCTCGCTTGGTTGATCCCGCGTGGCATCAACCTACTGTACAGAAAGAAGACTGGTAGGAATTGGGGGTCCATGCCCTGACCCTTTTCCCGTTCCATGTTTCCCCAGATTGATCCCCGGATTTTGCGTCATTCTTTCCGGGGTGGGCGTTGCTCTCCGAGAGGTACATTGTACGTGTATGACTTCATTCGTTGTATCATTGACCCGACAATGGTCACAAAGAACATTTTGAAATGGCTGTAGTTGGTCAATAGCTGGGACGTTGAGCGCATCATACAGATTGGCAAGATCAAGCTTCGCACGTGGGGTTATACGTTCTTCCACTTTTGAGAGAATGATCCTATAGAACACGATATGATGTCTTGAATTGTCCTGGGTTGGTCAGGATATGGTTTAGTGGAGGCTCTCACGTGAATAGAACCAGCAGAATCATTGCTCTGGGTGGGATGTGTACCTATGAAAAGAAACGGATGTGGGGAGAGAGAGGGAACGGGCAGGTGAGGCCGGTCGGTGGGCCGATTGCTGCGAAGGCCTTTACTTACTCTGATAAACCCACCATCGGCAGGGACCACTAGATATGTACACTGCAGTATCTATTGCTTGTGCCCCCTACTGGGTGAATTTACTGGGATGGCCGTACAGAACTCGGTGCCATGTAGTACTTACGGAGTAGGGTCAAGCATTATTGTGCTCACCTGACGAGATTAATTTGTTCATCTTGTGCTTGACAGGGATGCCTTGCAAAGACGAGCCTCGGCCCTGGCCGGACTCGCCTCGGCATGTCTCACCAACCGCAAATGGGACGAATCAGAGCAGCCTGGATGGGCTGATCAAATTGGGTCGTTCTTTCCATCTTTGGCCGCGTCAAGTACCTCACCACGTATTGTTTGGTGCTCAGAGACTTGAACCTGTCATTTGCAAGCTGACGTTTTGGTTTCCCCGTCCTTTCCGACTCGTCTCCTTTTCCTTTCTCTTACGTGGATGTTGCGCCCCACAAAGTTGGCGACTGGAGTGACTTTGGAGTCGCTAAAACGCGTGACCCACCGTCCAGCCCAGCCCCAAGAAAGCTCTCCAGACTCCCCACGGACCACCTTTGCCCACCCCCAACAATCCCTCATCGCCTGGCGATCTCCTAACTGTACTGCACCGTACTAGTGACCCTACAGTGTACCCTCGTAGCTTCGTAGAGAGACGATGCACATCTTTCCCCGTTTTTATTTTTCCAGACAACGAGTTGTCTAATTGAACGGTCGACCAGAATTCTTCCGAGCCATCCCTTTTATCCGTTCTCGACCAAAGGTCCAGTCCAAGCTCGATCGTGATCGGTCGTGGCGGCTCGGAGGGTCTACGCCAGAGCGTCATAGTCCCGTTCCGGCAAGTGTGGGGAAGCTCCGAGCACACGAAGAGCACCAACCCCAAATAGCTTCTTCTTTCTTCTTCCCCGGCCACGCCTTTAGCACTACTGCCACGATCCACTAATACAACACAACCTCCCACTTCCTGCCCACTTCCTCTCCCTCTTTTTATCGTCATCCGTGGTCGTCGCCCACCTTCTTCCTTTCTCTACTCCCCATCCGCCACCAATTCTCTCTCAATTGACTGTCACTGCGCGACGTGCTCCAATTAGCCTCGCCGCAGACCCTTTCCTGCAATTGTCTCACTGGGTATTTTTTTGCCTTTCTGGATCTCTGTTACCGTTGACGCAGCAATTGAAATTTATCGTTCTGTTTTGCTCCATTGAGAGCCTTTCCTGCCTTGGTGCCTGCTCATTATCATCCGTCATTTCCCCCTGAACAGCCTCGTCACCATGGCCGACGCTCCCGCCAAGCGAGACGTCAAGAATCATATCTTATTCGAAATTTCCACCGAAGTCGCCAATCGAGGTATGTGTCTCACCTCGAATCCGTCTCAAAGAGCGATACTAATCTCGTCCACATAGTCGGTGGTATCTACTCCGTCATCAAATCCAAAGCACCCGTTACGACTGCCGAATATGGCGAGCGATATACACTCATCGGTCCACTTAACCATGCCTCTGTAGGTCTCATAACGTTTATTGCACTTTGGAAGTATAATTTCTCTAACGAACTCGATTCCAGGCGGCTGTTGAGGTTGAGCAACTAACGCCCAAGGATCCCGCTATGGCAGAGACCATTGCCGCCATGTCCGAGCGCGGAATTGGCTTAATGTATGGTCGTTGGCTCATTGAAGGTGCTCCACGCGTGCTGCTCATCGACACCAAGACGGCTTACCGCTTCATGGATGAGTGGAAGGGTGATCTGTGGAACACTTCGGGCATCCCTTCGCCACCGGGTGATGAGGAGACGAATGAGGCGGTCGTGTTTGGGTACTTGGTGGCTTGGTTCCTTGGAGAAGTAAGTCATTTAGTGTTTGTAGGCGTGACTACTGATTCAATAACACTAACACTCGTCTCTCTTGAACAGTATGTCGCGCATGAAACAAAGCGTGCAGTGGTCGCCCATTTCCATGAGTGGCTGGCTGGTGTAGGTTTGCCTCTGGCCAAGAAGCGGCGCATTGATGTGACCACCATTTTCACCACCCACGCTACTCTGTTGGGCCGATACCTCTGCGCTGGCTCCGTCGACTTCTACAACAACCTGCAATATTTTGACGTGGACGCTGAAGCAGGCAAGCGTGGCATCTACCACCGGTATTGCATTGAGCGAGCCGCAGCTCACTCGTGCGACGTCTTCACCACGGTGTCCCACATTACCGCGTATGAGAGCGAACATTTGCTCAAGCGCAAGCCTGACGGTGTTTTGCCTAATGGACTTAATGTGAAGAAATTCTCAGCCATGCACGAGTTTCAAAACTTGCATCAGACATCCAAAGAGCGCATCAATGACTTTGTGCGGGGTCATTTTTACGGACACAATGACTTTGACCCTGACAACACCCTGTACATCTTCACCGCCGGCCGCTATGAGTACCGCAACAAGGGTGTAGACATGTTCATCGAATCACTTGCGCGACTGAATCACCGCCTCAAGGCGTCGGGTTCCAAAATGACCGTTGTTGCCTTTATCATTATGCCTGCAAAGACCCACTCTCTGACTGTCGAGGCGCTGCGCGGCCAGGCTGTAATCAAGTCTCTGCGGGACACTGTCGACGTCATTGAGCGTAGTGTCGGAAAGCGGCTCTTTGATCGGGCTCTGCAGTGGCATGAGGGTGATGTGCTACCTGATGAAAAGGAACTCATTTCGAGCCAGGACCGTGTCATGTTGCGGCGACGCCTGTTCGCGATGAAGCGTCACGCGCTGCCGCCCATTGTCACGCACAATATGGTCAACGACCACGAAGACCCAATTCTCAACCAGATTCGCCGAGTGCAGCTTTTCAACCAGCCCTCTGACCGTGTCAAAATTGTCTTCCACCCCGAGTTTCTGAATTCGGCAAATCCTGTGCTTCCCATGGATTATGACGACTTTGTCCGCGGTACTCACCTCGGCGTTTTTTCCTCGTACTATGAGCCGTGGGGTTACACCCCCGCCGAATGTACGGTCATGGGCGTTCCGAGTATCACCACTAATTTGTCTGGATTTGGCTGTTACATGGAGGAGCTCATTGAAAATGCTGCCGACTACGGCATCTACATTGTCGATCGACGCAACAAGGGCGTTGACGACTCCGTCAATCAGCTCACCAATTACATGTTTGAATTTGCAGAAAAGAGCCGGAGACAGCGCATCAATCAGCGAAACCGGACCGAGCGGTTGAGCGACTTGCTCGACTGGAAGCGGATGGGTATGGAGTATATCAAGGCGCGTCAGCTCGCGTTGAGAAGGGGTCAGTGGATTTTCTTTTCTTATTTTCAAATCCTCACTGTAATGTTGGGAGCTTTTGCTGACATTGTGGACATTATCAGCATACCCACAATCTTTTGAGGGCGAAACGGAAGCCGGCTTTTTTGATGGCACCGAAATCAAGGTGTCACGGCCGCTATCGGCTCCTGGATCTCCTCGAGATCGGTCTGGTATGATGACGCCCGGAGACTTTGCCTCATTGCAAGAGGGCCGAGAAGGACTGAGCACCGAGGACTATGTTGCATGGAGATTGCCGTAAGTTTAACCTGTTTGTAGCCAATTATTTGACAGGCTCATGCTAATGTTGGAAATTTTTAGTGAGGAAGAGGATCCAGACGAGTACCCCTTTCCACTCACGCTGCGATCTCCCAAGGCCAACGATACGATACCAGTCAATGGTACAAAGTAAACATGGAAAAAATAAATATGAGCTAGGCCACTAGTTCACTATGAAAGAGAAAACGATAATCCACACGAGTTTCGGAAATAATAAAACAGGCGCGCACGTGGGTTCTTGCGAGGATTCAACTCTGGATAGAAGGGGGGTTAAATCTGCCTGCGCGGCTTTTGTACATGATGCAAGCTGGCGAAACGCGAATTGGGAGGAAAGGGTGAGGCACACCAGGCTGTATTATGATTTGCTCTTAATTTTGCGTCATTGCAATTTTTACCTGTGGGTACAATTTTCTTTCTTCTTTTCCCTGTTTTTACTTGATACTCTTGATGCGATGCTATGTTTATCTGTAACTTCTGGTTACTTTTCTTTCTTTTGTCTTTGGTTCTGTATTCTTCGTCGTCATTCAGCATGGTTTATATTTTTCCTTTCTTGCCAATCTGCCACGCTTCCCATCGAACAGCTTTTGATTGCGAGCTTTCTGCTTATGTGGCAATGTCAAATACGGTATACCTCGCATGCGGATTTTGTCTGTCAGCACGAACATTTATCATGTACCTTGTATCTCTAATCTTGAATCATATGTCATTGATCAAATTATTAAGCTACCTAATTTATGTGAATGCTATTTGAATATCTTTTGTTTATTTACTTTTTCTCTGGGCTAGTAAATTTCTAAATCCCGTAGATGTATAAGTCTTCTGTATACTTTTCCTGGTGGGTCAGCGTTCTCGAAATGCACAAGATGTATTACAATCAACATGAATCCATGATCGGACGAATTTAATATATCAGAATGCAACAATTGGAAGCAAATTAGTACCACCGATAGCACGACTTGCAAAACTTTATGCTCGGTGCTGTACAACAGCGCAGTGTGGAAGTGGAGGTTGTGTGTCCAAGAATTGTGTCTCCCTCAGGCTGGATCGCTAAATATTCCTGTTTCAGTGTGGTGTAGATGAAATCTGGGGAAATCTTGGGGTCAGATGTTATCCAACTGATAAGCCCTTAACTCCGCGCTTTCCTTCCAAATGTGAAGACGTCCTTTCAACAGATCCTGTTCCATCTTCTGCAAGGGCTGAGATCCCCCATGATTACGACTGCAAGGTGGCACTCGCCTCAACCGACTGCGGCCCGATTTTCCGAGCTGATCTAGGGCCAATTCCCCACTTTCTGCGAAGTATGGCGCCAACAGCTCGGTGATCAATACCGATTCATGGGATCATAACCTGCATGAATAACTCTCATTTCGATGAGTATATCCGATCTGATTTCTGAGTCATGACGTCTTTCATTTGTGTTCTGCATTGCTAGAATCCTATTATGTTAGAATTGTAAAGTATGGGTTTTCAATTCAGGGTTTAGACACTGCTGTTTTCTATGACATCTTCTGACAAGCCTCAGCCCATTTGCAATAGCTGGAATTTGATGATCAAAATTTACTGTCTGTCGCTCAGTGTAAGACCTCGATTTGAAGCACGTGCAACGTTCCCCACAAGTTGAGAAGCTAGGATTCATATGGGGAATCGAGGATCAACGTTACTTTCGGGCAATCTAATTTCTGGGAACGATTGGACCCATAGCGGTGGGTCTTTATGGTAGCCCTACCCTCTTTGACAATGTCAGGGCACTAAAGAATGAATAATCTAGACCGACCTCACTTTTTCGCTAATCTCTTTCGATGGATTAAATTTTGGAACAAGATCCTTTCCATACTTTCACAATAAGGCGCACCGCTTGATTGGCGAATTTGTGCGTTTTCCGCGTTGCAAAACCGAAAGGACTACAGTGGTATCCGTGAGAAGAGATATAGTGTGACTTCAAATTCTGCTCTACCGTGCGCAATCTGCCATTCCCGTTAGGCTTGAGGAATTGATGGCTTGCTCCTAGGTCTCCACTCTGCCAGGGGACTCTGATGTTCAGAATTATCGGAAAATAATGTTGCGTACTCTTTGAGTCGTTTGGTGCCTCGGAGGTCTGCCGGTTGCTGGTTGGATCGACTCGGATTATATGCCGTGTGGCTTCTGGACCCTTCATGCAAGGAGCAGCAACGCACGGAACCTGTGACAGAGAACAAAGAAAAATATCGAGCCAAAGCCCGCTGACGTCCCTATTCGTTTAAGGCAGTGGCTCAAGGGGTACGGAAGCAAAGTAGCCGACTCTATGCTCTTGTTCATCCCCGGAGCCAACCATGCAGCATGTCCAATGATTCTCCTCGCAGGGAAAATGACAGCCACCAATCAGTTGACATCAAGGGGCCATGGTTCTACAAAAATACCCTATTACTGGAATCTCGAACTAGATATCAGATAGCGTGCAGATTTGGATATACAGATTTGCAACTGGAAAGGAACGGCCCCGCACCTGCCGCGGAATCCCACCAGCTACCCCTGCAAAAGTCGACCACATTTGCATGAGCTTTAATTCAAGGGTGCGTCCAGTCTCACGCAAGTAATGCTGGAACTTGTAAGAGACTTTCCCAGAATGAGCAATTCGATATCGAGAATACCAACGTGCACATTTGGATCAGCCAATTTTTGGCAACTCGAAGAAAACCAGAAGGCTGGGAATAGAGAGCGGCAAGCGCGCTACAATGCTCTCTTTTCTATTCCTTTCAACGTCAGAGGAAGTTCACTCCAAAGAAAGTCGCGTTTGCGAACCGATCCCTGTGGAGACATTCTTCCGCTTGTGCACGAAGCCAGTGCTTGGGATCACTTAACATATACGTTACTGTCGATGTTGCGGCTTAAAGGCTGCAAACTTGTGGTAGTATTACAGATGAAATTGAAGGGGCATTGGAAGCAGATTGCTGAGCCTCCATAAACCAGCCGAATGGTTTTGGATTATCGGGATGAGTAGATTTAGAAATAGGAGATCCAAGGCGATTCTTTCTACCATCGTCTTTCTCCTTCTGCCACTCCTGTATAACGCTGAAAAGGTGGGCATCCAAGCAAAGCGGGTCTGCAGGACAGGCTGGGTATGAGCTGGTGCTTCACTAAAGATGACGTCTCAAGTATCCCATCTCCATTGAAGGAACTCAGTGAAGGAGCTGAGGTTTGCTCCTGAAACAGCAGACTTGGAGTCCTGAACAGTACAGGAAAGGATGAACTTTGCAACATTTCTCGCTCCCTTTTCAGGGAGCCTTTCTGACACCCGTCGTCTTGAGGGTAGCCCCTTCATTATGGCTGATCTTCAAACGGAACCCAGAAACATGGATTCAAAAAACTTTTCGAAGTCGTTTTGAACCACGTGGAGGATTGCGCGTCTAGAAATCTACTTTCATAGAAACCAAACCCTTACAACCTGTCCGCGACATATGGGGCGAGAATGGAGGATAGGGTCTAGATTCGAGACTTCTATCCCAAGCCCCAGGAGCCAGGACTCAATGCGCTACATTCCTTCGATATATCCAAGACAAGACATGGAGCAAGGCTTGGATCCGCTGCCCATCATATCATTTGCTCCACCTAGCTAGGCTCGTAGGCTTTCCTTGACGTCTACAACTGTTGGAAAACTTGCAAGTCGGAGAATATAGAATTACCCTGATGGTTGGATTTCGTATGTCGCTCCTTATTTATACATATGCAGGCTTCATCTCACGGATTGGTATATAATGGTCCTTACTACTCCGTGTTCATTGATTTGAAGTTTTTGAGTTTATGAAAGTTTGGATACATTTTCAGCCCAGCATTCTTTGAACCGAAAATGAAGCTCTCTCGAACATTTCAGGGACTTCTCTTGTTATGCGTGGCTCTTGGGACTGCCTCAGCACTAGATATACATGGACGACATGGTCACCACCTCAGAGACCCGCCAACTGTGCAAGTTCATGTTTCAAAGAAGGTTGTAGAGTATCCAGTGTATATTAGCGCTGTGATTGATGATCCTACCATTATCAATATTTGGAATGGTCCAGTTTTCAGCATCACTGAACCCACTACACTTGTCACCAGCGTCTGGGCAACATCTACTCTGACAGAGACTTCTACTGTGTGCGTTATAAGCTTAATATACTCGCAAAATGATTTTTCAAGCAGCTAACGCAAGATAGATTCAACACGGAAATTGTAGCAACCAGGGAGACTAAGACCGTGATTGAAACGGTCACAGAAACGGAACCAAGGTCTTACATTACGCCGACTGCATCTGGATCAACTTCATCTGGAGCAATCATCTTTGAATCATCTCCAGCAACTGCCAACCCCACCAGCACCCATAAATCTCATTTTCTTGCCATTGAGCCCGCTTTGACTCCCCGTCAAGCTCGACGTCGCGCGACGCAGATTAGAACGTACCTTCGATCTGACGGGTCAACGACCGAAGACCCTTCTAAAGCAAGTATTTTTGATATAATTAATGGGCAGTTGGTGAGCGACGGACACTTCATATCGACCAACGCAACAAGTTATTCTCTGTTTGCTGTCGGACTGGGGGCTCCATACAGCACAACCTTTTCTCGGTCCGGATCTGCTATCTTATGGAGCAATAATGCATTTCCAAATAAGTATGCGTCGTTTTATATCTCGCCATCCGGCGACATATTTGCTTCATTCAGAGGAAGTGTACCAAAGGATTTCGTGGCTGGCTCATTGGTTCATATAGTTCGTAAGTTGGTTGTTCAATGGTTCCGCCATGAAAGGTTCTTAACGTAATTTAATTAACAGGGTCTTCGACATCTTCGACTTCAAGCTCCACTACTACAAAACAGTCACCAATTACTTCATCTAAAACTAGTACAACAACCACAACGGCGACCACTGCTTCCTCGTCATCAAGTATTGCTGCAGCTTCGCAGTCCTCTAGTCTCACGACTACGGGCGGTGCTTCATCATCCACGTCGAACGCTGCGAGTAGCAGTACGCAAACCAGTAGCACCGGTCAATTCTCATCTAGCCTCATCAACACTATATCACCCAGCTCAGCGCCTTCATCAAGCAATGCAGTGTCAAGTGCATCAAGTTCCCTGAGCTCCAGAGTGACTCCTTCGATAATCTCGTCGATTGTCGCTGCGAGTTCATCTACGACTTCAAGCAGCTTCAGCTCAAGTGCTTCAAGCAATGCCCCGGCTAGTTCAATCAGTTCTTCTCTTGTCAATAGCAGCTCTAGACCCAATGTTGCTAGCAGTGTTAGCTCAAGTACTGGCCTTGCGAGCACCAGTCCTTTTAGCAGCAGCGCCACAGGCACGGTCTCGGTCTCAAGCAATTCGGGTGCTACAATCAGCTCGAGCAGTACTACGTCTAGCGGCATTTCTAGTTTAGTTTTGAGCAGCAGTTCGGGCGGTGCTGTAAGCAGCGCAACGAGCAGCGTATCAAGTGGAATATCATCCAGCCCTTCGATAACATCAACTGCCTCTCAGTCATCTAGCACATCTTCATTGCGGGCTATATCCAGTGTAACGTCTAGTTTAGGGTCTAGCTTTCCATCTAGCTTGACATCCAGTCTCTCGAGCATTCTATCTGAAGTGTCCGTATCCAGCCTTTCATCTGGCGCTGCCTCAAGCTTGAGCAGCGTGGAGTCTAGTTTGACTGCTTCTTCCACAACGAGCACGACGCCGACGACGACGGCGACTTCGACGACGACCACGACTCAGGGTTCAGCGCCGACCTCAACCCCTGCGTCGCCCGATGACGTTGCTGGTTGGGTTTCTCTGGGTTGTTATACTGAGGCAACCAATGGCAGGGCACTTGCCGGCGCATCAACTGCTGGTGACAGCAACAATCTTCAGACTTGTTCTACATTTTGTTCATCATTCGATTACTTTGGCGTTGAATATGGAAGGGAATGGTGAGTCCACATTTACGTTACTTTCCTTTGGAATCTATTGGCTGACAATGAAATCTGGACAGCTACTGTGGAAACTCTCTATCGGCTGGTTCAGTTCCTGCAACAGATAATGGGTGCAATATGGCCTGCAATGGAAATTCTGCCGAAACATGTGGCGGTGGAAGTCGCCTCAATCTCTATGAAAGAGATACTGCAGTCACAACAACCTCAGCAGCCGCTACTGCAACTCCGGTCACGGTCCTTGAAGTAGCTGACTTTGGCTATCTTGGCTGCTATACTGAAGGCACCAATTCCAGGGCCCTTACCGGCGAGTCAAGTTCGGGAGACGCCAACACTGTTCAATCATGCGCAACAACATGTTCTGGATTTACCTACTTTGGCGTCGAATATAGCAGAGAATGGTACGTTTCCCCCTGTGCTTCTTCCTTTACTACTTCTACCTGTTTCGGTCCACTTATAATCAATTTCAAATAGTTACTGCGGTAACGTACTTTCTGCCGGCGCTGTCGTGGCAAGCGATGGAGGCTGCACAATGACCTGCGCAGGAAATTCGTCAGAGTACTGTGGCGGCCCGAGTAGACTCAATATATACGAACTAAATAGCCAGGCCACCGCATCAGCAGCCCCTGCGACACAAACTGTCCTAGCTGCAGGCGACTTTGTCTCTATTGGATGCTATACTGAAGCCACGAACGGCAGAGCACTTACAGACAAATCGACCTCTTCAAATTCCAACACAGTCGCGTCCTGCGCTAATACATGCTCGTCGTATAATTATTTTGGCGTCGAATATGGCGCAGAATGGTAAGTTGTTTCATATGATAATTGTTACGTCCTGTTTGTCCAGTAACTCAGTTATGCCCTACTTTATTTCTCGCCTCCATCTTCTTTTTCCAATTCATTCGATATTTTTTTATAATTGACAATTAATATAGTTACTGCGGTAACACCATCTCCGCCGGCTCCGTCTACACCACCGACGGCGGCTGCAACATGGATTGCTCCGGCGACGAAACCGAATTCTGCGGCGGCCCGTCCCACTTGAACATGTATCAGAAGAACAGCACCACGCCGGGCTACGTCTTTATGGGCTGCTACACGGAGGGCACCAACGCCCGGGCCCTGCCGGACAAATCAACCGCCGGGAGCTCAAACACGGTCGAGTCGTGCTATACCTTTTGTTCCGGGTACTCGTATTTTGGCGTCGAGTATAGTGATGAATGGTAATCCATTTTAAATCCCCCGGGGAATAAGTTCTCCCAATTATAATAAGATATATCAATGAGATATATGCTAACAAACGCACGTGTCAGTTACTGCGGCAACACACTATCCACTGGCTCCGTGCCTGCGACAGACAATGGCTGCACGATGCCATGCGCGGGAAATTCAACCGAGATGTGCGGCGGCCCGAACCGGCTCGACTTGTACATGACCGACTAGTTTAGTTATTGTCATTGGTCCTTGTCATTGGTCCTTGTCATTGGTCCTTGTCATTGGTCTTTAGTCACTTGGTTATTTATTCATTTGGTCATTTGGTCCTTTGTGATTCAGTCAGTTAGAGACTTTGTTATTTAGTTACTGAGTTACTTGGTCACTTGGTCACTTAATCGCAGAGTCTCTAAGACTTGCTGAATCGTCTTTTGGACAGTCACAGTGGTACACCTGGTTATAAGACTATGGTCCATGAATGGTATCTATTAGTATTAGGGTTTCGGTTATGAACCGTCAGTCTGTCAAGCAAGGAGATGGATGGATGGACGGACGGATGGACTGGAGGGTAGATGGACGGGAGGGTAGATGGATAGATAGATAGATACGTATAGCTTATTAGAGCACATAGAGTATCAGGGCTTATCAGAACCTTTGACTACAGTCTACAGAGTACGGATACATGGCCCGCGTGGTAGCTAGATCTTAGAACCTTAGATCAATGAGAAGGTCGTGTGACATGTTTTTAAAACGATGTGTGAAATGTCCATAGAGCTCCCTGACTGATAGGTATGACGATGACAACTGTGGTGTAATAGGTATACTGGTGGATAAATGCATAGATGCATAGATGCACAGATGTATAGATGTATAAATAAAACTGAAATTTTCTTATCGTAATCTTCTAGGTTGTAGGTTCGCGATGCGAGATCCTAGGTCTATGCGTTTTGGGATATGAGAGAAAAAGGACTTTTTTCTAATCGCTCCGGAGCCGGCAGTAGAATTCTGATAAAAAAAATAAAAACATGAAAAACATGAAAAGAATAAAAATAAGAATAAAAACAAAACAAGATAAAGAATAAATAAATGCAATAAATAAAAATAAAACAATACAGAATAAAACAATGAAATATACAATAAAAAGATATAACTCGACAAACTACCTACTTTACTATATTACCTCGGGACTTCATCGGCCCAAGGAATGGCAGCCTGGGCACCGTGTCTCTCGACCGTCTTGGCCGCGGCGCGATTCGCCCATGTGACTGCCTCGCGGATATTGAACTCTTTATCCTCATCACCATCAGGAGCACCAACATGTTGCTGGGTCACCACCTCGACGGCATACGCGCCGACAAACGTGTCCCCTGCGGCCGTGGTATCTACCACCTGTGCTTTCTCTGCGGGAATGTATCCGTCCAGTCCTTCGCGGGTGGCAAAGTAGACGCCCTTGGAACCCAGCGTGACGATGACGTTACGTACGCCGCGGCGCACAAAACTCTCTGCGATTGCGGGGATCTTGGACAGGTCTGCTTCCTCTTCCTCTCCTCCGAGATCCTTTTGTCCAGACAAGAGTGCCGCCTCAGTCTCGTTGAGAACAAGATGTGTGAGCTTCGGGTACGCGTCGGCGGGCAAGTCGACTGCCGGGGCGGGGTTAAGCAGGACGGGAATACCCTCCTTCTGCGCGGCGGAGAGGATGGCTAGCACGGTGGCCAGCGGAATTTCGAGCTGCAGGACAATCAAGTCCGGCTTGGGCGGGGATGGGATAGAAGTAAAATCCTCGGGGCGGAGGGTGTAGTTTGCGTTGGGCGCGAGCATGATCCGGTTCTCCCCTGTCGATTCCTCGACGGTGATGACGGCCACGCCGGTCTTGTGGTCGGACTTGATGGCGACCCCGGACATGTCGATCCCGTCGGCGCGCATGCCGGAGATGAGGCCGTGGCCGAAAATGTCGTCGCCCACGGCACCGATCATGCGTACGGAGACGGTGGAATTGGAGGAGGGGCCATTGCTGGAGGAGGAAGGTCGCGAAAGGCGAGCGCAGGCAACGGCTTGGTTGGCGCCTTTGCCGCCGGAGCCGGTGTCAAAGGATTGAGCGGTCAGGGTCTCGCCCGGTGCCGGGATGCGGGATGTGCGTGTGATGAGGTCGGAGTTGAGCGAGCCGATGACGGTGATTGTAGGTGGCATTTTTGTGTGGTTGTGGCTATTATCTGAATATTTGACGCAGATGTTAAATTTAGAGGGAGGTAGGAAGGTAGATCAGAGCGATTGAATTGAGTGTGGTTGTGAGAGAATTGTGAAAGGATTGAAGATTGTGATCGTATAGAGGGATGGTGTTGACAGTCAGTTGTGTAGCGGGGCGTGGCATGTCTGATGGCATCATTCCCGACAGGGGCATCGTTTATCAGAGTCATCTTATCTGACGGATATCTGATCATGATAAGGCAGATACTGGGAGATATGTTCGATCAAATGTTTCATTGGGGCAAATTGATGGAATAATTGAGATGGACAGATCAGCTATTTCATCGAAGCGTCTTCCTTCTGCTTTGTATCATACAAAATGTTTGTTTTTCTTTAAGTATTTTCCAGGCGGGTTGAGGATCAGGCACGTGCCCACGTGCTTCATGTATGTTTCCGAACAGGGAAGATACAGCATCCAGGACGAAGTTCTATTGTCTACACTCGCAGTCCTGTCAGAAGGGGCTGACTAGATTGCAAGCGCCGAGGATCTCCCCTACTTGTACTGCCAAAAATGTCTGGCACACAAGTGTTTCAGCATAACGGTCTGCGATACGGTATTGTCCAGCGCAGCATTAACATATAGAAGAGTACCTTGTCTGTGCTGTTCTGCATTTTCACAGAAAATTAGACAATTTGGTTGGAAGATTAGAGGTTGAATGTCCAATTAAGTAGGTAGGTATTCCACTATCTTGTCGCGTCCATAGTACTATACGACGAAGCATCGCGTGCGCGTCACGAAATGTCTGGTATACGTGGTTGACGTCGGAAGATGACTCTGGCGAGGGAACAACGACAGACGAAATGAGACAAGACACACTGCATGAACCCCCTGCGTCCGTCAGATTAGTCTTTTATCCAGTCAATGAGGGGACAGCTGGCTTAAAGTCATCAATATCCAACTTTGCCTGTGGCATTGCCTCAAGTGTTTCTTGAATCAGATCACTGGCCCCGTAGAGCCTGTAATGAGTGGCTGTTTTAATACATGACTAGGCGGACCAACCATTGTACGACGTGGAGCACAGAATCAATAAGGTTGAGAGCAAATGTTACCAATAGCATCATCGGGTTCTCATAACGCGGGGACGTGAAGAGGATGAGCGTGTCATGACTAGAAAGAGGGAATGACGCGCTGAACGCGACGTGATCAATTATCTTCAATGGGCTTAGTGTCAACACCACCCTCCTAGGAAAAGAAGTCGCGATTCACGCAAAGTAGGCGACAGAGTACCTCTGTTGTTCCTTCCTCCATCTTCACGAAACCTCAAACCACTCCTCTTTCAGGCAGTTCACCTCTCCCCCCCGCGCTCACAGGCTTCTTTTTCTCCCCTCCTCTTCTTCTCTTCCCCATTCCCATTCACTTTCATCTTTTCTCATCACCTTCAAAGAAATATCTCCGGAAATTCCATCTACATCTCGATTCCATCATCCACATCTCGATACACTACATCTTTCATAGCTGAGCTTTCTTCGCAATCGACGCATACTCAGTCCTAGTGTGTCTAGCTCTGCTTGACTGCCTTCGCACACGCGCAAGGCTGCTCGTGAACGCGTCAATCTTTTCATTTCACGAGTTTTAAATTCATTTTTCATCATCAAAATGACTGCCGCTGTTGGTCATATATCCTCGAGGGTACCCTTTGGTGCCATCGATAATCCTCGCTCGCCTATCATGAAACCCATGGTAGCAGAGCAGAAGAGTAAGCAACCCTGATCAACCCCCAACCTGATAACGACAACATGATGTGCTAATATGGTCTTGATAGACATGAAAGAATTCAAAGCACCAGTTGCTAAGATGGGCAGCGTGGTTCCCAGAAATCGTTGGTCTCTCCTCTGCTTTGCTCATTGTTTACAATGTGCCTCAAAACGTAAACACGAACTTATACGCGTCATATAGGTCCGATTCCTATCATGAGGGACACAGTCTCTTCTGCAAAGAAGCGCCCGCTTGCTCCTTGCGTTTTCGAGGATGCGGATACAGAGAATATTGATCCCACTATGAGCGACTCAGCTTCTAAGCGCGCCAAAAATGAGCCTATGACGATTGACAAGATGATGCGCATGGTCGAATCGATTCCAGGTCGCAGCGTCATTCATCCATTCCGCTCTCCACAAACCACCTACAATGCCAGAAAATCGTCTGCTGGTCGCTCGCCCAAGCAAAACAATAGCTTTACGCGACGCCGAGTGTCTGCGCCCCTCACTCGTGTCGACCCACCTGCGAGCCTCAAGTACCCGCCCGCCATGACGATGAACTTTTCCATTGACTCGATTCTCGCTGGTAGCTCCAATACGCGCACTACCAAGCCCAAGCCCAAGCAGTCACGTGCCTCGCCCAAGAAGCCCATGCCGGACTCTTGGTACTTTGATATTTATGAGGACACACCCGAAGATGAAGCCCAGAACCTCATGGAGCACTCGGCTGGTCAGCTGGACATTTCGGACGATGAGGCTCGCGATGCCGAAAAGAAGGATCCCGGCAAGGAAAACACTCCCCCTCCGGACCACGAGGAGAGTGACGCTCGTATCATTCAAGAGGATCTTCTAGCCCCTGGGTCGCGCGAGGCTTTGGCGGAGTTGGACACCTCTGACTTTTTTGGCGTGGGTCTCGATGCCTATTCTATCCAGCTCATCGAGGAGGACGATTATGATTTTCCTGACACGGATGATGAAGCTGGCGAGGCCGATGCCGAGCCCGTCGCCGAGCCTGTCACCGAGCCTGTCATCGAGGCTGAAGCCGAGAATTAGACAAGCCCCATTGGCGATGGCACCGTTTGTCGGTTTGGCAATGGCGTTGAGGCAAAAAGTTGGTTGGTCACTCCCTTGAACTCTGGTATTTTCTTTTTCTTTATCAAACCGACGACATGCTCTTTGAACCTTTTGCCTTTTTTTTTTCTTACCATCCATCCACTTAAATTCTTCTTTTTGTCGGCGACAAGTCATGTTTTCACCTTTCACATCATTTTTCGATTTAAGCCTCGAGCCCGAGTTCTCTCTGAACCCATTTGTTTCACTCCTTTTGTCATCTTTCCGCGGGGAGGACGAGAGTTGAGTGAGAGATTTGGTCGAGCGGAGATGGAGCGACGGCTTGGCTGTTAGAACGGGGTTGTATGGGGTTGGCTGAATATTAGATTAGTCGCTCATCGTTTTTATATTTTCTCTTGTTTGCGACAGGTGTGGATGGACTGGGCTTGGCGTTTTGTAGTGTTTTCACTGGATCCCTTTGGCTTGGCGTACCGTTATCGGGGCTCTTTTTGCCTTTTGGCGCGTCGATTGGGACGACTGTTTTGTTGCTTTTTTGTTGTTTTCGATTATTATAAGGTCAGACCTGGACAAGGGCAGACAGGGCTTGCATGATACCATTACCGTTAATCGCGCTATCGCAATAATGAGCAAAGAGCTCACAGAATTACTATATGATTAATGAAGCAACACTAGATTATGAATGAATACAAGAATCATCATTACATTAATCCAGTGATTCATACCATTCGCTAATGGTCATTAATATCTCTTGTGTTGCCCCCGCAAGCATATTCTCCCAGCCCCCACTCCCACCCCCTCCAACCAAAAGCTACGATGGTGACCTTGCTTCAACCCCGCGACATGGTCCCGCGCAAGGACATGATCATAATTCTGCACGGATAACAGACGATATCGAATCGATTGAGGGGAGCCTTGCATTGATTTAGACTGTTTCTAAGAATATCACCTCACAATCCACCGGTCGCACAAGGGTATTATAGTGACATTCTGCTCCGTTGAGGGTTCAACTGAAGGGGCGGGGGCGAGGGGCGAGGGTGCGGTTGGCAAGGGGATAAAGGGGAGCGAGTCTTCTACCCTTACTTCGAGCATTGGAATTCAGCGACAGAAAAAAGGCACAGATGCAGCAGGATACAATGGAGATGCCGTCTGTTGCATGGCAGAATGGTATTTATATATCGTGGTCATTTTCCTCACTGTGGCTATTTGAGACGCTGTTTTTTTCTTAATCCAGATCCCCAAACAATCCACAAGCAAAAAAAGACGAGCACCGAAATCCTCGTTAGTTGAGTTTATAAAGAAGAGTACCACCTTGGAATATTAAAGAAGACCTCCTTTGAATAATAAAGAAGACCACCTTTGAATAATAAAAAAGAGGACCACCTTGGAATAAAGCATCATGACTGCCGGACAGCACCAACAAGTGTCGACCGCCCGCCTGGACGGCAAAGTCGCCCTTGTCACCGGCGCCGGACGAGGCATCGGACGCGGCATCGCCATCGAACTGGGCTCCCGGGGCGCCTCCGTCGTGGTCAACTACGCCAACAGCTCGTCCGCCGCCGAGGAAGTAGTCAAGGAGATTGAAAAGCACGGTAGCAAGGCGATTGCCATCCAGGCCAACGTGTCCCAGGTCGAGCAGATTGGCAAGCTCTTCGAGCAGGCCGTCGCCCACTTTGGCCACCTCGACATTGTCGTGTCCAACTCAGGCATGGAAAGCTTCGACAAGATCGAAGACGTGACGCCCGAAAAATACGACAAGGTGTTTGGCCTCAATGCCCGCGGCCAGTTCTTTGTCGGCCAGGCGGCCTTCAACCATCTCACGCCCGGTGGTCGGCTGGTATTGACTTCCTCCATCGCGGCGGGCCTCCTCGGCGTCGAGGACCATGCGCTTTATTCCGGAAGTAAGAGTGCCGTCGAGGGCTTCACGAAGTCGTTCGCCACGGATTTTGCCAAGCGCAAGGGCATCACTGTCAATGCCATTGCTCCTGGTGGTATTAAGACGGACATGTTCACTCATATGGCGTGGAGATATATCCCCGGTGCGACGAAGGATTGGACTTCTGAGCAACTGGAGAAGTCCATGGCGGGGCATTGTCCCATGCAGCGATGTGCGGTGCCCCAGGACGTGGCGCGTGTTGTGGCTTTTCTTGCGAGTGAGGACGGTGGATGGGTTAATGGTGAGTGCATTCTTCGTTTTTGTATTTTGCCTTTTGCGTTTCATGTTTCCCTTTCTTTCTTTTCTTTTTTTTTTTCTTTATGAAAATGATTCATTTTCATCTGATACTTCCTCTCTTCTCTTTGCGAAATCGATTAGTATGACAGTATTTATATGAGCAAAACGCTAATTGGTGCGTATAGGTCAAATCATTACAATTTCCGGAGGATCGTCTCAGTAGATCTAGAATAGAGAAGCAGCAGAGGGAACAGCAATCAGTTACCGTTAGAGAAAAGAATTAGATACAATCATACGAATACGAGGTTTTCAGAACAATTTTGTGTGCAATGTGCCGGAGTATATTTGGATATAAATGACCCAAATGAAGGCAACTCAGAATGTTATACTCTACAACGTGACATGGCTGTACGATCCAATGCACTGAAAATAGAAACACAACGGAGGGGAATTAGCAACGGCAACAAATGTCCAAAGGAGACTAGGGTTCCGTTTGGTTCAAAAACAAGCCTTTGCCAGTTATTCCTTCAAGGGGGTTTAAGTTGTGGTATTGCGTGGCAGGTTGCACCGGAAAGAGAGTTAGTTCGTTAGTCGTCAGTCGTCAGTCGTCGTCCTTTCGCTTGCACCCGTCTGCTCTAACTGCTTGTTACGCGCGTCGCCAGGGGGGAGAGAACATGGTTGACCTCAGGAACCTTTGGATCTAAGCCCTGAGTTTACAGATACTCGTATCGATATGGCGTTTGAACCCTGGAGCCCACCTTTTTTTTCAAACGTGCACTGCCTTCTTATGTCGTTGATCCCTGGTTACGTGACGTTGCCTCTTGCCCTCCCTGGTTGCGTTCAGCGTTCACTATCCCGCGCTCAAGACACGACAGGTGCTCTCTTATCGGTGCATGGAACCGGGAATAGAAAAATGGCCAGTCATATTTGCAAGACAGACGGGAATCACTCAGTCAGTCAGTCATCAGTCCATTTCATAAACTGTACTCTGTACTCGTAACTGGGTGACAACTGTGGACTTTCCCTCTTACCGCACAATGTGAAGAACCATGGAAATGCCTGAATCCATGATTGGTGGGACCGGGACCATGAAGACATGAACTTATGCTGGGTCGAACGGGTCGAAACGGTCAGTCGGAGAATTACTTTTACTGCTGTCATCCCACTCCCACTTCCCTCTCCCTTGCATTTCCCTTCTCTTTCCCTTTGATTTTGGTGAAAAAGGATACTTGATCCTGCCTTTCAACTGAGTTGCTTATCGTGACTGACTACAATCACTCGTTTGAGAATCTCGTGCTTCCCCTGCCCAACGTTACCTGTTTTTGACAGCTCCGTGAAGCAAGGAGACGAGGGGGAGTAAAATCCGACATTCGTTCTGCGTCATTGATTCGTCAGCTTCTGTTGAATTAAGCTTTATTGTCAATTGGGAGGCTTGTCCAATCGAACAAAAGAGATATCTTTGCAACTGCCAATCGTTTTGCGGAGAGGTTCACTGGCAGATCCGGAGATTAACTTTAACGCAGAGTGCGTCATCTGGCATTGATTGCAATTTGAAATTTACAATTCGCGGTTTGCGGTTTGCCCCTGGATTGTAATATCCAGTGGAATATCGATAATATCATACCCCAAGCTCGACGACCTGGCGCTGTGCTTGTAACCCGCAAGTTTGTGTTATACATACTGGACCATACGACTACGCTTCCTAATTCCACATCTTGCGCAACGGCCGTCTTGCGGGACATACATCTGAAGAAGACCTCGTACGATTTTCTTCTTCACGTCACTTGACCAGAAACGACATTGGTCAACAGCTGTTAGATCTACAGCATCCACGATAAGCAAGGGCCAGCCCTACTTGACCGGCTTACACGCTGTTGGAGCAACTACGAGTATCACGAACTTGACGCAAGAGTCCAAAAGCCAGCATCTCCGCCTTCCCAATAAGGTTATCTTCCCAGCTTGCTGGAGTAATTGCGTCGCACTGCGTCGCAATAAACTCGACACTACTCCGATAGGGCCAGACACCGAGCACCGTAACCCGCAAGTTCAACAGTCGAAGATACGACGAGCAAAACCCACGGACTCAATTGTATTGAAGTAAAGAGATTTATTTGGCTCGGCGATTTACCATGAGTTACCCACAGAGCGGCTACAACAGCAGGATGAGCCTGGTCAGCGAGCCGCATCACGCTCGTCCTGACGCGTATGGCTTTGAGGAAACCAAGCAGGCCACGGGGTCGAAATGGCATCCACGCAATTGGGGTCGAAAGACCTGGATCGGCGTGCTCGCTGCGGTGGCGGTGGTTATTATTGTGGTTGTGGTCGGTGCGGTGGAGGGCACCAAGGCGAATCGGTATCCGGCGTATAAGAAGCTGAATTATACTCTGAAAGATACTTGTATGCTATCCCCAGTTTTTTTGCCTCGGTTTCATTTCCTTTCTCTCTCGTTATTCCAGCAATGCGGTTCCCCATGGCAATACATGTATCCATGCATATCTACCAACGACTTTGATTCCGAAAAGCATACTGACCCGTCCAGACGAAGGAACGAGCTTTTTTGACGACTTTGACTACTTTTCCGGCTACGACCCAGCCGCAGGATTCGTCCAGTACGTTTTTTTTTTCTCCCCTTTCTTTCTTGTTTTTGTTTTCTATGTTCTATTTCCCCTATCCCTTCCTCCAATCCGCGTCCTAAATCCAACCCTCATACGTCTGACCATTCTCTGACTACAGCTACGTCGACCGCGCGGGCTCGCAATGGCTCAACCTGACCTACGCATCCGACACGTCGGCGGTGCTCAAAGTCGACGCCACAAACGCAGACTCGAGCACCGGCCGCCGCTCCGTGCGCATCTCGTCCAAGAAGACGTACAACGAGGGTCTCTTCGTCTTTGACATTCTGCACTCGCCCTACGGCTGCGGCACGTGGCCCGCCCTGTGGCTGTCCGACCCCAGCAACTGGCCCATGAATGGCGAGATTGATATCGTCGAGGCAAACAATGCCGCGTCCTCGGGCAACCAGATGACCCTGCACACGACCAACCATTGCAAGATGAATGTCAAGCGCAAGCAGTCCGGCAAAACGCTGGAGAATAATTGCTGGAATGGCACGAATAGCAACGCGGGCTGTGGCGTCCAGGGCTCCGCGAGCACGTATGGTCAGGATCTTAATAAGAATGGTGGCGGCGTAAGTTCATTTGGCTCGCTTCGCTCGTTTTATACTCCGGACCCCTGTTTTTTCTCTTTAGTCAATCATTGAGCCCTGTATTGTGGTTTATTTGGTTTATTTTCCCCTCTTTCTTCTCTTTCCCCCTTCAATCATCTAACAAATAATGGTATCTAGGTCTACGCGACCGAACTCCGCTCCGACGGCATCCGCATCTGGTTCTTCCCTCGCTCTTCTATTCCTTCGGATATCGACACGTCCGCCAACAATTCCACGTCTTCGACCGTGCCCGACCCCTCCTCCTGGGGCGAGCCCCTCGCCGACTTCCCCACCACCGACTGCAACATTGGCTCGCACTTCCGCAACCAGAGCATCATCGCAAATATTGATCTGTGCGGCCAACTGGCCGGCCTCGAGCAGTTTTACTCTACAGAGTCACACTGTCCAGGCACCTGTACCTCCTTTGTCGCGAATAATTATACCGCCTTTCAGGACGCGTATTGGGAGTTTAGGAGCTTTAGGGTCTATCAGGCTCAGGGTTAAGAGTTAAGGGTGGGGGTGGGGGTTCGAGGCGGGGAGATTGTGGGGCCGGGGGTTTGAAGGGTAAAGCAACCTTTAACCCTACCTCTTTCCTAAGTGCCAGGGGACGAGTACGTATGGCTGTATGATCGATGGATCTGAATACGGTTCCATTGATTCAGTGTTGATGAAGCCCATGTTTATGACTTTGCCTTGCTGATTTGATCTGATTTGGTTTTATTTGATTTGATGCGATATGATGCGATATGATATCACCTTTTTTTTTTCTTCTTTTCCAGATATATCTTCATGTTCTCTAGATATATCCATCTTAGTCCTTTTCTAACACTACAATTCATAACCTTTCAATTCAACTTTTAAAACCTTGGAGACGATAATGTAGCATGTCCAGTAAAACGGTAAACATAAAATGTAAAACATTTGGACACGATATCTGAATATAACATTCTCTATCAGATATTTATTTGTAAAGAGGAAAAACAAAAAACTAATGGCCATGAGTCTTGTCCTGCCCTGCCCTGGTTTTTCACGTTTTCTTTCCATTTCTCGCAAGGCAAGTTGCAACAATTTTGGATTTGAACATGTGACGTGCCAAAAAAAACCCCCCCCACGAAAATGCCCGGTTTAAGTCAATCGTGACTCGTGACATGAGACTGTTGCACTGTTTATTTTATTGCGTGTCAGTGAATCTGGTTTTTGGTCTTGAGGTAGGCATTGTACATTAGGTCATACAATGTGATATAATGTAGCATAAAGAAAAGAGAGGAAGAAAGAAAGACAGAAAGACAGAAAGAAAGGAAGAAAGGAATAAAGAAATAAAAGAAACAAAAACGAAAACAAAACCAAGAAAAAGAAAAGGTAACTTACGTAGCAAGACACTAGCCCATTTCCTCCACGCGATTTTGTCTCTATTTCTGTCTGTGCGATCGAAGGCTCGAAGACTGGAAAGTCGAGGATTCTTGATGATCAAGATCTGATATGATATTTCCATTGCGCGTCGTATCTCTTCTGTAAGTTACAACGAGAAAAAGAAAAGTAAGAGAGACAACAATGCCACCCCAAAGATAAAGGTAGCCTGGCTTGTACATAAACACCGAATTTGCAGTCTTGGCTTTAAATAAAACGAAACGAAACCTGTCCATAGCCGATACTGAGAGAGGAAAAACGAAGTAGAAAATCTGGGAGATACGCGGTGGAGAAAGACGGAAACTTTTTTTTACTTCATTGAGTTGGAAAAGAAGATTACGAGAGGAGGTCGGCGACTGGTTGGAAGGAATGAGTTAGTTGGACGTTTGGATAGTGGAAAACACAGAAGAATACGGGACAATTAAGATACAAGGGAAAGTGGGAAAAAGAAGACATACCGTTCATGGGCATTTCGTCGATTTGGGTAGAGTAATACACTAGAGATTGTCAGCGTGGCTGCAGTGATAAGAAGAATATAGGAGGGTCTCGTACATTCAATGTCTCGAAGGATTCGGACGTCCTCGCTGGTGACAAAGTTGATGGCGACACCCTTTCGTCCGAACCGGCCGCTACGACCGATACGATGAATGTAGTTTTCACGGTTACTGGGGAGATCGTAGTTGATGACGAGCGAGACTTGCTGGACGTCGATACCACGAGCCCAGACGTCCGTCGAGATCAAGACACGGGAGTTTCCCTGGCGGAAATCCTGCATGATGCTGTCTCGTTCCTTTTGGGGCATCTCGCCGTGCATGGACGACACGGTAAAGTTGGCTTCGCGCATCTTGTCGGTCAGCCAGTCGACCTTTCTGCGCGTGTTGCAGAAGATGACGGCCTGGGTAATGGTCAGGGTGTCGTAGAGATCACACAGGGTGTCGAATTTCCACTCTTCCTTTTCGACCGCGATAAAGTATTGCTTGAGACCTTCCAGCGTCAACTCGTCACGCTTGACAAGAACGCGAACCGGGTCCGTCATGAATTTGGTCGTCATGTCAAGCACATCGTACGGAAGCGTGGCAGAAACGACGACGACTTGCGTCGCAGGCGGGAGGTAGCGGTACACGTCGTAGATCTGTTCTCTGAATCCCCGGTTGAGCAGCTCGTCGGCCTCGTCAAGAACAAGCATCTTGATGTTGCGCGTGCGCAAGTTGCGGCGCCGGATCATATCAGCGACACGTCCGGGAGTGCCAGATACAACGTGCTGTCCGTAGTCGAGCTTGCGAATGTCTTCGCCGACGTTGGTGCCGCCAATACACGCGTGGCATTGGACGTTCATGTAATCTCCGAGCGCCATCACAACGGATTGAATCTGAGTTGCTAATTCGCGGGTCGGGGAGAGAACGAGAGCTGGGAGAATTCTCAGTATATTTGGGCAGGGCGACAGCAGAATCTCGAGGAGAAGGAAATTTAGTTACCTTGCGTCTCTCTTACAGCAGTGTCAATGACTTGGAGGATACTGATGGAGAAAGTCGCAGTCTTTCCGGTACCGGACTGCGCTTGGGCAATGGTGTCACGTCCTTTACAGATTTGCACAATAGCACGAGACTGAACGGCGGAGGGCGACTCGTATCCGTATGCATAGATGCCTCGAAGGAGATTTTCTGTACTGGATTAGCATGGTCCGGAGCAGCGCGCAATGAGAACCTCACCCTTGAGGTGCATAGCCTCGACTGTAGAAGCAGAGTTAGCAAAACATATTTTCGAACTTCGCAATCAGTTCATCTTACAGGTAGGTGCCCTGCGCGATCATGTTAGCTTGGATCAATTCCCATCGCATCAAGAGCAACTTACACAGTCACCTCCTTCGAGGTCGAGAATTCCATGCGCTCTGAAAAGGTCAGTCAGTTCCATTTGATCTAAGAAGGCAATGTGGTATCCCGTACCATCCGACTTGCGATCAATTCCTTCAGCCATCTTTGCGGTAATTGCAAGCAGCCGGCAAGGTTCTGTCAAGAAGTGATGGATTGCAGCAGTCGAAGTTTATCGGGCGTAGTTGGATGGTGATGCTTTTAGTGTGGCGCAAACATTCACCCGCTATCAGCCACAGGCAGCTACACCCCAGCCACACATCAAAAATCGGAGGGTAACCTACAGTGAAAGTCGCAGTATTTGGGATCTTCGCCATAACTTATCATTTAGTTGTCGCGCGCACTCAACAACTACTCGTTCTTGGTTAATTCTATAATACACCCATCATGCTGCTGGAAGATCAGCGATATATCCATGAGGATCTGGAGCGGCTGGAGCAAGGCATCAGCGACCGTGCCCTCGACGAGCCGAAGCATGTAAGGAGCTCACACGTTGAAAATAACCATCTCAAGTGCTGCTACTAACAAAGATAGATTCGTGACCGGCTGAGCCGTGATCACCAGATTGCTGGCTTTTTAGATAGAATTCATGATCAATCGAAGCGCCTCCTTGATATTTACAAAGATGCCGACGGCGCAAGATCACGAGAAATCCAAGCCATCTCGACAGGCGACCCTTTCGATGAATTCTACAAGCAGCTCAATGAGATCAAGGACTTTCACCGGCGATACCCCAATGAGCCTGTCGAGAATCTGGAGCGTGCATATAAGAAGCGGGCACCGGCTGAAGGCGAAACGGTGACGTCCGAGGTTGACAACATGTTCACGGGCGAGGAAGGGTTTGGTCGCTTTTGGGATTTGCATATACAGCACGAACGATATCTCAATCTACCCGGCATCAAGCGAATTTCCTACCTTCAATATCTCGACACTTTCGACATCTTCGCGCCACCTCAATGTCTGATTAAGAGAACTGATAAGAGAACGGAGACATACTTCAAGTACGTTAGTGAGCTAGCAGATTACTTGGAGAACTTTATGCGACGGACACGCCCGTTGGAGGACTTGGACAAAGTTATTTCCGGGTTCGATGAAGAGTTTATCAAGGAATGGGAGGCGAATTCGGTGGCGGGCTGGGAAGAAGGTGGTCAAACGGCTGGACCCGCTGGACCTGTCACAGAGGGCACTGGAGAGGGCATCTGGTGCGCCGACTGCGAAAAGGAGTTCAAAAACGAAAACGTGTACAGGAACCATATTACCGGGAAGAAGCATATTCGTGCTGCCGAAGAAAAGCGCAAACAAGCCGAGGCCGGCCAGAATGGGACACCAAACGGTTCCGCTGCAGGTGCAACCATTCAGCGGTTAAAAGACCGCGCCATTGCCGAACGCGAGTTTCGGGTACAGAAGCTGGCCAAGGCGATGCAGGATGTACGAAGCGATACTCGTGTCAACGTTGAGCGCAAACAGGGCATGACAGAACGAGAGCGACAAATGGAGCTGGACGCCCTCTTTTCCGAATCGACCGAGACAGCTGCCCGTGGTGCAGAGGATGAATCTGACGAAGACGAAGACGAAAGGCTCTACAACCCACTCAAGCTACCGATGAACTGGGACGGCAAGCCGATCCCATTCTGGTTGTACAAGCTGCACGGCTTGGGCCTCGAATTCAACTGCGAAATCTGTGGAAACTTTGTATACCAGGGCCGCCGAGCGTTTGACAAGCATTTCAACGAGGCTAGACATCTTTACGGCCTCAAATGTTTAGGAATCACAAACGCGACACTGTTCCGCGAAATTACAGGGATCGAGGACGCTCTGAAGCTGTGGGAAAAGATTCAGAGAGACAAGAAGCAGGAAAAGGCCTCGGTGGAGAACGTGGTGCAGATGGAGGACGCCGAGGGAAACGTCATGCCGGAAAAGGTCTACTACGAGTACGTGCTCCCCTTGTCTTGCCAAGATTATGAAAATACGATCGTTTTACTAATTTTACGCAGTCTCCAAAAGCAAGGTCTTCTATAGATATATCATGGGTCCAAGAGAAAAAGGATGGGGCGTTCCTGGTTGGGATTTCTGCTGTTGCGCGCAATGCCATGTATTGTACAGTAACTGGAAATGGGATCTTATTCGCTTTGATGTGTCTTCTTACTCCGCACAGGAACAGATCTCTTGCCGTGATCGATCGATCTGCGTATACCTGTTCGTCATATGACTGGTTGGAAGCTTATGTGTTACCTGACAGGGATACAGCTCGCGGGAACGGGAACTTTTGACAAGGGACCAAGTAACCTTGTCTCCCCTTCTTTTCTCCGCAGCCACAAATTGCAGCTCTTTCCCGATTCTGCCAACATCTTCAGCCAACACCAGTTGTCATTACGTGAACCTTGTTGATTGTCCTTCCATTTGCATCGTCATGCACTTACCCCTCAGCTGAACCAGTATCCATTGCGCTTGTTTATTTAATTGTTCTTGCTTTCAGTTTGTCTTGTATTCCACGTCCTTATTTATATTCGGCGTACTTGTCTATTTACCAAACACTGTTTCAATTTATTTATTATTATTTTGTCCGCCGTCACTGCCATTATCAATATCCACAGTCACAAACACGAACAAATTTCCCCCGATTCAAAATGTGTCGCTGGTTTGCCTACGTCTCAGGTATTTCTTTCCTTATATTGCACTTCCTCCTTCATTCGCACACAATTCAACGCAACTTTCAATTTATTTTAACAAGATATCTAATCACACACCCCAACCCCCAAAACCTCTAACCTTCACTCGCCCTAATTTACCTGTACTCCAACTATTTCTCCTCTCATTGTCATCCCCAATCCACTAACGTCACGCCTCAGACACCGAACCATGCATCCTCGAAGACGTGCTCATCCACCCCCAGCACAGCCTGACCAAGCAGGTCAACGAGCACTACTTCCCGGGCCTTTTATCCCATGAGCCCGGCGCCAGCACGACCAAGCAGGAAATCAAGATCCGCAACGCGCTCTACAACATGGACGGGATGGGCATGGCATGGTACACGAACGCGCGGCAGGCCTTTGACGAATGCAAAGGCCTGCGCCCCGCCGTGTACAAGACCATCTCCACCCCGCTCAACGACTTCAACTTCCGCTCTCTCGCCGCAAACACGTCCACCAAGGCCTGTTTCGCACACATCCGCGCCGCCAGCGGCGGCGTCGTCTCCCCCGTCAACAACCACCCTTTCATCTTCGGCCGCCACGCATTCATGCACAACGGCACTGTCGAAAACTTTACCCTCATCCGCCGCGAGCTCTGCACGTTTATCGAAGCCGATTGCTTCGCCAACATTAAAGGATCCACGGACTCGGAACATCTTGCTGCCTTGTACATGACTTTTCTCACAGATGGCCAGGGCAAAGCGGCCTGGGAACGCCAGTACCCCCTGGCTAAGATGAAGGATGCCTTGCAGAAAGCAATCATGCTGGTCCTGGCACTCCAGCAGAAACAGTTTGGGCCTGCCGTCGCAGAGTCGGTCTTGGCTGCGCAGACGGCTGCTACGACTCTTGCTGATGGAAATGGGGCTGGACATGCTCATACGTCTCCTGGAGGAAATGGGGTGCCAAATGGATCGGTCCCTGGATCAGGATACGCAGCCGGATACGCTGCAGGATATAACGCTGCGGGCGCTGGAATCGGCGGAGTCGGCGGAGTCGGTGGCGGCCCTGGCTCATTTTTCCCTGTACCCGGCGTGCCTTTACCTTTCCCAGGTGGACAACAACAACTCATCAAAGCGAACGGGCTCAATCTCGCGACCACAGACGGGTGTAAGCTCGTCGCGTGCCGTTTCCGGAACCACAAGTCCGAACAGCCGCCCTCGTTGTACTACTCGACCACGGCAGGGGTCACGCTGAATCGCAAATACCCGGGTGATCCGGACGGACAGCATGAGAACGAGTGCGCGACGTGCAGGCCGAGGGATCACGGGCCCCATGTGATTGTGGCCAGTGAGCCGAGTACGTATAAGCGCGAGGAGTGGACGCTGGTGCCCAAGAATAATGTACTCACGGCGGATCGCGATGGGAATGTAACTGTTGAGCCGATTGTGTTTGCAAAGGAGTGGGATGGCAAAGCGGAGAGTGATGAGTGATGAATGATGGGTGATGAGTGAAGATTGGGTAGCAGTATGTGGAGTAGAGGGGCAGCAGGTGAAGGAGAGGAGGAAGGGGAAAGAAGAGGAAGAGGAAGAAAAGGTAGGCCCAAGTTGTTGAGTATTAGGGTATTGGATGGGGCACTCTGCTTGTTTTGAAGCAAAGAGTGCTCAGCAAGTCGCAGTTCAATAATGTAAAAACAAATGGATGGTATTATTGATTGATTTGGTTTCTGGTATTCTGTATGTGGATATCAATTGTGCAGATTTGTGTGTAGTACAGAAGTGTGAGATGAACAATCCCATCATGAGACACAAGTGCAATGACGCAACGCCTGTAGTATAAAAGTCAAAGAGAACAACAAAAAAAAAAGAAGTTGAAGAAGCAAAAGTACAGCTCCTTGCAGATCATAACATCATGCTGCGAATTACCCCAATAACTCCTCGACCTGGACCCGCCCACCCTCCTATGCATGCCGAACGTAAAATAATGATATAAAGGGGGAAATGTAAAGACAAAGAAGCTATAGCTTCTAACACTCAATCGATGAGTGGATCAATAAAGAAAACAGGACAAGATGAAGGGGGAAGTAATGAAAAGAATAAAGTTAAACACCGCTCCGATAAACCTGTGCACCACCAGACCTTATCTGGACCGTCTCGCGTCTCTGCAAGACAACCAATGCCCTATTGAGAGCTTGTTCCGAGTAGCCTCTTCCATCAACAAACTCTCTGCGGAGCGTAGCCAGACTCGTACTCCAGCCAATGGGCAAGCGTCTTCGGAGCTCTTCTTCCACCTTGCCGACTTCCTCCATGAGTTCCGTGGAGCCTTGGTCGGCGCCCTGGGTGACGGCGTCCATCGTACTGGCGAGGAAGAGACGAATAGCTTCGTCAACGTGGGCTTCGGTGGCGATGGGCGAGAGAGTAAGTTTGGCCAGAGACTCGGTGATACGGACAATGGCTTCGAGTTGACGGATGGTAATGGGAATAGAGGAGCGTGCGTTGGCTGCAACTTCCGCACGGTGCACTTGCCGGCGGATCGTGACAAAGTGGGACGAGAGCCGTTCTGCAGCTTCGGGGGAGAGGCGGGGAGCGCATTTTCTATAAAGAATCAAGACGGTCAGCGGGGAGGATCATTGAGGGTTTCAAGGAGCAGAGCACTAAGAATGGGGAAAGAGAAGATAACAAGGAGTATTAAAGGAGAAAAGGAGAGAACATACTGTTTACAATAGCTAATGTAGCGCTTCATTTTCTCCACAGGAATCTCAGCATCGATTTGTTCTTCGACGCCTCGTCCGCCCATGTGGATGCCCATGACGTGTCGGGCGATACGCTCATCTCGGCCTCGTTCATGGTCATCACGGACGATGAAAATCATGTCGAAACGAGATAAGATGGTGGTTTGGAAATCGATATTCTCGCCGGGAGATTTGAGATCGTCGTACCGGCCAAAAATAGGGTTAGCTGCTGCGAGAACAGACGTGCGGGCATTGAGAATGGTGGTAAGACCGGCTTTGGCGACGGAGATGGTTTGCTGTTCCATGGCTTCGTGGATGGCGACTCGGTCTTCGTCGCGCATCTTGTCAAATTCATCAATACACACGACACCACCGTCGGCAAGGACCATAGCACCTCCCTCCAGGTAGAATTCACGCGTTGACTGGTCACGCTGGACGGACGCAGTAAGACCGGCCGCTGAAGAACCTTTACCCGAGGTGTAAATGGCAATAGGTGCAACCTTTTCAACAAACTTTAGGAGCTGCGACTTGGCGGTACCAGGGTCACCCAACAAAAGCACGTTGATATCGCCACGCAGTTTCATTCCATCTGGGAGAATCTTCTTGGATCCTCCCATAAGCAAGCAGGCAATAGCCTTTTTAATGTCCTGGTTGCCGTAAATGGCCGGAGCAATGCAGTTTGCAAAGACCTCGTACAGGTCAGGTCGACGGCTCATTTCAAGGAATTCTTGCTCTTCTTCTTCGGTGAAAATGGCGTTGCCCTTGGCTGTGTGGTCGACATCGCTGTGAATTCCGACAGCGCGGATATACGGGTTGCGAATAGCGACAGCGGAATTGGCGGATCCTTTGGCACCCTTGGACTGGTAGATAGAGAAGACACCCATGACAGTGCACCGTGATCCCGGCACGACACGGTTTGTGAGGTATCGATCGGCGGAGATGAGAATGTGGCGCGGAAGTTCTCCGACGGGGACTTGGTCGGGCGCCTCTTGCAGCTTGAGAATTTGCTGGTCAATGAATTGAGACTTTTCGTGTACGATAAAGTAAGGATCCAAAGGGCATCTCTCTGCAAACTCTCCCTCCTGGCGGGGGCGAGAGCAGATTCGAGGCAAAGATATGCCAGAAAAGCCGCCAGTAACCGGCAGATTTTCCGTGTGTTGGCAGTTGCGGCATTGAATGTGCAGCGCTGTCGCTTTGGATGTGAGCGTAGAGGCACCAATCACGATGCCGGGAATGCGAACGAGCTGGGAGATGTTTGTAGCATTGAGATCACGAATAGAGATTTGCGAGGCGCTAGAGTGGAGGAGAAGTTGGTGCTCTGGTAGATGGATTTCTGGTTGAGCGGGGAACACGATGCGCTGCGTGCACTGCTTAAGAGCTGCTTCAAACTATGGGACCGGAAAGAAGACGTCAGCCATACAGAAACACAATAGCTCAAAACTGTACTCAAAGCTTACGAGAGGAATAATTTCAGCCGGCTCAGACGTCAATCGATGCGCCAGCTCTTCATTGTAGGAGATGAGATGCGCAACATCAATGTCACAGTAGTATTGTTTAATGAGAACATTTTCGCGAATCTGGTCTCTGCAAAGGTGTTAGTCATTGCTTTCCATGACAGGAGAGTAATTGGATTGTCCTCACCTGTAGATGAAAGCATTGTCGAGTCTAAATTCAAGCACAAATTCTCTCAATTGGGACAGGATAAAGCTGCGCGAATCCTCGTTGCCGTCTTGATCGGGTACCAAGACGCTGAGCGAATAGACCGACCGCCTATCCATGGTAAATGGCGTATCTGCAAATCGGCGTGGCGGTGAGTTTTGAGATTTTACAGAGCTTTGCGTCAACAGTTGACGGAGGTAACAGAGGTCACCGAGAACAGGCTGATGAAGAAAGTGCTTGAGCAGTTGCGCTTTTCTCTTTCAGGTATTCCGTCAAAAATTCGGGCGGCGAGGAAGTCAAGAACTGCGAGAAAAGTGTTGTAGATGCAATTTTTGAAGAAGAACAAGGCGGAGAGAAAGCGGAGGAGGGTAAAGTGTGAGGTTGACGGCTATTTTGGCGTTGTTTCCCCTAAAGACCCACGACCCAGAGAAAATGCCGTCGACGCGCCAACGACGCGCTTCCCGTCTCAGCCAACGCGACGCGTTAAATTGATATCTAATCTACGCAGGACGTGCGTACATCTTGTCATCCAAGCGTCTCCCCGTCTCAACCTTCTTTGTTTACCAATTGACCTTTTTTTTTCCTGAGCTTGCATTTGCTTTTGGCCAAGAAAAGAAAAAAATAGAGACCATTGTCAGGAGTGCTCTGTTCAATCATATGAATTCTTTGGATGTATTTTTAACTCAAGCAATCTCGGAAATTTGTTTTAAATATTTTGAATTTTCGAAAGTTCATTTTAAAACCACATTCATACTCAAAAATGCTTTCAAATGCGCTTAAAAAACTTACAATACTTCTACAGACATGAATACATTTGCCTCTGACAAGTGGTATCGTTGAATAAAGAAAAAGCTATTCCACCACAGACTTTCTCTCCACTTTGCAACGTTCGAACTATGACACCGGAATTTCATCGTCTTCAAATGACTTGCATCGGCTTTCCAATATTCAAAGGCTCCATGCGACTGACAACATCATCACCGGCATTACTGAGCTTGGTACAGATCCAAGTACTTGCGTACATGTTTACACTAAGTCTGTGTCAGTCTGCGGCATACTGGCAGCAATTTGTCTGGTCTGGAGTCCTGAAACTTACCGATCAATGCAAGTGCCTGGATTGCGCACCGCTACCCGGGTGGCCTGGAATCCATGTTTCTCAAATGCAGAAATATACCACGGATGCGTACCGGCGCTCCGCAGCATCAACCGGCCACCTACACGAAGGGCCTGACGGATGAGTTGAACCTGCTCATCCAGCTCAGCACTGCCGGGCTCGAACCAGTCCATGCTGTCCATAACGACAGCAATTGTTAGCGTTCCTGGCTGCATCCGAGCCAAGACCTCGCGGACCTCGTCCGTGTGAATGCGCATGCCGTCCAAGGCGCCAGGTCTTGAAAGTTTGGCATGGGCCCGCGCATCAAGATAAGGCGGGTGGCAACGCTTTGTGTATCGGCCGAGCAGGGTCAGCAAGTAGTAGTGGTTTTCATCTGAAATCAATGTATTTTCAACCACTGGATCGAGTGTGTTGAGTGCATAGTTCCAGATGGCGCGGCCCGAGTTACGAGGACCAACAACAGCCGCTCTGGCCGCAGCAGCTTCACGGTATGTTTCGGCATTTTCTGAACGCTCCATACCCTTAACGGGAGAGGTAAGAGGGGGCGCATCACCAGATTGACGAGCAAAATCTTGCTCAATCATTTGTCGTTGCGCCTCTGGAACACCCAAAGCTTTCCACAACCATGTCTTATTACTCACAATTGCCCAGCTCAGCAGCCGGTTCAGGAGCACCCGACGCACGCTGCGTCGCCAGATGGTCAGCTGTTCGTCCATGGTCTTTGCGGAACAGAGTCGTTCAATTTCCTTCTTCAAACCCAGCACTGAAAAAAGCCACTGAACTAGATTCAATGCATGACGAGAACCGCCAGTAAAGTAAAGACCATGGTTGGCAAAAGTCTCAGGGCCATATTGCAGCCAGTACTGGAAGGAGAGCGAGGAAAGATGGGGCGAAAGCTTGGTGATGAGAATCTCACGGAAAGAGTCATGCTTGCCATCGCCGAACAGTTTCCAGATATCGCCATGTCCGAGCGCAGTGAAGGCAGCAAGCTTAAGTTCGAGAAGGTGGTTCTGATTGGGGCTTAAATTGGTCAGTAAATGAGGAACATATAGGGCAATAGCGAAACTCACTTCAGGTCAACACAATGAATGCGTTTCGGTTGCTTCAGCGCGTACGTGAGAGCATTATCTCCCGCGCTTGTGATGGCCAGAATAACATCTTCCTTTTGGATATCCAGGATCTTCAAGTCTTCATGCGCGTCTTCCCAGGTGAATGCATAGATGTATTCGTTGCCAAACTGACGATGCTTTTGCAGGTGCTCATCAAAATGAATGCGCCAGTGGTGCTGTTGGTACCAGCTTGATGGAAGAGGGAGGCTTGAAGCCAAGTTGACTACGGCTGAATCGTAGGCTTTTGACCGAACTCCCTGTTCGCGTGTTTCTTTAGTTTCCTGCATTGACTTGCCATGGCGATCGAGCGCCGAGATAAAGGGAGACTCGGTTGCCGCGGCGTCAAGCTGCCTGAGTTTGGCCTGGGATACACCCGTATCTCGTGAGCATCCGATCCAAACATAGTAAGGAATGCGCAGGCCGAGCATTCGGTTCCGGGCATTGAAGCTGAGAATGGTCCCGAAGCGGTATTCCAAATAATCCTAACCGGGTATTCAATCAGTGCTGTACTTCCATAAAAGGGTTCTATGACATACTCTTCGAGCAGCCTCAAGGCTGACGCGGTCAACCTCAAACCAAGTCCGCCAGAAAACGCGCGAGATCCACATGCAATGCCGGTTGATCTCTCCACCGATATAGTTCCGGCTGTGATAATCAATCTCACTTTGGACGTAAAAGTCTGCAACACCAATGACTCCATTCTCAGAGAGAGTATTTGCCAGCGAATCCACGACGGAATAGAAGTCGGGAATCATCGACAGAGAATAAGACATGGTGATCAAATCTGGGCGGTTGCGGGCTTGCTCTCCATACCGCTCCGCTCTGAGCGGACTCTGGTAATGATCTTCGAGACGGAAATGTCTGGCATCTTGGCAAATGACGTGGACATTTTTCCAGCCCAGTCTCTTGAACCGATCGGCAGCGACAGCGAGGAGAGATGGCGAGAGATCAATAATGAAAACCCGGTCGAAGAAGTTGGGAACATCGACAAATCGCTGCATCTGCTCAACATTGTATCCTGTACCACCGCCCATCTAACCGCCCCCAATCAGTTATTCTTTTTCGCGTCACTCTCAAGGCTTCGGCAGACATACATCAACCCAAATGGGTTTCTGAGGCACAATACCCTGCTTGACGCGATGGCGAATCTGGGCGGCGACCAAGCCTAGCATGTCCTCCCGACCACGCAAGAGCCGAGTTCTGGTATTATCATAAACAGACGCCTGAGCTTTGTAAAAGCTCTCCAGAGCGACCTTTTGATCTCGGGTGCCTCTGCCCTCGTGTGGCTTGATGAAGCAGCCATAGCAAAAGCGGGCATAGTTTTGGAGGGATTCGGGAAGGAATGACAAAAGCTTTTGGGATCCGAGAAAGGCATGAGCAAAGATAGTCACAATGAAAAGGACCAGAATAATCGAACAAAGTAGGATCTGAGTTTGAGGCTCATGAAGCATCTGCATTGATGCAAGGAGTGCCATTTTTCCGCCTGCACCTGTGTTGAAAGGAGTGAAAGACGACGGCCATCTTAGACAGCGGGGTAAAGCAGTGATATATCTATCATTCAGAAATAACTAGCTACGCCTTTGGTAAATGAGTGTCAAAGTGCAGAATAGAGCCGACATTTTGGGTGTCCATCTCGCAGCTAGAGCAAGCAAAAGGTCAACGCGGACCTATGAGTTGAAGCACATGGGAGGGGTTGTTACGCATGTGTAGACATGTTCGGTACCCGTGGGAGAAGGGTCCCACCAGCGCTATTCTATTCATTCTGGGATGAAGCCGGCTGAAGCAGCCTGTCAGCGCTCGGTATGCAGCCATGTGGGTGTGGTAGAGTTGGGGAATTGATCAAATTGAGGTTGAAGTGGAGGGAAACTCAGGGTCCAGTGTTTGCTCTGTTTGCATCCGAGCAGGGGACACGAGGAGAGTTGGGGCCTCGTCACTGGTCAATTTCACCTCGTCAACATCCTTTGTCCCTGGAACCATAAGTTAACCCGCAACCTCCAAGGCACAGAATCTATATTCGGACATTTCTTCCTTTCGACACATCTCTTATCAAATGGTCCCCAGATAGAGTTCTTCTTAATTACGTATATGAATCCTTCTCCTCACTCGACGGCGTTATTTGCTGAAGAATTGACTAAATACCTCATCTCCACTCCGCTCCGTTATGCAAGTAGGACCACCACAATTTTGATAAGGATGAGAGGTTGCCCCAATATTTTGTCTGCTTGCACGGGTCTCTTTCACCCTAATTTCTTCTATACTCTTTTCAAGCACCCATTCTTTGTTAAATCTTTTGCCAAACGTTGCTAATAAGAGTTTTGTGAGTGGTTAGCGTCATAGGGATGCAGGAAGTAAACAAAGGAAGATGGATGATCATATGAAAAGAACAGTAATGCTATCACATTCGGCCTTAACATGTGTATATCCTGTTCTCTTCATCGAATTATTCTCTCCAAATCCATCAATATGAATGAGATATTGTTGCAATTTCCAAATGACGACTTCTTCGAACCCTGCAAGTGATTGATGACTAAGATCTTATAAATCAACCCCGGATGTTATGACGGTCCGCGGATGGTTAAAATAGCGACAGATTACTGTCAGCTCAGGGCGATAACGTGGCCAGGGGGAAAGGAGAGACAGAAGGCCAGAGGAAGGCAACAAATATTCAGCATCAATCAGATTGATATTCCCATTTGAGCTCTGGGGACGTGCTCGATATGAGTGACTAATACATAGATTTCAGTGTCAGGTCTCGCATCGCTCTGCGGTCGACACTGCACATCCAATCAGGCCTCCCGTGCAGCTTGTCTGCAATGACATACAGTTTCGCACACCTTGCAGCGGCCGTTCATGTTGCCTCTGGGCTATTTGTCCACCATAGCTTGAGGTGATGTCGTCATATTCAGGAGCTCATCGATCGCCAGATGGCGACGGTTACGGTTCGCCCATTCTCTCTCCCACCGAATCCACACTTTCATTACACATTGAATCTCCACCGCGGCCGAGCTTCAGCTCTCGATTACAGCTTCGACGAGGCTCGACCGCGAGCTCTGTCAGTTCCATTGGTGGAATTTTAGACACTTCCTCCAAGCATCACACACGACAAGCGGGCGAAGCGGATCAAAATGCCATCTCGGCCCTCTTACAACCCCCAATCGTCCGAACTGGCCTCCTGCCACACACGACAGGCACCGCAGCGAGCGCTCAGCGACCACCCTCAACAAAAGACATTCCTCCGGTGACCCTCACGAATATACCCCATGTTGAGCCGGCGGCGTTTCGACCCTACCTGACTCAGATTGGTACGCTTTACGAGAGCTTCCAACAGGCGAAAGCAAATTCGGAAGAAGGCGGTGGCGTCCAGTTTTATCGACGGGAAAAAGACTCGACGGAAGACTTTTCGGAATTACTTGAGCGTAACCTACGGAGGCAATCGCAACAATACGATGCTTCGAGCTTCTCGCGCAAGGCGTCCACCGCATCTCTGACGGTCTCGCCGCTTTTATCACCACAATCGAGACGACCCTCGAGTAGTGGAAGCATCAGACGCGCGGGGCACGGCATCTCACCCCTATCGACCGTACCCAAGGTGTATTTTGAAGAGGATTTCCATCTCGAGAATCCCAGAACTTTTGATATTGTTAGTGAGAGGTCAGACGTCGTTCGAGAAAGCCCTAGTACCCCCACCGATGAAACCAAGGGCGCAAATGGGTTCGCTCTGCCGCCAGCGCCAACCGGTCGCAAAGCGCTTGCCACAAATGCTATCCTGCAGGAGAAGTTATCATGGTACTTGGATACTGTCGAGGTACATTTGATATCGTCCATTTCCAATGCGTCAACATCCTTTTTTGCCGCTCTGGGCTCACTTCGAGAACTACACTCGGAAGCGCAGGAATCCGTGGCAAAGATAAAGGCACTACGAGAAGAGCTAGAGAAGTTGGACGAGGACATGGCCGTGGGTGGCCTGAATGTCCTCAGTTTGCGGAGACGAAGAAACAATGTCCATAAGCTGGCCTTGGCCATCGGACAACTCAAAGACGTTGTAGAGAATATTGCAGAGTGTGACGGAATGGTTGATCGAGGAGAGATTGAGAAAGCCATAGACGCGGTTGAGGGTATAGAGCGACTAATTGCTGGTCAAGGCCAACAGCGTGTCAGCGCGGACGAGGACCAATCGTCAGATCCTCCTATGAAGCCTTTTGATTTGCGTGGTGTCAAGGCGCTCAGCGGTGCTCAAGAGGAACTCAGATTTCTGCGCAACCGCATTGGAAAGGGATTTGAGTCGCGATTTTTAGAAGCTCTGCTAGGAGATCTCCGCCGACATATCCAAAGCGTTCCCAGCTCGGAAACACTTGAACGGTGGGCATCGTTGTCTCCACGTTATCGTGCAGACCATGCCCGAAAAAGACCGGCTCTTCCAAGCTATCTGAAACTGGACGATTCAGTACGATCCGAACTTTTGTCTACACTTCATGGACTGAGTCGAGCTCGGCACTCTTCTGCTGCGACAGCAGCATATCGAGACTGCGTTTTACGAGAGATGAAGAATCTCATTCGTCAGCATCTTCCAAGTTCAACAGACGACGATAACGAATCGATGGTGTCCGTCTCGACACACAGTGGCCGGCATTTAACCCAACAAGAAAAATCCTCAATCTTGGCACGTAATCTTCGCGCTTTAGATCCCGAATCAGCAGAAGAACTCTTGACAAAGATATACTCTGGCGTGGGTGAAGGCTTGAGAAGGCTAGGTGTCCAGATTAAAGTTCTTTTGGATGTAACAAGCAGTATAAAAGTTCCAGAAGGACCGAGCCCAGTGATGTCGCCGCTCCGTGGCCACGACGTTTCATCAATCAATGGCTATTTCAATGGGACCACAATTGACAGTGTCGCGTTTGAGAATGCCCAGGATGAAATCAATCAAGCGCTGGACATGTCGAGTCTGCTCGGCCAAGCGGTGGATATTGCTCAGACGCAGATTACAAAAGTCCTCAAAGTCCGCGCCGACCAGTCGATACATCTTCCACTCCAACATTTTCTACGGTACTTTCATATCAATCGCCTATTCGCTGACGAATGCGAATCGGTATCAGGCCGAGGTGGAACAGCGCTCAAAAATGCTGTCAATGGGCACATTAAAGAGTTCGTGGCTAATATGGGCGAATTTGAACGACAAACACTTGCGCAAAGCATGGAGTCTGATCGGTGGGACGCCAAAGATTTTGGCGACACCGAAAGCGTTCTCCTACAAAACGTTCTCGACGGCGGCACCAGAGATGTAGAATCGTGGATGAAGGGGGGTCGGATATGGGAGGCTCTCAGCGAGCCAACGCAATCCGCGTCGAATAACAGCAACGAAAATACCACTGAGAATGGCAAAGATAAGGTCCGCAGCGCTTCGTTTGATGAACAGAAGTTCATCCTTCCTGCCTCTGCTGCTGTGGTGCTACAGGGTGTCGAGCGATTTGAAAATCTCATTGCGGGTATTCCCAGCATGACTCATGAAGTCTCGACAAACTTGCTAGAATACCTCAAGCTGTTCAATTCGCGATCCTGTCAGCTCATTCTCGGCGCGGGGGCAACGCGGAGTGCGGGCCTCAAGAACATCACGACCAAACACTTGGCGCTTGCCTCGCAGTCACTAAGCTTCATCATCGCCTTGATTCCGTACATTCGCGAGTTTGTCCGCCGGCATTCTCCTCCTTCGAGCCCACTCATGGCGGAATTCGACAAGGTCAAGAGGTTATACCAGGAACATCAGTCTGGTATCCACGATAAACTTGTCGAAATCATGAGCATGCGCTCGTCTAGTCACGTTGGAGCGATGAAGAAGACTGACTGGGATAGTCCTGGCACGACGCAGCAGGAAGGAGCCAGCTCGTACATGGAGACCCTGACCAAGGAGACGACGACTCTGCATCGGGTCCTAAGCAGACATTTCGCTGAACCAACGCTCATCATGATTATGGACCCTGTCTTTACGAGTTACCGAGAGCAATGGGGGAACGCGTTTCGTGCAGCGACTGTCAAGACTGATGCTGGAAAGGAGAGGTATGTTTTGACCCTGAATCCTTTCCCCCTTTTTCATTCCCCTTTTCTTTTCCCCTTCCATTTAACAACTCGGCTAACCCGTACAACAGACTTCTCCGCGACGCTGAATTGTTCAAGTCCAGACTCAGCAAAATCACTGGCGCCGGCGACGTTGGCGATATGATTGTCAATATTGTCCAGGACAAGAAACCCTTGCAATCAAAGAATCCAAATCCGAATCCGAATCCGAATCCGAATCCAAACCCCGCTGCCAAAGCACCCACACCCGGTCCAGCTACCAATAATACCCAACCCTCGACTGCCCCGGCCCCTGCCTCGTCTGAAGACAAAGACACCAAGCTAAAGGAGCTAAAAAACTCCTTTACTCCCCGTTCTTCCAGTCTCGCTCCTCCTCCGCCTTCGTCTTCTTCTTCTCTCCCGGACTCGAGTCGTAAATCGTCTACGGATGAACCAACCCAGAGCACAGATGCAAGCACGCGCACGTCTGTCGAGCAGTCCGGACGCGAGTCTGAATCTGCTCAGCCAGACTCCACAAACACGGATAGCGACAAGAAGGAATAGGGGTCTCTTTATGAGGCGTAGCATGTATTATATACCTTTGATGGACAGCAGGCCCCTAGGTAGTTAATCAAATACATTAATGAAGCATGTAATCTTCTATTGTGCCAAGTAGTTTTATACCATATTCTGTCACAGTAGAGACAAAAGAGTGATATGTTTATTTATGTATTTTTCTCATCTTATTTTCCCTTTCTCGTCCTTACTTAGTTTCTTTTCTTTTTTTTTTACATATTATTGAGTACGCATACAACTAAATCAATCCCATTCATAAATTTCAGACAAAGCGTGTGAGGGTCAATAGAGAAAGACACAAGTGCCAAAAAAATAAAATAAAATCTAAATCCCAAGAAACACACACACACACCAAAAAAAGGCATAGAAAAAAAGGAATAGAAAAAAAGAATAGAAAAATAAAATAAAACCCAAAATATTAGAAAAATCTAAACAAAAACCCTTCGGACTGGCGGCGTCGTCAAGCCAAACATTCTCCTTCTCCTCCTCCCTCCCCCTCCAATTCCTCTCCTTCTTTCTCCGGTGTCCGTCATATCATCGACGTCGTCGTTGCCGTTCCCTTCAGCCTCCTCGTGCACTAACGACAGCGTCGATACATCCGATCCGTCAGATCCATCAAATACATTAACGTCCGCGTGAATGTCCGCGTGAATGTCCATGTCCATGGCGAGTAACATGCCCGCCAACTTTCCCAGCCCCAGCGAAACTTTCTTTCGTTTCTTATTCCCGCCTGTCCACGAAGCGATGTTTCTACCGTCCCCTTCCTCTGAGACTGACCCGCCCCAAGCGCCGTGGTCAGACGCGCCTGAAGCGCTGTCGTCGTGCAGATTGCCGTAATGGGCATCATCACGGTATGTAAGGCCGCCGTAAGAGTCGTCAAAGTACGGGTGACTTCGACGGTAACAAAGAGGATAGCCAGAGTGGTTGTGGTCATGACAGACAAACATGCCGCCGCGCCCATCAAACACGCATCGCCGCGGGATGGCGCGCAGACCAAATGCCATTCCTGCGCGGGGCGGGATGCGTGGTTCTATTTCAACAACCGTTGGTCCTGCCAGTCCCGTCGGTGCAGTCGATCCCGTTGGTCGTACTGGCCCTACCGGCAGCCTCTTCACATCTGAGTTCCGAGAAGAAATATTTCGAGAAACAATATCACCATCAAGGTTAATGTCAAAGTCAAAGTCCCGGTCAAGGCCAAGGTCAACGAAAGTATCGTCGGCGGGCCCAAGACGGGCCAAAGGATACGTCTTGGTCATTCGACCCATGTAGTTCCTCCGTCGGCGCCTCATGCGGCGGAGTTCTAGGGGGGTCATTTTCTCCGCGACGATTTTCTTTCTGTCGGCTGTGTCGAATGCGGGATGATTGCGACCATGACCATGACCATGGCCTAGATTGCGCACTGGACGTGGAGGTTTGTGGGTGCGGTGGTGTGTAGGATTCAGATTGAGCACGGTGTTCTGAGCGGGCGGACCGGCACGAGGATCATCGTGCGGCGAGGTACTAGGACCTTCGTGCTGTAAGCTAGGAGGAAGGTCAAGTGGGACAGAGAGGTCAAGAGGACTTTCAATCTGTCGCATATCCCAGTCCAGCGGACCTACAGCCTTGGCATGTTGCGGGACGGTATATACCTCTTCGCGCGCCGTTATTGACAGCTTCGTTGGCGCTGCTGCTGCGGGCGGGGATGGTATATTCGTTGTACGATATGTGTCGTGACTATCCTTCACTGTCTCGTGCGTCTTTTTCGTTTGGTTTGTCGAGCTTATATTGGACTCTGCTGCGAGTAGTTCTTGGTCTAGCTCGTGGATATCAATATCCAAATCACCCTTTCCGTCTGCTTTTTCATTCTCGGGAGGACCTTGATCTCCGACACGGTCAGGTCTTGGTCCTTCACTGCTGATAGCGTCGTCTGGTCTCGCAGTATGTCGAGATCGAGTACGAAGTCGTGCGCTACTTCTCGTATGTGTCTTTGTAAGAACTTGCAAAGACGACGGGACCGAAACAGACAAAGGAAGACTCCGCCTTCGAAGAGATTTTCCTGTCCGTGGCTGAGCACCCGCTGGCTCAGTTGTGTTTCTGCGCAGATCAAGATCGGCATTCTTCCGTCTGGGCTTGCGTCCACTTATATCCGGAAGATTAAACAGGTCAATATCCGCCAAGGGACGAAGTTCCTTGATACTCCATCCCTTGCACTGTCCGCACTGGATGACGCGAGCGCGGCCTTCGGGGCGGGGCCGGACAGATGGGATCGTAGGTGGGACGTTGTTGCATGCCGGGCAGACTGTATCGTTCTTTGCCATTTTCTTTATTATCTCCTCTTCCTCTTCTTCTCTCGGATGTGAAGCTGCTGAATGTTGCTAAAGGGAAACCAAACTCTCTAAAAAAAGTATCAATCAATCACTCAATCCAGCTACCGATCTTTCTACTCCAGGCAACCGGATCGTCAGTGTCCGAGTTCTTGGCGTTTTTCAGATCTTGGCTTTCCTTGAGCGGCTTAATGTCTGGGTATTGTGCGTCAAGGAGGTCAGTTACGTCCGTAATATCCGTGACTGTCGCCCACGTCGAGCTCGTTCTTGGTACTGATCCTGTTCCCGACCTGATTTCTGACGCCGGAGGTTGAAATGGCTGTGGAGGCGTTCTCGTTTGCGCGGATGCAGCCCAGTCTCCAAAGGCTGGATTACTATCGCTCGTATTTCCCTGCAGACCCTTGACAGCTGGACGGCCTGACTTGATCCACTTGCGGTATAATCTGCGAAAAGCGTCTTCTTCTTGGTCGTGTGCGTTTTGGGATTGATCCTCTTCTCTCTCGCCTCGGTGCTTTTGCGAATTGTGCAAATTTTGCGGATTCTGCGAGGCGTCAAATCCCCAGTCCCGTTGCTGTCGGTGACTTTTGTTTCTATCTGCCTGCAAGACCTTTTCCCACGACTCCCACGAGCCCCACGAATTCAAGTCTCTTTTTGTACTGGCTCGATGCCGTAGACCTTGATCCAATTTCTCTTCGTCCCGGTTTCTCTGTTCAGCACTGCCTGCTCGCTGCGGATCCGCAGACGAAGGCGGGTATTCGACACTATTACGAGACGAATCCTTGTCTCTCCTCGTTCCGTAGGAGGCCCCCCCGTGCTGAGGATTAAACTGTTCCCAGAGAAGTCGCGCTTCTCGTATGCGATCCTGGTGATATTGTTCAAGTTGAACTTTCTGTAATTGCTTTGCGCCGCGTTCGGCGATGACGGCCCAATACCCAATGACAAAGAGGAAGAAAACTACGACAAGTGAAAAAGCAAGGCTCAGAAGCAAGACATGCGAGATAGATACGAGGCAGTGGTGAGATCGGCTGAAAGAGGGAGGCGGAGCGGAAGGACGGTTTGGGATGTCAGTGTTGTGAGACAAGCGGAGAAGCGCACCGAGACGCTCAGGCGGATATGTTGATGGATAGTCCGGGTGGAGCGTGCGCGTGGATGTAAGGTTCTCAGCGGGTGTCAAATAGAGACTAGAATATTTGCTGGGGCCAAGCGACGCCTTTGCCTGAGAAATGATCCGGGATGCGATTTTGCTGTAGTCTGTGACGACACTTGTTCGGCCGCGCCAGTCTGTCGTGCGGAACGTCGTGGGCCCGTCTCTGAGATTAAAGAAGTTGGTAAACCCAAACGGAGGAAATATGCCAGGCATGGGTAATACCAAATAAAAGAATAACCAACAGGGCAGTAATTAATTCTGAATAGAAAAATGTAGAACCGTTTTGCCACTGCGAAAGGAAAAGCGAACAAGATCAGGGGAGGATGACATTAATTAAACAGGTTGCGCGGTATGATAGGAGATGAGGGCTTTTGTAGAGAAACAAAGAACTAAAAATCAATTGAGTAGTGGTGTGACGATGAAATTAAAGTCGTTAGATAATGTTAATAAGTAAGATGCTTCTGGAAGACAAGTCTTTTCTGTGGTTTCGCGTGGTGTCCTGCCTATCGTCAACAAAGAAATGGAGTTGCATGAGACAAAGAGAGCCTAGGGAAACGTGTATTTGCGCGAACAATGAAATGCGAAATAAAAATCATCGTGCATCACGTAGCATGAAAATGTTTAGCAATCAATATTGCTAGGGGGAAATCTTCGATGACAAAGAAATCTAATATTGTATATTTGACCTACCGCGGTAGGTAAACAAATCTGCCGTATAATACAAAATTCGAAATTAATAAACCCTATCCGTCAATGCCAGCCTTATGCTAATTTCCGAAACCTTAACGCCAGCCGATGCATGCTGTAAGTGGAGAAGATGAGGATGGCGAGCACCGTGTGTGTATCTGAGCGTATATACACTGATCCATTGGATGCCGTTCAAATCCGATGTCAATGCGAGATGTCATGCCAGCCTGCTTGTGGTACGCTACTGACTTAAAAAGCCAAGCTTTGACCAACTTCCATTATTCCTCAGAAGGCATCCGCATGTAGTAGTCAATGGCAGCGCTAAATGCGGCGAAACCGGCACATCCGACAGCAGCCGCCTGCGGCCCAGCCTTTGCGCCTAAAACACCACCAGTAATGCAGCCTGCCGCAATACCATTGGTAAGATCGTTCTTTGCGCGGAACTAAGAAAGTGTCAGTGTCGCAATTACAGTATTACTCCTAGTGGCAAGCAAATCATCCGTAAAGAATCAGACTGCCAGAAAATGTAGATGCAAACCCACCGATTCAATGCAGCATTCCGTGCCAGAGAAAATCATGCCGACAAGACCAAAGTTCTTGGCCGAGCTGAAACTTCTTGATCCCATATCCTTGAACCCCCGACGTAGTTGTTCCCTCAACGGGAGGTTGGTAATAGCTTGACCGGCCGGTGTGAGAGGCGTATCATATGACATCTATATAGGGCCTCAGCAGTCTGCCATTTTCACTAAAGTGGAGGTGAAACATACACTGGACATGAACAGTCCAAAAGCACCACCAAGAGCAAATCCCATGCCGCCCGCAATGACAGCCTTGGCCGGACAGCTCTCCATTACAGATTGCATCTGGATAAATGTTAGCGCCTGTTCGCCATAGATTCTCATTTCCCGGTGAGGTTGGCAATGTTTCCGGATCATTCAATTCTTCTGCTGGTCTGTCTCGCTGTCTCTCATTCGGTTTGTCGAATCGGATCAAGTCGGTGTCGTTTGGATCCTTGTAGAAAACCTGTCGCTAGCCAGTGCTTCCTTTTCGAAATGCTCTTCCTCTTTTAAACGTAGTCGGATAAATCCACCTCTTTCATGACTCTAACGTCCCAATCTGACTCAATTGCCCTTCATACCCATCGCTACTAGATGTGTTCCAGCGCACTGAAACATGCAATTTAGACGCGATTGAACAATAGACAATTTTTTCATCTATTCGGAACTTCAACCTCCCAATATCCATTTCCAGACCATTAAAGACTGCTGTCCTTGTAATATTGTTTTTTTTTTTTTCAATCCAAACGAGCTCCCGACTTCAGCTACAGCCTCGATTCAGTTCCGTGTAATCATTGATTCACTCCAAACAATATATATACCACACCGCAAATCGTAACAATAGCGTCATCGGTGTTTCAATTGAAAGAGGGCGAAGACAGGGTAGACAGGAGGAAAACTCGACCGAAACTGTTCATAACCTCGAATTCAAATCCAAGAATCAAAGCCAACCACCCTAGGACAAAATCAGCGAGACAATAGGGAATAACCTACGGTCTTAATCATGACCTGCTCCTGTTCACCCGGCGTCAGCGGGCCCGAAGGCTGTTGACCTCCGGCGCCAGCACCACCGCCGATGCCACGTCCTGGAAATCCGGGGAAACTCATCGTATCTGAAAACGTATATAATAGTCCCAGAGAAACAGAAATAATAGGACTGAAGGCGGTCAGGTCGTCCGGAAGAATCGGCGACAACAAAATAGGAGAGCAAGATGAATTGTCTAGTCTGACGGAAAGTTTCGTCCGTAAATTTGGGCGATAAACTCGCCGGGAGATTTTCGGGAAGAGCAGGGTAATCAAAGGTGGATGGACAAAGTGGAGAAAGGTAAAAGATTTGGGGTGTGGCGACACATTTCTTAGTGTGGCTAGTGGGACTTTTCGTGGGGTGGAAGTGTGGCTTGATTGCTCCGCAGTTACACCGGAGTCAACCATTTCGCAACTTAGCAAGTCGCGATCATCGTATCTACCAGGGTTTGGCCGAGACATCTCACATTCATCATGCAATTGACAAGATGGACAATTGAGAATAATAGAAAAAGGGCTCAAAAATCTATCTTGCTACAACAGGGATATATGTGGGGTGTATGCCAGGAAAAAGGACAGAGCTTCTAAGAACAAAACCGCTCGCTCTATAGTACCAAAACAATAAGAGATGACAACCCGCATCAAAAGAGTCCAAAGAAATGTTTAGTTGAACAGTGAAAAGCAAGTAGACCTGGCAAGCGCTTCAATCAATCTTTTGGCCCTTCATTGGTGACGGCGAACGAGACAATGGAGCCTGGGACTCATCCGCAGTCTCAATGGGCGGTGTGAGGCTCTTTTCCCACTCGCTCATCAGGGTAGACGCTGTTTTCGTGAGATTACTTGGCGTAAGGCTGACTAAGGACGGCCATGGAATTTCTTCTCGCTTTCTCGGCGTCGAGTGCTGCCTTGATAGTCGGTTGGCAAGGTCAAATGAACTACGTGGCCTTTAAATCAGTCGACACTCCTTACCTCTTGGCGCAGGGAATTTTACCTCGTACTTGTCCTGGGACTGCTGGCCATTGTTGGCGGAGAAGTTTCACGCTCAGAGGTCGAGGTAAAGCTACTCCGTCGGCTTTTGCGGGCGGGCGATGGCGAGTCCCAATTGTCCCAGCCGTCGTCGACGTCTGGTTTGGGGGGAGTTTTCCTCCCAGCTTCAGGATCACTCGTAGGCACCGTAGTGGGCTCGTTCTTCAAGGGGGACGTGGAATTTTTGCGGTCAAAATAGACGCCATTGTCTTTCCAAAAGTCGCCGCCAACGTCAACAAGAGTAGTGTCGTGGCCATCGTCGTGGGACGCTCTTGCCCGAGAACGCGAACGTGACCGATCAGCATCCCGAGCCTGCCGAACAGGGCTTTTGCCATGGCTTCGCAAGCTGGCATTACTCCCCTGTCGTCTGGCCAAGTGCGGTGGGGGTGCGAGCTGTTGTGATCCACGATGACTGGTACCGTTAACTCCTTCATCGCCAACCGTGGCTTGGCGAAGGTCTTCGATAAATGTCCAGAAGCCTTCCCGAAAATCCACCGCCATTTGCTTTCCGGTTTTGATCAGCGCATCGCGCGTGGGATCACGCGTTTGGGAATTAACGGTGTACTCGGACGACCGTTGACCGCTGAGGGGATACATAAAGTCGTCCGTCTCGGATTCGGGTTGAGAATTCGCCGCGGGATTTCGGTCCGTCGACAGTAAAGAGAGAGTCCTTGCATGGCGTGAAGGTGAAAAGACCTTTCTTTGGCCACGACGAGATGCCTGAAACATGGCTCTTCTTCGTTCCAACTCTCGGCTCTGTCGACCATGGTCGTCTTGACCGTCGAGACTGGGTCGTCCAGGTGAGCCAGAGAGAGAGCGCATGGGTTCAAAGTGACGAATCTCGCTACGCTTCTTGGAAGCTTCGTGGACTGCCCATTGCCTCTTGAATTTCTCAAGCTCAGTCTCGGCGCGACTGAGCTCCTCCTTGAGTTCGAGTACCCGCCTCTCCTGGGCAGCAAGGACAGTCAGAAAATTGGCGGACTCTGTAGGCGAGAGCACGGCAGATTCTTCTGGAGATTCAGCAGGTGGTGTGGATGGACTGATCGCAACGGAGCTGGATTGGGTGAGCCTGGTATGGCCGAATCGAGGTGATGGCTGAATGGGAAAGCTTAAAGACACCCGGTTACCCTTTCGACTGGGCACTGAGGTGGGAATCACCTGCTGTGCATTCATCGACTTGTGTGAAGGTGACGATGGGGTCGGCGACTTTGGTTCTGATGAAGGTGCACCTATACGTTCTGCTGGTGCGGGCATCACGGGACTGGTCTCGCCCACCGAAGACAGCACTGCTTTGACGCTGGCAGGATCGACACTCGATGACACCCGCTTAGCGTCAGGTCTAGTCAATTCGTCGGCCATGATTGTAAAGAGTATCAGAGAAGAAGAAGAAAGAAGAGAAGAAGCGTAAAAGGGCCCACGAGGGGAGCATGTTGAAGGTTGATTTGAAGGTCGGTCGGCCACACCATGGTAAACCTAATGCGACTGCAAGCGGGAGGTTCGTCATCACATGGTGGTTTCATCCGTTCTCAGGGGTACGCGGCCCATTTCGCTTACGCTTGCAGCCGATCATCCGAAACCGTTCCTGACAGCGTATTTCCTATCCCGTCACATGGGGTTGAAACAATTGTCCGGGCGGATGTCAGAGGGCCATGATGGGGACAGAACACTTTTCCGATTAAATCCGATTAATGACAGAACACTATACTAGAGCCGCAATAATTAGATGATGATTGTTATGGTCAAGTGGGTATATAGAGGTAATCACTTTTTAGGAGGGTACAGAGTAAGACCATGGTAAATAACACGTTCATGGGGGACATCTTTTCCTGGCTTTATCAAATCTAATTGAGCGGCCCCGGACCTGGCTCAGGGTCCATGTACGAGGTGGGAGGACTTGTACAGCTCTGCCTGGACTTTATCAGCTTCTGTCATTCCCATAGCTGTTACTAATACGGCAGCTGAATTGCTCAATGGCTTGTATAACTTTCAAATTTCAAATTCAAGATGTCATCTATTACAAAATCTCTGCAGCGAATAATTGAACCGTTGGAAAGGCTTCTATCTGTGAGAAGATGGTTGGACCGTTGGATTGGTTCAACCCCAGAACACGTGGATGGTCATCCAAAATCCCACTGCGCATATTTTGACCCAGAGAGAACCCAAACGCCAGCATGGATTAAAAATAATGATCAGAGAGAAGCTTCAACTTTTCTTTTACAGGGCTGCCTTGAAATTCATTGCACAATCCTCCATCTTCTTCCCATATACATACTCAAACATTATCGCAATGTTGCGATACTCGTGGTGTTTTTGGATGAGGCTTTTCTCATCCGTTTCTGTCTCCTTCTTTTGGTATCTTCCTTCACATCCGTCCTCTCTTTTTTGAGCTCTCTGAAGTTCTCCTCCGTCCGTCTCTGGAGGAGAAGGACGAATTCTTGAGGACTTTCGTGGCATGCCTCGTTCCTGCTAGCCACTCTCTTTTGTTTCCACCACCTCTGTTAACATGGTTTAAAAAATCCTGCTTGAAGCCATATCACTCACCCTCTCTAGGGTCTGAAGTATATCCTTGCAGTCGGCCTTGAGGCCTACCCGCCGCATATCAGCTTCTCGAAGACTACTGACAAACTTCACCCACTTGGTGGATGAGTGGTCGACTTTGGCCTTTCCTTTTCGTCCTTGGGAAAGGTCTTCTTGTAGCTTTTTAGCTACATGGACCAAAATTTTTCCCTAAGCAAACTGTAAAACGAATTGTCTCGTTTGCTCTTGTCCTTTCTGATGCCGATTCCAATGAGACCTCAGTGCTTTATTCCCAAGGTCCTGGGCAGAGATCTTCATCTATTGAGCGGCCATCTCCTTTGTGGAGCGCTGCCATCGTTGCAACTTTGTCATTGTTTCTTGCAGTTTCTCGATGGCGTTTGCTCCTGCTTTCAATGGTTAATATTTATTTAGCTGAATATCACCGAAAAAGGCTCACTATTTTCTATTCCCCTTTAGGATTTTCACTTTATCATTTTTCCTCAGTCTTTTTCAGATAGCCCCGAATAAGTATCCGTGGATTTTCATCTCCGCCGTGTTATTGACGAGATACACAGAGACGCAGAAAGTGCAAATCGGCCACGACCATCGTCTCCGGATTCGTCAATTCGTTTTCAAGTCCCGTTATGTCTTCATGCCCATGCAGGGTAGAGTTGCAATGAATAATTCGCAGAAATCAGCGAAAGAATAGACAATAGTCGTTCTGATGTAGAAAGTAGAACTTAAAGAGGCCGATGCAGATGAATATTCTATAAAGTACCGATATGGAGTAAGAAGCTCTTTCTGTCGAGACGTCCTATATTCGGCCGAGGGTCTTGGACTCTTGGATAGCATAGCGGGGGAAAATATCGAAGAAAGCGATGAGCCGTGTCTTTATACTGCCAGTTACTGATGAGTAAATGTTTTGATTGAATCCAACGCGTGATGGTGGTATGTACGTAAACAAGTATTCATGGGTGCATGGTGAAGCAGGAAGGTGGTTAGTAACTTGGTTGACGAGAGGGTTCGACAGATAGAGAAAGAGCGACAGATATGATTAACTCCAGATGTTCACTTTCTGGCTAAAGGCTCGCTGAGAATTTTGACGCCAGTGCTTAAAATGGACCAAAAATCTAATGCGGAGGGGATTGTGAAAAAGCTCGAGGATATGAGATCCTACGCGACTTCAATAGATATTTATATCAAGCAACCAGAGGACGCCCTTTGTTCAGGAAGGATATACGTTACAGAAGCAAGCGACAATGTCAATTAAGCCTTTCAATCAAATCACAGATCCTTGAGAAAGTCCGCGGCAACATCGTCCACGCTTCTGCCATATGCAAAGCGGAACAATTCGGCACAGTGATTAGAAAATGACGTGTCTTGGAGCAAATTGTGCCACCTTTCTGGCAGACGTTCCGCGCCCAACTGTTTAGCAAAACGAGCGTCTTTTTTTTGATGCTCCTCGTCTTTCTTTCGGTGGACCAACAGCACTGCAAATTCCCAACTGCTTGTTCCAGTTCGCGAAGGTTTGATGCTCTGGATACAGTGACTACTGTGTCAATTTACCTAACTTACTGTGTGCGATGTATTGATGTTTGAATCATTTTGGGATGGTTTACTCACCTGGCAAGGATGCATAAAGTTTGCAAAAAAGCTCATGGGGAATCCAATTTTCTCGGCCTCGTCCTCTGTCAGTTGCTCGACCAGCCTCAAATCGCGCATCACTGTATGGGTTTCCGACTCTGTTTCGTCTCCAAAATATTCATCCAATGCTGTATCGGTGTCTTGTGCTGCTGATTGACCTGTCTCCCCTTTGAACTCTTGCTCGACAAGCTTTTCCCAGACTTTTGCCATGACATCGAGAAAGAGATTGTTCCTCCCATCAAGGAGCCGCGGTACACCATCGATTTGTCGCTTTATTCTCAAATCATTGCGTTCTTTTCGTAGTTCTTCAATTTCCTCTGTCACATTCCTATTTGCTTTTTGAATATCTTTGTTGAATCCAATTTCTCTCTTGAAGGACTGAGATTCTGCCCGGAAAGACTCAAATTCTGCTCG